GAGATAAAGATGCTGCAACGTTGAAAGACAGGCTTGCCAAACTAGAGAGTGAGCTTGCCGATATTAACAGAGCCAAGAACGCAGCCGAAGGCGATTCCATGTGGAAAGCTCAAAGAATTAGCCAACTGGAAAGCGAGCTGAACGATCTACAATCGAAGGACATGGTTGATTCTGATGAGGCCCTTGGATGGAAGAACGAGATAACTCGTTTGCAGCAGGATCTAGAGGCAGTTAAAAACAAGGACGTCCGTCTGGAGGCCAAGATTGAAACTTATGAAGGAAAGGTGAAAGAATTCAGTGATGACTTGATTAAAGCAAAAGAGAGGGTTGCCCAGTTGGAGTCTAAGGCTGAAGACGACCAAGAGAAAATTGATGAGCAGCGTAAGGCATTGATGGAGGCTTACAAGAAGGTAGCAGACCTTGAGGCAGCCACCAAATCTTGTCATAACAGCAAGAGTGAACTCAATGGTGTGATAATGACCTTGCGCGATAAGATCGAAGCTCTGGAAAATGAACTCCAGAAAGAGGCCAAGCAGCATGCACATGTGAAAGGCACTCTTAGCCAAGTGAAGATAAAAAACGATGAACTCAAGCTGGAAATTGCAAAGCTGCAGAAGAAATTGCGAGAAGTACTGCAGCAATACGATTCTCAGGTTCAGGAGTGGTCAGAGAGAAAGTACACCATTGATGGACTTGAAAAAGACAATGCCGACTATATAGCCATAACAGAAAAGCTGAGACGAGAAAATGCTAACCATAAGAATTACCTGGACAACTTGGAGACAGAGAAGCGTAACCTCCAAAGTGAGTTGAACCAAATGGCCCCCAAGATGGACGAGCTCGAAAGTCGTTTGCGGATTGCTTTTGAGGAGAGAACCAGATTCCAAATCGAGCTAGACGATGCCAAGAGGGCTCTGGACGAGACTAGACGGGAGCCAGAGCCGATTCGTCAAGTATCTAGTGGTGGGTTAGAACAAGGTGTGGACATGTTCCCTGAGTTGTCCATTGATCTCGAAACGGCCAAAAACGAACGCGATCGCCTTACCAGTGATGTTTCCTCCTGGCAGAACAAGCACAACACCCTACAGAACAACTATGACAACTTGAACGCCGACAAGAAGCGCCTTGAGGACAAACTTGACAGCATGCAGAAAACTATAAACCACCTTGAACACAACAATCAGACCCTGACATCAGACAAGAATAGACTGACTGTTGAACTGGAATCAGCCAAACGTAAAACGGTTGATCTGCTGTCTGAACTAGATGACGCAAAACGCGACAAGGATGCCTTGAAGGTGGAGTATGAGATAATTCAAAAGAAGATCACGAAGATTGAAGCTGAGTATGAAATCCACATTAAACACCGCCACGACTTTGATGACTCCGGCGCTTATGCCAAGCTAAGTGAAGCCTACAAACGCAGCCAGGAGAGGGAAAACGAAGTGCAAGAGGAGCTCTTGGTCTGTTACAAGACTATCGGAGATTTAAAACACCAGTTAGAAAACGCCCACGAGACCATGGAGAGGCTGACAGTTACCTACAACACTGAAACTATCAGAAGTGCGACTTTACGAGAGGAAGTTGTAAATTACCAGAGGAGACTCTCAGAGCTGGAAGAGAAATACGAGATCAACCGAGGAGCTAATGAAGACATGGAGAATGAGTTGACCGTGTTACAGCAGAGAATGGAGGAGCTTAGCCGCGAGAACTCTTCCATTCAGGAGTCGAAGGCTTTGGTGGTTGTTGAAGTTACCAACCAGCGCAACAAGATTACACGCCTTGAACAGCAGCTGGAAGACTCTGAGCGTGAAAAGGAAAACCTCCGTCTCCAGTTGACAGCCATGCATAGTAAAGGCGATGCTGAGGCACATGAGATCAGCAAGCAGATTTCCCAACTGTCGGAGCGAAGTTTAACATTCCAACGTGAAAAGGAGGATCTAGAGAGGCAGCTCTCCCAGAAGCATTCGGAAACCATTTCGCTGCAGCGCGAAAATGACGCTCTAAAGTCACAAGAGTACAGCTCTTCCACTCAAAAGCAACTTCAATCTTTTTTCGAGTTGGGCGGTGATGCAGACCTCGGACCATCGGCCGAGTCCACCAGATTTGAGTTCGACAATGACGATTTCGAGGGAGGAGGAACAACCGTGACAACCCGTACTGTTAAGGTTAAGAGCTCCAAGAAAGGAAGATCTTAAAGAAACGTAGAACATTTCTTTTAAGCAAAACAGCACATAGGGATATAGCTTTTGTATCGAAGTAATTTATATGGATATGTTACTTATTGCTTTCTCTGAGCAATTTAAAAAGTAAATGTCATCCTTGTTTTCATTTGATTTCTACAAGCAACTTGCATTTTGATAACTCGTCGGGCTCGATTTCTTTAATTTATGCACCTTAATCGAGGGTTAAAAACTTTCTTTAAGCCGTATTTTTCATCTAACAATGACGTTTTATGGTCGTTGCATGCGACAGTGCAATATATGTTCTCGCAGGTGGAGGACGTTTTTGCGTTTGAGCTCTAGGTTGCTATCATTGTTATTGAATTTACGGCTTAGAAGCCCATCGTTTATTTTCTTTTAGGAAAAAAGAACTGCATCTTTAGGTTTTTTTCGTATGTAAGGAAAACTGTGTACTAAGTCGCATTAGACCTCTAAGACAGAGCTAGTATTTGAGCTAATATTCGTTAGAGCAGTAGTTCCCGTCATATCGTCGAGAATTTAAAGGATATTGTTGCCGATGGTTAGCAAAAACACTCGGATACTCGGCAAATAGAAATAGTTGTAGAATTTTTATGTTTCTCTAAATATCTTATTTTTCTATTTTCATTGCGGTATTTTTATGTACTCGAATAAGCGCTGCCTCCGAATAAACGCAGTACCTGTTTCATGAACGCCACGGTACATAATTGAATTAAGAAAGTATTCGGGAGAAGAGCAAAGAGCCTCAAACTTTATGCTAAGCGTGTCTGGGTGTAATATGTGTTTTCAAGCAATAATAAATGCATTTTAAATCATCAGCTGTTTTTATGTCGTTCAATGTTAACGCGATATTCACGATAACCCTTTCAATGCAGATTTGATTGACATGGTATTTCTCCTTACAATATCAGTATATTATCAAACAAACAGGTGATGACAGTGCGCAAACTCATCAGCCAGATAATATGATCTCGAGTTACCACCTCGTTTCCTGTACTAATCCACAAGAAAATCTTTGGTTACTGATGGGTATTTTCAGTTTAGCCTCATTCTATATTTAACCCCAAATCAACATTCAATAATTACTGAAAATTTGTTTATAGAGTTTGGTTGCAGCTAGTTAAACACTGGTTTGCCTGTGGTTACCTCTATGGACTATATCCTTCGCCATATCTCATTTTATGTTTTCAGTTTAAACCGAGATTAAAAGTTCTGCAAATAGCTGGGCGCGCACAAAGGATGCTATATGAAATGTGGTACTGAAGAATAAGAAAATTGGAGGTTGAATTGGAAAATTAAAATACAGCGCCTTTCGATTGAGTGTCGGAAAACTAAAACCAAAGAAATCAAATCAGCTAATTAGAGGAAAGGAAAATGCAACAAGGAGCCAGTGAAATTGCAAATTAAATACAAACAACATCACGAAGCGCGGGAAACAGGGTTGACCAAGTGTCAATTGCCTTTAATTGTGCGTCTCATAGGTTGTGAGGATGGCAGGAGTTTTCTAGACCAATCACATTGCGAAGTAAACCAAAAGCAGAGCAATCCCGTGATAGTGTCACTCATTTTGAAGTTAGTTGCAAGTTGATCGATCACACATTTGTGTGATCTACACTTCTATAAAGTTTCTGATATTTCAAGTGAAAATGATCGCATGCAGACTTTGAATTAAAATAGATAATCTATTCTTTTTCTTTGATCAGCTTGCCGAGGGAAGGAAATTTCTAATTCACAAATTAAGTGAACAGAGGCACGTCTTATGAGGGAAAACAAAGGAATTAAAATATATTTGATTGAGCGGCAGAATAACCGATATCTAATAATTAATGTTTCTCACCTTTAGACAAAAGGTACATCGACGGTATGGCGACGTGAGCATAGTTTTGTACAATATAGTTTGTGCAGAATAAGCAAATAAGTATTTTTTTCTCTCAGAACGACACACACAGAGGTTACGCTTGGTAAACTTCCAAAGTAAGGCCGAAATCCGGCTGTTTCAAGTACTAAAAGGTTAAATTAACAACACCGATGGATGTTGATTACGCAGAGAAGAAGAATAAAACCTGAAAAGTGTTAATTAAGATGCCCAAAGGCCTTCCCTTACGTAATTAAAAGACAAAGGTTTTTCCTGGATTGAGCTAATTGACGGTTAAGCATATTGGTATGGGTTGATGACTACAACTCGAAAACGAGTTAGCTGGTCGTTAGCGGCAAGAGAAAGTTGTTCCAACGCAACAAAATAAAGCCGGAATTACGCCTTGGGGTGAGTTTGTTTTCATCACTGGTAAAACGGGGAAAGGCTGTTGATGAAACAAAAAGAAAAATAACAAATAAACCTTTGATAAAATAAGTTCTGAAATGGAGATTGGGCCAGCTGGACTGAAGCGTGTCACTGTCCACTTTGAAGACACAGTTCGCCAAGCAGCTTTATCCCTGAAAGAGCCCCATGACCTCGAATCCAGTGACGAAGAATTAAAACACGGAAATGATGATTACAGCAGCGAAGATGAGTGGGATACAGATTTAGAAACACCGTCCAAAGACGAACAGAGGACTCACAGAACGGCTGATCTAACAGGGAAATCATCGTACTTACGAACGTGTCGCGCGCTCGGAGTTCCACCGGTTTCTGTCGTACTTGACACGATTCATACTTCGGAGATCGCTTTACCACATCACGGGTTAGGGCCTAAAGGTGGTAGGGCTCTCGCTAGGGCGCTCGTAAAAAGCACCACTGTTGCGAAGCTCGACTTGCAAGAAAACAGCCTGGGCGAGGAAGGAGTGGATTACTTTGCCAAGATGTTCTTCGAGAACTGCTACATAACATGGGTAAATCTCTCTGGAAACTCAATAGGTTCGAACGGTGCTCGAGCAATGGGGAGCGTCCTCAAGGAAAACCAAGCCCTACAATGGCTTGATCTGTCTTTCAACAACTTTGTTGACAAGGACGCGAGACCACTCGCTGAGGGTTTAAAAAGCAGCACAACCCTTAAATTCCTCAACTTGAGTAGAAACTCATTTTGCGAGGCAGGCGGAGAGTTATTAGGTCTAGCCTTGGAGGAAAACAATAGCATTACTGAGCTGAATCTTAGCTGGAATCATTTGCGGTTAAGGGGAGCTATCGCCATCTGCAAAGTCATGGCAAAAAATAGCGCCATCAAAATCCTCGATCTGTCCTGGAATGGTTTTGCCGACGACGGAGCGGAAGCAATGGGAAACGCGCTGAAAAAGAATGATGCGCTTCTTGAACTGGATCTAAGCCACAACCGCATAAGTGGAAAAGGTGCGTTTGGATTAGCTAAGGGTTTGGAAATAAGCAGAAGACTACGAGTGCTGAAGATTGGATTTAATCCTTTCGGAAACCCTGGAGCATATGCTTTCTTAAAAGCAATCGAAGGAAACCCGAATTCAGCCTTGGATGAAATCCATCTTGACAACATTACTTTGAAAGAGAACTTTGAAATCCTCCTGGCAGAGTTAATAAGAAACAAGCCCGCCTTACAAGTCACCCATGCTGTTTCTATCCGTGACAGAAAAAGAGGCTCCGAAGCCGGTTACCATGACGACCAAGGCAATGACACCGGAGGGCGAGTGAAGCATGAATTGCTGACAGCGTTGAAGACGTTCCTGTCGGAGAGAAGACTTCGTGCTCTGGACCTTTTCAACTGCTTGGATAAGGACAAGACACAGAGTGTGTCTCCAAATGAGATGTTTATCGGTCTGAAGAAACTCAGCGTGCCGCTAAGTGACTTACAGTTGAAGAGACTGATCCGCGTACTCGACAAAGACGGGGACGGAGAGATCGATTATGGAGAGTTCGCCGCAGTCAACGAAAAATGACCTATTTGATTTCTCCCCATGAACTTACGTGGGAGACACACAGATCCTTACCATGCTGGACCGAGATCGACAGGTTTAAGTTTATTCGCTCTGACGAAGAGCTTACGCTAGAAACAACAAATTTATCTTGCTTTTCCCCCTCCCCCCCCTTCCCCCTTCCCCCCTCTCCCACCGAAGTAGCATCACAGTTTCGTTAGCAACTTACCCTCTTTATTCATTTGAGGTAAGCGGATGGGCTCGGATCCCATCAAAGAGGTGCAGGAACTTTCTACGAATGCTCCTTTATGCCATAGAGACCGGGATGAGCTCCGGGAGTAGTGTACAACAATTCGTGAAGAAAATACAACGCTTAAAATCCACAACAGCATTATATATATTTGTATATATTTGTTACGAACCGACAAAATGGCCAGCTCTTAATTGCATTATTAATCAGTTCACAAATATGATTTTCATACATTCACAGTCATTTATTTTATATGATGAAAATACAAACAGCACAGTAAAAGCGATTAAAAAAACCAAACGATAACAGTCGTAAGAAATGTGTTCGGTTGATGAAACAGGCTACTGACAGGTGCTCTCTGATCCGCTCCATTAAAGTGAGGGTAAAACTTGAGAGGAAAGGAAAAAAACTTAAGTAGAACATAACTGAAAGATTAACGAAATTAACTACTAAAAAAATTGAAGTAAATAACCAGATGGAGGGCCGAAAGTCACAGTGTTTCGTGACCTCGGCGTGAAGTGCGTGACATGTCATTAAAAAAAATGTAAAGTTGTGACAGTCTACTTAAGCTCCCAACCTCCCCCCGCCAAGATTCTAGCTACTCCCCCTACACTGCCCATGTTAAAAATTCCATAATAATGATAATAATAATAATAATAATAATAATAATATTAATAATAACAATGATAAATATAGAAAGGCAAAGGAATCGCGACTCACATAGTCCCAGGATCCCTAATCTTGTCATCGTCGAAAGGCATTTAAGACATTAAGAGTTCATCGCTTGGCGCAGTAACAACGGAGACAAGGCCTACTAACGAGAACAGGAGAACAGGAGAAACATTCGCATAACTAAACACTCAACAATTACTGAAAAAAGCGAGGACACAGCGGTGTTGAGCTCCGGAAACTAACGGCACTTGTGCGTGACTGTCACGAAATTTTTTTGTTTTTTTGAAGTGTCTTGTAATACGAAAGCATTACTTTTCTTGTATCAAACGGGGTTATTATTTGTTGTTGTAAAGTCCCTAGAGTAGCTAAATTTTAACTTGTGATACAAGTACATTCGCCTTCTTCCGCTTGCTCATGCTCGATCTCCCAAGGGATATAGCCGGTATGGTTGTCATGGAAACTACACAAGGATCCGTGGAATTGACAGCTCCGTCTCTCGAAAAGAACATTCGATCGGTGATTTAGCAAAGGTAAACAGGATTTTCGCGTTTGAGGTGTCTGTTGCTGAAAGCTATTTTATCAAAGGTAAGGTTAGTCATCTCTTTAAGTCTCTGATATTTTGTTCTGGTAAAATCATGAGTCAGATTCACCAAAATGCAATTTAACGGGGCGATAAATCTATAATCCCTTGATTTCACTTGTTTGCGAGAACTAAGGTTACATGCAGAGCACATAAAAGCTTATCTTCTTTCACGTTTTCAGCACGTTATCGTGGACATTGCTTGGGTTTAGCTAACAATTCTTTGGATTATACTTTAATTTGAGCTGGAACAAAAGCTTTTCAATTTGTCTGACAAAAGATAACCTCCCTCAAGCCGACTTAAACAATCGATCACGTTACCCAACTTTACTGAACTGAATCGAGCTCTCTAATAAATGTTGAAGCGTCGAATCGATCATTGATCACTTCAGAACATTATCGAGACCCCAGTGGTACCAGAATTTCTTTAATTGATGACCAAAATGTAATCTTGAACTAAGCGGCCGTGAGTCCTTTGAAATGTCTTAACGGACTTATAAACCATGAATTGACTTTGGTAACACAGCATCAGCAACATAATTACAACACAAGAAATAAAGCCAATTTTGAATTCCCCAGTGTAAAGAGGAACTGAGGGAGACAAAGCACTGCATATCATGCTGTGAATGACTTTAATTCACCTAGTTAGGTAATAGGAGAATCTGCTAATATTATTACATTCAAGCGACATATTTTAACTTCTTAATTTAATTCTCAGTTATAATTCCTTTTTTTCTTTTAATTTTATGTATGTATTTTAGTCTAAATCTGCGAGGTCCTTTTGAGCTTCGGAATTCTTCATGGAAGAACTTGAAAGTAAAACGGCAAAGTTGAAAGTTTTCCAGGGTAAACGAATAGTTTTTGTAAAATTCCGAAAATCTAATTATGTTGACTCAAATAACTCTTTGATTGTACGCGATGTCCTACTAAGTCAGTGAACTTGTTCATCTTGCAACCAACAGATCTGAACAGGAGGTTGATGGGAAATTAGATTGCAAGCCAAATTTATTTTTGGTTTTCAAGGGAAATCGCTTCAATCTTGTAATTTCGGTTGTACAAAAAAGAATAGTAATTTTGAGCCTTGATTGATTGAGCTGTATGGCCTCTTAATTCCTTATGCAGACAGGGCAAAACATGTGTTAAAGGAAGGAAAAAAACCAGCTTTTTCTTAAGCTGGTGTTTTGTTAGTGCAAGCCATTGCAATTTATGTTACACAGTTTCCATGGATGGTCTTTTGGTCCAGTTCATGTTAGTGTATCTGTTTATGTAAGAGCAAATTATTCAACCAGGGAGATGACAGTTTTAACAGCTTTGGTTTTACTAAGCTAACAAAAGGGCATAAACAATTATTACTCTCTCTCAAAATCAGCATAACAACAGTTTGCTCTCTTTCAGCTTGACAATGCATGCTAGAAATGCCACAGTGAAGAAGGTTGACAAGACCTTGCGAGCATTGAGCTCTGTCACTCTGTCAGTCAATCCGAATCATGTAAAACTCAAACCAGGCACTTCTTCACCTGCAAGTGGCACTGATGAGAGTGACGATTCAGATGGATGGGAAACTGATTTAGAGTGTGAAGAGGTACTTGTAATCTCACTTTGTACTCTACCTATGAACACTACACTTGACACTACTTCAAATTTAAATATAGTGGGGCTACTTGAAAGGCCCTTTTACAAGAGCCTGGAAAGCCACCATGATCTCAATAGATTACAAGCAGTCCCTCCTTTTCAGTGAGATCCTTCACATGATTCCAAACAATTATGTGACAAAAGAATTCTGGAATTACTTTCTGTGTGCCTTGCTCCCAGAGTTCAAAATGGCATGCCAGCCACAATCCCTTTTTTCCCTTTTTTTTCATGGCCACAGATTTCACCAGCTGTGAGGGACTGCTTGAAGTCTACTATCTCACCCCATTTATTTTTTCTTTGCTGAAAGTTCAATTGATTTAGATAAGATTACAAGCCAGCCCTGTTATTGTGATAACCCTTACTAAAAAATTGGCAATAAATGTAATCCAGCCCTGATTTGAGTGTGGGGGTACTCACTTATTCAGCCTAAACAGGCTAAAAGAGGGTATGATAGCAGGTTCCTGAGTCACGAAAAGGGTATACAATCTTTTTGAACTAGAGAACATGTTTGTGAACTGGAAGACTTAACCCTTTTACTCTTAGAATCTCGATATCGATTCTAGTTTCTGTTAGCCATACATTATCTTTTTTTAAGCTCTGAGAATTTGGTTTTAAATCAAGTGCTATCACATGGTCAATTTTCTTCTTTCTTCTCAATACCTTTCCACTTGAAAATGTATTGAGATTGTTAAGAGAAATTCCATTTTGGTCACTCCTTGTAGTTTTAACCCTTTAAATCCCAAGATCTGATTGTTAATTCTCCCCTTTAGCTGCTACACATTTCCTTGTAAATTAGTTATGAGAACTTGGTGCTAGATCAAGATAGCAGCTTCTACCTGATAAGTTTGAATATTCTCTTTACCTGTTTGCTGAAGAATGTATGGATATTGTAGGGAGAAGTTTTATGTTAATCACTTCTGGGAGTTAAAGGGTTAAAGGATTAAGAAGAGTACAAGTGTCAAGCACCCCCTTCCCTGCCCTTGACAATGGTAGACTTCATTTTTATTTATTGTTCAACAAGCACCCCCTGTTGCAACCTTTTCTGCATTTATGGAATTGATAAAAAAAACTTTGAAAGAAATTAGTTGGCACTTGCACCCTGACAGGCGCAATTAAGGACTGTTTCATTTTTATTGTTCAGTTTCGGCCACACGCTTATCGGCTAATTCAAATAATTGAAATTTTAATGACATACAGTAATATGTTTGGTCAGGGGTATGAAAAAAAAGAGGTTTTGGGATTTTTTAGGTGAACTGGACTTGTATTATTCCTTTGGCATTTAAGGGTTTTTGTGGATCTTATGGATTTTGAGGGCTGTCAGAAAAAACTGTCAGAACAACCCACTTTCCCCCTTGACAATATTAGGCTTTATTTTCTTCAATTATTCAACCATGAATAGTGGAAGGGGGGTTTTGTTGTGGAGTACAGTTAACTTTTAATTTTTCTTTGTAATATACCGGCGCCCTTCAATGTGGCGATGCTGCAAGTGAATCAATTATTTTGTAGGTTGCATGAAGATGCAGTCTTGCGTCTATACAACTCAATTTCAAACTAGACTCTCTCTTCTTTCAGCTGAAGCCACAGTATGATCCAACAGGGCGAACCCTATACCAGCGTGCTTGTCAGAAACTTGGTATTGTTCCTGCCTCCTTCTTTATGCGGCACATGACAGAGCCAACAGTTACTATGTCACACCATGGACTTGGTCCATTAGGCATCCGAGCAATGGCATTGGCTCTTTTATACAATACAAGAGTCACAAGTCTGAATATCAGAGACAATGGTATTGGAGAAGAGGGAGGTGAGATTGTGGCAAAACTGCTAAGAGAAAACTACTTTATAGTGGAGTTAGACATGTCTGAAAATCAGCTTGGTAGAGGAGCAGTTGCAGAGATGGCAGAAACTCTTAAGGAGAACAATACACTAACAAAACTTGGACTTGCAGGAAATACCCTTGACGATAAAGATGCTGAGGTAATATGCCAATCATTGCTGGTAAACAATACCCTCAGCCACCTGGATCTAAGCTGTAATAAATTCTCTAACAAAGCTTGTGAGTTCTTTGCAAAAGTTCTTGATGAGAACATTACATTATCAGATCTTGATCTTAGCTGGAATCACATACAAGTCAAAGGTGGACTGGCTCTAGCCAAAGGACTGAGAGGAAATGTGAAGCTCAAAAGCCTGAACTTGGCATGGAATGGTTTAGCAGATGATGCAGCACGATCATTAGCAGGGGCTCTGCTTGAGAATGGTACCCTACAATTCTTGGATTTAAGCAGCAATAGGATTTCAGACACAGGTGCTTTCAGCATTGCTAGATGTCTGGAGAGCAATTCTTCACTAGAAGTTCTACGGCTGTCAAAAAATAACCTTAAAAACAAAGGGGCTAGCGCTCTTCTGAATTCCATTATAAAAAATGGAGACAGTAGAATTCACAAGATTGATCTCATTGGTACACCCCTAAAAGAGGAATTTCACATAATTGCAGAAGAATCGAGAAAGTTGAGGCAAATTGAAATAATTACAGATGAGACTCCAGAATTAAGGCACAAACAAGAAGAACCTGACCCAGGGACACTTTTGCGTAACTACATTGCAAAGGAACATGTTCAAATTGTAGACTTATTTAGAAAGTTGGACCGAGATGGGAGCATGCAAGTGAGTGTGAAGGAATTTGCAGAAGGGCTGCGGAAATCTCAGGTTGGGTTAACACAGTATGAGGTGGACAGAATCATTGATGTGCTTGATGCAGACAAAGATGGTGAAATAGACTACAGTGAATTTGTTTGCATACAAGGCGAATGGAAAAATGATGAGAAGGGAAAACGAAAAATTTCAAAACCACCTCATTAGAACAAATCTGATAATGAAGTTTACTCTCTCAGATTCTGCTGAAAGTTGAATTTTAAAGTTTAACTGTTAAACAATGAGATCTCATAAATTATACCAAGTAAGGTGGCCAATATATTCAGCCTTTACCTTCCAAGAGAGCATTTCCTTGTGATCAGAACTTCAAGAGTTTAGTATTATATTAAGGAAGCTCTTAAAAGCTTGTCTGTTCACATGACATGTTTACAAGATTATGCTTTGTAATCATGAGAAGTTAACTGTCCATCAATTAAACCTTTAACTCCCAAGGTCAGATTGTTAATTCTCCCTTCTGGCTGCTACACGTTTCCTTGTAGATTAGTTACAAGAATTCGGAGTAAGATCAAGATAACAACTTCTACCTTATAACTTTGAGTATTCTCATTACCTGCTTGCTGGATAATGTATGGATATTATGGGGAGAAGTTACATGTGTATCACTTCCAGGGGTTAACGGGTGAACAGAGTGTTCAAGAGCTGTCCCAGATGCCCATACTGTTGTTTTTTGCAAAGGCTCAAATTATCATGACCTTACATCATAAACCCTTTACACCCTAACATCAGTATGCATACTCTCTATACTGTTCTCTATACATTTCCTAAGGTTCTGACAAGGAGAATTTGTTTAACAATCAAGAGTTTCTCACCTTGGTGATCATTTCCCTTATTCATGTGACCTTAATATTTGATTTAAGGGTGATGTTTTAACCCTTTAACCCTTTAACCCTCATGAGTGACTAAGACAGAATTTCTCCTTACAATATCAATACAATATTAACCAGATAAGTGATGAGAATAAAGAAAAATGTCAATTTGGGGATAATTAGTTGATTCAATATTAAATTCTCTGAACTAACATTAGGAAAATTGTATGGCTGACAGTGAGGAGAATTAAAAATTTGATCTGGGAGTTAAAGGTTAAGGAGAAATGAGATTCTAGTCGCACTTAGATTTAATTGATGAACAGTATTTAACATGTTAATTTCATTACAATATCTGTCGAAATATAGATCTTGACGATGTGAATTATTCCAAAAATTCCCTCAATCAGTTTGTTAGTGTACTTTATTCTATAAATTCAATAATTTCTTTGAGAGCAAAGAACAACAGTTTTTATTTTACAAGTAATTGTTAATACTCCTACTCCCCAGACTTGCAAACACAACTGATTGGCAAGTTACATTTTTTTGGTGGCAGCTCCAGTAAACTTTCTGCTCTAAACATAAAAGGAAAACAAATGACTTGTGTATGGTGCTTTGTATTCATGAACAAGAAATGTCACTCTAATAACTTTTGATAAATTATTTATATTTTTTTTAACTGGTCATTAAAAATGAGGATTTTTCTCCATAATCCAGTTGACTGTTTCTTCCAGAAGTGCCAACTTGTAATGCCTGTGAAACAATATCAGAATAAGACCTTAATTAAAGAAGCCACTAATTTGAAAGCTTAGCAGTTTTATGTCTGTGAGATAAATTGGTTTGGTTAACTTGGTAATCACACAGTCACAAAGACACAGGCAGTTACAGAGAAAAGTTGCCTCAGACTACTTTTATTCACAAGGAAATTATCGAGTTCTTATAAAATCTGTACATTGCATTTTTTTCCAGAGCCAAAATATTGAATTTGTGTCAAAAATTAGATATTTTGAGGTACAAAATTGACACATGAAGCAAATTTGTAAAGAAATTTTTATGTAAACATTTATAAAAAACCTAATCTATCCAGTGATCTTGTTCTGAAATAATCTAGACTAAAGAGTGTAGCCAATCAATGACTATTAGTTTTAACTTAAGGACTGAGAAAACAGTTACTCAACAGTTTTGAACATGTAACTTGTATATTATATTTCCTCAGATAAATTCCCATGCGCATGTATAAAATTTTGGCTAAAAGGAGGGGCATTTAATTTAATTGAGGGGGCACTTATTTGAAAACTCTTCCCCTCTACTGAATCTACCGCGGTTGAGGCTTAAAAAGTTGAAAATAAAGTAGCAACAGGAACAGCTGTTCTTTGTATCACTACTATATAAGAAAGTGAGGGAGGGATGGGGGGCTCTTAGTTGAGAGGGGTGCTTGTCTGATATTATGGCACAGGGGGTGGGCACTTATTTGTGTGAAGGTGCCTATGTGAAGAAATATTGCATGTCAATCACACAAGAATTAAGCTGTAGAAACTCCATTTAGGAAAAAACATTGGAATAAGGAAAGGTGTGTGCTGGATAGAGGCATCCTGCCTTCAGTGATGGTAAATGATACAAGGGTTTTGGTTAAAGGATAAGTTATTAATTAATTCCCTTAGCACAGAGGTGTAAGAAAAAGGAGGAACTTGTCCTGTACTGTTTAAAACTTACCTAGCCACATTTCTAAATGTCTTTAGCTTGTTGTAGAAGTCATCAACAGACAGAGTGTGGGAGAAGTTGCCTGCACATTTGCAGTATCTTGACATATTTGTTGCATTTACCTGAAATGGTCATTTGTTAGGATCAACTTGTAAAAAAAAGATCAAGAGATTGTCTGTATTTCTCACCTGAGCATAAACAATTACAACTGTGCTTAAACCCAACTCTGTTGGATGATATCTAAAAATTTGAAGTGCTGTGAAAAGGTTACTATTTTTAGTTAAATTCCTCGTTAAAATTTTTCCTATCAATTTTCTTGCTTTCCTAAGGAATTAGCAATATTCTGTGAAGATGGAACTTCTCTTTGGAATTGCCTGTAATGTAGGGATATCCCCTATACAGATCCAGGATCATTACAAAATATACTTCCCCGCATTATTTTGTCCAGATCTATATTTTCATCTCCACTTTTGCATCACCAATCGGTCATTTTACAGTTGTGTACTTAGTTACTAAGCCTTTGATTTGGAGGCTGAAGGTGATTTTGTTATGATAGAGACTGGTATCTGGTTAACATGTTAACAAAGTAATCTATATTTGAAAAAAAATCAATGTTTGTATCATTAATTCAAGGTCACCATTAAGGTGATAAATTTCAGTCTTTTAAAAGTTGTTTGATCCAACTCCTGTTCAAAAGGTCAAAGAAATTCAGATGCAAATTCTATGTCAATATTAGCTGACAATTATACAGTAAAATGGAAATCTAACGTTTCCATACTTTATTTGTCACGTAGGTCGATAAATGGCAGCTAAAAAGCTGATGTGGACCTACAAAACTAAAGAGTGTCTACAAAATTTAAATAATAACAATAACAAGTAGCGAAATTATGGTAAGTAAGAAAGGATGTAAGACCTAGTAATATAATATACAGTTGATTTACAGTAGTAATAAAAAGTAATAAAATAAATAAAAGTAGTAAAATAGCTTTAATATATGTAATTTACAACGTCTTTATTTAGTCCCTGTAAACCATTAAATGTTATTTTATCTAAAATGTCGGATTTTGCTTTGAGAGCAGATTTGAAAAAAACAATGTTCGGTTTGCTCTTCAAGTACACGGGTAAGTTGTTCCATAGAACAGACGCATGGTGAGAAAAAGAAGATCGACGGAAGTCACTTTTAGGGCGTTGCACGAATAGCTTCAGATTGTCCCTTAGATTTCTCAACGGAGAGTGTTTAGTAAACAAAGAGCTTATAGCAGCCGGAGCTCTATTGTAAAATGCCTGATAGGATATAGTGGCAATCCTCTTTTTATAGAAATATGATAAGGACTTCCATTTTGTCGCTGCCAGAACTTCAGTATTGGGGGTAGATTCCTTTAGGTTAAAATTAAATCTCGCGGCTCCAATGTGAATGTCTTCCAGTGTCTGAAGTGACTTAGAAGATCCCCATAATGCAATAGAATACGCAATACTTGGAATGATACCTTTGAAATAAATTGACTCTAAGAGGCGATTGTCGAGTCCTTTTAGGTGTTTGAGTTTCTTCACTCTTGCCGAAAAACGTTTGCTCAAAGATTTTATATGTGGCGACCAAGAGAGTTTATTATCGATAAGAATCCCTAAACATGTAGCTTTGGAAACAAATGACAACTCATTTTGCCCTAAACAAATTTTCTGTAGGGGTCCGATGAATCTTGATTTTGATAACAACATTAGTTCACTTTTTGCGGGATGAATAGTCATGAAGTTATCCTTAGCCCATTTGTTTAAGTCAACGATCGCTTTCTGTATCTTAAATAAAACTTCATCAACAGTATTTCCAATGCAAAAAACAGTAGTATCATCTGCAAACATTTCAACGGAAGCGTTCGTTGTGGCTCCGGGCAGATCATTTGAGTAAATGCTGTAAAGTCTAGGACCAAGTAAAGACCCTTGGGGTACACCCGTATCTATTTCCAACAATTCTGAGTTTGAACCATTTACGGTGACAAATTGTTTACGATTATCAAGATAATTTAAGAGCCAATCGTAAAAAGAGCCACTAATACCTATAGAGTGTAATTTATCCATAAGAACTGTGTGGTTGACGCAATCAAACGCTTTCCGAAAATCAATAAAGACTACGCCAATAATATTGCTTTCATCCAAGGCTAAACGCCATCGTTCTGTGACGGAAAGTAAGAGCAGCTCGGGTGAGCTTCCTTTTCTGAAGCCCCATTGATTTAAGGAGATCAGATTGTTGCTATATAAGAAGTTATCAAGTTGTTGGCTTACAACATTCTCCAATAGCTTGCCCGGAATGCTAAGAAGGGAAATAGGCCTGTAGTTTTCACAGTCGAGAGTATTCCCCTTCTTGTGAAGACATTTTACCTGTGCCTGTTTCCACTGGCTGGGGTTTTGCATTCCAAAATACTTCTTTGAGCCAGTGGCATAAAGCAATCCAAAAATGCGTCTCCAATAAGGTACAGCTCTTTGCTGGATATGTCATCAGGTCCACTCGCCTTGCCAGGTTTCAAACACCTTAGAGAAGATTTTAAAAGGTCTCTGTTAAGGGCTATGTTATAAAGAGAGGCACTGATTTTTCTTGCGGACTGACAAGGAGAGTTTACTGAAGAATCTTGTGTTGATTTCGAGAGGGATTTTCCAACATTGACAAAAAAGGAATTTAAAGTGTTGGCCTTTGATGTATCGTCTGCGTGAATAACTCCGGAACTATCTTTAATCGGTCCGATATTTGTAGCTGTTTGTTTTCCCTCGAAAGATCTTACTGTCTTCCAAAAATCTCGAGCAGAGGTTGTCTCATTAAATTTTGTTAGCCAATAACTTGATTCCGCTAATCTAAGGAGTTTGGTGCATTTATTTCTTGCCTTCTTGTAATCTATCCAGGCTTGTGAGCCCTTCGGTGTTTTCTGTGCTTTAAGGAGTAATTTGTAGCGTTTGTTCAGCTCTTTACGTATGGAAGAGTTCATCCAGGGTAGGCCCCCTCTTCTTATCTTTACTCGTCGAGCATGAAGGTGAGATTTCATAATGTCCTTGTATAAATACTCCCAAGCCCAAGTAGCATCGTCCAGATTGTGAAAGACATTGCAGATACTCCATGGGGCTGCAGCAAAGTCCGTTCTTAATGAGTCTAGATCTACTTTTTTATAATCGTAGACTGTTTTGAGCGTTGGTTTCAGACGTTTTCTTTTGAGATTTACGATTGCATATATTAAGTGGTGATCTGAGATTCCTAAATCACAAACACCCTGGTGAGAAATTTTGAGGTGTCAGAGTTTGTCGCGCAACTAATTTGTAAATTAATTTTTCGTGCCGCTTTGCGGCATCAGTGATTTTTTTTCAGTTCAACTACCACTAAATTTTAAAATTGTCACATAACCCGCACCTTTAATGCCAACAGTTTGGGTAAACGACCGGAAATTACGGTATTTGTAATTAATTAATCAGTGATTGAGTCAGTTTACCTGGTTTGCTAGGAGTAAAATTAACTGTTGCATTTGACAGGTATTTCCAAGCATTTGCATCATTATCAATTAACCCTTTCATTCTCAAGATCTCATCAGTAATTCTCCTTATTATCTGCCATACAATTCTCTTGATGTTAGTTCTGCCAATTTGGTATTGGATCAACCATTGATCCCATAATTGATATTTTTCTCTTTTCTCGTCACTTATTTGCTTGATTTTGGATTGATATTGTAAGGAGAAATTCTACCTTGGTCACTAATGGGAGTTTAAAGGTTAACAGTACTTCTATTATTCATTCTTTCATGGAAAACTTACTCCATGGCATTTAACACATTTGAGATCCTGAAGAACAAATGCCATAGACTGCTTTTGCACCATGTCAATCAACTGACTCTCAATGAAATCCATGTTGTATTCACTGCCACACTCTAGATTTGCACATCTGCAACATGCACTGCAAAAGGTAAAGAAGGAAAAAAAAATGGCATTTCTGGGATAAGTGTTGAGAACAGGTTGGCAAAATAGTCACCAGTTACTTACGGATTGTTTCCTTCTGCTGCGGTTATGAAGGGATCACGGCAGAGGTCCAGGTCACGGCAAGAGTTACAGGACAAGCAAATCACCTGTTAGGGAAAATATGCAACATTTATATCATGGTGTCAAAGATGATGTTTATAATGTTGCTGCAGAAGAAGCTATTATACCTCTGGAAGGACCAATGATGAACAAGGATCTCTAAACGTTGCCTCTGAAGAAAATTCTCCAACAGCAAGGAGCCTCAGCAGGTCTCGTCTGGGGAAGAACACAGAAAGCAAACAATTGAAACCTTATAAAATCTAAGAAAAATTTGGGTCAATTTGAGTTCCATTAATTCTAGGCGGCTTCTTAATTTCCCTGAACCATAATTTAACATAATGAAGGGATTCAGAAATTCCATTGGTATACTTTGAGTTTCTGTTAGTCCCTTCCAGTATTTTCCCTTTATGACTGGCCTTGTGGTATAACTTTGGTTTTCATCAAAATTTTCTCTCAAACAAGGGCAAGGATTTTTGTTCTTAATGGTAATTCATACCTTAACTTGTTCACTTGATGCTGAGTGTTAGAGTCCAATGACAACACCTAAAGAAAAAATAAATAATTTCAATTCTGTTGAGGAAAAAAAAAAAAAACATTTTCCAGAAAACTTGATTATATTTCTAAAAATTTCAATTCTGTTGAGGAAAAAAAAAAACTATGGTGGATTAAAAAGTTGGGAGAACAAAGAGTTCTAGATTTGAGACAATGCGTTTTGTTCTTGGAAAAAATACTTTACTCTCACAGTGGTCTCTCCACCCAGTAGTATAAATGGGTACAAGAAAATTGTCTGGGAAGCCTGATGAGATGATGGGGATCACTTTGTGATAGACAATCATTACATCCAGGGAGGGGTACTGATACTCTTGGACTCTTCATGCTAAGAAAACAGGGACATGCTCTTCCTGGGTGGGCCACTTGGTAATAAAGTGATTTAGATAAATGAAGCAGCAGGTCTTACTTTGCAAATGAACTTCACAAACTCCAAAGCAGGATTGTTTAGTGGAAGATGGGATCCAGGCAGAAGTGGAAATTCTGCACTAGGATCTACATTTGAAGATCTGTCACCAGACAATGCATGTTGTATCTTCTGTGTCACACTGAAATAAACAGATATTTATGTAATAATTACAGAATAAGCCTCAAAAAGGTCCCAAGACAGAGAAATACACAGGCTTTTTGAAACAGGGTCAAGGTGTCAAGGCCTTGGTGGCAAATCTACCTCACCCTCCCTTCCCCCCTTCCTCCTGAAATATTGTGATGAGGCTTGGTAAAGGCACTTCAGGATCACAGTGTGTCTCTCAAATAAGGAGACCAACATTCTACTATTTCATAAAATTGTAGGAAGTCACTGTGAAATGAGTTTCTCATGAATTAATGATAAAGCAATACAATCAGTAGCATACATCTTGTAACTTAAAAGGTTTACTACCAAGAACCATGTCAGAAGGATACTTACTTAAAGAGAGTTTGAGTTAGTTCTCCAGAGATCCTCTCCTGTGCAAATGTTACAAGGCTGGGTGTGGCTGATGTGTCAGCAACTATCTGTTGGAGAACAGTAAATCAAAAGGCAAAGTGAGGTTTTCCTCATAATCCTTTTATTTATCTTTACCAAAAGGCTGGGCTAAACTAAGATGATTGAGAGCTAAACCTGTGATTGGGAACTTGTTCTTTTCTTGATTGGAGTACTGCCAGGTTCAATGTGCCTTCTTTCTTCCAAGGAATGGGTGTACATTGCATGAATATGACTAGCAATGATAATCTAGAAAGAAACATCTGTTCAGAAACATTTCAAAGGAGAACATTAAATGGTCTATGCTCTGTGAGGTTTGTTTGTGATTATATATTGTCAGATTTGCTCATGTACCCATCAGCATTTATTTTTTTCTACATTGGAAAAGTCACTGATCAATTAAAGCATTTGGAATTTGGTTGCTCCTATTTGGCATTCCTTAAATCACTGTCATACTGACCCACATCCTAGGTGGATATTTGTGATACATTCTAGAACATGCTGCAGTCTTACAAAAGGCAAAATGTTAAAAGAAAGCAAAGACTTTGTTTTTGCAAACAACTGTCTACTGATTCTCCAGCACACTGGCTGGGTTTACAAACCAGTTACAGAGGTAGATCCAGGGGAGCTGTGCTGGGAATGCGCACCCCCTCCCCTGCGATGACCTGCAGCTTTCTTATATAATAAGTATCGCAAAAACTTTGTTTATGTCATCCTTTAGCTACATCATTCCTTAATGATGCTTCCCCTCCTCAAAAAAATCCTGGATCCCCCTCTGAGTTGCATGGTGAGAACATAAACCCACACCCCACAAGCATGGTAAAACACAACTCCAGGTTTATAAAAATTGGATTACTTACAATAGTGTCTCTGTCTATAGTACCCATGCTCACTGCTTGCAATTACTTAGTAACTCAATTCCTGATACTGACCTGAAAATAGCTCTGACAAGAAGCAGCTGAGGGAAGATACCTCTTCATGTTCCAATTCATTTCCACATTAGGCTGAAAAAAAGTTCAAAAACATAAGTAAATGAGCAATTCAGTCATTGTCAATTTACCACACATGAATTTTTCAAAATACCAAAATATGGCTCATATTTTGAATACCTGTTGTAGGTATAACTCACATGATGCTTTAATGAGTATTCTGTTCCAGAACATCACTACTTTTTTTCTAGAATTTATTTTCAATTGGCAATTGGCTGAAATGGCCCTACATCATGGAGCACTTGGGGTAACCAAAAAATTATATGAACAGCACTTAGAAAGTTGCTGATAGTTAACTGATCTGTAAGGTGAAACTGTCTTAGAAAAATTCTTCTCTAAACTTTAATTAAGGTTCAAAAATGCAACTCTGTATTGTTCTACTTCAGTCTTCAGACAGTATTAGCTTAAAGAGAAGGCACTTTAAAACAGCTATTCTATCAAGGAAAAGAATTGAAAAGTGTAAGCATAAAATAATTGGTGATAATGCTTCAAATTGATTGGCCAATAATGCTATGGAACATTTTAAAGGAGGATACAGCAAAAAAATTAAATTAATACCAACAAAAATAATTTTAACATAAAAAATAGGTTTTGTTTACTTCATTGTCATCATTAGGAGTGGCCATAAATTCATCAGTACTGTTCTCCAGATCCTCCATGTTTTCCACAACCTCCTCTTCATCAATCTCCTTGGGAAGCTTCCCTCTCACGCCACCATGGTTTGCCTGAGAAACAAAATAAAGTTGTTGTGTCTCAAGCAAATAACAGCACATATTACCACAGCTTATCTTGGATTATTGCATGCAGAATTATTATAACATATACTGCTTGGCAACACTCCAGCATTTTGTACAGTTTTCCAGACAGTTTGCTGGCACTCTTTTTAACTGTTTACACTCTAGCATCAGTATGCATATTCTCCTTACTGTTCTGTAAACATTTCCTAGGGTGATGACAATGAGAATTTGTTTAACAATCAAGACCTTCTTGAGTCTCTTTTATCATTGAGACCTTAATGCATGTTTTGGGGGTGATATTGTAAGGAGAATTTAGATGCTAGTCACCCTTTGAGCTAAAAGGTTTAAGGAATAAGAAAGTCCAATTACCTGATCCATCCACATTAGATACTCCCAGCAAGATTCTGGTTTTATTTCAATACTGTGGAACAAGTCTTTTCTGCGAATACTATTGAGAATGAAATCCACGTATGCCTTGGCATCAGCAACACTGCAGGATAAGAATGAAAATGGCATGCACTTCAGGTTACTGTTCAGTGGTAGGTTACATGTTACTAGCCTTGAAACCCATTGCTTCCACAGTATTTAAATTTAATTTGTTAATACTTCCTTATAAATCACCATGTGAATGTTGTGTCTTTTAAATTTGTTACAAATTGTTGGCTACGCCCCTCCAATCAACCAGGACTTTGTCAGGTTTCCAGGACAAATCAACCATACCCACTTAAACTCCAGAGGAAAGAAAGGTACAGCAAGAGGTAACTGTCTAATCCAAGAAGACAAAGCCATCACCCAGCCAGACTTTAACCTGGATTTCAATCTAGAGTTTGCACACACATCTCCTACATCAATGTTAGGCCAAGATAAACTAGAAGAAGGAACCTGCTTGTAGTACTGTACCTTCTCTTCTTTGTGCAAATGATTATTCTGCTAAGGTTTGCAAACACTATGGTAGAACCAAGACGCTTGAATTCTGCAATAAGCTGATAAAAACAGCAACCACAAATTTTAGAGCATGGAATTAAAATAAAAAGGGAGAGGTCTGGAGATGGCTGGTTTCAAGACTGGAAGACATATCGGGGGGTGGGGAGGGGAACTGACATGCAGTGTATTAATTCAGGATTTCTAATCTAATTAGAGAGGACCTTCCATTACTCCTTGAGTACTTATTTCTTACTGGGGAGTCCTACACACTAGTATTCAGACCACTTCATAAAGCAAAGTGGGAAGGTACAAAAGAGGATGGTGCCAGATATCATGGTAACTGTTTGTCTTCTGAAAAAGTGTTAGTTATGAACTGAGGGGGGAAGGGGAGGGGGAAGGTTTACAAACCTTCATATATAACTTCTTTGTCATTCTTTGCACCATTCTACATAAAGCTAGATCATGGGGGGGGGGAAGGTTTACAAACCTGCATGTATAACTTCTTCATCATTCTTTGCACCATTCTACATAAAGCTAGATCATGGGGGGGGAAAGGTTTACAAACCTGCATGTATAACTTCTTCATCATTCTTTGCACCATTCTACACAAAGCTGGATCATAAAGAAGAGCTGAAGGTGACGCCAACCACCTGAGTAAGAGAATAGAATGCAAGTTATTGTAAATGGATTAAATTGAAACAAAGCAAACCCAGAAAAAAAGTTTGAAAAGTAACAAGGCAAGGCAAAAGGTAATATAACCACTCTCAAGATTAATGACTCTAGAACACTGGAGGTTATGTCACCTCATCTAGTTTCCAGTAAAGTGGTACCTGTTTCTCTTACCAAATTGGATACTAGCTGTTTAAAGGGGCACCCTCTTCCTCCCACCCCTATGCAGGTAGTCAGGTTTTCTGACTGGGAGAGAGGCACTATTACCACAATGCAATTGCTGAGCCAAGTACTCAAACCCAGACCTTTTATCTTATATGCAGGATGTTAACCATTAACCCTTTACACCCTAAGATCAATAGCCACATTCTCCATACTTTTCTCTATACATTTCCTGAGGTGCTGACTAGTAGAATTTGCTCCACAATCAAGAGCACCTTTAGTTTGCGATCATTTCCCTCATTCTCGTAACCTCAATGTTTGATTCAGAGGTGATACTGTAAGGAGAAACCAGATGCTAGTCACTCTTATGGGTCAAATGATCAAGATGCCCCATTTTCCACAGCAAGGTTGTCAGCTTAAACCACAGAAATCAGCAGTCTCCCACAATTGAGCAGTTTGCTTTATTATTGTATACTGTGTCTTCTTTCTCATAACCATACCTGTAAAAATGCATCAACTGCGCATCTGCATTTAGATTTCCATAGGTAGACACTTCATGCAACCAGCTGTGAACCATACCCTTGAGGATTCTGCAACAAACAACATGCCTTGGCCAATTAGGGATGTAACCTAATTTCTCTCTTTGTAATTGTACTATAGAACTTTTGAAAGAATTGGTTACTTACTAATTCTACAACAAAGAATGTGCCTCACTTTGTCAGGTGCTTATTACTGGTAGTATGAACATTAAGGGGCAATATAACCACTCATCACCATGAGGTGACGACGGCAACCATGAAGCATAAATTAGGGCTACACAGTTGCCTGGTTCTTAAAAATTTTGATTAAACCAAAGAGGTTTTAAGAAGTTCTTTATGTCTGTTCTTATTCAATGGTTATGTGCAACAGCTTGTGGTATTGCTTTCAGTGAAATTGTATTACCTGCACTATTATTATGTCACGTGGTTGTTACTAACCTAAAAGCACTGGAGCACAGAGCAGCTTCATCATAGGTTGTCAAACTGGAGGCTGCACTAGACCCTCCTTGTACTAACTCTTCCAAAGAAGCCTACAATCAAAAACCAAAGTTATTGGTTGTTCCTTGTGGTTACTCCCCTATATGTTGCTATAAAGATAGGAGCTACCCCAAGGGGGTGGTTTTTGAGCTTTGTTTGTTTGCAATTGGGAGTAGTTTTTACCACTGTGGTCTTAAATCTGGTTTAATTATTAAGGGATCTACAGGTTTCCTATGTCTTTTTTGTGCTGGTTAGTAGGGGATACCCACACACTTGTTGCAAAGAGTAAGAAACATCTAGCTCTTGCTGTTTTGGCCCAGCCTTGTTTCTGAAAATTCCAAAAATTGGGGGCAAAATTGTAGACTGCTCAAAGCAGACTGCCCAAGGTCTCCTGCAAAGTGTTGTAAAGTGCTCTAGAGACGTGGAGATTGTACAATATAAATGCATCATTTTCACTATTGGTCAAGAGAAAAAGAGAAATTATTTTAATCATAGTAGAGTATTGTCACCTGTGGCATACTGTCAAAGCTGATTCCAGTTGCAGAGCCTCCTTCAAAGTCATTGATGTGTGCAGACTGAAAACAATCATGACAAAAGACCAATTCTGTTAACTTTAACTCTTTGACCTGATGAACACACCTTTTCCCTATAATTTACATACATTGTCCAACAAACATGTAATGAGAATACTCAAACTCATCAGGTAGTTGTTACCTTGATCTAACACCTAATTCTCATAAATACTTTGAAGGAAAATTTGTAGGAGCTCAGATGAGAATTAAGAATAAGATCCTGGGAGTTAAAGGATTAAGCAATAGTGCCATCAAGAATAGTCAACCAAGTAAAAATATTAAAAAAAACAACAACAACAGCAATGGATACATGCATATTGCTACCTTTGCTTGAAAACAACTCAAGACTTAAAATGATGTTGCTATTGATTGAAGTTACCACTCAAAGCTTTAACAGCCCCCCTTCAACTAACTCCTGAATAGCAGCAGTGAGGGCAAGCTTGAATGTATATTTTGTCGACATTTACCTGCAATACTGTGTTCACTGCAAAACAGTCAATTGAGAGCTCCACACAAACTGTGGGATAACACCCTGGGCTATTCACTTCAATGTTTCCTCCTTCTTCAGAAACAACACTTAGTCTATTGGTTGAAAAATGAAAACAATCAACATAAAATTATTGAAAATAATAAGCACAATGACAACATTACATGCATAGGGTTCTCAATAGAAGGAAGGTAATACTGATGGCTCAAGAGCTGATCAAAATTTGATTCACATTCTTAAAAATATTACGTTGTTATAAGAATGACCACAATTAAGTTGACAGACCTGTTATCATCATCCTCCTTGCCGCCCAGATCAGGTCTGTCTGTTGGTGACATCCACAACAAGTGATTGTGTTTCTGAAGGTGACGAGCATAGAAGAGGTCTGCAGCAAACAGAGTTGGGTCTGATGGGACATTTCCCACTGGGACATGAAAGTATTGAGCTAGTTCAAGCTGAGCCTGGTGGTAAGATTGAAATGGATTCAGGGACAAGTCTTTGTTTATCACCTGCAGGAGGGTTTGGAGGATTTTGGTTGTGTCACTATAAAATTGATTTGATCCCCCATGTCAAGACCCTGTTAAATTCTAATGACTGTAAGTTCACTGACAGTCAATCTTCTATAGTCTACAATTTATACTCTGTTGACAATGACTGATTACCTCTCTATTCCCCCCCTGGGAAACCATGTGATACTTTCAGAATCCTCTTTTCCCCCTCCCCAAAGTAATAAATAATGAATGATCCCTTGGCACTTGAAGAAATCAAAGATGAAACAGTAAAATTACTTCAACTTACATTTAATCAAGTCAATTTCTCTTAACCCTTTTGTGTTTATTAAAAGGTAACTCCTTAAATATTTATAAAACTTCAGAAATAGATTATGGTCCTGGAAATTAATATGCCCCTTGGAGGCTAATCAGAGTATTTACATAAACTGATGAAGCTGACGCTAATGAGCTCACTCATGTCTTTTACACAATTTAAATAAATTTCATTCATGGAAATAATGATGTATGCATGTATCATTCTATTCTGGAAGCCCTAAACAGTTTTCCTCTCTCTATATCCATCTAAGTTCTGAATGAAATGATTACCGGTACTCACTGTTGTACCACTGAAATAGTCATTAAACTAGTGGAATGATTACATTTGCTATGGGGTTATATCCAAGAATCATGCCTGACCTGGAAAAACAATTCCACCTCAAGGAAATGCTGTACCATCCTTCTTGCAGCATGTCGCTGCCAGTCAAGAACATTGTGCTGTGCATTGCTGTCAAATAAAATCAACAGTCAGTCACACACCTTGACACATGCAGCTCATCCTGGTTTGAGAAGGAAACAGGCAGTATGGTTATACCCTGTGGATGAAATGCATGTTAGTCCCCTCCCCTCTGAAGTGTGTCATCAGGTTGTCCTGACAGACCTGGCTAAGTGGTTTGGATAAGTGGATAAGTCAGTTACAACACCTGTATACTATTTTAAATGCTAGGAAACAAGAAATAATGAGAGAAAACTAGACACAGCAAATGCACATTGTTTTACAAGTGTGTGTCCTTTTTAACCTGAAATATTTTGTACCTAAATCACCCCATACAACTGATACCTCACTTTTGTAAAACATGAGGAGCCTGTAGCTCACATAATTAAGCCTCTTGGTTTCCCTATGGGTTGCCTTACCTCATGCTAACTCTTCAGTTATATCATACTGATGTATATGTAATTGCTTTTTTTATTTCTACTGATGAATCATAATTACAAAATGGCAAAAAAAAAAAAAGAATGATGAACTGACCAGTTCATGGACCATTGAGTTTGGACAAAGGGAGAAAGTTTCCAGAGAAAAAGTGGCACTGCGTCAATGGGGAGTATAACAAGATACTTTGGTTTTATGAACTGAGGTTTTGTGTAAATTGGTTACCATGAAGAGTTTCTTTAGCAATTTAGGGGAGTATAACAAGATTCATGCTCAAACATCAACTTTGGTTTTAAACCCCCAACCCCTAAATAGACTGTTGCCCAGGTACTGATATTGATCTGGAAACTCTTCTCAGTGGCCAATTTTCATTTTCAACTCAGTTGATAAAACAAATTATCATGTTCCATTTGAAGTCCATGGGCTGGTTGTTTGAAAGGCATTTGATGTTAATCCAAGATAAACCTTCAAAATTGTTTTAGAGTTAATTTTTCATGGGGATTTGACATGGTGTTTCTGGAGTCTGAAGTAATCAAAATAGAACAGTCAGTCTATGTGAATGTATAAGGCCATGAAATGAAGATTCTTTACTGGTTAATCATGTTTACAACGACAGAAAGCAAGAATTTGAGGCATACAGAGTAAATACTTCTGTATTAATTACATTACCTGTCACTGTATGGAAGACACACAAGAGGAAACTCTTGAAGACTAGGAATAGATGATGTAAGATGACTGAGGTCTACAACAGAACAAAAAGAAATGCTTTTCCAGATCAGCCTGCAATATGCTTTCATTTTCAGCGGGAAATTCCTCCCGATTTAGATCAACATAATTAGCACCAGAATATAAAATTTTCATCTAGTGTACTTTCATATAATACACCGAAACACACAAGCACTTTGATTGGTTCTAACTTATGATCTAATGAAGGACAGACCCATAGATGATGTTACCATTAACAATATTTTGCTTTCTTTAAATCATAAAACAAATAGATTCCACGGAGCTGTGGCTAACAACTGTGAATAACAAGAAGTATCATACCCCAAGGTGACTGCACCAAAATCATTGTGGGTCCTCGCTTCTCCTCTTTGTAGGCCATAAGAAATCTCTGAATTGCCCTGTAGGTCTGTAAAGATACCACGTATTACAAACCCAAATTTAAAAGAACTATGAAGAAAAATAGACAATGATTTTATAAAAATACTTGCTCTTACTGGGTTAAATATTTGGCATGCTGGATTGCCTCACCTAAATTAAACTGGTTACTACCATATTAAGAACTTTTTCCCAGGCAAAATTCCAGACAATTCAGAATCAATCTTTAAATAATCTAAGGTGCTTAGGTAATTTGTACCTGTCTAGAGTCAGTATCAACTCTGACATCAAATGTAAGATTGTCTGGAGGATAAATACTTTCATCTCCTTGATCCCTTTCAAGCCTGCAAATAAAATATCCATAAAATTTAATCTTGTATCCTCTTAATAATTTGCTTAAGACAAAACTTTAGTTGCTTCAAGCAGTCTATCAAGTCTTATTGAGCCAAACTGCATTTAAGTGGTATACACTTTATGGCCAAATGTCGTGTAGATGACAAAATGGCATTAATTCAGCTATGAAGTACATGTATATACCATTTAAACTACCCAGCTTAATCATCTCATTCTGGGGTTGGCAACATGAAGACTCATGAAGACTTGTGTGTTAATTCTGCCCTGAAATTAAAGTTTTAACCCTTCACACCCTGAAATCAGTATGCATATTCTCCATACTGTTCTCTACATATTTCCAAAGTTGTCGACAAGGAGAATTTGTTTCACAATCAAGAGCTTCTTTAGTTGGTGATCATTTCCTTAATTCTCATTACCTTAATGTTTGATTCAGGGGTGATACTGTGGGGAGAAAGTAGATGCCAGTCACTTTTAGGGGTTAAAGGGTTAAAAAATAAAATTTTGTCTTAGACAAGGATGAGAATAAAAATTACAAGATCTTCTTTAGTATTTCTACAAAAAAGAAGGCAGGAGCTCCTCGTCTCCTTTGTTACATATATTTCCTCCTTCATTTCAATTAATATCTAACTGCAATCTTAAGATACCTTGCATTTCTTTCTGCTTGGTACAAAGAAGACAAGTTTGGCATCTGGTTATTTCTCACCAAATCTAAAACAAACACAGAAGCCTGAAAAACAAGAGTTGGCTTTTAGAATTTTTTTTTTATATCAAAGAGACCTAAAGAAAATAGTTTTTCATCTCTACAAGTTAACCCTTTCCACCCTACCATCAGTATGCATATTCTCCCTACTGTTCTCTAAACATTTCCTTAGGTGCTGACAAGGAGAATTTGTTTAACAATCAAAAGCTTCTTTAGTTGGTAGTCATTTCCTTTATTCTCATGACCTTAATGTTTGATTTGGGGGTGATCATGTAAGAAAAAATTGAATTTTAGTCACTCTTATGGGTCAAAAGGTAAGTAAAACATTGATTGTATCTCAAAAATGATCCTTTTCACATCCTGACAACAATAATTTCAACAGTTTTCACACAGTTACTGAGCAAGCAATCCATGCAGTCTTTGCAACTTTCACTAAAAGGACTCACAGTGAAAACAAGCATTGATACCAAACTTATAGTCCACAAAAAAATTTTACTGATTTGCTGATGCATTAAATCATACCTTGTGTAAAGCTGGAATGAAGACTGCAAATATGACTCGACTGTCTCTATAAGAGAAAGATACAAATTAATTTTATTTGCTGAAGCCCACCATAATGATAGTCATAATAAAAATAACTGTATTTAGAGCAGATTTGTCATTCAAAATATTACATGTACATCTGGAATGAAATTCTCCCTGGCATAAAGACAAACTGATAAAATTCACAAGTGCCAATTGAACTTGCAAAGGAGTGTGTCACAAACCAGAAAAGAATTGCTTGCTTCCCATATGACATGAACGGAAGAACAGAAACATTAAGGTAGTAATGAAATCGTTCTTACAAAGAGCTGTGGTAGAAATAGATTTTCTTCAGATTCACATTTTCCATGTAGGAACACTCAGCAAGAGTCTTGAACTCCAGTTGGTCCAGCTCAAATGTATCCAGATCCTGAAAGACAGATAATTCATAATTGTGAGGGGTTTACAGTTATGTTCAAGAATATTAACTTCCTACTAAGGTAGTGGTAGTACAGACCCTGCTGTGCTGGGTCTGTACAAAAGCGACTTAGGGCCAATATTATTCAGTATGGCTGCAGCTTAGACACCTACTGAAGACTGACCTTGTTTTGTTGTTGCTGTTATTGTTTGACCTGTGAACCTTTTTGTGAAGATGGTCTGTATGCCAACATCCCAAACCAATTTGCATGTTTGGATTTACCTCACAACTACTTTGCCATATAATAATCTAGAATATTCTGCCACCACTATTCACCTCCATTTGGTGAATAATACTAACCGTTCCATTAAACAGCCTTGCAAAGATCTTGTTCACTTTACAGACACATCCAAGTTTAATTATTGCTCTTATCAGCAAGGGAACCTAAAAATTAAGTGATCAACATAAAATAAGTTCACAGATTGACAATAAAGCACATAATATATACCAATTGTTAACAAGTTAGGGTTAATGTTGGGTTAGGGAAGGGGTGCGTGCCCAGTTGCTCTGATAGAATCAACCCTCAGACTGGTGAACCACAAACAGCCAATCCCTCAAGAAATAAGGTAAGTGGTGAGGGAACAGCAAACCCTTATCGACTAAGGTCTTCTAATACATGAAATGAAAACCTTGATATTACGTGAAACATGAAAAGAAAAAAGAAAAAAGACAAAGTGCTGATGCTTAAATGCTATATCAAGCCACCTGTACAATGGCAGTTGCAAAATGGTGCCTCTCATGACATTTTTGGACATCATTGATGCTGCTGGACACTCAATAGGATAATAGTCTAGCTGTATTAAAATAATGCAACAAGCAAAAATTGTCCATTCAAACCTGTGATTCATAAATTCCTTCAATGTCAGGGGATGATAAATCTGTGGCCAGTTCACTGAAAAAATAATGAAAAAATAAAAACAATAAAAAATATCAACACATTGATGTTACTGAATACTGAGAGGTTCCATGATCAAGGCATCAATGGCAAAGTTCAACACTTAAACTTGCTGGAACATTAAGTTTTCTTGGAGGAACACTTTTGAGAGTCTGTTTACTTACCTTGAATGATCTCTAAAAATTTTTTCAGGAACAGTGTACTCATAGAGGTTAAGCACTGGATGAGAGTGTGGCAATGTCCGGGAAACTTTCCTCCATGCTGAAAGGATGTACATATAAACTTTTCGTTGGCAAAAGCTCCAGTAATTTTTATAAAGGTTTATACAACCTAGCTTTTGTGTGCTGAACCCTGGGATGAATTTTTGCCATAAATGGTTTATTTACAGCCTAACTTTAATTGGGCTTTGTGAAAGTTTGTTGAAATGCTAGGGTGTGAAGGTTACCTAAGATGGACTGGCATCCTATCAAGTGGAAGAAGCAATGTGCTAATTATAATAATAACTTCATGCTACTTTTTTTCCTTTACATTAGTTCTTCTTGCACCAATTTCAGGATGAATTAGAATTTGGAATGATGGTTTTAAAGGAGGGAGTTACAAGTAAATCAGAGATCCAAGCAAAAAACTATTTGAACAACGAGAAGAACCCACCAAAAACTCAACCCACATATCATATCAGGTGTGGGCAGCTTATCTGAGCCACTACAGAGGGAGGTAAGTGCTGTGTGGCACAGAATGGTCTTAGCTTGTTGCAGCTTTTTTCATCAAATCTAATTGTGCATCATTCACTAACACCACAGTAATGTCCCAACTACTTTAGATTAAGATGGGAAATTTAAGGTAACATCTTTATCTATAGACATAAAGTCCACATTGTTAGTGATACTGTCTTGTTGCTGTTGTTGTTGAAGCCATAAGAAAAGTTGTGTGAGAAATGAAATACACTGAACTTACTTGTCCCAGCTCCTTCTTTTGGGGTGTGGCAATTTACATAAAAAATCCTTGGCACATTAACTTTGATTGTATGGAGGTCTGTACCTACTACAGCCCAAACCTTGAATGTCCCTGGATCATCAGTTTCAGCCAACTAAAATATAGAATAAAACAAAAGCACTTCAGTTACTGCTTATTCAAGCTACAGTAGATCCATTAGGTAAATGTAAAACCGAAAAAAGGGACTAAAACAATATTTTCATCTTGAGATGTCAAACACAAACCCTCACCTGTATTATTTGCCAAGGAGTATCTACAAGAGACCTAGCTTGCTGTCTCATAAATGTTGACAGCCCAGTGGATGGGCCACGCCCAACAGCCAGTGTGCTCATACCCATAGAATCAGCTTCCTTACGCAGACGTTTCCTCTCAGCACGTTGCTTGGCCTGGAATTCCCATTTTTTCTTTTGAAATTGCACCCATTTCTCCTTGTCTTCCTAAAAAGGTGTATTGATCAAATCACATCATAAGGTGAATCATAAGAGAAAGTGATGTAATACGATACAAGCTCACCTAATTTACACCTAGTTTGCAGCACCAAGTGGTTTTGAGTGGTTTCAAACAAGTGAAAACGGTTTTAAACAAATGAAAATCAGATCAATGACTTGATCAATCAGTCAAACTTAATTGCTCAAAAAACAAATCATTCATAATTAATCAAAAATAATCAGACTTGACATTTGCAATGCACACTGAATCACTGAAAATCAGAGCTGAGGGGCACAGAATCTACAGTACACTGAGTTACACACCTGACACTTTAAGACAAACTGTCCTTAGTTCTGCTGAACTACTGGTAACTAGAAAAGACTTAATAAGTTGCCCAAAATTATGACCCTGAGTGACTTTTAATGAATTACCAAATTCTTCATGCATTTCTCAAGGAATGGATAACTTTATAGAAGAACTTAGCAATCCATCAAAAGTTGCTTGGGACTTTTTTCCATGCTATCCCTCAGGTGCAAGTTTGAGTAGTTCACCTTGTTCGGTCCCCATTGTGGAGGTTCTCCTAAAACTTCTTTCCATGTTTGTGACAATGGTCCCTCAGTTTGCTTCGAGGAATTTTGATTTGCAATGTTGGAAAAACTACTGCCAAGAGTCATTTGTCCATGCTTCCTCTTGGTGGCCACAGGTATACCAGTTGGTGATTTTCCTTTCCCAGCTATATCCTCTATATCCAAGGATTGGCTAGTGGGAGGACTGTGATTCTCTTGATTGGAGATGTCATCCTGTAGCTAAATGGAAATCAAAGGAGAACAAATATTTCTTAAGTCTTGTGACCAGTTTATTAAGGAAAGAGAGTGTGTAATATATCAACCAAGTTACAGATCCAAAGAATTCTGAGGTTCCATCTCTCAAAAGGACTAAAATTTTTTTTCTTTGTCTCACACTTGAGACAAGGCAAAAAAACACACCTTTCGTTATTTCATTACTAAAAATTAACTATCTTTCCTGCTCCTTTGACAAATTATGCACAGGATTGCACACAATTGATAGCCATTGCTGAAATATTGTTTAAATATCTGTTGATAGTCAATCAGTTGGTTAACTGATGTTGGCCAGTACAGTTTTTAAATCAATCAACCATGAACAGAGGGATTGTCATTCAACACATGATCCCACTGGTTTTAGTCTTGTTTATTTTATGTTGTTTGCTCTTTCTTTCATTTGTTAAAAAAAGGATAAAATTTCCACCTTCTTTTTTGGAAGTGGTGCAAACATGGCATTGATCTTCTGTTGTTTAAAAACATCATTTCTTTCTAATAGTCTTTTGTGCAGCCAGTCTGGATGGGAGCAACGAGGAACAGGGTTGCTGACCTAAACAAAGGTAAAAAGTGAGAATACTGTACTTTAACAATAATTTAATTGAAGAATCCTAATGATCATTAGAGAGAAACCCTCTTTCAATGTATTTACCATACAAAACAAAATTGTCTTTTATTTCTCATTTATTCTTGAAAATGTAACAAAAAGTGAAAGTAGAAAGGAAAACCTCATTAGATTAATTATATGATGGGTCAATTGTGTTAAATCATGATAAGGAATGGTTACTGTATGAGATTGTAGAGGCACTGTTTGTTGCAAGCTATATAAAAGTTGTTGAAAATATTTGCCAGCTAAAAGAAATCCCCATTTTTAAGAAGAAAGTGAAGCAGATTTTAAATCATACAGCTTACATCCATAAATTTTTTGCAAAACCATGCTTTAACCCTTTAACTTCGGTGAGAGACCAAGACAGAATTCCTCCTTACTATATCTATACAATATCACGCAGACAAGTGATGAGAATAAAGAAAAATATCAATTACGGGATTACTAATTGATGCGATACCAAATTCTTCAAACTAACATAATGAGAATCGTTTGGCAGACAGTAAGGAGAATTACTAATGAGATCTTGGGAGTTAAAGGGTTCACAAAAATGTTAATGAAAATGAATACTTCTGAAGATTAGTCAGGCTACATTGATAGGCAATGTTGATTTGCTGATTATCAAAGTTAAAATAATTTTGCCCTTGAAGTAGAAGTAAATAATTTTTCCTCTTGCCTGAGCCAAAATTCAGAGAAACAATAATTATCCTTTCAAATTTACCAGCAGGTCATGATCATTATCAAGTTAAAGGTAACATCATCACATATTTAAACAACTGTGAAAACTTAGTCATACCCCTTGCAGTGCGGCTGGGATGGTGATGATCTTCTGAATACAACTGTTAAGCCGCTCAATGTAATACTGCCAATCTAAGATATCTCTGATGTCAAAGCTGCTCATGGAAGCATCCTTCAGCCAACGTCGTAGATAATGTTTCTTCACACCATCCTCTGTTTGAAAGATTGCCAAGGGTATGGCTCTCTCAGTCACTGGTGATCCTTCTGGCTTTCTTGAAATAATAAACCGGCAGCTGAGACCTTTGTCTTTGACCATCTGATCACCAAGAAATTCCGACAGTCTCTTCGCTGTACTGATTGAGGTTGATTTCTGTCCTTCATAATCTTCAAGCTTTCTAGACATGCTGCGGTTCTCACAGATAAGTTCGAAGAGTTCACTGTCAGGCATATTTGTTGCCTTAAAGAAGAAAATTAGCATAGGTACTGAGTTGATAAATCTCTCCGTAGCAGGGTTAAAATCTTCAATTCTGTACTGCCACAGCCAAGAGCTTTAAAAACATAATTAACTACATAGACTCCTAAAAGGATTGGGAGAAGGAGAAAAATTTTAACATTTATCAATAATTTATATCAACAGTTCAGCCTATGATGGACACTTTAAGCTTAAGTAATTTACATGAATTCACCTCACATACAAAGACATTAAGCAAATTAGCTCAAACATTGTATTAATATTGTGAAGAGAATTTCATTTTTTTGGCAGGAATAATGGGGTTACCACACCTTGCTGTAGAGAACATCAAGCCAGTAGTTTGCAACTTGAGCCACAGCAGCATAAACTTCTTCTAGAGTTTTCCCATGAAGGAAAGCCTCAAAAACAGAGGACTGGAAAATCTTGACCAGTTGTAATTCACCACGTCGCTTAACTTCAAATCCTTTCAATTCTGCCAAGGAGCCATCATCATTGAACACTGCATATCTGATAGGAAATAATTGTGTAACCATTTTAATTAAAAATGAATGTATATACAGATCAAAATACACATAATAAGTGTTTAATCAAGGGTTCAAGTTGGAAGAGTAGTGCCACTATATCAACATCTTCAACTGCAAATATTGTAAGTATCACTCGCAAAATGATGGTAATTTTGATCCTTTACTCCCTAATATCAGTGGGGAAATTCTCCATACATTTCCTTCATTAGGAGAAGAATAATTAGGAGAATTTGTTTAACAATCAAGGGATTTTATAAGGTGGTGATCATTACCTTTCTTCTTGTGACCTTTGTGTGTGATTCATGTGTGATATTGTAAGGAGAAATTGGATGTTAGTCACTTAAAAGGGTCAAAAGGTCAACCTGGTGAAGTTCTGCAAGATGATCATTTTAGTTCAATACAGTACTTAGTATTCTTTAGTTTTCAAAACAGATGCAATGCAACACCAACTGACTCCTTCAATCTTGTATTCTCCAGGGTACACAAAAATGCTGTACAACACTAATTCACACTTTTACCTTTTTTTTAATTTCTTTCCTTCCTCTTTTGAGGCAGGAAGAATCATTGCCTTGTAGGGACCATCAACCTGACAATAAAGAAATTATATCAATTTCAGTTCCCTTTCCCATTATCAATGAAATGTAATTCTCCTAGTCTAAACTATTATACATACTGCTGATTAAGAGGGGCTAACTTACAATTTTCTACAAAACAGATGAGTCAAATTTTGTAAACATCAATTAAATTTCAAACACTTTCTCTTTTAAAGATTGTAAATATCACAACTACAACATTTATAAGCTAAGGAAAATTCATTCGATAGCATTTAGTACTCATACTGTGCAGAGGTGTACCTCAAAAAAGATGGAGTTTTCACTTCTTGTTTCGTAGGTCAGATTCTCTGCATCTGTAAGTTCATGGTACTGATCATTGGTGTAGTGGTTCTGAAAGGAAAAAACGGCAAGGTAACAAAATCTTTTAAGAAACTACAAGTTTGAACAGCAATTTATCACATGTCTTTACGAATGAATCAAGACCAACATACTAAATACCTTAACCATGATGTTCAACATAGCTCCAGGGTATGAAATTGCCACTTTACTCTTCTTTGGGTTAGATGTAGTTATCTGTGAGTCAAATATTTGATCAATTATTTCTCAGTTAATATGCAAACTGTGATTGGTCAATTTGGTGGGTCATATTCTCTTGGTCAAGTTTAGAAAAATTAAAGCCAATAAATAAATCTTCACCTGGAAGTTTTCGGGGAAACTTGCTGGCAGAACACACCAGATTCCATCAGTGTCTAGTTCTAGAGGACGTCTAATAAACAGAAGCCACTAATGAATTAGTAATCAATAAAGGATACCTTTTTAATATTGTCACTTTAAATTTTGAGTGCACAGTAAAATGTAAAGGTTGTATTTCTTCTTTTTAGCTGCTGTCTTAGAGAATTAGATACATTGTGATCATGCACCAAGCTAGATACAATGGTCAGATTTTAAGGCCTTGCTATAAAACAGTCTGTCTTTTTTCCACAACAAAGAGGTTGTAGTAATTTGTTTTAAGAGTTATCTAACTGCATGAGCTCACCCAATTTGTTCCACAATTTCTCTAGCTTGTCTGATAATATTGGCGCCTGTGTGACAAACAATGCCAGCCATCTCCATTGAATACCATCGAGCCCTGAAAACAACAGGTAATGCGAGAGTTACTGGTAGAGGAAAAAATTGACAAATATTTTATGAGGGCAAGATTTGATGATAGTTCTTGAGGAGGAAGTAAGATTCAAGTATAACTCATTGAAGTAATTCAATTGTTTCTGTATACATTGGGCAGTCCTTCAAAACATAAAAACAAGATAGCCCTATGTTTCAATTTTATTATTTTGTATAAAACCACACGGTGTGGGGCTGCACATAGCCCATCATGAAATAGACAGAATAGAATAGTAAGGTAGCTAATCATATTGTAGCATGTTTCAATACAAGGCTGGTTCACAAAGATTTCTACTAGAAATAAAAAAGCTATATTCAGGGCAATTATTTGAAATTCAAGCTAAAAGGAGGGGCACTTATTGGAAGGAGAGCTCTTAAATAGAAAAAAAACACTGCAACATTATCCATGACGACATAAAATCTGTATGGAGATAGAAATAACTTTTCTCACCCTTTCCTCATGACATAACCATAAAAAGAATTCAAGATACACTTGTGGGCCAGCTGAAGAGAATCGTACAAAACCTCTTTGCTTTTACAACTGAAAAATGAGGGAAAATAACCATGATATCCTTAAAATCAATAAAATCAGTTAAAATCAAAGGGAATGTTTGTAGTAAGATAACTGTAGTTTTTAAACATCAACTATACCTCAAAGTAGAGAGTCATCTATTGTCAGTCAAACCTACCAACAACAGTTCTTCTCAGACAATTAGACTGCACAATCACATGTTATTCCCCCCCCAAAGGTTCAAACCATGATCTGTCTAACAAACTTGTCTTAAAAAATTACCACTGTCTTCATTTCTGTTTGTTGTCAAAATTTGATGGGTTTAGCTGACTGTAGGAGTCTTTGCATTCAAGATTTCCACACCTTTAAGAAAATTTCATTACCTTTTGATTTCTTCAGGATCACCACTTTGCATAGCAGCACCAAGTTTTCGTTTCCAAGCCTTTGAAGAAAACAATGTATTGCGTCCATTGTTTGATTCAGAGGGAAAGCTTATGTTTAAACCCATGTGATTCTTAGTCATCCTTTCACTCTCAGAAGTGAACAAAAAAAGAAATTTCTCCTTACATTATCAATGTATTCTTGTATCAGAGAGAGAGAAAATCAACTTCCAGACATTTATATTTCAACTAAAATCATGTCAGATGTACACAGGAGACAGTGCAGAAAATATGTATTTTGATCTTAAGAGTGAAAGGGCAAGAATAGCCCAAGCTGTGAACAACTAAAATCATTCATTGTGATCTGTAAAAATCATCATAAAAATTTGTCCTATTCATCAAGATTCCACTCGTTATTGGAGGTGTGGGTTGGTATCACACTCCTGACACCATATGATGTTACTGGACCACAAAACAGACAGTTTACAGCAAGTTAATTTAGCATTATCAACTCAGTTGAAAATGTAAATTTGCAAGCATTAGCCCTTTGTCATTTGCTCTGACTACTGGCTCAGGCTACTAGGAAGTATCATTTCTTCACACAACAATCACTGCCTTAATTAAGACTTGATGGTTACTGTACAAGACTAATAGATATCAGAAAAGAATCAAACTGTTGTAGTGAACTATTGTGATCTCTCAGGGTTATTAATATACCTTAAGAAGCCCTTTGAATTCATAACGCCTGTCACGGAAAGCTCGCACAGTGTCCACGTAAAATGAATTCTCTCGTTGGCAAATCATGGTATTTCTGATTTCTTGCTTGCTTACACGCACTCTCTTGTAAGCTTTGTGGCAGTAATCTGAAAACAGACATGGAACAAGTTAGGAAAGAACTTACATTAACTGTAAAAAACATGAACTGGCTGAAATCAGCATTGACTCATAGCCTGATCTCTAACACTAATCAATTCCCCACTCAATCAAGATTTAAATGCACAAACCCTTTTCATACCACTAAATCTTGATCCTAAAATGACATCACTTTTATTGGCACTGCACATCTTACCTTGCAATCTCTTTTTTTCCATCTGAGCTTGCTCAGCAAGGGTTAGAGAATGGAAAGATCTTGTGGGATCACCTGGATTAACACCAGGAATCTTTTCTACTTCAAGCTGCTGTTTGATGGTTTGATATTCATTACGAGTTGCTGGCACTGATAGGAAAAAATTCACATGTAAGGAGTTCAAGAAATGAAGTGGATGCAATACAAAAGAAAATAGCCACCCAAGTGAGTGGGTGTGGTTTTGGTCAAAGAGTGCAGTCTAGTTTGATTTATTGGGTGGGCTTCCTGTGGAAAAGCCCAAGTCTAAAATTATTCTGTGGTTGTATCTTCCTACAACTGATCTCTGGGTATCAGCCTTTCATGATCTGTTCTCAGACCTTTTGTGTAGTACTATAGGTACTATGCAGTGCCCTTTTTAGGCCTCTTTTTGAAATCTCCTTTTTTCCTATGTGCTGAATTTTTCTTCAATTCATCTCCTCTGATGTATTTGAATTTTGTTTTCAGAATGTATTATTTGCAAATGTGTGACTACAGGTTTCCTTTTTTTAATGATTTAAATTAAAGATATGCTGTAGAAAATTCCACAAATTTTATTTTGGGGGGAGAACCACATGATGCACTCTTGTGTACTAAAGTGGATCCACCCTTACCAAACTAAGTGATATGGGACATATATGACCCATATATGGGTCTGATGTGGGAAAATCTATGGGCCATATATGGATTTCATAGGGTTTTGATATGGGACACTATGCACCATATGTTGCCATATACTGCCTCTCTATTGTCTTTTCTATGGGAATGATACGTATTTCATAAAAATCCAGCTGCAAATGTTGACATGACTCTAGCTTTTCTCATGTTTCACATCAGATTATAAACAACTTAGATCTGTCAGACATAAAAAAAGTGAGCAAAGGGGTAAAGGTAGGGCAGTAATTGGTTGTTGGATAAAAACTGGGAAAAACCCCTTTTTCTGAAATAAAAATTAACTTCTTACTAAAATCGCCTCTCCAAGTCCAGTTCATGACTCGCTGACATTTTGCTCCTGGTTTGTTGAAGTCACATGCAGCACAAGTTGCCTCATCAACCATAGCAGATGGCTACAATAGTGCAACAAGAACAACAAAAACATCATAAGCAGAGCAGGGGTGAGAAAATTGTTGTGGAAACGTTGTACTACAAAATATCATGTCTTCTTCAAATGACATTCAGGGGCAAATTTTTACAGGTTTTGACAACAATGCATGACCCTTCATCCTGATTTTTAAAAGTTGTTACCTGGAGTCTGTTGGTAAGGATAATGTTAGGGTACATGGCACCCACATCAAGATGATAGATCAAAGGGTTCTCCAGTCTTGCAGGTGTGTCTCGCAAACTTGCCAACTTGTCTTTGATCTCGGAACAAACCTTTCAGGACCAAAAATCAAATATTGATACTATATCTAAATATTGATACTGTATCTAAATATCATTTAGTGATCATCTACTTTAGTCTCATGACCATACTGTTTGATTCAGGGGTGATATCGCATGGAGAAATTAGGTATATTGTAGGGAGAACTTAGATCCTAATCACTCAAGGATCAAAGGGTTAAATGAAAGCAAAAAGGAAGCTGGGGTATCTTAAAGGCACACTAACAACCAGGGCCATGTCATCCTAATGATGGAGACAACAGCCAACTGCTACAAGCTGTGTAATGCAGTTTAATCAGATCATGTGTACTCAAGGTATCTGTCAGCTGAGTATTGACCGATACTATCATTTGAAATGATGGCCAAGTGTCAGTTGATATATCTATGCTGATGGAGAGAGGATAAGCTCCAAAAGCTGCCATTTGAAATACATGCAGGCATTAAAGGTCAAGAACAGATGATTGGCCACCAAAAATCTCTTTTAAGGAATTGGAGAAAATATGCCAGTATTTGAGTAGAGAAGATAGCACTCAGTAACAAGAGCCAACCAAGGCACATTGTTGACCAAGTGACTGTAAAGTATTGGCCCCAGTCAACATGTTGTCCAATGGTAGTGACAAATACTTGACTGACTCATACCTTACATACACACAGTCCATCAATTTTGCTATTAAGCATGCAGTTTTCTAATTTTACTCTCCTTTGGATAACTTAGTCCTGGTAACATTTCCTATCCAATCTATGGAACAATATTGAATTTTACAGGATATACTAACCTCATCAAAATTTGTAACAATATCCATAGGAATATTTTCTTCTTCAACAATTGCATGTCGCATTGTGCTTTCCACATTATTGATAAGTTTTTGGAATGCATCAGGAACCTATAACATAAATGGAAGGGACTGAAGTAAGTCTCACGGTTGGAGCACCATATTTCCTTGAATAAACACCTGGGCACTTAACTAAAAATTGGCTAAAAGGAGGGGTTTTCATTGCAAGGAGAGGGCTAAATTGCAGGAGGTGCTTAATAAGAAACTATTAATCTGTACTTGAAGCCTAAAAAGTTATACACAAAGTGGCAATGGAAACAGGTTTTCCTTGTATCTCTTCTATTGAAGAAAGGAAGGAAGGAGGGGGGGGATGCTTATGTGGGAGGAGTGCTTGTTTGATATTGTGGCCCAAGGGATGGGTGGTTATTTGGAGAAGAGTGCATATTACAGCATAGACACTTAGTTGATTAAATAGGGTATGTTAATATTCTAGGTCATGAAGGGATAACCAGGTGAGATTATTCATAGAGAGACAGTATTAGCATAATTATATAGATGCCTTAGATCATATGCACCCTTGGTAACCCTTATTTCATAATATGTATTGGCTAATGCATTGGTCAATAAATCCGTCTAGAATGCTTCCTGATACTCCAGCAATAGTCTCATGTCAGTAATCAGCTGATGGTTAACCAACACCTCAAACAGTCAGGTGACATCTGAAGCAAAATAGCAGTCGACTATTGCTCAACAAAAATGGTTTAAATGACTGCCCCACCTAACATGACCTTCACCACTCGTTCCCTGACACTTACCAATCGAAATCTACAAGGGATGTCACTTCTGAATACTCCTGACTCAAGAGCTTCTACATGACCTCCTACGTACGTCTCAGAGTCAAGCACATGGCCATCACTTGTCAGCTTATTAAACACCTGAAAAAATGCAAAGGGCTTCTAGTTTCAATGTCATAAGAACACAGCATGAGTAATTGTGATAGCCAACTGGAAAAAGGAAATAACATGTGCCATTAGGAGCCAAACTGCCTGAAGCAAAGCAAAATACAGGTGACCAACATGACAGAACCCTGACCTGCTCTTGCTTGTTAGGATATATGATGTTTGCATGGAAGGCTTGCACCATTAACAGGGCTTCACACAATGTTCCTGATCCTTTCCTGAGAACCTACAAGGCGTGTTATAATAGTGAGCTGACACAAACCTGTAAACGTAGCTAGGGAATGTGGCTTTACAAAGTGTACAATGTCCACATTTGTTTACTGTGTCCATGTTCTTCATTCTCTCTTTGTGCTTTCTTGCCTACCCAAACTTTTGCATTTCCTTTTGCATAACGACTCTTAATATCAGACAAATTCATGAATTAAATTGTAGAAGCTATAGAGACTTAAAACAGGGTTTGACCCCTGATTCTAGAAGAGACTGCAATAGCCCATCTTATAGTTGCGTGCTTGGTTGCCAAGCCTTTGAACAGGAGTGAGGCTAATGTTGACCTTGTTACGCTACAAAATGTTGCTGCTTTTCAAAAGTAAAATACTCTGTTATCATGCTAACTAGATACTGGTCTCCATCACAACATGGTCACCTTCAGCTTCACTCCAAATCAAAGGCTTGGCAACTAAGTACACAACTGTAAAATTGATTATTTAGGATCTAAACAGTTAAAACTAATTTAAGCTCATTCCAATGAGATCTTGTCTGTGTTTCTGTGCCTTGAAGGCACTGGGAGTAACACTCCTAATTTTCCTTGGAGTAGTTTCAACTCCACCAACTTAAATTTTATACCACACAAGAGAGTTTGACATGACTTATACCCACCTCATCTGCCTCCATGGGAATAATGGTGCACAGTGCAAAGATAAATGGATGGACATATTTCATGTAAAGGTAGTAAGTTGCAACTGCATCAGAAACTGAGTAATTTGCCAATTCCTGGTTGAGAGAAATGTTAACATTCAGTTAGACATTTTAACCCAGCATGTTGAGAAAAAATAACAAAGTCTAGAAGTACAGGGTAACATTGTTCAGATCACATGGTGACCACCATGTTTTGAAGGTTTTTCTCCCTGTCTTCTGGTTTTCTTCCCCCCATTGCAACTAACATTCCAAATTCTAATCTGACTCGAAGACACTGAACAAAGAGCCCCCCCCAGTGGAAATGCTGCTCCTATTAAATTTATTTGTTCATTAATTTATTCAGGCTTTGTGTTGATTGCAGTATGTCTTATAATACTGGGTTAGATATGCATAATAGGGTCCAAATCATGTGTTCTGGAGTGAATAAAGTTTTGCTTTTTGTGGATCACTTTCTCTCTCTGGCTTACATATCTCATAAGTGGCATTTTCTTTCATTTCATCTAGTTTCCTTTATTCAAATGTTATTGTTTTCCTTTCAGTCAAACAAGATTGTACAAGTCAGATGAAACAGATTATACAGATATTGAGTTGAGTATATTTCTTCAGTTTGGATGCCTGGCAGCAAGTTTAAAACATTTCTTACCTGAGGTTGCTCACTGGCCATGCGGCACATCTCTTCAGGATCCAGTTCAATGGGATCATATCGCAGCTTAGCCTGCGGGTAAAGAAAAAGACAATTCAGTCAACAACATGAATGATAACTGAAGACTGAACACAGGTCTCATTACCGAGAAAGAATTAAAATACACTCCTTTCAATTGCGCCCACAGATTTCAAGGAAAATGTCCTTCTGTGAACCCCTTAACTCCCAGAAGTGATTAACATGAAACTTCTCCTTATAATATCCATACATTATCCAACAAACAGGTAATGAGAAAACTAAAATTAATCAGGTAGAAGTTGTCATCTTGATCTAACACTAAATTATCATAACTAATTTACAAAGAAATGTGTAGCAGCTAGAGAGGAGAATTAACAATCAGATCTTTGGAGTTAAAGGGTTAAGCCTTTTTTCTTTTAACCACCTTGTGGAAGTTTATATTAAGAAAAAGATGAGAGATGAAATGAGTATGAATAAATGATGAGTCTAAATAAATATAACTTAAGGGAGTAACATCTCTCAATCAGTTCAGCCAAAGATTTACAACTTCTGATTTCCAAGTTGTTTCATTCTTTTTTTTATTCTTTGTTCTACATTTTCTTTTCTTTATCTCACTGTACCTTTATTTTTTAGACTTCTTCACCCTTTAACTCCCAAGATCTGATTGTTAATTCTCCCCTCTAGCTGCTACACATTTCCTTATAAATTAGTTGCAAGAATTTGGTGTTAGATCAAGAAAACAAATTCTACCTGATACATTTGAATACTCTCATTACCAGTTTGCTAAATAGTGGACAGATATTGTAGGGAGAAGTTACATGTGAATCACTTCTGGGAGTTGTAGGGTTAGAGATAAATTGCACTGTTGCATACCACAAAAAAAGGCTTAAATTGTTCTGATGCAGCACTAATTAGTAGGGCGAAAAAAATGAATTAACTGAAAAAAAAATTAAATGAAAAAAATATATTTTTCTCTCCATACTTTGGTAGTAGCCTTCAAGTTTTGACTTCCGACAGGGAGGTAGCTGTCTCTTTTAACCCATCTAAAGAAAACAGCAAATGACATAAACGACAAGTTCGAGAAACCACATTTTCAACCTTTTTTTAAGTATATTCAAGCAAATTCCAAAGATGAGATTCATTCACACATCTAAACTTGTCACTGGAAATTATGCATTCAATACCACTCAAACTGGGAAATGGCTGCTGTAAAAATTTCTGAGATGGTATGGCTTTTGGTATCAGCACCTGTGACAGACGGGTTTGAAAGTTACGGCCTAAGATGGTCAACTGGCTGGCCATTTTGGCCTTCTAACAGCTCTTGTTGACAGTTCTGCCATTATGATTTCATCAACTTTCCTTCATTGACAGTTCATTAGTACCCATTTATACTCATGGGTAGAGGGAGGTGCCATGAGAGTAAGTGTCTTATCCCAAAACAAAAAAACAACAATTGTACTATTGAGGGCTTAAACTCAGACCCCTTCTCACCAATTGAGGTAAACACTTAGCCACAAAATTATAGAGATTTGGTCCATAAAGAAAAATGGATTGTCAAAAGATAATTATCAGACAAACCTGAAAGCATCCATGTGGATTGCCGCCCGACTTTTGTACTCTCCTTGTGCATCAGCAGAAAAACCTGAAAAGAGTGTATCACAAAGAAATTCACTCATCTTAACTTCCACTATCCATGAACTGAGGAATAGGTCAGGACAAATTTGAAACACATTATTAAATCATAAAGGACAGTCAAATGAAAGTCCTCCAAACCTCACTCAAACTGAAGTAGCTTTCTCCAAAAAGACTTTATCTTATTATTAACTCATGACTGACTGACTGTGCTCTGCATGTTATTAACTGTAAGTTGATAGAGGTAACTGTAAATTAGTCCTTTGTCAGAGAAAATAACTAAGTTACTGACTCACTAACTGACTGCCTGTTTATCGATGAAGCACTGACTTGTTTAAAAGTATAATTTCTCACCAATTTCATCAAACATGTTGATACCATGATATGTTGCACGGGCCTCAACAAATGGCCTGAAATACACATTGTTTTCAAAGTAAGTATTAACACAAGAAGAACAAGTCTTGGGAAATGCCTCAAACCTGCCCCATTTGGACCAGAAATGGCTTACATATCAAGAATGCCTCTATCCAGAACAACCACATCTACTCATAGATCAAGCAAGACATATCACAACCTTGGACTGTCCAGTTCAAAGCCTCATCCTATTTTCTTGAAGCATTCATTGAAGTGGAAATTACTAACAACTTGTATCTTAACTCCACTTGGTAAGCTCTTGTTGAAGAGCTGGAGGTTGAGGGTCCACGCCCCAGACCAGACCAACACTCAGGGTCCAAAATAATTGAGGAGAATATGCTGCCTTTGCTATAACATCCACAAATGGTTAGACATTCTAGTCTTCATAAGGATGAAAAACAGAAGGCCTTGTATCATGCATTTCCTTTGTGCTGGCTGGCAGGGGACATTAAACAACCCACACACTTCTCCCAAAGGGTAGGGAACCTAGCTCCCAGTGTTGTAGTCTGGTCTAGTCATTGTTTAAAGAGGCCCCCATTTAAACCACGCACTGGACATGAAAAGAAATCTCTTACCAATCAAAGGAATCACCATTGTAGGTTACAAATATATTTGGTTTCACTTCCAGGATATGCTCGAAAAAACGCTGGAGGAGGCTTAACTACCAAGAGAAGAATTGAAAAATAACTTTTCAAAAAAAATCAGCAATAATGTTTCAATATTCAGGCACAAAATCCATCTTACAGTAAAGTTTTGGGATCATGTGTACTGTAGGTGGCCTTGGTCAACATGTCAGCCAATATATCGGCTGATGTATCGGCCGACTGTCAAGGTACTTGTCGACCGACTATCAGTCGACTATCAGTCGACAGCCGACTGACTATCGGTCGATAGTCAACCGATATTTGACCGATACTTGAGCGATACTTGACCGATACTTCACTGGCAGTTAATTAATCGCTACATATCGGCTGTCAGTCGGTTTGATATATCGGTCAACTATTGGTCGACTATTGACCGACTATCGGGAACTGTTCGACCGATAGTCGACCGATACATTGGTCGACTGCTGGCCGATATGTTGAGGCCACCTATAGTACACATGATCCAAGTTTTGTAGACATCATCATGATGTTCCTACCTCATTGGGCTCGTTTATGACTGTGAAATGTCCTTCATATTCAGGTTTAGGCGTGTATTCAAAATCTTCAATGTCTTCTGAAACTATTTCTCTATTAATAATTAAGAAGCCCTATAACAAATAAAACAAGGCAGTTGATCAAGTAAGATCTGATTCCAACAGATAGAAAAGTAACAGACCACTGCCATACACTTGCACTTCCTAAACAGTTTGGAATGCAAAAAGAATAAAGGGGTGAGTTTCAAAAGAAACTTTGGTGCTGCATCCATGGGAGAGTGTAACAGGGTAATTAAGTATTATCAACTGAGTTGACAACATAAATTGGCCACCAAAATGGTTTAAAAGTAGACTCTTTGAGTGTTAGCCCTTCGCCATTCACTCTGACGAAGGGCTAATGCTTGAAACGTCAGCTTTAAAACCCTTTACAGTGGCCAGTTCAGTGGATAACACTTAATTACCCAGTTTGAAATGCAGTTCAGTTAAATTTAGTTAAATACCTGGCCATCAATCATGTAAGACACCATCATGATGGAGTCTGTGCTGGAATCAGGAAACTTAAGTGGCAGCTTTGTTGTCTCAATATCATATGCCAGTACAATTGGTTCCTGAAGAAAACCAGTTTCATATGAGAGGCTTTATTTTTTAAAACATCATTAAAAATCGATTCCCCAGTCCATGTCTTTGACAAAAAAAAAGGCAATAGTATTTGGCCTCACATAAAGAATCAGACTGGAAAGCAGATTTTGTGGACTACATTTCCTAAAAACCTTTACACCCTTATATCAGTGAGCATATTCTCTATACTGTTCTCTAAACATTTCCTAGGGTGCTGACAAGGAGAATTTGTTCAACAATCAAGAGCTTTTTAGGCAGTGATTTTGTAAGGGAAAGTTAAACACTGGTCACTCTTAAGGGTCAAAGGGTGAAATGAAATAATTAAGGAAATTTAATTTTATACTGTACATGGAAATCTATTTTCCTGGATAACTGTGTGATAAGCTATTTTGTGTGCTACATCTGTACATGATTATAGATAAAGAGCACACTGAAGGATGAAAAAAAAAAACTACTTACAGGTCTGTCAAGAAGATCCTCTCTTCTTCGTATTTCTGCATGAATTCCACCACGAACTTTCACATCATACCAGTGACCCTGTTTAATGACAAGAGGAAAGTTAAAAGAAAATAAAAGGGTTACACATTTGTCACAAGTGAGGAAGGGTGGGGCCCAAAAGGAAAATCCTCACTTTTTTCACAGGATTTGAAGCTTAGATGTTAGAATTACACTTTTTGGTTACAACAGTTTCAAAAAGTTGATTTTAGCAAGCATTCCTAGTCAGCAGTCATGCTCAAAAGAGCAGGCAAGTGTGGATCATTGTAAATCTGTGACTTCTCAAGCAGTTTGAGGTGTTCCTCCACAGTTTGTGGCAGTTGTTTGCAAGAATTCCACCAACAAAATTCCACTTAACCACTCCACCCCTAGCTTTTTTTTCTCTAACACTGATCTCATCAGAGTTGACAGGTGCCTAAAATAGGGGTCATGGTTGGGATACAAGAAATTGCTGACCATATAACCACCATTAACTGCTCCACCCATCCTATGCTTGAGTATTTAATATTTTATTTCTGATATTTTAACCAAGGTTTATTCACTCACCACAAAAATCCTGAGATCAATGGCCACTCTGACATGATAGGGTACATCATATTCCCTAATTTAAAAAAAATATTTTCAATGAATGAAAATGTTTTGTAAGCAGTGAGTCTCATAACCCTTCTATCCCATGATCTCATTAGGTGTGTTTCCTTAAACAAAGTTTGGATCTTCCATCAAACATTCCCAAAAGAAGTAGTCTTTGCAAATACATTTTGCTTAAAGAAAGATGTTTCTGGTCTTGTCACAAGCATTAGACAAAGAAAAAATTCTGAGTCACCATGCGGCCAGGAGGAATCAAACCTCAGACCTTTGGATTCTGCACTCTGATGCTCTACCACTGAGCCTCTGAGGTGAGCAAGACCATTTCAAAGTTCAAATATGACATAAGTCCAGCATATTGCTGGGATCAGCAATGTCGATAGAGCCATGTTCACATGTACAATAAGAGAGATGATAAACTTTGAGCTTGCTGAGCTTTTTAATGGCCTTGTTCATCATAGAGTTTCTGTGACTCAGTGGTAGAGCATCAGAGCACAGAATCCCAAGGTCTGAGGTTCCATTCCTCATGGGGACTCATGGGAATTTTTTCTCTGTTCCACGTTTCTAACAAGAGGAAAAATATCTCTTTATCTCTTCACCTAAATCAAAATTAACCATTTTTTCTTAATCTATTTACAAATATGTTTAGCTTAATGATAAAAAAGTGATTCTTCTCTTCATCTCATTTAGAGTCATGTACTTTATAAACAACTGACTGTGCCGATGACAAAATGGCCAAAATCCTCACATGAGTGCAAATATTTTTTTAAAAAATTTAGAAAAATTAGAAATATCTCCAAAGCAAGTTTTGACAAAAATACAAAAAAATTCAGTTGGTTTATTACCTGATGTCAATGATATTTGCCATTTGATCAGTACTTCTTCTGTTAGTTGCAATCATTTCTTCTTCATTCCAATCATTACCCATCACAATGTTGTATGCTGCATTTGTCTTAGCCTGTTCTTTGTTTTTCCTTACAGCTGGCATGATTTCCCTTGAATGGAGATAAAATTGAACATCTGTGAATAATACTGTGTAAAATAAAAACCTCTTATCAAAAATCTTACCTCTTCACTTTCATCAAGTCGTTAACAGTGAGAAATGACAGCTTAATGTAATTTCTTTTCAGCCCAACAAGGTGATTATTCTAGAGGGTAAAGAGATCACAATAATTCAGCTGAATCATTCATTAAGATCATAAGAACAAAGGAAATTATCACCAGCTGTAAGAAGCTTTGATCTTTAAACAAATTCTTATGTCAGTACCAAAGAAAATGTTAACAGAGGAGAGTATAGAGAACATGTATACTGATGTCAGGGTGTAGAGGGTCTTACCAGATCTAGATCTTCCTTTGCAACTGTTTCTATGCTTGCTATCAGTCCACCAAACTTTCTGTTCAAGAAAGTTGCCACTTCTCGATCAGTGTCCTAGCATTGGAGACAAAGTTAAGATTTAAAAGGGTTTTCAGTGAGGTAGATGATTTAAGTATTCTAGGTCTAAAAGAATAGATTCAAAAGTAGCCATATGAAAGGGCTGGACATGGATAAAACATTAACGGATCATAAAAGGACTAAAAGCCCACTCACTTTCTTTGCAAGGATGTAGAAGTAAGGCTTGTAGGGTAATGGTACCTGTCAAATGACAATAAAAGCATTGGTTCAGAGGACTGACCAACTGAGGCCCAGACATCATGCTTCTGCCATGCCAAACTGAATACAGGAATTAAGTTTGACAAAAGCACAGCAGAAGCACGGAATCTGAATCAAACTTTTTAACTAAGTTAGAGAGAATTGAGTTCAACCAGCTCTGCCGTGCTACATGACTCTGGCTCAAAAGTGATTCAGATGTGGTATCCCTGCCATGCCAAACAGAATTCATAAATTATACTAATGTACTTAAGTGGGATTGCATTACTGCAGGGGAGTCATAATAATAATAATAATAATAATAATAATAATTCTCCTTTACAAAATATGCACCAAGGGCTTTTCAGTAAAAGCTGAATTATGCACAATATTGGCCCATAGTCGCACCTAATTGCAATCAAGTTCTGCATGGCAGAAGCACAACATCTGAACTGGGCCTTAAACTTGCTCACTTGTGCACTAACCAACTTACTGACTCAAAAACTCATTGACACAGACTCATTGGCTCATATACTCACCCACTGACCTGCTGACTGACTGATTGAGCGATTGAGTAACCAAATGACTGACTGCCTGAGTGTAAATGACTGTGTAACTGACTAACTGTTTCTCTGCCTTTTTGACTCACTGATTGACTAACTGACCATTTTTGCATATGGCAGGGTTATCAGGACTATATACCATTTGAGTGTCTGATTGATGGACTGATTGACTGATTGCCTTAATTCACTGATGGATAGATTTATTTATTGGCAATAATGCAGATGAGACCAATAATAAAGGATTTTTGAGTACATTAATCCACACCAAAGGAAAAATTTGAATCTATGTTTACAATGCTATAGAAAGACTTGTGTATCAATGAATTTAAAGCTCCAACACCCCCCTTCCACAATTGCATTCAAATACTATACCCAACCACTGCATTTATGGTCAAATGCTCTCCCAGAGAACATATTTTTTTTACAAAATGGTGAGAAATAAAAGACATGGTGCATTAGCTTTTAGCACCCTTGTTGCCCTTTTTGCTTGCAAGCATTATATTATAATGATGTTGACCAGCACAGACAACAGTAAGATGCTCATGGGTTGCCTAAAATGGGGATAGGAGATGACAAAGCTGCAAATTGATCAGCGCATCATCAGATTTCATGGTACCCACCCTAAAGCGACCTCCATCATCTTGAATGAAGTAGAGGTCTACAGCACTTATTAGCTTCTTGTCATCATCAATTACTTCTGTCTACCAAAAAAAACAAAAAAAAAAAACAGGAGTAAATTTAGGATGAGCAACCATTTTTTGGGACATTTTTTGAAATACCCCCAGTTTCTTCCTTCTGACTTCACTGCTCTGTGAAATGCACTCATTTTGTTGTCACGTTTTCATTACAACTAACATTATCAACTTGAAGGTTTTCGGAAGGCAAACAAATCCTTACCATAAAGATCAAGGCAGGCTAGAAACGATGTTTCACAATTTCATTTCAAACTTGTCTACTAGTCAGTCAACTTAAGTCGAAAGAAAGTTTGATCACGTTGTACATGTACTTTAAAGTTATGACATTTTTCTATCGTGTCGTCTCTTGCTCTTGGGCAAATGTAATTATCTTGTTTAACTTACTGGATGCATGTTGATAAGCCATCCAAGTCGATCTATTGGCTCCTTGTAGCGATCAAATCCATACTTAACATCCAGCGTGTCATTTGTTTGAATCCTGAGGACCCTTGTTTCGGTCGAGCCACCGAAGTCATCAGGTCTAGAGAGTGATCAATCGTAGAAAGTAAAGTTATTTCAGTTTAGTGGATCTCTCGATCGTGAAAAACCGGCAGATACAAAGGTTAACTCACACATACTTCTGATCTGATCTTCGATCGAATGAAACTTTCACGATCCCTATGAGCTACAAAAGAGACAAACTTGAAATGTACAATTATGCCAAATCCAAGATGGAGAACTAACCTTGAACGCGAGCGTGAATTACTGCTATCCTCGCCATCGTCGGCATCTCCTTTCTTTCTTTTACCACTATTCAGAAGAACCATGTTTACGTTTTCAAATTTTGTTAGTGATCAACAAACATTACAGCTACAATCGCGAAAAATTTAGATGAACCCCTCAACGACATTTGAGGATCAGATTGAACTAATTGAGCGAAGTTGACGCATTTTGATAATTTGGCGGGAAACAAGACAGCGTATTGACCATGTACTTTTAGCATTTCCGCTGTGCACAAAGTAAGGTTTGTTTTTCGATTGGTCACGCAATTTGGAGACGTGCGTATTAACGTAACGTCAAAAGTCGGTCGCAGAAGTCAGAATAATGTAAGTTAAATTTTCGTTCTAGAAGGAAGAGAACTTTGTATGTGATCCTTACTTGAGTTCCCTCTTACGATCAGCCAAGAAATTACGATCTCTCAGGATGAATGGTCCAAAATTCCACGGCAATACTCCGGGAATGAACCCAAACGCCCACAAATTTATCGATGGATTCTCGTGTAAAGAGGCCATGGAGGATTCCCTAACATGTCTTACTGACAACAATTATGACAGTAGTAAGTGCGGAGACTACTACAAAGCGTACGAAGATTGCAAGAGGGAATGGTTGAGAGAGAAGAGAAAACAAAATAAAACAAACTTATAAACCGCTAGTTAACCGAAGGCTATCAACAATCAGTTAGAATTAAAGCCTTCTGAAGTACTTGGGAATTTCAAATTATAGTTTCCTTGGTCAAGAAAACACTTTCTCCAAGAGAACATCTGCCTCTCGCTGAAAAGATATGCGACAAAAGCAGGGTGAGTAATTTCGGTGACGAATGTTGGCCCTAACAAGAGCGTTGCGTGACTACCGAAGACTGCTGCATGATCACGTACTTTTGATACTTTTAGAAGTCACGCGACATTAACGTTCCGAGCTGCGCGCGACGAATGTAAAGCCGTTATGTTTCTCGTACGAGAATAAACCACGATTGCCGTACTTAACTTCACCAGGAGTGGATCAGAGGCTAGAAATACGGTATAAAACGTAGAAAAGATGTTGCCAGGATATTTTACGATTAATATATGTAAACAGTATATAATTGTCCAAATAAGTATGATAGGATCATGATGCGTAGTTCATCACTTACAGTCACTCTGTTTATACGTGTAGGAAATAGGAAATTCAATGTTGATTTAGTACTACAGAGTAAAAGAGTGAGATTGAAAAATGAAGACAAAAAAAAAAAAGCAAAAACACAAGATATCATGTGCGGTGACCCATCCAGGTATTGATTTTAGACATGGTCTGCCTGCGGATCTGTGGCATACCACGTAACAAATAAGTTAACACACTTTTAACGTTTTGTAGCCAATGATTAGCTGATGGAGTGATTTCACAAATTTTAAGGCCACAAGAATAAAGGAAACGATCACCAATTAAAGAGGCTCTTGATCGCCTAAACAATTCTCTTTGACAGCACTGTAGGAAATGTACAGAGAACAGTATGGAGAATATGCATACTGATGTTAGGGTGTAAACGATTCACGACTCAAGTTCTTTACTCATATTTATGCTAATAACTTTTTCCTTCAAGTTTTTTTTTGATAGAGTAACGACGATTTTTTCATCAATGGATGTTTCCTTTGAGCGGACATCTCAAAGGGGTTAACTTTTGATTTCCAATATTAATATTTTAGAGAAAATGACATATTTTAGATCATGTTCAGCTCACAAAGGAAATAAAATATACCTTCTTTGTCTCCAAACTGATTATCGATCAAACTCAGTTTTAACAATCCGTTATGATAGGTCAGATCAAAAGGGAAGAGATTTTAAAAGAGTTGAATAAGAAGCCAATAATAATACAAATTGTTGCCACGACAGACCGAAAAGTAATGTATACCATCATTGCGCGATTGGGTCTGAGATTAAACAGATAAAACAGTTTTTTTTTTTATCAAGTATTTATTAGTTTCTGCAGAGGCTTATAACTTAGTTTATATGCTTTAGGTTTCCACGAGTATTGGTTTCATATCAGTGTTGGTTTTGAACATCTCTTAAGGGCGGTTAAGTTTCATATTCGATTACTCACAATGTCCAGTAAAATAAACTCTATCTGAGATCATACCAACACTGGTAGTTTCACGTGTCTAGTTGCAAAAGCTATTTGAGGGAAAGAAAATAATAAGTCTTTTTTTTTTCTACGTTGTTTTTCTTAGCTGAGCCAGTGTCTTCTCCATTTGTTCATGGCTAACACTTCTTCTTGCCAAAATTTTCTATTTTCTTCAGATTCCTTGCGGACTCTTTCTAGCATCACTAAATGATCTTCCTCTGGAACCATTTTCTCTTCTTCTTTGGGTTCTTCTTCGCTATCGGCAGATTCCTCTGAAATGATAGAAAGGAAAAAAAATCTTGAAAAATGTTGCTAAGAAACGCAAAATTGGTGAGGGGAATTTCTGCGACGTTAAAATTTGGTAGGGGATGAGAGATTTTGTTTGGTAAGCTTAGAGTCCAATCCACATATTCAAAACCCGTCGTGTGGTCGACAAGAAAAATTCCATAATGCAAATTGAAACAGCCAAAGAGAAACCAGCTGTGTGAAAAATTCCATTTCTGGAAACGTTAAAGGTTGATCACACCATTAATTATGATTACTAACAGTCAAGAAAAAGGACAGGTGACGTCACCCGCGCAGGCGCAATATCAGCCACGTTGCAGGTTCACAATGAAATATTAATTGTTGGACATTTCGTGTTCAGGACGTGATCTTTATGCGCGGTGAGACGAACTTACGAGGATCGATCAGCCAAGGGAGAGATACGCCATGGGGAACACTCTGACAAGATTATTCAAACGGCTCTTTGGTAAAGAAGAAGTCCGAATATTAATGGTCGGACTAGATGCTGCGGGAAAAACGACGATTTTATATCAGCTGAAACTCGACGAACCTGTCACCACAATACCGACGATTGGATTCAACGTCGAGACAGTTGAATACAAAAACATAAGTTTTACTGTGTGGGATATCGGAGGGCAAGACAAAATTCGTGTTCTATGGAGGCTGTATTACCAAGAAACCCAGGGACTTATTTTTGTTGTAGATAGCAGCGATAGGAATCGTGTCGCGGAAGCGAAAAATGAGTTGTTCCGTCTTCTAGCCGAGGATGAACTTCAGGAAGCTGTTCTTTTGGTCTTTGCAAATAAGCAGGATTTACCCAACGCCATGTCCACTGCGGAGTTAAGCGATAAATTAGGGCTTCACAGTCTCAAAGGAAGAAACTGGTACATTCAGGCCACCTGTGCGCTTAAGGGAAAGGGTCTCTACGAGGGTTTGGAATGGCTTTCTCAACAGATTCGAGAACAACAAATCAAATTTACATAAAGGTGCTGGTTGGGGCTTTTTTCTCTAATAAAAGGAACCCGCTTTGAAGCTGTTCAACAACGGTTCGGGAGGAGAATAACCAAGAAACGATCTCGTCTCGGTGTTCAGAAATAATGGAAAGAAGGCCAAGATTCAGCTGGAAAGATGTTTGAATAGAGAGGAAAGAGGTGAATAACTGCCAGTGATCGCGTGGGAAATTCAATGAATCACAGTGCCAACACATCACAAAGAGGGTTATCACAAAGAGGGTCAGTTCATCTTTGTTTTCGTGCATCTAAAGAGCTCCAAGGCGTGTCAGTGTGGCTAAACAAAAACCTGCGACAATCAACACTCCAGGCTTGGAATTTTTTTACGTAAAGCTAGATCATTTATTTAAATGGAATCGTTTTTATTTATGATACAAGCCGAGTTATAAATATGTTTCCAATGGTCTAATTCACCAAAAATTGTGTAACTATACTTATGAATCTTTCTTACAAATTTTCCATTGTCTATCAACAGCTATGTCAACTAACAAAGTGGACTGTTCAAAACTAGAGTGTTAAAATGTTGGTCGGTAATAAAAGCTTCCCGGCAAGATAAAACGAATTCATGATTTAAGCTTTGATGTGAAATTCTCTGCTGGAAATATAAAAGAAAGTTGTTATGATATCCGTTTGTTGCCAGGATTCAGAATGAAGTGATAAGTATGTATTCGAATTATTATTCAGATTATAACTATTATTAATTTTGTTTATTCTGAAAATAAAATCACAATGGTAGGTAGTAGAGCGTCAGTTTTCCTTCTTGTTTAGTCAAACAGAACCCTTTATTGATATGCACAGGTCATTGGGTGCGCTGGTTTGGGCGATTGGTTACACCCGTAGACCAACACGCCAAGGAATAAATGTAACAAGGTGCTCACCAGCCTAATGGGATTATCGCAAGTGTTGGAAACTACTATGATCGGAGCAAATGTACATGCTTGGGTCTCATTCTAATATCAGATAGGTCTCCCGCTGTAGTTATGACGAAGAGTAAAATCCAAGAATTCTATCTTACTGCCAAAAAACTGAACGAGATACGCTCCGAAAGTTTTTTTGTATTTTGGTCACTTTTTGTGTCTGTAGATAAAATTGTTACTCTCTCGTGAATTTCCACCGGTACGTCTGATCTTTCTCACCAGCAACATCAGAAGGGAAAGGTTTTTTTTTTACCTATCATCCACGCAGTAAATACGACACTGAGTGCATTGGTGAGTGCTGGGTTCTAAATCGAGGCTGATTGCTTACTTTATCAAATTAATAAGATCAAAATAGAGGAACAAAACGGAGTTGTGCGATTTTTTCCAATCACCGAATAAAAGCAACGAGGCAACGAAAAAAAATTCCCACAATTTTTGTTTGTGTTAAGTTATATATTACTGTGGCAGGCTCTTGCAGCAGATGTTTTTGTTTTGTCTTCTTTAATTTTCAGTTTTCCTTTTAAAAAATGCAATGGACTGGAAAGACCTATTTCATCATAAAGGCAGGCGTGTATGCCATTCACTTGTGTGCATGCAAAGGAATATTCTTATGGTGCATGTAAATAAGCCTTCTCGTCCGTCCTTTCGAGTAGAAATTCTATCGATTTTGTACGTGTTGACGAGGCTAGGAAAGCTTTAATAAGATATTTTGGTTTTATCACCTGATTTGACAACATAAATTGGCCACCGTAAAGAGTTTCTAAGCTGACGTTTCGAGTGTTAGCTCTTCGTCAGAGCGAATGGTTATAGGAAGGCAATAATTTTGTTGTACTTAAGACAAAACAAATTAGGCCTGCCATTTATCAAAATGGGCCAACTGATCTGGAAAGAGTAGCAATACTTTAAAGTGCGTCATGCTTTGGAAACTTATGATATATAGATATGCTCCTTCCGAGCTGGGCTTCTTAGCCTGTAAAACCTTAGCCTGACTTGAAGAAAATCGACAGTAACTTCGTTCCCAGGGCCCCATTTTCCCTTGAAATGTGAAAAGAGCCTTGGGAACGAGATTGACTTTGTGAAGCCAAGTGGACGAGACGAGTTGGCTCTTTGGAAAGTTTCGTCATGTAGGACCTGATAACAATCCACGGATATATATAGATACGTAGTACTAAATGCAATGATAAGAACAACAATTTAACAAAAAAGAAAAAAAGCCAACAATAAACCTTTGGTATGGGACCGGTCATTATTTCATTATCGCTTGAAGCGGTCGAACTATTTTGGTTGTCACAGTTAAATTTACCTGATCTCCACCATAGACCCTGTAGTATTTTAATGATACCCCTCCTTGGTAGACGATTTTGTATAGTCTCCCCTTCTCTCTATACTCTGTTAGCGACGACTGATCCCCACTCCGTTCCCCTGAAAACCACGTGATTTCTTTCCCCCCCTTCCCCCCCAAATCCTCCGACCCCCATCTAGAGATAAATAATGACAGATCACTCTGAGCTCGGTATGAAAGACTTTGGAGCCTTACAGACGACGCAAAAGAGGCAAAAACAACCTCCAATCAACTTAATTGAAATAAAAATCAGTTTTAATTGGAAAAAAATTTTCCGCAAAAACAACAGTGAAGTGGCTATTGACCCCGGCTTGCTTACGGTGATCTTCAAAACGCGGAAGGTCTGGGCAGGGAGAAGTCAAATCACACCTTTCTCCCAGCTCACCTCGCATACCTGTGCCACGCACTTTTAAAAGAAGACTTTGTACGGGTGGACTGTGGACTCTTTTTCGAGTCTGATTAACCCTTTATTGGTATTTAAAACTGAACAAATTTGAAATTTTCTCACCTGGATTTTCCTCAGCTACAGGGCTCGCTTTTGCCTCCTCGATTTCTTTAATGCACTCGGCTTTATCATCCTCCGATTCGCACAAGTTTCTATTTTCCTCTTTGTGAAATAGAAAAAGAAGAAAAAGGGCAGGGTTATCAATTTTTTAAGTGAACACATCTCAGAATTAGTTATTACTGCAATTCTAAAAATGTATGGAAAACCTTGATCTGTAGTTCATTTTTTTAAAAAACAAAGCTTCCTTGATCTGTAAACTCAGATGTTTCTTTATAAGTAAGGTACGTACTTCCAAATACTGTCGATACTATGGCCTATTTATAGCCGCCTCCTAACCTATAAAAAAAATTGGGAAGGAGCCCTTTCCCGAATTGTTTGTTTGTTTTAAGGCTGGGGGCGCGGTACACAGGCTATCAGTTCCAGGATTTGTCACACAGCGATGACAGGTTACTGTCAAGAAATAAAAAATGTTTGTTTATTTTGGCACCAGCACCACATAATGTAAACTTAACGTGGCTATCCGTTTTAACGGGTTCTCCGCATTTTTTTCCTCGAGCACATTACGACAATGTGGTTCCAGAATCGTGAGAGTACCTTGTTATCAGAAATGCACCTTAACAAAAGAACATCTCCTACGAAGGTAAGTCTTCTTTCGTTAAAACATACTTTATTTACCTTTTTTTCTAAAATACTGCGACAATATGTAAAGCAACTGAATAGAGTTGAATTGAATTTAAAATGAGGTGATACGCAGGGAAGTTTGAAATTTAGGCACCATTTTAAACAGCATTTCTGTGGTGAACCTTCTCGGTAAAAACTCTTAAATTATTAGCCCCATTGATAAATGATCCATAACTAGGTACACCAACATTTCTCGTATTTCTTCCGTTCTTCTACACTGCACGCTTTTAGATTCCCTATCTTCACTTTAAATATAATCTAAATTAAAAGAGAAATCCCGAAGTTTGTGCACTTCTTACTAAACTTTGAAAAGCAATGGCCACGTATAAATTTTGACGATGCTTCACGCGAAATATATGATATGGTGATTTAATTCCTGGAAGCGCTAGCGGCCCAGGCTTTCAGGAAACTTGTATGGAATCTAGATTTTTTTTAGTTAGAGAACGGGAAAGAAAATAAGTCCTAAAATTAAAATTATACGCCATAAAAATTTCGTAAATTGTGTTCATGTTGCATATCTTTCTATCTGATCGACAATAGGGCCATTTAGTGTATACCACACAATTGAATTGTGCTTTTTGCGTGCGATGATTGGCTAATTCGGAAGTAAATAGCAAGTTCTATTCCCCTCCAAGCAAACGATCAGACAAAACCGCGCGTCAAGAGTTTAATTTCGGTATATTAAAAGAAATAAACTAATTTTTTGATATCTGTTTATTTGAATTCCACCTCAGTGTCGGTGAAAACGGTGAATATTTCCATCGCCGCTTTGTGACTCGGTTAATATTCACCCCTATTCACCTTCACTTCGGTGAATAACTGTTTATTATTTTGAAACTGGTTGAGCGAGATTTAGATTTTAAGTTACCATTGCTGAGTAGGAACTTAAACGTTTTTATGCCACTTCGAGTTAGTTTTGAACAGGCGACTCAAGAGGGTTTGAGAAGTCTACAGCTTTTTCCTTTTAGAAGCGTAAACCAAGATGGCAAGTTTTTTTAAAATTGTTAAAAAAATGCTTGAAAATGATCCTAAAGGCGATCCTAAATGGGTAAATTGAGTTTGCACAAGACGCAATATTAACATATGGAACACCAGTTATAATTTGGAATCTGCAAACGTAACCGAAAGACAGAATTTCAAGAAATTCTCCGCTTATTGCGATACATCGTCCTATAAATTTAAATGGTGGGTCCTACGGAACTTGGTCGCCTGTGCTTACGGTTGAAAAGTACTGTAAAACCTTGTTAAGTATGGTAGTGAAATACGTTCGCTTTTTTCATTGATCAGGCTAACAAAAACAAAGATATTCATTTTCGTGGTAAGCACCCTGTCTTCGTTTCACTTACCATTCAAAGCCGGCTTTCCGAAAACATCGATACAGGAGAGAAGCAAGACAAATGTAACAATGTGGAATGTTATACGTCCCATGGTCGTGAACGCAGGGAAAAGGGAACCGACTCCGCCGCAGAGCGGCAAACTTGTTGGAACATGGCGCTTAGCAACCACAGCGCTCCCAAAAGAATTTTCGGAATAAATGAAACCAAAGCTGCTGAAAATTAAAACAAGGGTGTCTTTTCGCTGTTTTGACAAGGTTGTGACTTTAAATATTTTCACAGAATCGTGTCGCAAGTGGGATCGCTTTAATGAAAATTTTCGATTCGAACAATCCCGGTGATCAATCGAGTCAAAAGCTGTTCGTTTGCTGTCGGATGACAAAGTCTTCTTCAAAGTAAAGCAACAGAGGAGTCAAATTTGACTAAGTGCGACTTTATTTTTTCCAAAGCATCTCTGGGCGGGCTGCATTCCTCTTCTTCTAATCTGATTGGCTAAATACGCGTTCTTAATCGAAGGACCCACACAAGACCTCGGACGCAGTTTCCCATCAACGAATCTCGCGCTCGGTAAATAACAACTATGTCTTCCTTCTTTTGCTTTATGTTTGTTTATTTGATTTCCACTTTTCGTTTTTTTTTTTGGGTTGTTTTTCTTTAACTGTGCCATTGCAGCACGGCAAGATTACAGGTAGCCCCTCTGTCCTGGCGTAATCTCCCATGCGGATTCATCAGAAATCAAGCAAATTATGAAATTCCAGGGAAAAATCTCACGCACGGACAACAATATTCTGGTAGAGGATTGGATCATATAAAATCCGCTCCCCCCCCCCCTTCAAAAAGAAATAGACGTCACAAAACTCACAAGCTGATAACAAATTTTGGGATAAATTGTTTTTTACCCCAAAACTTGTATCTTGTGTACTTCAGGTATCTCAGGTCGCTATATCGACCGATAGACGACTGATGTGACAGTCGATCGATAGCAATCCACGGTTCGTCGATTGCTCGATAGTGATCGGTCGCCTGTATTTTACGATCGGTCGCCCGTATTTTACGATCGGTCGCCCATATTTACGATCGACAAAACGAAATCCATTGCAGTAAAAATATGAAGTTTCCAAGGTCACCTTGGATGGCGAGATCGAATAAGAGCGAAGAGGAACTGATAACATCAGGTTATAAACAGTTATTGGATCAGATTTTTGTGATATCCAGAGTAATGTAGGTCTTGGTTGGGGTATTGCACTGTACGCTTTCGGCCAATCAGAAAACGGATAGTGAGCTGAATGGTTAATAATACTCCGGAAATTCGTGGGCACACCGCTCTTCAACTCGTCACGTGCATATGATATGAATATTTAATCAGTCCAGGAATTGTTCAAAGCTAATTTTATTTGGCAACTTTAATGTCAACAAAGGATTGATCATATTCGCTGATTGGCTTATATGACTCGTTACCACTTTAAACTATGACAGACAAAAAAATAATATAAAAAATAGACATACACCGGTTATGCTCTTTCAACACCAACCTATTTTTAGAAATAACGTGCCACAGTTGCTACATCAAGAATTTCTCTTTTTCTTTAGTTTGTGTCAACCAATATCAAGGGTGACAAATTAACAGCTCGCAAAATTGTGCTGATAATGTCATCGCTTAGAGGCAATTGCGCATGTTTTTTCTTTTTTTCGGTTTCGTAGTAACTTATTCAATTTTGTAACATTATCGACGGATGAAAGTGTCTCTAAGTTACACTATGCAGATGTTTCTAAATTTCATTTTGAATATCGGTTTGTTTATTTAACCACTGGGGACAATTTTTATCCAAGCGAATTGTGTCCTCACGGAAATTTCCCGTGGGGAAAGCCGCTTTTTATTACTAGACAATTGCTTTTCTTCCTTCTTAAATTTTCATTTTCTTCTGCTAATTTTATTACCTGTGTAATAAATTGCTGAAAGGAATTTCTTATATTCCACTTTTGCGTCTTTTTATGTGACCTATTAACAACGAAATTATTAAGGGTGACCGTCGAAGTCATGCGGCAGCCGACAGTCCATTTGTGGTACATATTTTGTGACTTTTTATTAAATCGAGGTCGCAGCATGAATAAGTGTCCTATTTATAATAAGTAAATGTTTCTAAATATAAGTTTCTTTTGCATTTTTTAAGTTGTTATTTTCAATTTTAGTTTAATTTAACCGGCAACAATATTCATCAAATTGCGTTGCGTCCTCACGAAAACCAGTTCTTATGTCTCCCTCCAAAATATATATATATTTCATTAGCTGAATATGTAATTCTCAAAATTTCGAAGTGTGTATCTCTCGTAAGTAATAATTAACCACACCACATGGCAATTTCAATCATCGGTTACAGCGCATGACCAGACGTGTTTCGTCTGTCGGCCTTCTGTCATTATTCAAGACGGTAGAGATTCAAAGGAAAGCGAATATGGTTTTAAGAAAGTTACGGCGAGGACTCTGTGTTTTAGTTCCTATCTACGTGTGCTTGGTGTTCATAGGATTTTTTTCATTTATTTGGTCACGCGCGAGAATTCCCCGTGGGCGAAAATCGATTGCCCATGTCACTGTATACAATGAACCAATTTCTCTCGTTAATACCTCGTTCAATTCATCCAAAATGTCTGGAGTGTTAAACTTGCATATATGGAATGATTTATGTGGGAATAGTGTCGAACTTCTTCGTGAGACACCTCTGTTTCCTCGCTATCCTCACGAACGACTTTACATAAGGAGTTTCCAAACTGCACGACATGTGGATGCTTACGCTCAAAGAATTTTTGGTTTCATCGAGCCTAAGGTTTCGGGGTTATACACTTTTGCAGTTTCTTCCGATGATACTTCTGAGCTGTGGCTTAGTTTCAACGAAAATCCACGCAATCTTCGCTTGATAGCGAGTGTTTTTTCTCCCGTAGAAAGCGCATGGACAGAGGAAAGCATTTTCTCTAAATATGCTACTCAACAGTCTCGAAACATACGTCTCGAGGCGAATCGAAGATATTACGTGGAAGCATTGCATAAACAAGGTTCTGGTAATGGCAGAATTCAAGTTAACTGGAGGAAACCTGGGTCCATAAAACTCGAACCTGTAACGGGAGAATATCTGAGCGCGTATTTTGACGATAGCAGGCGAAACGGTAGTTTTCGTGACTTTGTCAAAGGCTACGAGGAACTCCAATGGTTTCCAAGTCATGTTAAGCAGAGAGTTTTCAAAGGGTTGAATCTAAAGAGTCAGTTTAATTACACGTCCCTTCCTTTAATCAATCGCAGTGAGGTTAAAGGAGTTTTAAATCCTTGTTCATACAAACCGAGCTACATTATCGAAAGAAACCTTTCTCGTTACGAAGGTGTTAACTTGGTGCACGATTCGTTGATATTCCCGTTCGACAACACTTATCTTCATCAAGCGCGAGTACCGTGGTCAGCGGGAAATAAAGAAGTTGATAATGTAACTGTTAGCAAAATTGTTGGGAAATTTATGAACAGTTTACATAAGTTTCATCGGTAGGTGTGATCAATAATGCTTGGTTTAGGATTTATTTGCATTTCGCGCTTCGGTTCCTGTTTCTTTGTTCCCTCCCAAATAAGGAGCCTCCCTAAGTGGACGGGGAAAACGACTGTTTCTCGAACTTTAATAGAAAATTATTGGAGTTGGAAGAAGAATTACGGCCATATTTACAGAGAGGAAAGTGAACAACGGTTCCTTTCTCGTGTGCCGGAATGTGTGAGTGAAAGGTCCTTGCATTTGGCACGTCATTGTGGCTAATCAGATGTAAATTTCCGTTCGCCTTTGCTGTAGTTTTGACTCTTAATGTGACTTATCATCTAGGGCTAATTTTTCTATTCAGCGTTAAAAAAAGATTGAGTGAAATTTGTTTTCGGCGTGAATACTTACACTTTTCATTTCTCTCTTCGCCTCATGTATTATAGACAAGGACCGCGTGGCTTTGCTTACAACTTGAGAAATGATGAATAATTAAGCATTTTGAAAATAACCGCAATTTAAATCTCTATTTACAGAGCTGGTGAATTCTTCCACGCCTTTACAATTGCAATGGAAAATGTTAATTCCAACACTGTAATCTCATTTAATTGTGTAGTTTGATTGTCTGGGTGCGTGTAGTCCTGAGAAGGACTGTTCAGTAGTGGTGACTGACAACCTGAGCAAACTCTTTTATTGTCTGAATAGATGTAGAAAGAACTGTTCATTTTTTTGTTTTCTTTGCATTTACACAAAAGAACAAACAGTAAGTCATGTCACACAACTTTTGCACCACTGATCACCAACTCTCAGATTTCTCAAACTATGTGACTGAGACATGGTTGAATTTTTTTTGACAAGGCCTTCACCAGTCACAGCTTTCCAAGGTGTTCTGTTGTGAATCAAACCCAACTTCACTTTGCTAGATCCTTTTTATTCTTAAGCTGCCTTGCTAAGTCAATGTTCAATTTCCTGGACAGGACTGGCACCCAGCTCAGCCTTCCATAGTGTTCCATTGTGAATCAAACCTAACTGACTAGACCTCTGCCTTAAGTTAATTTTGAGATAATCTAATTCTTTACCTTGTGTGTGGATGAAAACCCAGTAATAAGTTCAGTAGTTTGTTTTTTATCACTGCTATGGCTGGAACATAACCTTAATAAGATGAACTCCTTATTGATTTTGTTCCCTTCTTTCCTGGCAGGAAGTACTATTTACAAAGAATCCTGAATGTTGAACAGAACCCTGACCCTAAGCTGGGAAGTCGTTTCCTCCTTGAGCTTGAGTTGGGTGTTAATGGATCAAGTGAAAGCTTCCGTCTCTCTGAATATGTGTATCTTCCTCTAGAGAAAGAGGAGCTTTGTTTCCCTGAAGGTGTAGCGTGGGATAACAATGCTACAGTGTACTTTATTCTGCCTGTTAAAAACCAGGGCGTGTGGGTTCATCACTTTGCTTCACAACTTGCAGCCATGTCAAATCAGAGTGGCGATTTCAACTTTCACATTATTGTTGTGGATTTTTCAAGTGATGACGTTGATCTTGATGAAGTGTTTAGTGTATGGCCATTAAAAAACCGGTATACCTTGATCAAGTTGACTGGGCCATTTCACAAGACATTAGGGTTACAGAAGGCTGTCAGCGTTGTACCAAATGAGGATGATATTGTCTTTCTTTTTGATCTTCATATTGATGTTCCTTTTGGTCTTATGGATAGTGTAAGAAAGGTGAGAAAGAGTTAACCTTGAAGAATCTTAAGGCGCTTTCCTTTATTTTTGTGACCTTAAATATGTAATTTAGGGGTGTTTTTTTTAGGGAGAAATTAGATACTAGTCACTTGTGGCTTTGATTAATTTGTTTTCTTATGCTTTTGTGGGACACTTGGGGATACTTGACAGCACTACTTTGTAACTTATGTGTTGGAGACATATAGAGATTATTTTGTTCAAAGCATTATCCCAGAAACAAGATAGCAGTCACTTGAAGACTCTTTTGCCTTTAAGAATGGTCACAGTCACTGTCACAAAATGAGTTGGGACAACTTTGGCTTGGCTAGAAAAAGTAAACAAAATTGATGCAGTGTGTCAAAGTGAATTCTCGTAACAGCTTGTCTCTGTTAAGTAACAACCTAAATGGCTCCCATGATTGACTCTGGATCTAAAGGTCTGGGTTTGTGTTAAAATAAAAATGTTGTACAGGTCTCCACATTTGAAATCATTAGCTAGTGGCTTGAGGCTCAGAAAAGTACTAGGTAGCTTGTGAAACATCAGTGAATAGGACATGTTGAACCATCAAATTGTACTGAGAAATTCTGTGGTGATTATTGGTTAAATCACTCAAAAATCATTTGCTTTTATTTTGCATATACAGCACACAATATTTGGCAAGGTGGCATATGCACCTACTGTGGGCAGACTAGATTGTGGAGCATTTCCAAGTGATCCTTATGGTTTTTGGCAGGTGAATGGTTATGGAATTTTAAGTGTTTTCAAAAAGGACTGGGACAGATTTGGAGGTAAGTGCCATGAGTTTTTACTCTGAAGTCCTTCTGCATTTTAACTTTAAGTAACTGAGCAAGGACAATGGAGAAGGACTGAGTAAAGGTTTTAATATATTTTTTACAAACAACTCCTTAAGAAATGCATGCATAATTCTCTCGGATGGGAGTTATGTTTAAGATCTTGAGATCAGTGGGCAAAGATGCAGGGGTAAGATTTTTCAAGTAGAGGTCACAGATGAATTTATGAGCTTCACAAGAAATGCATGCATAATTATCCTGTACAAGAATTAGGTTTAACCCTTTAACTCAGAAGATCTTACTGTTAATTCTCCCCTCTAGCTGCTACACATTTCCTTGTAAATCAGCAACAAGAATTTGGTCTTAGATCAGGATAATGACTTTTACCCGATAAGTTTGAGTATTCTCATTACCTGTTTGCTGGTTATATGCATGGATATTTTAGTTTAGGGAGAAGTTTCATGTTGATCACTTCTGGGAGTTACAGGGTTAAGATCTTGAGATCAGTAGGCAAAGATACAGGGGTAGGATTTTTCAAATAGAGGTCACAGATGAATTTCCACAAGCCTTACACACAAGAAAGAGTTAGGTTTTCAGGGGAAGGGGCAAAGGATGTTTTTTTTTTTTTTAAATTCCAGATATCTTCTGATGGTCAGCAGTTTGAGTCCATGATCTCCTTTGCCCCTCCAAGGGCCGTGAAGAGATTAACCAGTTACTTCTCCCTATAATATCCTTACATTATCCAGCAAATGTGTAATAAGAATACTCAAACTTATCAGGTAGAAGCTGTTATCTTGGTCTAATGTTAAATTTTCTCAACTAATTTACAAGGACATGTAGTAACTAGAAGGGAGAATTAAAAATCAGATTTTGGGAGTTAAATGGTTAAATGTGCTTTCTTTTTTCCTATACAGGTATGAATATTCGAGATTTTACCACAAAATGGGGTGGCGAGGATTGGGATCTCATTGACAGAGTACTTTCTGCACAGCTGGAAATTGAAAGACTAAAACAGCCGGGGTTGTTTCATTACTATCACTCTCACAAGGGAATGTGGAATACATAGGTTCTATACACAACATAGAAGATTTTAAATAAATTGCAGATGTATTTGGGAAAGGTAGTTGCTAGGTAGTTGTCTGAAAAATGACTTGAAATGACCTTGAGTGATTTCTAAAATGACCTAAAATGACCTTGAGTGATTTCCAAAATGACCTAAAATGACCTTGAATGATTTCCAGAATGACCTAAAATGACCTTGAGTTATTTCCAAAATGACCTAAAATAGCTTTAATTGATGTCTAATATGACCTAAAATAAGCTGAAATGACCTGATAAGACCTTGAGTGATTTCTAACCCTAACCCTACAATGACTAAAATGACATAAATTACATTTAAACTTTACTGGAACAATTTAAAATAGCAATTGCCAGCTATATATAACAGAGCAACAAAACTGAATGTGTGAGCTGAGTGCTTACCTTCTTGGGTTCATTGTAATAGTATGCCTCTTTAAATTACTCAGAACAATCTTAGATCATTGGGCTACCACCGGCTATTATAATTGTGGATCATTTTAGCTAGACTTAAATGTCATTTTTGGTTATTTTAGACATCAGTCAATGTTATTTTCATTTCTGGCCATTCTTAGACATCAGTCAGAGTTATTTTAGGCATTTTTTCTCATTTTAGGTCATTGTGCACATCACTCAAGGTCAATTTGAGTCATTTTAGGTCATTCCTTGTTTTAGTAACTACAATCTGGGAAACCTAGGCTTGCAGGTTTCTGGAAGGCTAAAATGGGTGCATAAAAGGGATGGTTTTATCCTACTTAAATGAGGCTTTTTTGCGAAATGATCAATTTGCAGTAGGGCTTAAAAAAACGTGCTTGTGGATAAACTTTGCCATTACCCCATAAAGTTCAAATTCTCCATACTATCTGCCATATCATTGTAATGATGTAAGTTTGGGGAATTTGTAATTAGATCGACTTAAATAATCCCTCGGTTGATGTTTATCTTTCTTCTTTCTACTTCTCTGCTTGATGTTGTTTCGACATTATGTTGTGTGAAGAAATTTTGTGTTGGTCACTCATGAGAGTTAAAGGGATGACCTTTATTTTACTGACTTGAAAATCCATTGTATGATACTGCCGAATTTTCCCAGAGAAAGAAGAATTGAAATTTATTGATATTATTTATTCTATAATTTAACAATTGAAGATTTAATGATTTAATTTAGAATATTTTTTATGTAAAAAGAAAAGCTGTTTTTATTCATCAATAAAGGTTTTTTATGCAGGAGTACCAAGCTTTTCTCTGTCAATTAAAAACTGTGCCCCTTGTTAAAGCTGTGATTTATGTGGGACTGTGACTGCAGTGGGTAACCACCAAATTTTAATTGAAAAATGTTACATACACGACTGCATGAATAATTTTTCGAGGAACTTTCCCGTTACTCGTTTGTTTGTTTGTTTGTTTGTTTTTAAAGAACTGCACCCTCCTCCCCCACGAATTTTGATAGTGTGACACTCGCACGCGAGCTAATAGGAATGTAATCTCGTTCCCAGGACCTTGCAGGGTTACAAGAATAAATTCTCTTCCTGCACGAAAGTTTTACAAGATTCTGCTTAACTACTTGGAGCTAGTCTCCTTTAGGCGGCTTTCTTCAAATATGATTTCCATAGTTGCAATTTTCTTGTGGACAACATCAGTCACCATATGTGCCGCCATTATTATTTTTGTCGGATTGGTAATCTACCTGCTCTATGTCCACGCGAAGTACGACCATTTGCCCGGACCCAAAAGAGGTGGCTTCTTCACGGGTAACATGGCGTTAGTCTACGAAAAGAGAACCAAATTGAACTTAACGATCCACCAGATTTGGGCGAAGCTTGCCTTGCAGCACTCCCCGATGTTTGTGTTTTGGTTTTTCCATCGTCCAGTCGTTATTGTGACGGACGCGCAGCTTGTAAAGGAAGTATTAATTACGAAAAATCTGCCGAGGGACAAGTTCGGATACAGCCATCTCGCCTCGCTGTTTGGTGAGAGAATGCTCGGACAAGGACTTCTTTCCGAAGTTTCCGAGGAGGAGTGGCGCTGGAAGAGAGCCACATTGGATCCAGGGTTTTACCGTCCGAGTATAGTGGGGATGATAGACAATTTTAATACGACATGCGACTCCTTCTTACAAAGATTAGAGAGCCTTGCTGATGGCAAGGCGGAAGTTTCTATGGCTGAAGAACTTGTTAGGATAAACTTGGACTTGATAGCAAAGGTATTTTCAAATTCCTAACCACTCTAGTTACTATCCTTGCCCTTCCCCGTCTTTTCCTACCTAGATCTATTGTGACCCTAACGAAAAGATTTAGTGGAGTTTGGGAATAAGGAGGAATTCCTCTTTAATCACACCTGGCAGTGAAAGGGATATGTGTGATTGTTGGAAAAAAAGTAATTGCATTCTGAATATAGTGATTCCTCTTTTCTTGAAGGTGGAGAAACCAAATGATGAATTCAGCATTTTCTTGAATAAGTACCCATGCTTTAATATGCCCCCTCCCTCCCCCAGATTAGTGCCCAACCCCTTGGCTATTATGTCAAACAAGCACCCCTCTTGAATAAGTACCTCTCCTCCTGTCCTCCCTCACTTTCTTGGATGATTGGGATAGGAAGAAAATGCCTGTTACTGTTGCCACCCTATATATATATATATCTTTTTTTAATTACATTAAAATGAGTGCACTTTCAGGTTGATAGTTCCCTAATAAGCGCCCCCTCGATTTAGCATCTTCCTTCCTATAAGCTCCCTGCTTTTTTAAGCTGATGTTTTAAATATGGAATGTCATAAGAATGTATTATTGATTGGTAACTGGATTACAATTTGAATAGATTACTTTAAGTGCATTTGTCTCATACGCCTCTTTAAGGGAGTGTCCTTAGATAAACATTTAGAAGGGGTAACTTGCAAAAACAATCAGCAAAAGTAATTATTAAGTATATATAATAGACTTGTGATCAAGTACTACTTTTTGCCATTTGAAAATGTGGATTTAATTTCAATTGCATTTTTTGATCACCTGTCAACCATGTCTTATTTGGATATTCATGAGTTATTAGTTATTTCTCATCCAAGTGTCTAAATTTGTTTCTGAGGACTTAGATTATGAGGCAGATGTTTTATTGTTCTGTTCCATCATTATTGCCATGTAACTGTGGTTTTTCATTTCACTAATAAGGGATTACTATGACTTGGTAGGTTGCCTTTGACCTGGATTTGAACTCGACAAGTAATCCTGATACCCCTATACCTATCAACATTAGAATAGCTTTGGAGGGTCTCATTCAAAGTTTCAGAAAGCCTTTCATGCGGTTCCAGCCCTCCACTTTTGGTTACCAAGCTAAATGCAGAGAGGCTGTACGTTTTGTGAGAGGTGTGGCCAAGGAAGTGATTGAGAAAAGATGGAAGGCAAAAGAGAGAGGAGAAGATCAGCATAATGATCTCTTGTCGCACATTCTTCTGTTACCTGAGAGAGACAGGCGCACCACAATGAATGACATGGTAGATCATTTCATGTCATTTGTAGTTGGTGGTAAGTTAGGATTGTCATATAGTCTCACCAGTAGCATAAACCACTTTATCCTTTAACTCCCAGAAGTGATTCACATCTAATTTCTCCCTGCAATATCTATATATTATCCAGCAAACAGGTAATGAGAATACTCAAACAAATCAAGTAGAAGTTGTTGTCTTGATCTAACACCAAATTCTTAAACCAATTTAAAAGGAAATATGTAGTAGCTGGAGGGAAGAATTGACTATCAGATCTTGGGAGTTAAAGGGTTAACCCTTCAACCGGTGAGAGTGATAAGCATCTAATTACTCCCAAAAGTGTCACCCCTGAATCCAACATCTAGGTCTTGAGATTAAAGGAAATGATCATGAGGTCAATAACTACTTGATTATTAAGCAAATTCTCCTTGTAAATACAGAGGGAAATGTATAGAGAACAGTATGGAGAACTTACAAACAGAAGTCAGGATGTAAAAGTTGGTTAAGCTATAGACTCATAAAGTGGGTAATGGGGAAAGCAGAATACTGACAATTTAATTTTGTGTGCCTCTTAATGTTGATCTGAAGTTTCCTTAGTTGTTCTTGTTTGGTGTGTTGCTCAGTGTTTAACATTCGTAAAAAAAAATTTCAGGGTTATCAACCTTAATTTCACCAGTGCCCATTAAGCTCTGACCCTTTTCACCTTAACTGCTACCAGTTCTCTTCCATTCCTCTTTCCCACCCTTCTTTCATCTGTTTTGAAGCTTAAAGTCCAGATTGTGAAATTAAGTCAAAGATGTTTATTAAGATACCTTTGGGGCCAAATTTTCATCAGAGAAGGTCCAAGAAGTTTGGCTGAACAGCATCTAGAGGACAAACCTTCAATGAAACTTATGAAAGACCAAAAGTTCTTATTGGCTAAATTTAATATCTCATGTCACCAAAAATTACATCCTCGTTCCCAGGGCCTTTTTTTTAATCAGGTTGTTATGGTCACCCCTCCTAATAGCGAGAGATATTGGGCAGGAAGTAGAGAGACCCGGGGATCCAGGACCTCCTCGCGCAAGTGAATCCGCGCTGGAACACTGCAATTCATGGCTTTCCATTCGAGCGCTTGCCTTTTGGCTGGACTTCACTGCTACACCAAATCTATCTTAAATCTTCTGTAATTGAAATTATTTTTCAGGAGAGGAGACTATCTCGAACCATTTGACGTTTCTTCTTGCGGCAATAACTTCTCATCCTGAGGTGGAGGAAAGGTTTGTTACATCTCTTAATTGCAGATGTCTTAATCTCAAATAGAACGTCCTACTCTACTCTTTAATTGTATAACTTATTTCCATGAGTATTTTACATATCTAAGAACAGAATTGCGGTAATTTCCTAAAGTGAATAAAGCATGGGTGACTTTCATAGATTTGCCTTTTTTTCTTAGAATTGTGGCCGAAATTGATGAGGTCCTTGGCAGTCGTTGTTCCGTGCGCTACGAAGACCTTGCAAGGCTCAAGTACCTGGAACAGGCAATCAAGGAAGCTCTGCGCCTGCATCCACCAGAACCAGCAATCACGCGCATGGCAAACGAAAGCATGATCATGAGCGGCTTCCACATTCCCGCCAAAACGAGCATCATGGTGAACGCTTATGTTCTTCATCACCATAGTAACTACTGGGACAACCCGGAGGAATTCGACCCAGAGCGCTTTGCGACGTGTAATCTTGAGAATGTAGAGCACTATGCGTACATTCCTTTCTCTCTCGGCCGTCATACGTGTATCGGCATACATTTTGCTCACATTGAGACCAAACTGTTAATTGCCCGTTTGCTTCAAACATTCAAATTCAATCTTGTTCCAGGTCAAGACCTCAAACAAATAGAACACATGACCTTGAGCCCAAAGAATGGGGTGAGGTGCAAGCTGTCCCTCAGGTGAACGCTGCCGTCTCCAGCATTTTATCTCAAGTTTGACCTAGTCGGAAAGGAAACCTCCACTGGTGGAACAGAGTGTCGCTGAACGGCGCAGGATTAGCCCATGTTGTAGAGCGTTGGACTACTGCACCAACACGCTCAGGGCTTTTCCTATAGCGTCCACAAATGGTCAGACAATCTAGTCTTCTCAGATAAGGACGATAAACCGTAGGTCCTATCTCCTGCATTTTCTCCGTTCTGGTTAGCAGGGGACGTTAAAGAACCCACGCACTTCTCGCAAAGGGTAGGGAACCTAGCTCCTGGTGGTGTGGTTTGGCCTTCTTATTGTAAATGCAGGCCCTCCTTTAATTTAGCTTTCAAGCTGAACTGGGCCAGCTAGGCCTGTGGAAATTTAAATAAATTACATACTTTTTTTAAAGTTAAAATTTGGCATAAGTGGGAATGGAGTTGTTAGTGGTCTTAGTGTGGAAAAATGAATACAAAGAAACATCTACTTGCTGTTTTGAACTGGAATTTGGAGTTCACCATCTCACTGGATTATATGACCATTTACTTTGCCACAATCTCCCTTTCGACTCCATCTAACCAAGAGATAACCTCTGACAGCGCAAATCCATTACATGAACTTTTACCAGCTCAGAGAGCTAGGAGCCTCAGGAAAAGAGGACATAATTACATCCTGCCTCCAGTCAGAACCGAACGCTTTAAACGTTGCTTTTTCAATAGATGTCTTTTCGAATTTGTGTAGTTACTTAGTTTTGTATATACATAATAGATAGATATATGTAGGAAATTGTAAGTCCAGAGGTTTTGTTTCTGGACGTGCTTCTTTTAATAAAGATCTTTATAAGAGAGCTCTTACTGTATTAGTTATTGAATGCGGAATTTTTCTGAAAGATAGTAATTCATTTCCTCTAATTATATGGGTGTTACTGACCAAACTTCCTCAGTCTTGAGCGCCCAAAATTTTCCTAGTTCTCTGCAATACACTGTGATCCCTTCTTGCTCAGTGAGGCTTTCAGTCTAAAAAAGAAAACCACTATATTGCTAATGAGAGATAACGGCGCAGTCTAGGAATAAAGGGACTTAAGTTCTTAGACTTATGACGCTCTTAACACTATCTTAGAATGAAGATAATGGAAAGTTAATTATAGAATAGTAGAAAAATAAAAACTAATTACCGCGATTTTTCTACAAACGACCATTTTTTTTCAATTAAATTGGGTAAAAGACGCATTTGGTCAAGCAGACATCCCACTTAACAGCGAGGCTACCAAGCTTGCCGTGAGAGACTGGACAAGAGTTCTTTGAAAAAAATAATAACAAAGTATGATAAAACCGCACAGGAAATATGAGCGAATTAAGACCAATAATTCTTGGTTTCGGGCATGGATTGAAAGATTCTCTACTTGGAACGATTGTGCTGCTAAGAGTGAACAGTATTCTAGAGGAAAGACAAACGGAAGACCAATTTAAAACAGACGCGCAGTCCTCTAGACGAACAAGGCAAAGAGGCAGGCAAAATGAACTCGATAAAAAGACAGATAGGTATGCAAGAAATACCATTTTAAGCGGGTGAAGTCCAATTAGAATAATTCATAATGTCAAGTTAAGTGTCAAGCAGTTTGATGCGTTACGTTTTATTTATGATCATTTCCATAGATAGAGTTTCCTTTGACAAACGAGGAAACCTTTGACATCAGGGCTTAATTATTGTCATGTAAGCTTAAACTAATATTTATTTGCTTGAGGGCAAAATTCAAAGGAGATCAAAGTTTAGCTTTCTTGGACCTATCATCCGTCACGTATAAGCTATTTGAAAAGCGTAGGTACAGTATTTGGAACGATTTCAGACTATGCATGGTTAGTGAAAACTAAGTACCCGTCTTGCTGAAGCGTCGATGTCTTTTATTATTCATCATTTCTGTCACAGTTGCTAAATGTTTGCAATTGTAATTATACTAACTTAGCAAAATTTGTGGTTGAGATGTTTATATTTCGAGTGGAATGTGTTTTTAGATCTACAGGAGCTAAAGATATTTACAGCAAAATGTTGCAGTGCTGCATGCTAAATGGTGGAATATTTTGGGTAAGTACCCCGGCCAGTATAATTCATCTTTCTCTGAATTTAACAACTGGATACAGCAGTGTCTTCACATATAAACCCACCAATGGCCTCACTTACCTGTGATTTTTCTGTGGTTGAGAATCAGAGTGCAAAGGAGAAATGTCTGGGGTTTGAGTCCTTGTGGTTAACTGAGATTTTTGTCTAACTCCCATGCCTGTGACAAAACAAAAACATCCTTCTTTATTTAAGTTGAGGCACCTAGCTATAGTTTTCCCTCAAATGAGGGGGAGGAAGGACCCTTAGGTATCCATTATTTATCAAAATTCCACCTCTGGCAACAGAAGATGTTGTATATCAATTTTAACCCTTTAACTCCCATGAGTGACCAAGAAAGAATTTCTCCCTATATTATTCATACAGTATCAAGCAGACAAGTGACGAGAATAGAGAAAAATAACAATTAGGGGTCAGTAGCTGATCCACTACCAAATTCTCCAAACGAACATTATAAGAATTATATAGCAGACAGTAAGGAGAATTACTCAATGTGATCATGGGAGTGAAACAGTTAACAAACAAATTTTGCCAGATGACTTCCAAGATGACAGATGATTCCCAAGATCCTAATTTTAAGTATTTCTGATCAAGGAAACTTACTTACAGTACTGATGGTGTTTGTTTTCTTTCCTTTTCTTTTTCTTCTAGATGAGTATTTTTCTCTTTGAGAATTATATCCTTCCTGGGCTACAATTTTTTACTCACTTTGTATTCAGTAAGTAGTTTTGTTAAATATATCCTTTACTTTTTTTTCTCTTTAACTCTAGAAGTGCAGTTTTCATTCCTTGCTGAGTTGTTTTAGATATGTGTTGTAACTTAGTTTTGTTGGTCCAATCAGAATCAAGGATTTAAGATTTTGGACCACTGAGATACTTCAACCATTAACCTTCCCATGAGCCTCCAAGACAGAAGTTTCCTTACAATATCAATACAGTATCAGCAGTCAAGTGACAAGAATTCATACTAAAAAATCCAAGATGAGCTCTGGCTCTGATCGCATGGCTATGAAACAGATTTTGGCCAATCAGAGCTTGATTATTATTTCCATTATTTTTTTAAATGAGTATTGAATGATAATTGATTGCAAATTTATCCCTTTATGATTGAAAAATGCAAGTATATTTATAATAATGACCATAGATACACTGGTTGGAAATGCACACCATCAGGGTTTGTGGCTGTGGAGATGGATGGGACCTTTGTTATCATATTTGTTCAGTGCTTTGTGGGTGTTACCTCTCTTTTGGCTCAGCAAGCCACTCAATTCATTATGGTATCAGGTAACTTTTTATCTCTGTTGTTTATATCACCAATTCCACTTGTATTCATTTGCTTTTCAATTTGAATTTTTTTCTCTGCATTATCTAGAGATGTTGTAGTTTGAAATGAAAAGTATAAAAGTAACCCAGATGGACAGGGAACCTGGAAATTCAAATATTTGAATTCCATTCCTGCAACAGAGGGAAGCTCCTATAGGTGTATACTTTCATAGCTCAAGAGATCTGTTTAACCCTTGAACTCTTAGAAGTGATCAACAGGTAACTTTCTATAATATCCATACATTACCTTACAAACAGGTAATGAGAATATTGAAACTAATGAGGTAAAAGTTGTTATCCTGATCTGACATCAAGAGGGGAGATTTAACAATCAGATCTTGGGTGTTAAAGGGTTAACATGATGTTCCTCTTATGCATTATGTAATATTTGATTTAGGAGATAGCTGATTCTGCATACCGCAACACCAGAGGAAGGCCTCTTGGATTCTTGGCTTCACTCAAGAAAGAAAGGTTGATATGCTGAGTCCTTGAATTTTTGAATTATGGGATCAGTTCTGTGATATTTGGAGGAAATTATTTGCTTTCATTATGTTACTAACTTCTATCTATAACAGAGTTGAAAGAAAGATTTAAAACATTTTATTATATCCCTTAAGTTAGTATCTGCAGTATAATTGGTTAGTTTAGCAGACCATATTTCACTGTATAGCCTGCAAAATTCAAAAGTTTGTTTGACTTAAAATCTTCCACTCTATTTGAACTCAGAGATTTACAAAATATTTCACGACTAAACTTGTTTCCTTGGTCTGACTGTAAGTTATGAAAACTTGCATTTTCCATTGGGATTTGTAGACGCAGGTCAGTAACTTACAGTATAGACCTTGTATTCAGTTAGTAAGAGATATGTATTGATGTGATATTTAAAATTTGATTTCAGTGTGTCATCCCACATCAGTAAAACAGTGGCTGACTTCTTCTTTAGCTTTTTGCTTCAGGTGCTTTTTCTTGTGCAGGTAACTCATAATAGATTGTTCCAATTGTGTAAGACTTTGTCTGAGTTTTGAAATCAGTATGTCAAAGGCTTTCTGTATGTAAGCTGTTTTTTGGGTCAAATTATTAGTTGAATGGTTATGAGTTGACGTATTATTTAGTCTGTCACTGACATTCGCTATCAAAATTTACTTATAAATTGCTGTATGTTACAGTAGTTAAGTTCTCAAGGTATACAATTTGATGTATGTTTTCTGTGGGTGTCATTCGTATTAATAGGAATGTTTTGAAACACTAGGACTTATGATCACTAGTTAAATAGTAGTGGTGAAAATAAGGCCTGAAAAAAATTCAGGCCTGTATGAGATATGAACCCATGATCTCTGCAGCTGTGCAGCTCTACCAACTGAGCTAACAAGCCAACTGGGAGCTGGTCTATATGTTGGTTGCAAATAAACCTGTGAAGGGTTTATTTGGCACTAGAATTTATTTGGCTGAAAGAGAGAGAAAGTTGAGGGCTGAAGTTTACACTCTGTTAATCTGCTGAAAACCACATATGGGTAGTTTGGAATTTTGCGATTGAAGTTTCTTGACAAAAAAATTTTTATTCCTTTTAAACAAACAGGTTCAGATAAATACCTAACTGAGTAGTAAGCAAAATAATTGCAAGTGAAACAGGAGAAGATCTAGGGGAGGGATGCAGGGGGTGTGCACCCCTCCCCCCTGAAATGACCTGCAGATTCCTGATAAATCAATATTTTGCAAATAAAAAAGGAAAAAAAACTGTGGTTTATTGGTGTTGAAGTAAAACACAAGATGATGTTGAGGAATTTATGTGGAGTGCCATGTAAATGGTATGTTTTCTCAGCAGTTTACCATGATTACCTTGTCATAAGCCATCTTCTCCATTGTTCACTTTTAAGATTTGTTTGTCACCCTCCAGTTAGATCATTCCTAATTGGTGCACCCCCTCATGATGAAAATCCTGGATCTGCCTCTGTCCAATAAGATCTTAGCACTTGACTACTGTTGAATCACAAATCAGCCAAAAAAAACTGTACAATCAAAGTGACTCATTTTCTTTGGCAAAAGTGATCCAGAGAAATAAAAAGTATAACCTTGCTCTTTTTTTTTTAGGCCATGGTTGTAGGATTTCTTCCAATTGTTGGTCCTGTGGTCAGTTTGGCTCATATGTGTTTGCTGTACTCACTTTATTCCTTTGAGTACAAGTGGGTGAATATGGGTGAGATAAAGATTAGTATTTTCCTTTAGTTAACTAGTTGTGATATAATATGAACTTTCTCCCTATATTATCCTTACATCATCCAGTAAACAGGTAATGAGAATATGCCAACCTATCAAGCAGAAGTTATCATCTTGATCTAATACCAGATTCTTGTAACTTAATTTACAAGGAAATGTGTAGCAGCTGTTGAGAGAATTAATAATCAGATCTTGGGAATTAAAGGGTTAAGATGTGACTGTAGCCTGCTGAATAAGGCTGTGTGCTTGGAGGATTCGCAAGGTGCCTCAAGGCTCTTGTCTCAGACCTCTGAGGTTCTCAGCTCCTAAAAGTTTCCAAGTGATAACTTTAAGCAAAGTATAGGATACAGGGAGTTTCGATCTGTATCTGGGAGGGGTTGGTCTGGCAACGCAACGTATTCACTGGAATGAGGTGTGTGACCACAGGCGGCCCAAGCTCCAGCTGTGAGATGATCATCTTGCGAAATAACAGTCATGGCGGAATTATAAGATTTTGTATGGGAATATTTACGACCGCTGTAAGGAATAGAAAAAATAAATCAAATTCTCGATAGAAATACCTCACCTTACTTCCACAGGGCATTACTTGTTATCTGACCGCTTACTATGCTTTCGCTTACTTACTTTCGGAAATAGAATGTGCAGCCTTGGGCTTATCTTGACCATCTTGGGTACGTAGAAAACCTCGAAATGGATAACTCGCTAAAATAGGTTCTCTTCAAAGTAGTAAGCGGTCAGATAACAAGCAATGCACTGTGGAAGTAAAGTGAGGTATTTTTATTGAGAATTTGACTTATTTTTTATTCCTTTGAGCGGTCGTAAATATTCCCATACAAACTCTTATAACTTCGCCATGACTGTTACTTCCCAAGATGATCATCTCTCAGCTGGAGCTTGGGCCGCCTGTGGTGTGACAAGATCTAACAAGGAGGACCGAGAGAAACTATTGGGTTATACGGAATCTTATAATTTCACCGATGTCAAATTTTCAGAGGATCAGTTGGTATATCGTCTTGTTCAATCTAATGTTGTTTCTTTGGAATGTATTTTACAGGATGGCCCGCCCCAAAGCGACTTACGTACATGGAATGTAACTGGCCATATTTCGTGGGATTTGGACTTCCTCTTGCCGTTCTCACCTCACTAGCGCCTTCCACTATAATCAGGTTTGTACAGGATAAAATTACCGCAAGTGTGATGACAGGGGAAGGACATGCTTACTTCTCAGGGGGTGACAGAGCATGGGAACATAACACATGTCCCAAATGAAAAACGAGTATCGGCTGAAAAATTCGGGAATACATGTCCTGCTTGGAAAGAGCGGGAAAACGTTTCCATAATGAAAAGTGCGGAAAACGATGTTCTTAACGGAATGGTTATTAGTGACCAAAAGGTGTCTCTTTGCGAGCCCAAACAGCGTTTCTTACGTTTTTATGTAACGCTACAGGTTTTTACATTTTCGTACAAAATGGACATTTTCTAAATCATCTCTCCTAAAACCAAAATCTATCTGACCTTGAAACCGAGGCAAGAGTCTTTGCTTCCCTACCCCCCCCCCACCTTATTCCATGACACTGTCGCCAATCGTTTGGCCTTGACACCCAACATCAGTATGAATATTCTCCAACTGTTCCTGAGGCGCTAAAGGAGAATTTGTATAGCGATCAAGAGCCTCTTTATTTAGTGATCAATCTCACGACATTAATTTTTGATTCAGGGGTTGTACTCAATGCTAGTCACCCCTAGAGGTCGAAGGGTTGCCCAATTCCCATGTAGACTGGCGTTCTCTTTGTTCACATTGAAAACACTTGCATATCTACCGCATTGTTATGCAGTCAAATATGAGGGGACTAGTCTAGGGAAGTTTTGTTTCACAGCTTTAATCAAAATAAAGGTGGTTTTCCTTATCCATAGCGGCTGTGTGTTTGCCATACTGTTTCCCATTTTTATTATCAGCGGGAATCAAGCAAAAGTCGTAGAAACAAAGTAAGTATCTTTATTTCCTTGAGGATATCGTTAAGTTTTCTTGGTCTATCGGTTTGCTCTAACTTCCTACGGCTAAAGCCGTATTTAGGCTAGCATGTCCTTGAAAAGTCTTCCTCGGCAAAAGGAAATTGCTAAGGAACTGGTCACTATTTATCGCTTTCGAGCGGGGGAAGGGAGCGTAGAGGTCGGGGGGACCATGGTTGTGCCCGATAAAATTTATCTGATCCTTTAATCCGAATTAATTACATTGAACAAGTCACTTCAATCAATTTGGGGACAACTTAAAACAGAATACAAGATTCCTTAAAATAAGCCGCCTTAATTATTTACCTAGTTTAAAAAGGATCAGTGCCAAAAACTAATTACAAAAGGAAAAAAATTATTTTAAACTCATAACAGATACAAGATAATTAAGATAAAAAAATTGGCACTGAACTTATCTTAAGGCCATAAGGCTCTGTAATATTCCTAAGGACCCCCCCCTCAGTAGTCAAATTTTCTATAGTCCCCCCCTTAGTATTCTGCCACGACAACTGATTCTTCCCTACCATCCCCCTCTGAAAAGCATGTGGTCCCCCAATAATCCTCAAACCCTCCCCTCAGGAGATAAAGTATGGCAGGTTCCCAAGAATTTGGTGGTATAGACGACATGACGGGAACGCTTGACATAGTTACTTTTAGGTTTGAAGCCTTAGTTTAAATTATTCTTCCTGGTACCACGACATGTTTATGGACTTTGATTCATATTGAGAAGTTAATCGTACGAGATTAAGGTCTGTTTTGCAAAGCGCACTATTAGTACATCCATTTTATTTTTTCAGTCAAGTACCAGTGAGGCTGTTTTACGTGGTAGTACGTCTAACAAACAAGATCCTAATGGGGAAGTCTGTGCCAAGTAGGACTCAGTCTACCAGCCCTGACTCGACCGTGGGCACGTGATGAAGGGAAGGAGTTTGGTAACCATTAATCTCCAGGTTACTTCACAAAATAACAAGTGAAGGGGAGGAAAAGATGCACGAAACGAGAGAATTACCTTAGGAAGCAACGATTTTAGTCGGGAAAGTAATCAGCTCAAACTGATCACGAACATAGTTTGGCGGGAATTGGTCGAAAAAAAAAGTCGAATTCGCAGTTGTCTGTTTTTTAGACTGTCACGCAAAAAACATTTCCAAAAGTGTGTCGTCGTGACAGCATTGCGTGAGGTCTGCTAAAGCCACCAGGAAGGAAACAAGTCAGATAAGAGTTAACGCAAGGACGTTTTGTCTTTACACTGTTTTGGTAACTTTTTCTTACATGGAAAACAACTTCATGATTTCGCAAATGGATCATCAATGCATCATAGTTTAGGTAAAAAGTTAGAATTTTATAGGAAAGCAAGCAATAAAAACATGGGAAATTAAAATGCCTGTTTAGAAATCGAACTTAAAAGTTAAAATGTGATCGTTCCAAGGATTTTTCATTCACTTGAGTAGATTGCTTATGATACCAGCTGTTTATTTTCCCCTCGGAATATTTTTATTATGTATTTTAATGTGACTAGAGCAAGTTCAATGAAAATAATTCCTGTTTGAATAACTTGTACGAGGAATTTTCTTTAAGTCCTCTACGAAAATCTTGCTCGTTTGTCCGTGAGATCATGTTAAATTCTTAGTCACTAGTCTCAGCGCGGCCTTGGCAGAACTTCCAGAAGTGACGTCAGTCGCAAAGACTTTGATCTCAGTTCCGCCAAAGTAGACATCCAGTTCTATGTTGCGGTGAATCCCTTTGGAAACATCCGGGCTGACGATCTGAAAGGCCACATTCTCTGCTGTGACTCCTTGGTCTGTCACAAACTGCACCTTCTTGTTGTGAGTGCTAAAGAAACGAAGTGAAGCTGTTGTCTGTTCCGGGTGCACAGGTGAAAAGAAAAACGTTCTCTTCTCTCCAACCTTCACCTGTTCGTCCTCTTTCACCAGAATATCGAAAACGTCTTCGCAGTAGCTGACACCGCAAATGTCTGTCTTCTTCTCGTCTGGGTGTTTACTTGGGTCAAAAGTTTCATTGATGTCGATACCGTATGTTTTGGCCATAACCCGGGTTGTGAGCAAATCTGGTGCCTGAGCGAACATCACTGCGCCTTTGATGATGGCCAGCTCGGCATCGCGGGGGGTCAAAACCCTCATGTCAGGAAAGGCCTGGGTTATAGCTTTCCTCAGTGGTAGTGCTTGAGAGAAACCGCCTACCAGAAACATCGTGTTCACACTTGCGTCTTTGATCTGCTCCAAGAGGGACTGGATAACGCCCACGGTTTTTTGCACAACTGGTTCATAAAAACCACTGATCACCTCTAGACTAAGACTTAGGTAACCGTTACTAACCTGCACTTGGTTATTTTTGTAGTTCATCTTCAATCTTTCGTTAATATTCTCGTCACTTCCTATGTCGCGTGAATAGGCGTTCACGAAGTTAAATGGTAAAGTTATGCTGACTTCCTCGTTGTCGACGCCTTCCTCAGCTCTCTTCTGTATCTCAAAATCGTTCATTATTTTCTGCCAGTCGTTTGGGAAATCTCTTCTGAACTTGTTGATAAAATCTTCTCCAAATATTGTCACCAGCATGCTCTGGAACTCCCTATCTACGTGTATGCCTCCCAGTTGGCCACCCGCTGGACAGTGAATCTCGCGGATCGTGCCGTCCTCCTGTATTTCATGTACTGTTATGTCCAAGGTACCGCCTGAAAGGAGCAGGAGCAAGCTCATATTGAACTTCGTAAAAACCAAACCCAAAACAATCACCGCGGCTAATCAAAATGAAGGTAAATATCAGAAGGAGCCGATGAGAAAAACGCATAACCAATCGTCATTGATCCTAGTCTGGTTTCTTAGTGGTTGAGGATGGTGCGGATTTTCTGGACCAATCGTGAAGTTTTTATTAAAGCAAAACCAATACAGACACGAATTACCTTCAAAAGCGTACTCAAAATATGACCGTTTACTTGAACATATACTTGAATAGGAGTTTCGGGCTCTGACTAATCTCCACCTCTATTAGCGCTTGCCCAAGCCTGTTCAGTTAACTACAGTGACGTGAGTGGTAAAGGCGCGCTTACCTTATTTCCAGGTTCTCTGTTCTCTTCGCTGGGAGGAGAAAAGAACCTGGGAATGAGCTTAGAGGTGCGAATGACCGATCGGATATCTCGCTGCTTAGTTTGCCTTAAGGACGCAAGGTGCTAAGCTATTCCCTAGTCTCTAAAACTCTCATTTAAAGTGAGGTCAAATTCAAAATCTTTCTATTTAAAATGAGCCTCGTAAGCACGAGCACCAATAAATTATTCTCAAATCAAAGGCTTCGCACTTGCACTGGTTTTAAAATCAGAGAGAGAAGGCATTTTGAGGTAATCTTTAAAGAAACTGTTATTTTACTCTCGTTAAACGACAACTGCATTGTAGTAATGGTATGAAATGCGAAATTCAACCAAAACAGAAACGAGGCTGATTCATGACTCGAGTAAGAAGAAATATCTGACCTCCGTTATCTACAACGACATATGAAGCCAGGTCTTCGTTCACTGATTCGTCTCCAGTCTCCCCCAGGAAGTCTTTCATCTGTAGCGTTCTGCAGTAAAACGACGCTGCTTCAGGTTCTAAAGCAATCAATAGTTGGTCTGGGTCGTCGGGTGACGCCAATCCTGCCTGTAAGAAGAGAACTCTCGTTATGCAAATGACTTGCGTGACACCAATATGCTCGTATCACGCCAACAGAGAATCTGTACAAATACATCACAGATGAGTCTACTAATGGCGCGGGGTCGAAAGGAAGAGCAACATAAGAGCTTTCCTGTCTCCCCTTCCCATCGCTCTTGAAAACTTCTCTCTCTAACGGTCCCGCGTTTTCGGCTTAAGTATTACCAAGAGGTCGTTGTAGTGGTGGAAGGGTCTATCTTCACTGTTCGTTTGCCAGTACAAAGAATATTTTCTACGAGCCCATACTATGGAATTTTGGAGTGGGGTTACTAGTGTATTTCACCTAAAACAAATTATTACAGAATATGTATTTTAAGCGTCATAAAGCTTTTGAATTTAGTCTTAACTTCTTGGAAAAGAGTCTACAGTTATACGGTACTCTATAGAGATTAAATTGATTCAAGCAAAAGAAGTGTTTATGAATTACCTTATAAGCTGCCTCTCGCATGAATTCTTTGGCAGTCGGCTCCCAAATGGCGGGAACCGTTACCACCCATTGTACATCACGCGACTCATAAGTTTTACCCCGCTGACCACTGGCATTGATGCATTCCATTGCCTTGTCACCCAAATATGCCAGGCACACTGAGAACAAGTCCAAAGCTTTGACTACTGCTCCGCTTGATGCCATCAAGCTGGTGTCCTGGGAAAGAGCCTAACAATGAAAGTCAAGTCTTGTTTTGGATTTTTTCCGTCCGTGTTTAGAAATATTTACAACAACACTCAGTCATGCATGTTTCATTTTATTCATTCATCTTGGCCCTATTCATCCTCCCGGTTATTTTAAAAAAGCAAGTCAGAAATATTATTTTTTTATACTAAGGTCGCTTAAAATATTGCTCTAAACTAAAGGACATAACATTGGTTTCCAAGCCCGGTAAATATTAACTTAGCAGATGGGAAAACGGGCCCGCGATCTTCCAGGTGTTTACACAATCTATTTATTAATTGTTACATCAAGATTCCGCCACGCAGTTTAAGAGAGAACAAAATTAATGAGGATGAGACGGCCTTACTCATCAGTTCGACGTGATACTTATGTGATGCTTTGCGATGTTATTCTTTTCATTTGTAGACGAAACTGGGACGAATTGATCCTGTGTTTTAATGGTGGTTAAGTTCGAGAGCTGAAAGACCACCAAAGAAAAATTCAGTGCTATGAAACACCTAATAACGATATTTAGCTATTGTTCTTGAATTTTCCAGTATTTAACAGCGGCCCACACTTAAAGAAAAATCGAAGGCGTGTCACATTAAACCAATTTGAGCTGTCTACTTTTGTAACATAAATACTTAGGATCAATTGACCTCGTCTGTCAGGTCGTTTTGACAAAACTGGAATCTTCACTTGATCGCATACAAATAAACAAAGCGAAAACCTGATTAAATATCGTTCCAGAAAATTACATTTGAAAAATCGGTTTGATCGTATTTTAGTTAAAGAAATATTCTGAACGAGAAGACAATTTGGCAGCAAAACCATGATTAATTTTGTTGAAAATGAGCTTCGAGAAAGGAGCGGTCTCCTTTAAATAGGTCTTTTGTAATATGTCCTAATTTCATGCTGAGAAAAGATAAAAACAACGCCAGAAAATGAGACTGTTTGCAAAAGGCATTATAATGCAGAAATTTCACCTCAATATCTGATTAAAGTGCTTTCTTTCGTGAGGAATGCTTAGGCTGTCGGTAATATCAACAAGACAAAACATCAGCGTGCGTGGCTTTTTCTTTCATCAGTTCACACAATCACTTGGGAATCTATGCGCGCGTCGTTTCATTTGGACATGTTGGTTTTTCAAAAATGTTCTCTTTGCTGTGTTGTCACAGAATTTTGAACGGCATTTTCACTATAGATATCAACAAGAATTCAGAGGCAAAACTTATAAATTAGATTAGAGCAGAAAGGAGACAGGAGGAGAAAGAAAAAATGAAGGAATTTTTAAGAAATCAATAAAAGCTGAGACAAAAGGTACCCGTGAGCTGGACGCGAAAGCGTAAACAAACCACTTGCCTTTGTATTGTAGAGAACTAACTTGAACCTCTCAAAGTAAATGATATCCTGATTATTTCCTTTAGCCAGATTTTTGGCATAAGCTTCGACAGCAGCATGGCCAAATTTGCTAAAATTTCCATCCGGCGCTAATAGGACGCTGGTTGGCGTTTTGTAGAAGCTGAATCCTTGGCCACGACCCCATCCACGAAATACTTGTATACCCGACTCGCCCGAAACGTTTGCTTCAGCAAAACCGAACCCGGAGTATGTCGTTCCAAAATCGATGGCAACAGTAACAGACCGCTTTCTTTCTTCCATGTTAGAGCAATATGTGTGGGTGAATGTGTTCCGAAGAAACGAGAATCGTTTTTGAAGTCCCCTGGTGATCTGATATTCCGCTAACCCGATATGGTGAAGAATTGTCATTGGACAAAGTTATATTGCCGACGTCATCGCAGACAAAGGTATTCTTGCCCAGATGTGTTGTGTTGACCAAACGCTGTCGATAGCTGTCGAGATAACAGATCATTCAATCTGAACTGATAATGCATGGTCGAACGGTCTTTGTTAAGTTGCAACTCAGCGAGAGACCTCACGATTTCAAACTGGTGATTAAATTGGCCGTCTGTCACTTATTAATCTTAATGACTAATTAGACGTTTCCTCTCCAATAGAAGAAGCATCGTTCAATGAACAATCCCTACCACTGCTCTCACTGGTTGGAAACTATTATTGACGTCAGAATCAATATGATAGAAAATACTTCGACAACTCTACAGGCTTTGATAAAATTCTGAGATTTTTTTTTCTAAACCCTAAGCGGATGGCCAAAAAATTTCCTGTGGGGACATTTTCTACTCTAGAGAAGGTATTGGATCGCAACCTCGGTTTTCTTCAGTTATTAAATAATTGAATATTCATCGGCGGTCTGCGCTGAAAATCCTTATCCTCTTTATATTTATGCATGTGCCAAACAGAGTAATCTCAGATTGGCTAGGGTTTAGAGAGGTTTGCCTCCAAAATGGCCTCTTAACACATCCCTTAATTCCATAACACCCACAAATATATAATTTTAGATTATTTGGATTATCACATATATCACATGTGAAGTTTTAAAGTCATTGCAACCAATCTGCCTGAAAATATTTCATTCACAAAATTAAGACAAATTCAAAGAATTTTGTCTCCGTTAGCAACCGCACAAAGTTACAACTTTCAAACTCAAGGAATTCTAGCATTCATAAGAGTTTGAGCTAAGAGCGCTCGAGTGTTATGATTGTGTGCGCTTTTCGAAAAATATGACTGAGAAAGATGGCACAGGTAAAAAAGAGTAAACTTACCATATAAGTTCAAAGAATTTTATTTTTACAAGCTCCAGGTCACATTTTTTTTTTGAAATGAGTTTTTACTTTTTTTAATTAAAAATGTGTATAGTAGTTACGTTATCATCTCTCCTTCCACCTCCCTTAGAATTGCCTATTTAAAACAATAACATCTCGGAGAGATTTAGGGGAGCGGCGATGAGTCGGATTTCAATACAAAACCTACTTAAATTCACTGAATCATTTCATTGCTACGCATCATTTCCGATTTTTGCCACATAACATTCTCGACAAATTTTATTTAAAGTGGTCACATATTGGGAAAATTAAAAAAATAAATAGTGGATCTAAAGAAGAAAAATCGCGTATATTTAGAATGCATGAGTTGAATCTGACTGTCGACAAAGGTCGAAATCGTTTCATTTCCTCTGTACAATTTCATCATCTAACTACCTATGGAAACGTAAATACGGCATTGCGTGACAGAGTACGTTCGAAAGATTTAGATTATCACGCAGCGACTGTCAAGCCTTGCGTGACGACCTAAACTTTCGAATGAGAACGGAAAAACTTTTTCTGGAAAAAGTTGTTATTATTTACTGCTCTATATACAAATAATTAATTAGTAAAAGTGACTGTCCTTCTCGTACCAAATGTTCTTCCATTGCGACTGTGATGTTCACCACCAACTGAATGTTGATTAGAAACGACGGTCAAGGAAGAACCTAACATCAGTTGAAAATCAGAGCATTCGTTGCCCGGAAGTTGAAACACTACTGTGGTAACGGATGCGCGCCCATCTGCAGTATGCTCTTGACTAACAGGGGCTATAACAGGTCGGTCCTTTACGTCCCTAAGTCGTAAATGGTTGTCTTTGACCGATGAGCTGTCACGCAATAGGAGAGTAGCTATGTCGCGTTTGACACGCCAAAGACTTGGCTGTGGCTTTTTCATTTGACAGAGAAACGAGTACGTTGCAAATGGCCGGTTTTTCATCGTTCTCAGCTGATGCTCTTGCACCTCGATAACTCTTCTTCGTGTGTGATACTGTTTGATCTTCCAGCCGAATACGCTGACAGAAACCACAAGAAAAAATGCGGAGAAAAACACTGAAAAGAACACGAACAAGTCAATCTGGGACAGGTCCTGCCTGAAGTATAACTGACCTTTGGTCCCAGACCCGTCACGGCCAACAAACACCATATAGAATCTTGTGTCACGCAGGTAGTGTGACATGTGAGGGAATGTCAGCACAAGACGTCTCCTAACATCTCGAATAATAAGTGCCTTGTGATTATCTTGGTAGGAAACGAAGGTGTTTAGGTCAGTACTTGATGCTACCTTTACGTTCACCTCATCGTTACCACTGTAGCTATCAACTCCGTCTTGTTCTGATGCTCGCTTCTTTCGTCTGAGGGTGTTAATTGACCGAGAAAATTAATTAGTAGCCGTCACTAAACCTGGGAGGGGTGGGGGTGGGGGTGGGGGTGGTTACTTGCAGGTTACCATGTGGTTCTCATTCTTCACGACCCAGCAGACTGGATCGAGTGTGTGGGATCGAGGCTAACTAGTAAACTCACAAGAAAAAGTACTTAAAAGAGCAAACAAACTTTTAAGTGGTTCTACTCTTTTCGTTTTACTTTTCTTGTTAAAACTTCCGACAAGAAACACTTTTAGGGTGTTCTACACCCAGTTTTTTTTTAACCTTACGTCCATAACATAACGAAAATGGCCTAGTACTTACCTTGACGAGGCAAGGGATTTGACTTTCACTTTATGATGTCCAGAGGTTTCGTTAAGAGTCACTGTGAATTCGTCATTTTCATCTGCAACGAAAACATCGACTGATCCCTCGAACACATCAATAGTCATGCGAATATCCACGTTAGTAAACCTGGGATATATAGCGTAGAAAATAGCTTGGCCATATGGTAACGGTTCTACTGTTTCCTCGCTGGTCTCGGATGTTTTTTTACCGATCACAAACTCCTTCATGACACTAATCTTTCTGTAGCACTGCTGATCATTGACTGGGTTACCCATGAAGGTTTCTTTACATTTAACGCACTGTGGAGTGGAATAGTTTCTTGTTAGTTTAACCCTTTTGACCCCATGAATGACCAAGACAGAATTTTTTCCTTACAATATCAATCAATATCAAGCAGGCAAGTAATGAGAAAGGAGAAAATGTCAATTAGAGGATTAGGAGTTGATCCAATACCAAGTTCTTTGAACCAACCTCATAAGAATTAAATGGCAGACTGTAAGGAGAATTACTAACGAGATCTTAGGAGTGAAAGTAAAGGTAACCTAATCTTAATTATAAGGTGTGTCGGAAGGGTTCTTGTGCACTACGTTCCAAGCTTTTTGAAACGACTTTTTTCAAAAAATTATTTTCATTTTTCAAGCTTACAGTCAACGGCATAAAGCGACTTTTATTTTTAAGGTTTGCTCAAAAATTTAAAATTTTCCAAGATCACGTAAATAAAATTAGAGAACTGAAAAAAGGTGTAAGTCCGCTAACTTAACATGTAAATATTCTTACAGAGTAATCAAGCATCTCTTATCGCTTAAAAACAACTTCACAATATCCTTTCACTCTTTTCAAAACCTCATCTTTCTTCTCGAAACTTTCTCCAGGTCCTGCAATTATTTTATTATTTTCATTGTTTTCCTCAGTAATTCAAGAATATACAAGAACCCTGTGACATATTACGCAATACAACCATCGCGCGACTGAGCGAGTGGGAAATGTATCGCGTGACTATCTTGTTCCGTGTGTACAACTTCCGGTGTAGCCGGAAACTGACCTTACTATCTGATTGCAACTTAAAAGAACCAAATTTTCGCGCGAAAAATGACTTTCAGAATGAAAAAGGCAGTGTGTGGCCACTTTCATCAGTGCGGTGTTTCGGTGATTCCCAAACATTTGGTTTTTCAGATTTTTTGGCGGAAACTTTGTTGATAATTTACTTTTTAAAGCCTTTTTTGAAGGCTAAAGGTTGACTCCAATGTTCTTTGCTCTGACGAAGAGGTAGCGCTCGAAACGTCAACTTTAAAAAAATAATTAGGGTGGCCATTTTACATTATCAACTCATTGATAAAAACTAAATGAACTTGTAATACCCCCACTGACGCAGCACTACAGTTCCTTGAGAAATTTACCCCGTTTATTCTAAGGAAAATAGCCCTGCCAAATACAAATTAAAAAAAAAACCATCAAACTGTAAAAGAAAAAAACTAAAACAAAATAAAACTAGCGAAAAACAAAAAAAAAAACAAAACAAAAATAACACTTGCCTGATTTTTGTAACAATCCTCTGTGTTTGGACAGTCTTCCATTGTGTTGTTGCCACAATGACATATCCCTTTCTTAACATCACAAGAATCCGCATGTCCGTTACACAAACATCTGAAGTAAAAAACAAACAAAACATATTAAATCATACATTGATAGAAATATGGTAGGTACCATTTCACTTTTGAACCTGGTTTCATTTGACTTACATAGCGACAAAAAGAAATGCTGAGAGAAATTTTGATTTCCAAGTCGTCATTCAAGAACAAAGTGCAGTACGGACAGCCGAGAAAAATAAAATTGGACTGCAAACGCTTGATCACTTGATCAATATTCTGCGGCCAAATTGAAGAACTTTCCCTGGAATGATATATCATTTAAAAACGAAGAACAATTTAGGTTATTCGCTTCAAGAAATATTGCGTGAGCCTTAACGGAGACATTTTAAAGATTTGTCGCGTGCGAATGACCTTTTTCGCTCTGTCTCTCATTCTTTTGTTTTACGTCATCAGACCTATACAAAGAACTCAAACACTGGGGAACAAAAAAAGCTTATAAAGTCACGAAATGGCTGAGGAATATTTTCGCTCTCAACGAGTAAAGCAAAAATACCCTTAAAGTAGAAGAATTATTGTGGAAACTCGATCAAATAAAACTTTCACTTGGTTTGAGTTAGGAATAATAATAACAATATACACAACTTAGCATCTATAAATATTCTTTGTCCCATCATAAACACAGAGATGTGAAGACAACACAAACCTAACGCATTCGTCTTTGAGGCTGAAGAACCCAGTAACACACGTTTTACACTGAACACCTTTGCTGTTGTTTTGACACAGGCACTCTTCTTCGTATTCAATCTTGTACGGTCCATGCTTTACCCAGTCCTTCACCTGTTTTCGGTCAAATTTAATTAATACTAAGAAGCCATGTTAAATAGGCATAATCGCATGCACTTCAACAGTGGAACAACACGATCACTCCTTACACAGGTTGAACATCATTTTCCGCTTATCTTATCACAGATCAGTTTCCCCGCGTGAGAAGCTGATTGCATGTTTTCTCGCGCTTGGCGCCGCTCACACGCTTTACCGCACTTCATCCGCCATTGGCACCGGCTCGCAAGATAGCCCTCATTATTAACGCTTCTGCTCAAGTGTTTCTTCCCCTGCGGGAAAGTATGAGGCTTTGCGCAACGCTCAGACCTCTCGCCGACGGGAGGTCTTCAACGGGTCTAGCTTAGCACAGAAACGTGAGTTCGACAGAGCTAATGTTAAGGGCCTATCCACATGTGAGTTTACCCTTCAACTCCCAAGATTTGATTGTTAATTCTCCCTCTAGCTTATGCACGTTTCCTTGTAAATTGGTTACAAGAATTTGGTGTTTTATCGAGGTAATATCTTGTACCCGATGAGTTTCAGTATTCTCACTACCTGTTTGCTGGATAAAGTATGGATATCATGGGGAGAGGTTAAATGTTAATCACTTCTGAGAATTAAAGGGTTAACTGTGATTTGTACCGATGACACATTTCCCGACTTTGGTACCGTTTACAAGGTTTTCGTGCTCAATACCGATTTCGCCAGCTCATTGGTTTATAGAAAGGCCAAAGAATGCAGTCCGTTGCGGTTCAATTACAGATAAATTTAACAGCAAGAGCCCACAAACCTTTGAATAGTTAAAAGACAGAGACAGATTCCGGCCACGCTGTAGATCGGTTTTGTTCATACACACATGTGCTCGATGACTGCACGCGTCATAGCATGATACACAGCTGCCGTTGTTTCTTGCATCTCCAACGTACAGAGCTTCACAGAACTGACAGCTTTGACCCTGAGTACATCAAACAAAAGACCCTTACACCACATTTTTGCGTGGAAAACTAACAGCTGTACCCGTCAATTTGAGTTTAAAAATCCCTAAAATGGTTCTCAAAGAGCATTTTTTGAAAATACCCAATCACTGCGATAATTCAGCCACAGCTATGACACTGATTAGGGTTTTGTTTGGCACATTATGTAACGATTCCTGAGGAAATGCGCAACAAACCAGTAGCCTATCATCATCATTGCGCAAAAGCGTCTTTCATCAACATTCCTATCCTTGCAGTGAGCAAGAAGTTTGTCAACACAGACCTGGTTTGACGGCCTAGCCTACCACCAGTCTCCTGTAACTTAGTGATAGAGCTTTTGAGGTACTAATCGGAAGCTCATCGGTTTGACTCGGAGCACTCGGAGTTCCGTCTTCTTTCCGAGTATACCCGTGTCATTCACTGAATAACATCACCTTTCAGTAACCTCTGGTTTGTCATTGCATGGAAATTCGCTACCATGATGTTTATTCAAAATCTAAAACGCGCAATAGGATAATATGAAGAGCATCGTGCAACAATTCTCGCGGTAGAAAATATTTCGTGATAAGGCAGAAAGCTCCAGACCATTAAAGATAATTACGTGACAACAACTTACTACTGTGTGGTTCCGACAGTCGTAACAGACATCCAGATGTGTCTCATTCGCACACTGTCCGTGATCATTACACTGACATTTAACAGAGCAGTCAATAGAGGTCCAACCAAAGTTACATTCGCATACTTCTGGGCGGACACAGCGACCATGAACGCATCCTTTAGAACACACTGGCAGACAAATTCTGGAAAGAGATCAGCGATAGGTGAACTGCCTTATTAATTTGATCATTTATTCATTTTCCATATTGCGTCAACAATAACAAAGCCTGACCACAACATTGGGATCTACGGTCCCTGCTCTTTGGGTAAAGTGCGTGGGTTCTTTAACGTCCCCTGCTAATCAGTACGGAGAAGATGCAGGAGACGGGATCTACGGTTTATCGTCCTCATCCGAGAAGACTAGAATGTCGAACCATTTGTGGATGTCCTTGTGGATGCACATTCTCCTCACTTCTTGCAAGACCCTAAGTGTTGATCCAGCCTGGGGCTTGAATCCTCCCCCTCCTCCCCCTCCTCCCCTCCCCCCCCCCCTCCCCCCCCCTCCCCCCTCCTCCCCCTCCTCCCCCTCCTCCCCCTCCTCTAATAAAACCTCTTTATACGTATCAGTTTTTCCCGCAATCCTCCTAGGTTACTCATGACTCTTACTCACCCTGGGTTCCCTGTGTCGTTGTAACCCGCCTTACAAACACACTTGAACGCCTCCGGTAGGTCCACGCAGTCCTGCGTAATACTGTTACAAGTGTGTCGTCCATTGAGGCACTCATTTTCCAGGGGACACAAAGTAGAGGCCCACACACGCGACACGTGGTTGGAAGCGTTCCTTCCTGGACAAGAACGCTGAAGAGGACCTTAAAAGGCAGATCGCGAGGGAAAATAAGAGATTTTTAGAGAGTCGATTACGAGTTTGAGATTTCCCAAACAGTGAAACGGTCACCCTGCGCGACTGTTTCTGGTTGTCATTTTCTATATACTTAGCGATTTCTTAAGATACAACTGCCGACTAATTTTTGTTATGGCTTCGAAGTCTCTGGTCTCCTTATATTTGTACAGCAGTGATATTTTTTATTAAGCGCGACAAAACAAAGGAAGCGTCAGAATGTTAACGTTACAATTCTTGCGCATAGATGGACGAAAAAAAATATAAAAGCAACCCACCAATGGAAAGTTAATGACTAGGGAACTTAAAAGTAAATTACTGTGAAAGGTTCCTAGTATAATTTGAATGAAGAACGCCATTAAGACAATAATATTTATAATAATGATGATAATAATTATATTAGTAATAATAATACTATCACGTTAATTAATTAACCAATCCCCCACTGGGGCTACTCATAACCAATAGAAACAAACTGGAATCAAACGTAGTGTTTAAAAATTTCAACTGGCTTGAGGTAGACCAGTTGGTTGTATACAAAACGCAACCACTTAGTATAGCTCGGGGCAACTGAGAACAGATCCATGAGTGGCAGGATGGAAAACGCCAGATTACAAGTCCACCGCACTAACCACTCAGCCACACCTACCACCCGTTAAATACTGTGTCTTCGGCCATCAATGTACTATAACCATCCAATCAGATTCTAGAATTTCCTGAAGGGCACGAAATTTTAAAACTACACCAATTATCACACTGACCTTGCAGTCCGCCTTCAAAACATTCCCCTTCTCCTGTTGTTCCATACTTTCCGCACCAGCCGCAGTTATAACTACTCAAACAACTGGAGCATTGATTACTGTGATTACTGTCAATGCAGTTTCCCATGCAGTTCGAAGACGATCCTCGCAGCACTCGTCCGCAACGTCCCGTCAAACAGATGAGCGGCAGGGCAGATGGCGAGAAACACTGACCTAAAGTTTCACTCCAGACACATTCCTTCCAAGCGCCATCGGCACCTGAGAGAACAAAAAAATTAACGATAAGCTGTCTTGCTCTCAGAGTTCCGGACCTTGTCGCTTTCCTTCTATCCGCCTAAATTAGAGACCTCTCCAACACGGCGACTTAAATTAAAAACATTTTTATCAGGTATTCAATTATTTAAAATCACTAACTCATCTTCGCCAGCCCGCTACGTACCAACTTCATGACCTCGTGCCAAATATTTTACAATTTACCTCCCACTCATTCAATAAGCATTTAATCACATAACCACCTGGTGTAATCTTGTGTTTCAACCTAAATACGATGTACTAACATACATAAAACTCAAGGGTGCGCACTGGACAACTACCAAAAAAATTCTACATGAAAAACTCACGTCGACCAGTCCGCACCCATAAACGTCAGCTTTCACAATAGTTTTCTATCTCTTCTACGGGATTGTTATTTTGACCCCCGCCTAGTGGCTTGGGCTCTGAGTGCGACCCAAGATATATTTATGCCCGCGTACATACATTTTATTGTTTTAACAAAATTTCTCGATGTGACCGGTTGCGATTTGTAATGGTAATTGATATGAGCGGAGTGCGCTGCGCGCTCGTTCGATTTAGAAATCACTCATAATCACTCACCAAAATTGCTTGACACAAAGTTAAATAACCATTTTATTAGATCCACTTTGAAATCAAAAAATTCAGCCACTCAGATACAGGATTTGTTTGGTCTTTACAAATGTTTTAATGATCCAGTGCTGAGCTGGTTTGTAAAAAGTTGTCTTTTATATTCCTCTAATTTGATTGGTTAGTTTAAACAAGAAAAAATAAAAAGAGATTTCTAGTAGGCTGAGAAAAAGATGAGATTTAGAACAAGAAATGGTGCAATTCGTAAATAAATCGCACTAATAAAAGCCAATCAGATTCCAAAGATTACCAGTGATTTCAAAATGGATGTAATAATGGCACGAATGGAACAATGTAGGCGGTATGAATGTGTAACTAGAAAGGTCGATAATCATTGGTTTCCGTCGATAAGCACCAACAATAGTCTGTTATTGAGCTTACCTTCGTTCTTTCTGATCCCGAACGTGGTTCGGTGTTGCGAATTTTGAAAAGTTGCTACCTTCGACATCACATTGTGTGTCCATAAAACACAATTACAGACCGAATGAAAACCAACCCGCCAATATATTCCTCCGAAATATTCTCCAGGTTAGTCAAGTGACACATTCAAAGGCTCTCATCTTAATTGCAGATCATAAAAGCAAGTAAGCAACTTAACTTAATCTTATACCTACATTTAATTGTTCACTACATAGTTTTATCTTACTAAACGACGATGAATCTTACTCTTTAGCAGTAATTACACCATGCTTAAGTAATAATTACTTTATTATAGTAATTATTTTAGTATATTATTATTATTGTTTCATAATAACTGCCATTACACACATAATTACAACTGCTACTATCATTAAACGTTACAGCATAAGCATAATGTTATCATTTTCTAGCGTAGGAGCAGTAACAATATAAGGACAGCGCATTAGAGCTAGCTTGTTCCTGGCGATCTGTTGGTTAAACGGAGGGAAATAACAAACGGCGCAATACTAGCAGAGGAGTGAAAAAGCGAGAGAGGTCTGGGTCGGGTTAGGTAAAGAACGGGTTCATTACGCGACTCGACCCAAGCCTCCCTCAAGTTTTTACTCCACAACTATAGTGCTGTTTACTATCGTGTTTCATTTTACAACATGGACGCCTGGAACAGGTTACATTAGAGGTTATTGCGTTTTCCAGCGCCATTAAACACTGTCCCTGGACTAACCTGGTGAAGAGAGGCAGGCAGTGCAGCTATTGTGAGCTGTACACGGCTGGGGACAGGAGCTTGTTGTTACTGCCTTAATACCGATAGCTGCGATATCTTCTGTTCGTAAATTTCCCCAGCAGTTCCAACTGAATGCATGGGGAGCGATTGAAAACACCAGTCGAACCTCAGATTGCCATTTTAACTGCGGTGTCCATACGCACTGGTTTTGCAGGCCTATGCAAGCCGAGCATGAGGTCGCTTCACAATTGTTCGGAACGCAGAAGTCCGAGTTTAATTGCTGTTGCTGCGTGGCTCGGGCGCACGGGTGCGCCTGATTACAATCGTCAGACAATCCTATACATTTCCCCCCCGTGCTACAACCAACACACCACTTACAGCTTGGATTAAGGTTTGTGTGGACTGGAGATGCTAAACACGTGCTGCATGAGAAGAATGAGCTGCACACGCGATCTGATTGGTCAGAGCATTCTGTACCATTGTACAGTGTAACCTACAATTTCAAAGGAAAGAAAAGAAAAAGTTAGCACAGCTCAGACTAGTGGCCCATCCAGTCGGAGCTTATCTTTTTTGTAGCATGAAGCGACTAAGAGTATTACAATTCCCCTTGAAAAGGGATGCCACTATAAGTTGATTTGTACTTTGTCGGGTTTACACAATACCCATTTCTAATCCTGGGAGGAGACGGGAACTTCGGAGCAAAGTGGCTTGTTTAAGACCACAACAAATTGACCCAGCCAAGACTAGAACCCAGACCTCTCAATCCAGAGTCCAACGCTAACCACAGGGCCGCCACAGAACGTGAGTAAATGTGAGTGAGATAACTTTCGTATTTGATCAGCAGAAAGTTATTGGTAAGTATGTTCACGCAATCAGACTCCAGCTGACTCAGTGAATGAGTCAAGCCAGTCAATCGTGACCTCTAGTCCATTCCTCGGTAGGGAGATCGGTCTAGCCGGTCAGACAAGACTGACAACGGTCCGTCAGACGATTAGCTAGACCAGTCTGTCAAGTCTGACGAAACGGTCTCGACTTATCAGCCAAACCGTTGCTCAATTTTGGTGCAGAAATTGTCGGGTACAAATTTCCACACAGAAAATTCATTGAACCTTTAAAAGCTCGCATAATTCCGCCAGAACTTCGAGTTGAGTTTTAATATCCACGGTTTAGAAGAAACCAGGTACTATCCTACTACGTGTTTTAAAATACCTGCGTGACATTTGGTTCGGCGTAACAGGCAGCTGGTAAAGGTGACGTCACGGAGTAGCACGCACTGTTATTGGTGAGTAAGGTAACATTTCCCCCTTGCGTGACATTCTTCAGTTCACACCAGCTGCAGGTCTTAACAGCACTGCAGTTCTCTTTGGAAGTATAACCTTGGCACAGATCAACAGGAAGAGTGAGTCTAAACAGGTCTGCTTGTGTTTGACCGTCGAATCCTCCAAAAAGGTAAAATTTGCCAGCGATCTGGACCGTAGCAGCAGACAAAAGCCCCTCAGGTTTGCTACCGACCAAATTCTTTTCTGCAAATTACAGGAGAACACAATAAGAAAAAAGAAAATATAAATAAAAATTGAGCGTTTACAATAATCCATTCGCATTAGTTTTAGGTCAACTCCGCTCTGCGCCTGGTCGAGGAATTCGCACCACTCTATCAACCAATCAGATTCAAAACTAAATCCAATCGTGACTTAGTCACACGCGTTTTCTCGCATTTTTTGCCCGCTTGGTTTTTGCTTTGAGTTCTCATTGGCTCCTTATGATATTTCCTTTGTTGTGATTGGCTGTTGTAGTCATCATGGTTTCGGTAATTTTCTGACAGCGGATAGGAAAGCAAATGGCCAAAATTATAACGAGTTGGTGTGATTTACAGAGTTTTAAAACAAAACAAACGATAAATAATACCTGAGAAAAGATGCCAATAGTTGCATTTAACATTATAAAACCAAAGTTGACGTGAGAAAAACTGATCCGAAGTGTTACTCCTTCCTCCGTAGACAACCATAAGATCATCAATAATGGCTGTTGAGTGAAAGTATTTCGGACTCGGCTGCAAAAATAGTACAAGAGCAAGATTAATGAAAAACACGCGGCACTTTAATCGTCTTTGCTGTTAGCAAACTTTCGTTCCTGAGTTTGTACGGGTAAGTAAGAAAGGTGAAGATTTGTGGCTAACATTCACGATAAAATAATCAAGAACGTTCCTGGTAAAAAGTGTTTCACTATGACAGAACTTTCAATAGTCTGAAGTATTCTGTGAAAAAGACGAGGGAACAAACAAACAAAATATGTCGAAATAGAAATTGCATGCAAACGAGACCAAACTTGTAGCTACATTCATCCTCTGTTTCAAAGGGAGGCCTTGTTTGGTAGTCTCGACACTTCGTCCACAAAATAACCTATCTAGATATAATTAGAAGGATTGCTCAATGGAGTAACTCTTATCTAATATTTTTTTTTCGCACAAAAGACATAGTAATTTGGATTTCACAAGTCTTACCTCATTGGACGGCATAGGCTGCAAAATGCTCCATTTCTTTGATGTCAGATCAAAGGAGTAAAGCTCATCTGAAGCGGCGACTGAGTGAATCCTGAATCGATATCCACCAAACACCAAAATAATCGTCTTGCTGGACGTGGTGTAATGCACAGCAGAATGTCCATACACACCTACAACATACAAAACAAAAACATCGGGGTTTGCCTTCTAGAACAATTTCTAGTTGAGAGTATATCAAAGTAATTCGGGATTGCATTGGTTTTACTTCGCTACTGTCGACGATTGTTCCAGAACACTCGCGCCATTTTCTAATCCAATTAGATGCAAGCCAAAACCACTCTTTATGCTTTTAGCTTGTTTTTACAGTAAATGATCAATGGTTCGTTGTGATGTTTACTTTTCTCCTGATTTTAGCCTTTGTGATTGCTTTCGTTTTGGTTTTACGACTCTTTAATGAAAAACGCTAGGGAAGGGGGAGGGGTGCGGTGGGTGCGGTGGTGGTGCGGAGGATTTCGCTTGTATAACGATAAAATTTCACCTGATTCCCCCCATAAAGCTCTGCAATACAATATTCTTATGATTCCTCTCTCCCGTCCTCATTGGCGACGACTGATCCCCTCCGCACCGATCCCTCCCAAAATCCTCCCCCCCACCCCCCATGCGATAAATAATGACTGGTCCGCGAAACAACCACCACCATGGACGATACAAACCTTTGGGGGAAGGTCCGCTTGTTGTCAAGTTCGCCCACACCTTAGTGATCACATTGTATTTGTAAGATCTCTCGCTAAAGCCCCTGACGCGGTCATATCCTCCGATAATGTAAATATCATCTCCTACAAGAGTGATAGTGTGACCTGCCACCTTGGGGCCCTTGCTGATCAACTAGAGGATTGGAGGGGTAAAAAAAGCATTAGATAAATCTACATTCTCAGTTACAGCTGTTTGGGACAGTGCAGCATTTCTGGTCTCTCGAGCAAACTATTTTTGGTTACTTCACCATCCACCTTCTAGCCAGCAAAATGTTCAATCCGGTATTTCGTAACACCATATTGCCTCATCGGATGGGGATGTTAAATATATCATGGAGTTATGACTGACATAATGTTACAACTTACTTGACGTACTGTCACTGTATACTGTATCAAGTAGAAAAACAAAAATAAAAGCGAGGTGCTTGAGCTCTGCCCACAGTGACACTCAAAAAAAAAAAAAACCATTCTCTTCCAACTGTTCTTCCTTCATCCTCTAGCTGTAGTGAGGCGCGTTAGGTACATCGCACTCCCACACAGTAAATACGAAAGCTTGTAATTTTGATTCAAGAGGCACTGATTGAAGGGAGAAAAAAAATTGCAATGAAGAGTGCACGTTCTTCAAAAGTGTTGTGTAAGATTTCGGGCGGTAACAGAAAGAGTAGGCGCCAATTTCCGTATACCCTCAGCCTTTAAATGCCTCCTCAGGGCAAGTTACCTTATTCCAAAGGAGACTTGTCGTATTAAGTGACCAGAGCGAATCATCAGCACCATCATCAGTTTCTCCTCCATAAACCATCATAGCGTCCTATAAAATCACGGTTCAAAGCTCTGAATATGACCTGTAATGTTCCTCAAATTCTTAACTTCATTAGATGTTAATTTCTATCTTCAAGTTGTTAACCCTTTATCTCCCAAGATCTGATTGTCAATTCTCCCCTCTAGCTGCTACACATTTCCTTGTAAATAAGTTATAAGAATTTGGTGTTAGATCGAGATAACAACTTTTACCTGATAAGTTTGAGTATTCTTATGACCTGTTTGCTAGATAATGTTTAGATATTACAGGGAGAAGTTACATGTTAATCACTCTTGGGAGTCAAAGGGTTAATAGAGTAATTTTTCAACTGAGTGCCAAAAGTGATCCGAGACTGCGTTAGTTTTGTGTTAATCCGCTCTGTGATTGGTCGAGAAAACTCGCGCCACTCTCTCAACCAATGACATGCAAAACTAAAACCAATCACGACTTGGTCGCCCGCGTTTTCCCGCGCTTTAGGCAATTCGCTTTTTTTCTATGAGTTCTCATTGGCTTGTCAAGGTATTTTCCTTTCTCCTGATTGGCTGTTGTAATTACTTTGCTTTAGTCTCACGACAGTTTTTACAACACTCAACAGAAAAGCACTCCAATACACCCTGTTAACTTTTTGTAAGCATTACAACTAAGGCGTTTTAATTTCTCCTGGAATATCTGATTGCGAAATTTCTTTTCAGGGAGAGGAAACGAATTGCAATCTGAGCATTTTTAAAGAATCGAATTACACGGTTCTACGATAGCATTGTCTGTTCATATTTAATCTCTGTTCTTAGCAAAGCACTTAGTTACAATACAAAGCTTCGTTCACCATAAATTACTGCACTTACTGTATGAAATACGGCCGAGTGAAGATATCGAGCAGGGGGAACCGTCACGTTGACACGATTCACTTCCATAAGTGACCAAGTATTGGAGGTTAAATTGTAACTATAAAGATCGTCCAACAGTCCGTAGGTGAAGGAATAACCAGCGTAAACCAACAAAACTCCTGGTCCATGCACCATGGTGTGCCCCATACGAGCCAAGCGATTGGTACTTTTGTTAGGGTGTGGTCCACCACTGAGAACCTCCCACACCCCGTCACCAGGAGTGATGACTTGACTGCAGTCGGGGCCAGCGAAACCACTGGAGCAAATACAGCTTCCTAAAGTCTGTTGATTTAAGTATGGTTACAACCATTTAGACTTTTCAGTCATGTCAATTAACCGCATATGAAAAAGAATTAGCGCTCCGACGCGAGCGCTTCCTTGTTCGCGGGAAAGTATGAGGCCCTGAGCAAATGCGAGTCGGCGAGAGATCTGCAAGGGGTCTGGCACTATTAGTACAAGACCTCCGGTGAAACTCTCCCCGACTTGTCTCAAATCTTCCCACGGACGGAGAAACGCGCGTCATGCGGCGCTAATAATGAGGACCTCCTCGCAAACTAAAAAAAAGAGCAATTACAAGAACAAATGTCGGTAGTGGTAAGAAGGCTAACAAAAAATATTTTCCTTTCTAAAAGAGGATCTTCTCGCTACAGACACTGTGGAAATATTTTATCCAAACTAGCCAATAGTGTTACATGCAAATCCGTTCTCTATTCAGAGAAATTAAAAAAAAAAAGCGAAAATGATCCATTTTATTTCAGTAATAGCACATCCACTATTTGCAGGCTGTTATGAAATTTTGATTGTTGGTTTTTGCAAGGGAAGGATAACCAAAGAATCTGGGACGTTGGAAGGCACGAAACCCTCGCTACTCCCCACATCAGATTAGCTATGAAAAACAAGCACAGAATATCGCGTTATTGCATTAACCTTCGGCGGGTTTTAATTATTGCAGGTTGTAATTTCTCTCAATAGTGCATACTGCACCTACCTGATTACAGTGTCCTTGGCCAAACGACAAGCTGCAGTTGTTTGGACACAACTGTTGGTTACAAGCGTCCCCTGTCCACCCGTCTAAGCAAACACATTGCTCCCCATGTGAGGTCATCACACATTTCATATTTCCATCACAGAGATCTGGGCATTTTCTGACTTTGAACTTCGCACTGAAGCCTTTTGAAAGTGCACCGGAACTCAAATCAGCCTTGACGAGTACAACCATGTTCCCCAACTTGGCCGTGACAGATCTTAACTTGTTTCCACTCCAATCGCAGAACGACCCCAGCTTGTAAAATGACTGGACGGACGACGAATTATCCAGTACAAAAGGAGGAAGACCATCGTACACTTCGACATGATCAGTGAGACAATTGATGCGAAGATCCCTGAATGTGAGGATAATATACCCCCTCTTTTCCACAGGTGGAGGAGACGGACCATACACGACATTATGGCTGCTGTTACTCAGTGAAGAGATCAGCCATAAACAGCTAGCTTCCTTCTTGTTCTGCACTCCTCTGCCCATTTCAGTTGAAATGAAACCTTCCGAGATGTCAGTGAGGATACTGCGAGGTTTACATTCATGGAAACACAATCCACCATTCCTGAAATTTATGGGTTGAAGTTAGAGTAATTCTATCTGCTACTGAGAGTGGCGTGCACTTGGTTCTCCTTCACCAAGAGAAGTATGCTCCAGAGACTATAAAATATTTTTTCCCACCATAAAAAAGTACATATTTAACTTTGGATATTGGCCGCATTTTGAGTTTCAAAGAAGGAAAATAACTTATAGAAAATTTTCTTATAATGAGATGACGATTTCGACCGCGGGCGCGCGCCGCCATTTTGATTCTTGCTCAGCAACCTGGCCTATTAGCTCTAACGTAACAAAGCTTTATCACTTTTTTTCTGTCTCTTAGCGTTCTGTTTGAACAATAAGGAGCCGCATAAAAAGGCATTCGTGACTCAAATAATGACTTCTTGGAGGTGATCAAACCAGAAACTTTTTGCCGCGCGTTGTATGTTTGAGTGTGTAGTTAGGTTAGTGAGTTGCTTTCAGTAAATTTAAATTCATTCTTAGGGCTCTTAAAACGCAGGTAGACAAAATTTCATACAAACGTTTGGACAGTGGAGATAACAACTATGTAGTTTCTGGAGCTTTGAAGGGTCAGACAAACCATAACCTACGTTGGATTTCCCATGAGTCCCGGCATACACTTGTCACAATGGAACCCCATGGTTAAATCAGTACAATAGCACTGCCCAGTTGTCATGTCACAAAAATGCTTGTCTGGATCACCGTGACCGTTACACTGACATGGTTTACAACCTTCAGAAGTAGTTGCGTTACCAAATGACCCGGGAACACAGAGCTCGCAATGTGCACCATACGTATAATCTGTGATATAAACACAAAACAAAATGAATTGGTAACAATTACAAGTAAGCTGTTCTTTGAGAATTTTTTACGAGTTTGGAATGGTTTCGGCCAATTTCGCTGGATTTAAACCTATTGTCACAAGATCGTCTGAGCGACTTCGCCGCCGTCTACAACAGCAGGAATACACCCCGTAAACAAATCGGAGGCTACTGAACAATCACTCTTAGTAAAGCAAAAATATGATGTTGAACCGGTTAGGCAAGATGGGGCGGCGCTTAAGAGCGAGGTAAAGTTCTTTTATCACGACCCCTTTTGCTATTCTCACAGGGAAAAAAGGCGCTCCACATATGACTTCGCCAATAACACGTCAACCGGGACAGTGGAAAAGAAATTATACAATAAAGATGTCCACTATAATAGACACATATAAAACAGGTGAGCCGTAAAAAAGCTGACGGCTAAAAGAAGACAAAATCGAAAAGTACAGGTCACAGCTGATTTTAACAAACCCGATTTACAATCGCAGAAGAACAAGATGCTATACGAGTATGCAGACCAAACGTCACAATCCCTTCCAGAATAACCATAACCATTTATTCGAAACTTATCCCAGCTAATTTACCTTGACAGTTGTCGCAAATACCAATGCCTTTGGAACAGTCACTGTGTCCATTACAACCACAATCTACTGAACAGTTTTCCCCCAGCCAGCCCAGATTACAATCACACGTGAAGTCTGCACTGCAAACACCATGATTCCCACAGTCATGATAGCAACTGAACGAAAAACAAATTACAATTAAACTTGCTACATCACTTTCAGCGATCCAAATAAATGAATGAATAAATAAATAAATAAATAAACGATGAAATAAGGATTTTAGCACCAGAACTTCAGCGGGCTGGTTCTTCTTTCGCTGTTTGAATTCCAAATTTGAATTTACAATGTTGGTATTTGTGGAGATAGGAAAACCAGTGACCATGGAGAAAAACTCACGGGACAAAGACGAGAACTAACAAACTCAACCCACATGTGACGTCAGGTTCGGAAATCAAACTCAGACCCCTGCGGTGAGAAGCGACTGCTCTCACCAACCACGAACTTTCCTCTTATTGCGATAAGTGTTAATATATTAACTAGATAAAAGAAATTATATGGATTCAACTCCCACGGATAAATTCAATACACTTGGACCCATTGATTAAGAAGTAGCTACTCGCTCGCTTGAAAAACGCTAACACGTCTGTTCAGGTGGCTATTTCTCTAACTGAGAGGCGAATTTTGACGCTGACGTTTCGGGCGTTAAATCTGAGTCGAAGCAAAAAGAAAAGGTTATATCTATTGGTTCTAATTGCTAGTCGACGGAGAGCAACAGTTCCTTTAAATTTTGTTACCTCGTTCAGACTTACGTTTTATTGCAAACTTTCACACCATCCCCTGTGAAACCTCTGTTACAGACACACTTAAATGAGCCGGGCTGGTTCACACACGAGGCATTAGGATGACACTGAGCCAAGCCCAGCTTACACTCGTCTACATCTGGACACTCTGAGTAAGACCACACAGTACTACAAAATAACCAAACGAGAAACTCACAAATTAGCGTGTGAATGATAAATAACGAGTTGATTCTAACAGCTAAATTACCACAGTACGAGAGCAATTTTCCATTGAGCGTCGCAAGTACGCAGGAATTGCTTTAAATTAGTGTTATTTTACTCCGCTTTCCGAGTTGGTCCAGAAAACTTGCGCCATCCTTTCAACCAACAGGAAGCAAAACTAAAAACAATCGCGACTTAGTCATCCGCGTTTTCCTGCGCTCCAAGTGGTTGCTTATGTCCTTTTTGAGTTCTTACTGGCTAGTAATGATGTCAATCTGTCTCTCTTAATCTCTGATTGGTCGCTCTGTTAACTTTGGTTTGGGTTTTCGACACTCAATTGAATTTACAAAAAGCTCTAATGAAATTTAGGTTTCAAAACGTCTTTAATTTGTTTCTCACTGCCTGCAACTAAGTTTAGAAGCCACACAGTGGAGGAGAGGCAAAATGCACGAGGTAATAAATTAATCAGGGCTGGCTTGTTCAAAGCTGGGTTAAGATAACCCAGGGTTAGTGTGAAATCTGATTTCAGATCTGAAAGGTTTTATAGAAAATTCAGTATAATTCTTTTTGTCAATAATTTGATGATTGGATGCTCCATATAGAATGGAGAAAATGATCCCAAAAAGGCTTTCGAACCAAGGAGTAAAGAAACCTATATTAAAATTTAACCCTGTGTTAGCACTAATCGGCCTTCGCACAACTAGGCGCTGATCTGCAACAAAACTTTGCAGAAAAACCCAACTTCACGAGTCAAACTATACGCGCACGACTGTGCACACAAAGGACATGTGGACCATGATGGCTCATGATCAATAGGAATTTTAAAGAACAAGCGCACGTTAACTTGTAACAAATTTTGAAAACCTCGGTAATGGATATTAGCAAACAAGTCAAATCATACTCATATTCAAGATGATAGGGAATTGAGAGGGAAGGGAAAAATCCAAATGTTCAAAAAGGGTAAGTGTAATGTGTGTAATGGAGTGAAAGGAAACAAAATCAGTAATTAATTAAGACATAATAGTATTTTCAGTGGCAGAAATTGTAAACAAACACACCTTCCATTCGTTGGAAATAAACTTGAACATTGTCCATTGTCAGGTGACTTAAACCCTCCTCCATAACATCTGACCGAAAAAAAGGGCGAAAAAACCACAAAATACATTATTTTACAATAATAACGATACAAATATGAGAACTGTTACAATAATGGTTCGCTTAATGTATTTCAGCATATGTCTAACGAATAGACAAATAATTAAAAGATAATGCGACAGAGCAGTTTTCGAATGAGCGTCAAACCAATACCAAAAAATCCCAGCGACCAATGCGAGCTAAAATTTACTGTGACATGCGGGAAAGCGCGGGTGGCTTAGTCGCGATTGTTTTTAATTTTGCATCTTATTGGTTAAGAGGGCGGCGCGAGATTTCTGAACCAATCAAGAGCAATGTTCATTAAAACCAAAGCAATCTCTTCCGACACTCATTGAAAATTGCTCTGTCGCATTATCTTTTGATTACTTGTCTATCGGTAAGAAGTATGCTGAAGGAATGTTCATTCATACCAAAGTTCTTACATATACCTTCCAATACGTGGATCAAAGTCATTTCCACACCAGCCACATCTTATGTCCTTCAAGCAGTCACTACAAGCCGTGTGCTGACTACAATTAGAGCACTTTCCTCCACTAGAAACAAAAAAAGACTTTTGTTTGAAGAGAAACAGGAAGTAGATATATCAAGATAAGTACAATTTAAAATCTACAAGTTGAGAAACACTATGCGATCATCTGAGTAATTTTGGTTTAAGAAAAGACATCCAGGTCTAAGGGAAGGGGAGGGTCCCAACCCCCAGAATTTCCCCCCCCCCCCGAATCCCAAATCACTAATGAATGTTGTAGGGCAACACATCACCCAACAAGATTATTTGCTTAATTTAGCACCCTATTCTTCATGGCAGAGTTCGCTAAATTTTATAAGACGGCTACTTTATCCCTTTACACCCTAACATCAGTATGCATATTCTCCATACTGTTCTCCATACATTTCCTAGGGTACTGACGAGGAGAATTTGTTTAACAATCAAGAACTTCTTTTAGTTGGTGATCATTTCCTTAATTCTTGTGATCGTAATGTTTGATTCAGGGGTGATATTGTTGGGAGAAATTAGATGCTGGTCACTCTTAGGGGTCGAAGGGTTAGGCTTTGAAAATGATCGAAATACAATTTCTTTTCACTGACCTATCAATCCAGTGAGAGCACTGTCCATATGGATATCGTGATGTGTATGTTCCAAACATAAAACAACTCTGGGTTTTGTCACACCAGGCGCATCCAATATTGTCAGTTACACAACTGCTACAAGTTTTACGACTGTAAGACAACAAAAAAATACACATGTAAATTACCTTACGCAAACTCACATAACGATAACCCTTAACTTAAAGCTTGCTTAGCAGAGCAAATTGAAATTAGAAAAAAGAAGAAATATTTTTTCGTGAAAAAAATTTAGTGAAATGAAAACTTTTCAAAGTTAACTAGCAGGAGCTCAGCGGACATCCTTGGTCAGCGTCATTTCCGCAAGTGCAAGCTTATATGCAAGATAATCTTAATATCATTTGACCACTTTTGTATTCGATCTTGGTTTTCAAAGCTATAGCTGTTGATCTTCAATCCTGCATAATATTTAGTGATCGTGTCAATAGACTACGAGCAGCCACTTCTTTTTGGCGAAAACTTCACGAGCGAAATACAGTGCGCCTCAACCCCAGAGTTCCGCGCCGCATGATGGCATCAATTTTTTTTTACTTGTGATTGCTCACAGTCTATAGAGTCAAACATTCTCCCCTAACCTCACCCACCCTCTTCATGTTTCCTTCCACTTATCTAATCAGCGTTAACTGTCTCCTTGGCTCAAATCCCTCCCTACTAACCCTCTGTACCCTTACATCAGTACTCATATTCTCCGATACTTTTCTCTATACGTTTCCTAAGGTGCGAACAACCGAGAGGTTCTTTAGTTGATGATCATGTCGTTTATTCTTGCGACCTTAGTGCGTAATTAGTCTTAAATACCTTGGACAAGGGCTATTACACTCCTGAATAGTGTTTTCTGGTAAACTAGTTATTCCTTTGCGATAACAACCAAGCGTATTTGATATTTTAGCCCACTTACAGCCACCATCCTAAAAAAAAAATTCACCTATCAATTTCAACCTTTTCAAATGAACCCACATTATATAACTCCTTTATATCTTTAACCCTTTAACTCCCAGAAGTGATTAACATAAAACTTCTCCCTACAATATTCATACACTCTTCAGCAAACAGGTAATGCGAATATTCAAACTTATCGGGTAGAAGCTGCTATCTTGATCTAGCACCAAGTTCTCGTAACTAATTTACAAGAAAATGTGTAGCAGCCAGAGGGGAGAATTAACAATCAGATCTTGGGAGTTAAAGGGTTAACAACAGTATGCATATTCTTCATATTGTAAGGAGAAAGTAGATGCCAGTCACTTTTAGGGGTTAAAGGGTGAATAGAAATTCCCCTTCTGATGCACCATATGTTGCATCGGTTTGCTACTAAAGGAGAAATATTTGAACGTTTGACAGATCAGTGTTGTGAGATTTGAGAAAAAACACTTTCCTATTACAGTGCCTAGTAAAATTTGATAACTTTGTTGCAATTCGGTTGAGTTTAATTGTTTGTCTCAAAGGGTAGTCATTTCCAAATTAAACTGCCATATTTCAACTGCATACTGATATGAGGTCGACTGGAAATGTGTCACATTGTAAATCATTTTGTTTCCCTGTGATTGGCAGATTTTTACAAAAAATTTCCTTCCTACTGTTTTCTGGCTTACATTGTGGCTGATACCTCGTAAAATATTATCGAGCATATTAAAATCGAATTTCCAAAAACCAAATCAAAGTAATCAAAACAGACAATCGGAACAAAGAGAAATACTTAAGGTTTGCGCAAGCAGTTTCAAACATGAGAAAAAGTCCATCGTAAAGTTCCCTTTTTTCCACTGCACTACAGATGCATATAACAACATTTGTTTTTTGTATACAAACCTGCACACAAGATTGGCAGTCCACGTGGTCAGAACACAAGGTGCACTCGGTCACATTTAAGGTGATATTTCTTAGATTTCCACCACCGTCCTGACATGAACCAGGGGGAGCATTGCGTGACAAGCAAGCTGTCACACACCAACCACATGATGCATCTGTCATGCAGGCCAAACAAGTCTTATGCGCAGAACAATCACCATTTGAACTGGCGTATGGCTGGAGGAACTGAGTAGTTATGGGCTGAGGAAGAGTATAAAGGATCTTATTTCAACTGGTACACCATCTCTGGCTTAGACATTGAGAATTACGCCGAGAGTTAAGACGATGTGTGGCTGATATGGGGTTGTTTGGAGCCAAAATTTGATCTCAGGAAAATGCTTGGGAAGAAAAGGCCGTGCTAGCTTAAGTACAGATATTACATGGAAAACATCTCCTTTAGAAGATAACATTGGTAAGACACACCATTTCTTTTTCGTTTTTGCCCAAATGCTCTACCACTGAGCTGAAGAGGAATAAATCTCCAGCCTGGCGTAAACCAGGTTCAAACATAACAAATATCCTGCGTATTGTTAGGATCCTCAATGAAAAAAGTCTCTTGTTTGAAAGTTTAACCCACACTTGACCTGGACAATGGATTCATTGAGTTGAGTACGGAAAGAACTTTTGACTGCTCTTAGTTAGCTCACATTGTAGAGCGCCGAACTACCGTGCAGGAGGTCGTGGGTTCAATCTCGAGACTGAACAAACACTCAGGGTCTTAAAATAACTGAGGAGAAAGTGCTGCTTTTTCTTGGACATCTGTAAATAGTTACACAATCTAGTATCCTCAGGTAAAACAATAAACTATAGGCCCAGAATCCTGAATTTTCTCTATACTGGTTAGCAGAGGATGTTAAAGAACCCACACACTTCTCACAAAGAGAAGGGAATGTAATTCCTGGTGTTGTGGTCTTGCCTGGTTATTGATTACGTAGGCCCCCATTAAAAGCTGAACTGAGCTGAACTAAATATCACAAATAGATAAAGAAAGAAAGAAAGAACTCACCACCATTGAGTACACAGAATCTGTTTTGTTCCACACCAGACGAACAACAGAATCCACGGAAGCATCGAAACTCTGGTTAACTTCAACTCTTAGATAATACTTCTTCCCTTCAGATGGAGATGGGAACAGGGGCTGATTGTTACTGCGCTGAGCTACAACTGAACATGGCAGAGACCCCAATTCTGTACAATGAGCTACCAACTCCTAGTGAAAAAGGCGTTTACTTTTTTTAACGAAAAATCAACAAAAATGCTGTAAATCAGAGGATACTTTAACTACCAAAGTCAGATTGTAAATTCTCCCCTCTAGCTGCGACACATTTCCTTGTAAATCAGTAATGAGAACTTGGTGTTATTTAAAAACTATTTGCCGAAGGCATATAATTATTTTAGCATAATTGCTCAGTTGCTTTCAAATTCCTTTTTAAATTCCGTAAACAAAGATAGCGTTGCACATATTTTGTTATAATTGCATTGATTACTTGTATGAAGATAAGTAAGCAATTTTGACAGGTTTACTTAGTTCAATCAGCAAAAACTCCACTTCTTTTAGCATCTTTTGTGCTCTTCTCAATTGAATTTTCTTCCATAGCCTAAATCACTTCCACAGAAACATTGGCAAATGTGAGGCAAGCCATTTTGAATTTAAGTGCTCCAGCTATAATCACTTTGCACGAGGTGATCATAGCGAGATACCTATCAGAGCGTGCGCATTTGCGCACTGCATTGGTACAAACAATCTGATTTTTTGCAATTCCACTGTTCAAGTGTTCGCCACAACAAATCTAGTTACTTAAGTGAAACAGAAGAGGCTTGGATAGACAGGTGTACTTACTCCCTTTGCCTCAGTTTCATCCGTACTCAGCCAAAGCTTTGCTTCTGTATCTTTAACATTCCTAAGTACAAGATCTAATGTGTAGGATGTCCAAGGTGCTGTTTTGAACTTAAATGGATAAACAAAGCCTATCATCTCAATCATACGGGCTTTCTTGTGTCCAGTTTGCTTCAAAATTGTTGTCTCTGATTCTGGTACAATTCTTATGCTATCAGGAAAGGTAATGTTTGGGACCTCTCTGTACTCCACAACTGTCAGACCAGGTGGAAAATCCATTGTTTTACACTGGCTTAATGATGTTAGAAATTGTCCTTCATTTCCCCACCAGCCTCTGACTTTGCTGCTGACAGCACCACTCTGACAGGCTCCTATTGGTGAGTTAACGGGGTAACACCTACTGTCCTGTACACACCAACCACAGTGAGTACCACCAAATGATAAACAACTACTACACTGTGAATAAATAGCACAGGCTCCAGGACATGAGCCCTGTATCAGGCTCACTGAACAATTTGCTGACAAATCACGGCTCAGACACTTTGTTGATGAACTGCACCACCCACATTCTGGGTCTTCCCGACAACTTGTCTGTGTACTATAGCCTTCACAGTGTCCACCTACAGTGTTTTTTGCTGCTATGGCAACTGGTAATTTATAGCCCAAGACATCTCCAAGTGGCAGCCCAGCAAAGCCACCAGTTACAAGCATGACTCGTCCCTTTCGCAGAAGAGCTGAATGGGAAAATCGTCCCTGCTGAGGATTTCCATCAGAAGGAGAAAGAGCATCAAATGTTGATGCTGAAATCCACTTGTTGCATTTCAGGTGGTAAAACAGAGTTTTGTTGTCATAACAAATTTCTTCATGGAAATGTTCATGAATGTTTCCACCTATTTTAATGAATACAAACAAAAAAAATTACAAGAGCATAAGTTGACTTCACGCTGTTCTCTTGAACAAAAACAATGATGACACATAAGAAAAACTGATAACAAAGACTGATTTCAACTCAACAGTTGAGTGGTTCTCCAGTAACCCTTCCCACTCTAACATCAGTATCCACATTCTCAATACTCATCTCTGTACATTTCCTTTGGTACTGACAAGAAGAACTTGTTAACTCTTTAAGACCCCCAAGTGACCAAGACAGAATTTCTCCTTACAATATCCATACAGTATCAAGCAGACAAGTGATGAGAATTAAGAAAAATATCAGTTAGGGGATTAAAAGTTGATTCAATACCAAATTCTCCAAACTAACATCACAAGAACTGTATGGCAGACAGAAAGGAGAATTACTGACGAGATCATGGGAGTTAAAGGGTTAGATAATCAAAGCTTATTGGCTTAGCAATCATTTCCTTTATTCACTTGAAAGTAATGATAATTCAGCAGTATTATTGTCAGGAAAAATTAGATACTGATAACTCTAAAGATTTAAAGAGTTACTGTAATGGTCACCAACAGTTTGAAATTTACAACTGAAGAAAAAAGATACAGTTTCCATTTTATGCTGGACATTCAACCCCTCAACACTTACCTACGAGTGACAAGCATCTAATTTCTCCTTACAATATCATCCCTGAATCAAACATTAATGTAACCAGAATAAAGGAAATGATTACCAACTAAAGAAGCTCCTGATTATTAAACAAATTCTCCTTGTCAGCACCATAGGAAATGTATGGAAAACATTAGGGAGAATATGCATACTGATGTAAGGGTATGAAGGGTTAACCTTCAGTCAGTTCAGTGTCAGTTCATCTTACCATAAATTATCATATAATCTCCAATCAACACAGCAGAGTGAAATGCACGGCCTCTTGGAACAAAACCTTTAACATCTATTGTGGACCACACATGAAGATCGAGATGAAACATCAGAAGTTTGTTGGATTGATTACTTTTCCTAATAATCATAAAAAAAGGAATTAAGTCACTCAGTAGTAAAAGACAAATGACCACAAAGCTGCAGGTTGTTTTCTTAAGATTACTTTCAACAATAATGTGCCTTCTGGAAAAATTGTCTTATGCACATTACTTCAAAAGAAACCATGGAAAACTACTTATCACTGTTAAGCTTATGAAGTACAGACTCAGAAAATAACAACAGTTTTAACAGTCTTTGTCTTGGTAGGCACACACCAGTCTTTAAATGCAAAACAGGGGTACGTGTTTGCTTATCTAAATTACCAGCCATATCTTGTGTTTTGTTTTTTAAGATTTGGTTTTTTTGTTTTGACAAATTTAACTCAAGAAAAGTGTAGTACATTGTTTGTAATATCACTGTGGGATGACTGAATGATGTAAAAGTACTTTAATCAAGTAACATGATTGTACCAACTTATTAGATACTTAATTGATGAATAAAAACAGAAAACAGACAGAAATTAAAGAGCAAGTGACTCCACTAAGTGAATACACAACAAGAAGGAAAACAGAATTTTTAAATTTTAAACCAGATTTTGTTGACAGTAACCTAAGTTAATAACAGTAATGTTTCTATACAATAAAACTATGAAACTAATATTACTATTATTACCTTGGCGTGTTGGGTACAAATCCACCAAAAATGACGAGAGAGCGCATTTCTGCATAATAAATTGCCGAGTGACCCAACATGCGCAAATGTGCTTCCTTTCCTCTCCTGTATGAAATCCTCTTCCAACCACTTTGGTTTGGTAAAGAATATGAATACATAGCTGAAGAAAATGGGTCTGTAAGGGTGCGACCTGTTTAGGAGGAAAATATCCAACAGTTAATTTTCCGTAATCAGTTAACAAATTAATTGGAATTGTCTCTTGGTATGAGTTTACAGACTTTTGCACTTCAGGAAGCCCCATAGGTTTTTTTTTTTACCACATGAGATTCAAAAATTTACACACACTGAGATATCACTTTTAGCAAAGTTCTATTCTACACCTTAGTTTCTAGGAAGCCAGGATAAAAGAGATCCTTTAAAAGAGATTCATCTGAACTATATACCACATGTACATGTATATCAAAAGGTTGTTTGTCACCAAACACTTACCACCAAAAATGTACAGTTCATCATCCACTATTGTCCCTGTATGTTCTGCCAGAGGAGGTGGCTTTTCACTGTCATTTACAGCTAGCTCTGTCCATTTTCCAAGAGTAATGTTGTACAACCAAAGTTCATTGGTTAGGTTCCCATTTTCTAATTCCCCCCCAAATAGCACCATGCTGTCAAGATACAGGTTTGCAGAGTGAGAAAATCGACCAACCTATGAAGAGAAAAACAAAATATTAATAAGAATATTAATAACAACATATCAACCTTTTGACCCCTAAGAGTAACTAGTAAATAATTCTCTTCACAATTCTCCCCTGAATCAAACATTTATGTCACAAGAATAAAGGAAATGATTGTAAATCAAAGTCTGAAGCTCTTGAAAAGGTAACCCTTTGACCTCTGAGAGTGACTAGCATCTAATTTCTCCCCACAATACCAGCCCTCAATCAAACATTTATGTCACAAGAATACACAAAAAGATCATGAACTAAAGAAGCTCTTGATTGTTGAACAAATTCTCCTTCTCAGCACCTCAATAAATATATATAGAACAGCATGGAGAATATGCATAGTGCTGATAGGGTGTACAAACTAAAAATAATTAGCAACTTACAGGTTTAGGAGATCCAGTTAGAACCTCACTCCACTGGCTTGAGGTAAAATTAAACTGTAACAAGTCATCAAATACCCTACTTAAAGAATAACCTGTGAGAAGGACAAAATAAGCACTATGGTTAACTTTTCAAACATTTAAAACATTGCTTTCTCTTACATAGACAGTTTGGAGTAAGTTCAAAATTACACTGCGGTAGTACTAATGATAATCATGAACAAATTGAAAGAGAAAATGACTGAAGGAAACCTTATCTGTTACATGACATGACAGAGGACAAGATGCCTGGATTAACTGGACAGAGGATAATTCCTATATTCTAATGTTTCAATTTACAGCACTCTGTCTCAACTTAAGCCCCCATCTTGTACAGAACAAGGTTAACTGGTGGCATGGTAAGGGAAGGGGTAGAGCCAAATTTGTTTACCGTCCTCTTTATCAGAGCAGTTTGTCCCTTCCAAGAATATCCTTGGTGAAAAAGACTACCACAATGATGGTACAAGTGCTTCATAACTCCAAAAATTTCACAAGTTCATTTACATGCATGCACACACCTCCAAAGGAAAGTAACACATCCTTTTCCTCTGAATAAACCACAGAATGTGCTGTTCTTGGATGGAAAATTTGAGATGATGATGAAATGGTGAACCACTTGTTAGAGTCAGCATCAGTCATTGTTGAAACAGAACAAGATTCCCCAATAAAGCCACTTTTACAGACACAATGTCCTTGGGCCTGAAAATTAAAAAATAAATAGAATTATCCTATGAATCATTGTGAGTTACTACCACAAAACTGATCAGGAGAGCATTCTATACAGATATTCATAGGCTTCAAAGCCTTGTGTGTGCAGTTAACCTTTTCACTCCCAGGATCTAAATAGCAATTCTCCTTACTATCTACTTTACAATTCCTGTAATGTTTATTCAGAGAATTTGGTATTGCATCATCTAATAGTAACCTAATTGATATTTTCTTTGTTCTCACCACTCATCTGCTTGATTTTGTATTGACATTGTAAGGAGAAATTCTGTCTTGGTCATTCATGGGAATAAAGAGTTAAGCATTGAAAACTTCATCTGTGTCGTATTATTCAGCTGTCAGTAGTTTCTTAACACACAGACCAACTTTTCACGGCCAGATTTACTTGTGCACTTCCTTTTCTAGCAGGCTGTTAATACCAGCTTTGTAAAAACATAGTGAATTTTTTAATTCAGATAGAAATCTATACCAAACATATCCCAATTAACAACTCACCAATTGAGAGTCACTTAAACCCTTAACACTGTTCCTTTTTAACCCTTCAACTCTCAGGATCTGATTGTTAATTCACCCCTCTAGCTGCTACACATTTCCTTATAAATTAGCCACAAGAATTTGGTGTTTGATCAAGATAAAAACTTCCACCTGATAAAGTTGAGTCTTCTCATAACCTGTTTGCTAGATTGTGTATGGATATTATAGGGAGAAGCTACATGTTTAACACTTATGGGAGTTAAAGGGTTAAACTATCACTACTTACAAAATCACATTCTCCACGAGCTTCTGCAATGTTACAATTCAATGGACAAGAAGGCAGGTCACACGCTTTGCCTCGCCAATTTTTGTCACACTGACAGAACCCATCCTTACAAATCCCCTTGCCAGAACATCCATCTGTACAGTTTTCTATTGTATAGTTAGCAACGAAGCCATGGAGGGAATAGTTGGTGTCGCTATAAAGATTGATAAGCATCTGCCAAAACAATAGTAATGGAAATGAAAGCTTTGATACAAGTACAATGCAGGTTATATAAGCTGAATTATTTACACATTTTGATTGGCTCTTCTTAACCCTTTACACCCTAACATCAGTATGCATATTCTCCATACTGTTCTCTATACATTTCCTAGCTTCTAACAAGGAGAATTTGTAAAACCATCAAGAGTTTCATTAGTTGCTGATCATATCCTTTATTCTTGTGACTTAAACATTTGATTCAAGGGATAGATTGTAAAGAGAAATAAGAACCTTGTCACTCTTTGGGATTAACCTTTTAACTCCCAAGATCTGATTGTCAATTCTTCCCTCTAGCTGCTACACATTTCCTTGTAAATACGTTACAAGAATTTGGTGTTAGATCAAGATAACAACTTCTACCTGATAAGTTTGAGTATTCTCATGACCTGTTTGCTGGATAATGTTTAGATATTATAGGGAGAAGTCACATGATAATGTGGTAGTTAAAGGTTTTTCCAACATACTACTACATTTTAGCCTTTATTTGATGCAAGGTCCAAATGATTCATAAACATCAGCAAAAATCAAGTGGCAAATATCAGTTGGCAAAAATCACTCTGGTTTTGCACTACACAAAATGATCATAATCTTTGTGATATCACCACATTTTATTTTATTGACAATTAAAGTTCCATAATTGAAATGGTACACATAACTTCCGTGTCCCTTTCCCTATTCACCATGTAATACTACATCTTAGGTTTCATTTGATGCAAGTTCATACCACAGGCTACATGTAATGAAAAAGTCAAATCGCCACTAGTGGTGACTTGACTTTCAGTGCTGGCGAGTTTTTCAGTCGTGAGTTTGCTGTGGTGGTGAATTGACCAAATACCATAGAGAACAGTATGGAGAATATGCCTACTGATGTTAGGGTATAAAAGGTTAAATCTACCATACATTTAATTTTTTGCCCTAAATACCCACCTGTCCTGAATGAGATACAACTGTGTGTAAGGAATTGTTCCCACTAATGCTTCCAATGAGAGGAGAGAGGTAGGAATCACCATCATGAATGAACAAATAATCATAAGAACACTCTGTCCCAAATTCTATAAATTTCAATGTGATAGAAACATTTGGATGTGGAGCTGTGGAAAAACAAGCCAGAAGGTTAATAACTAGTACTAATCATGGATTAGCAACCTGCCTTGTATATAACTTAGGAATGGATAATATTGTCTCTGTGTAATAAAATCCATTTTACTGCATATTAAAACATACGAACACTGTATGGTGGCTTGGCTCACAGTTTGGATTTGTATTAACTCATTTCATTTGATCAAATGATTGTAATTTAACTAGAGTAAAATACAAATCTTCCCATAGAATCCAGACTAAAGTGAATGAAGATACCTACATGAGATCAAGGCCATGATTCTTAGTCAGTCCAGTAACATATTCCATTGCATTTGGTTGAATCTTACAAATTTTTTGGAAATTTTCTGCCAAAGGCAACTTCTGAACACCATTTGTTAAAAATTAATAATTTTGAAAATAAATTTGATATCGCAACATCTTTCCTCACAATCTTACTGAAAAGCAAAAATATCTTACTCATTAAAACACTGTTAGAGACATACAAGTAGCGTTGCTGGTATAATGAGATACATGAAAAAAATTACTCAGTTCTGATTGGTTACGATAAATGCAGTTTTCAAGTAAATCAGTGCAGAAGAGTGTTAATTCAGTGCAAAAAAATAACAAACCAGACTGAACAATTCCTTGAACTGTTAAGCCAGGCTTTGAACTTTTTTGCACCTTAAAGATGCGAAAATATCATTGTATATTATTGTTTTGATCGTATGTGGTTGTTTTGACCGAACGCACAATATCACTTCCCACGTTTTAATAAATTATTTTTGCACTTGATACGCACGCTTTGCTCCTGCATAATTAACATAAGCTATCTTGAATTTTTTCACATATATGATTAATACGTAATCAAATGATTTTACTTGTGTGTTTTGGAATAAATAAGCACTTGTAAATTTTTTCAAAGACCACAAATTACACTCGCCCTACAGGCTTGTGCAATTTTGTTCATCTTTGAAAAATTTTTCTTGTGCTTGTTAATTCAAAATTACACTTAAAATCACGTGATTACCTTTACTGATGTGTATTGTTTACGAAGTTTGTTCTTCATGAAAAAAGGTGTGGGTTTCTACAGAAACTATGGTGCTATGTTGGTGGAGGGGTATTACAAGATACTTTTGCTTTATCAACTGAGTTGACATTGTACATGTAAATCAGCCATAGTAGAAAGTTTCTAAAGCTGGCATTTTAAGCATTAGCCCATTGTAAGAATGATTAGCTATTCATGCATAACAGTGTAGATTATGAGTCAGCAATTTAATTACCCCTAAAAGTAAAGGAATTTTTTTCATCTAATACATATGTTGTATTCTAAATTGAAATTCTGACATATAAATGCCAGCTCATCTTGAATTCATTCAATGAACTAAGCCTAACATGAAAAAAAAGCAGTGTTCAGTGTATGGAACAAAATACACCTAACTGTGAGTTATATCAACCACTTTCCAATTACATCTATCTGTGAATTTGTTAAGTCTAGTTGCAAGCAAATGTTTGTACAATAGACAATCAAGGACTGACTTCGAATATCTCATCCGATTTTTGATGTGCATGTACATTTTGTGGTCGACAGACACCTTTTTTTCTATTTCAAACACTCTCAAACAAGTTTGATTTACATTTTTGCCTCAAATTATTCACCATTAACACCTACAAACAAGCACAGTAAAACTTGTTTGGTTTAAGATCCATAGAATGGTCGAATCACTGCTGTATAGTAAACTATATACACATGATAAAAAGTCGTGAAACATTCCAATTTGATACAATTGATCGGTCCAATATGAGTGATAAAAAAAAAATACTGTCTATACGGTCATGGCAACAACAAATTTGTGGACCTAATCATGTTACTAAATATTTAAACACCACAATACTTGTTCAAGATGGAATTTCCAATTGTACAATAACAAATTAAATCCTTGTGGATACAGACTAGTATTACACAGCTCTCTTCGCTGTGTGTGTCGGAACAAGCTTCTAATTATGGAAATATTTGTAAGTCACACAGGAATCGAATTAAAATGGGTTTAATTCTTCTCAAGAAGGAGTAAAAAGCAGAGTTAGAAACATGAGCCTTCGCATCGGAGAACCTCTCACATGCTTCTAATTCGACGAAAGTCTAAAACGATTTCTTAACATTGAAAGCATATCGGTAGATCGATAAAGGAATAGTGGAAAAGTGGCCGATCCATTAGTTCATTAACTTGTTGAAGCAAGTTACCGGTAGGTAACGTGGTGTGGTTGCTCAACGGATTGAAGATAACATGATAGATAAATTACTTACCTTTAATAAGCCATTCACATAGTTTGTTTTCCGGATAGTTACCGGGTCCATCGGTGATCGTTCCTCGTAAATCTGTTAAAACAGTTCTTCCACATGAATGGCAACTTTCCAGACAAAATGCAACAAGGAACACAACAATCACATTCAACCCATTAGCCGCCATTTTGTGATTGTAGCTCTTATTAACGTGGTTAAACACCGAAATGTTAAACGAGCCACCGCAAATCTCTTTCCGATTAAAAGACAGTTTGTATCTTCCTCAAAGAAGACACCCCACCACCTCCAAGGTCATCTTTGCGCGAAGCACCAAAAACAGAGGAAACTTTTACGCATCCTAAACATTCCTCATCTCCACTGACAAGAAATCATACGTATTATCTCTTTCGGCACATTTCCGAGCTTGTGAACGCAACTTCAGAAGTTCAGGTCATCTAAGACGCTTTCTGGACATTATGTGAAGCTAAAAACTCAAGAATCCCGGGGATCTAACACCTCTAAATATGCTTCTTTTTAAGTTTCCCCTTCGAGACGATGTAAACACGAACGTTCCTTGTCGGCTTGATCACGTGACAAAAGTACTTATAGCAAAAGTACCCCCACCCCCTGTGAACAAGCTTGCCTCTGTCCTGACTAAGGCTTCTCTCGATGTTTGTGTACTCGTCTGAGCCTATTTATTAATTTATTTCCTCCGCCAATTTTCTTTGTGTGAATTATGGATTTAAAGAGCCACCGTCGTTTTAGCTGGCTATTTTGTTTGCACCTAGCGGTACTCAGAGAATCTTCAAGAAGCTTGAAAGAAGCTACTTCCCAGACCTCTCTCTCTCTTTTATATCACTCTTCCTTGTCACGTATCTGACAACAGAAATGACTTGAACGCGCAAATCCGCCAAAGAACAGCCAAGCACAAAAGGAAGTAAATAGCCATGGTATGTGCTTCTAGCAAAAATTATGACCATAATCGTATCAATTTGTTATTTTTGGTTAATCAAAAACTACACGAGTAAATTTTTCAATTACAACAAAATTGCACGAGTCCGTGATTAGTAATGGTATAAATACGACCGATTGGAGCACAGTTCGGTCATACGAGCGATTAACAAAATCGGACGACCGCAAAGCGGGAGTCCAATTTGTTCATCACGAGTATTACCTTAACATGATCATGAAAAAAGCATCACGGAAAGTCAAGACAACATAACACAAGACAAACTTAGTTCCAAAATAAGTAAGAAAATCACTTTATTTTAAGTAGTTACAATAATTCCTAATTACAAAGCGCGGGAAAACGCGAGCGACCATGTCGTGATCGGTTTCAGTTTTGCATCTGATTGGTTAAGAAAGTGACGCGAGTTTTCTAGACCAATCAAGGCAAAGCGAATGCAATCCTGGCTGACTTTCGACAATTCATTAAAAAATTGCGCTAATCAATACAAATAATTGCACTTTGAAGGTCTATTGCATCAAATTAAGGATTCTGCGTCACATTATTGAATTAGGTAACGATACATTTGTTATTTAGGGTGATTCCGTCTTGCAATTCAGCAAAAAATTTAAACTAGCCCAAACGATACAAAATAACCTTTGATAAAAACCGAAAAAAAAAAATAGGGAAATAGGTATAAATTTCTAAAATGAATCTCCTTTAACTAAATAATTATGGAAGTTACTTGCGTATATCTCGCCGATATAATTCTAAATCATTCTAAAGCTTGCATGAGAATGAATCTGGCAAACTAATACGAGATCCACCATCAAAATAACATGGTAACGCATCTTTCGCCTCAAATATTGTACCCCAGTCCTTCAAATTGACACCGCCTGTGAGGAGCTCATTCTTGCACTGAAAGTAGGTGACTGATCACTTAAGTACATGAGGATAAGCCAGTGCCGAAGCTCTGTAGGTCTCTGGTAGCTGGAAGTACTATGGATCAAAATTAAAAAAAAATAAACCTCGAAATTAAACAAAGCAATAGTTGGTTGTCTATGAGTTTCTTTGCATTGTTCTTCTAACACGCTCTTCCTAAACCGGTTACCTCTTTTCTAGAGGGCCAGGTACTACATTAGGATCGTTGAGTCGTTGTATGCGTCGGGAAAATACTGCCTTCACCGTCAATAAAATGCGTGTATAATCTAGCATATTATTCCACTATTACGCCATTCAGTCATATTAGGGCATCGAAACGTGCAACGAATTTTCAATCGCATCAAAGTTTTTTGTTGGTCATATAAAAACACTTCAATGGTTTCGCTTGTGTTGTTTTCGTCTTTTACGCGTGTCTCATGCGATCAATACGGTGCTTAAACAAGGCTATGGGATGTATTTTGAAAACTAGATGCCAAAGTACTAGAAAATGAAGTAAAGTGAAATAATAATTCTCTTATTCGATGATTTAACATACAATACGAGCGGAAAAATTCTACGTAACTCGCAAAATATCCGCGCGTATTATCTGTTAACCTATGGATAAGGTGTATTCAATGTAGAATGCCGTAGCGAGTGAAAATTATTATATGTGCACTTTGGGTGCCGATGTAAAATGAAGAGAATCAACCTTACCTGTTGGCCTACTCGCGACAAAAAGCGCAACCGCAGCTGAGCTGCAGAGCGAGGAGTGATTGGACTCACATTATAGTCTCTCTTGTGAATGTCTTCCTCTTCTGACGAAATACTACATGAGACAACACATAATAAACAATTGAAACGTTTATGTAAAAAAAAAAAAACCCCTTTTCTACCAGAAAATATAATTGGGAAGTTAAGATAAATGTACCAAGTTATCTTAAATTTGATCACCTCCATATCAATCGCGATTAAAGGTTGGGACGTACTAGTGAACTATGCTCTGACATAATAACGTTTATCGACCGATTTTTTTCTTTTAAGTTCTTGTTAGAAGGGCAAATTTATGCCACGAGAAAGTAACATTAGTTCGAGTAAATCGAATTCGAGTAAGCTTATAGTAGATGACTGGGAAAATGGGGTCAAATTGGATCTTGTTCGAGCTAGCGTGGAGTTCGAGTTAACCGAGTTCGAGGAAGCTGGGTTCTACTGTACTTTCTTTTGACATACTTACAGTGTGACTCTGCTTTGAGCTGCTAATTTCTTTCTTTCTAGGGTGGAGAGGTTTAGGCCTGTCCCTTTTCATAGAGAAAGAAACAAAGGTTGAAGGGCAAAACATAAAAATTTTCCTCATCATTTTCGCCGGTCATAGATTTCGACCAAAGTAGCTTGTAAGGTTCCTCATACATCTTTTTCTCAACATAAAGGTTTCGCAAAACTCAAAAGAGGAAAAAATAGAAAATTCATGAAAAGAAATCATTAAAATCAAACAAACCTCTGGAGGCATCAACCAAGTAGAGCAGAATGCTGGCAATCAAGGCAACTGTGAGAACAATCAGAAAATATTATTTAATCATTTTCCATGTAAGGTCAAACTTCCGTATATAAGCTGATAACCTACAAATGGAGTATCTATTTTGGGAAAAATCCTAAAAGATGCCACTAGTTGGAGTGATTTGCCGTTCTCGGTATGCTAAGTGTTGCGCAAAAGAGGATTTCACTAAAGATTATGGAAATTTCAGACCATGTAAGAGCGAATACTTACTGCACAACCAGGCGCAGAAAAACACTTCCAATACTAAATATCCTTTAAGGTCTACAATTGTTCCAGCTACTTGTGAAATAACTGCAAGTCCCAGATTCTGAATAGACTGCATGCTGAAAGAATAGTTTGAAACAAGAACTTGCGTGAGGTGTCCACAACATTGACTGCACGAAAGGTGACAGTCCCTTTCAAGTTGAGTATCCTGACTCACAACTCGACACTCAATAAATCGATACGGAATTAACGAGAATCCAGTCAAAGGATTCCATCTCGGTAAATACTCGACACGTATCGAAGCAAGTATCGGGATTAAATTATCGAATCAAATCGACTCGAGTCGAGGATCGGGTTACTCACGAATATAGAGATCAGTACAAGTCAAAAGAATAGATTCTAGACAAAAAATCTCGAGTTACGCACTACACATTGCGAGTACAAGACATAGGTAATGATGACCTAGTCTTTTTTTTTTCGATTCTGGACCCTCGCTAGTCGATAAGAACTTTTCGAGGTTCGAGAAATCAGTGAACAGAAAGAGGCATCAAACATTTCTTCACTTAATGCCAAAGCACTATCCTGCAAACCTATCTGACAAATGCTGTGAGTTGGAGAATCTAATAACATTTCATAAAATTTCTTTAAGCAAAACAGATCCTGCCAATTTAGATAACTTAAAATCGATTGTTTTTCTGGTTTTCTGCGGGGGTTGGAAAACAAACACAAAACGTAAAGTAGAAGGAGAATCTTCACAACTTTGCAGGATGGCTGCAGCCGCCACTTCGCCTTCTTAAAAAACAGCAAACATTTGGTATACTTACAATCCATAGGCAGTACCCAACTGATGTTCAGGGACAACTAAAGCAACAAGTGGCCACAGAGCACAGGCCAACATGGAGTAAGCCACACCCAGTATACTCTGCAAAACACACACAAAAAACATGCGTCCATGAAAAGCATTTTCTATGCAATTTAGAGCGCTTTTCGATTGACTGATGTAAAACCGAAACCAAAATAATCATAACGGTCCCATGAGAAGAACCCTTCGAGAACCAATGAGAACTCGAAGTTAAAACAAGCCAAGTGCCAAAAGCGCGGGAAAACGCGGGTGACTAAGTCGTGACAGGAGAGGATCCTTTCTTGGTCGTGATTGGTTTTGGTTTTGCATTTGATTGGTTGAGAGAGTGGCGTGAGTTTTCTAGACCAATCACAGAGCGAAGAAAAGCAAAACCAATAGAATCTCGGATAGCTTTTGACACTCAATTCAAAATTGCTCCAAATATCAGTTCGAGTTATGCCTCCAAAAAAAATTTTCGGAGGGCTGAGGTCAAAATGCTTTCTGTCTATAAGTCAAAGTCAAATGTCAATTGACAGTTGATCGAGTGACAAGACTATCATTTCGAGATTCCATTTTCAAGGATCGAGTTTCGAGACACTCGCATATTTTCTTGAGATTCTGGGCGATACATTTTTTTATTACGAGGAATTAAATCAGTGGATCACTTGGGGTAACTCCTATGAGTGACCAAGACAGAATTTCTCCTTACAATATCAATACAATATCAAGCAGAAAAGTAATGAGAATAAAGAAAAATAGCCACTAGGGGATTGTTGGTAGATCCAATACCAAATTCATTGAACTAACATCATAATAATTGTATGGCAAACAGTCAGGAGAATTACTACTGAGATCTTACTTACCATAGCGACAAATGGATTACAAAAAGTGAAAGCCATCAAGCAATGGCAGCCAAGGGTTACAGCCACTGATAAAATTACTATAACGCAAAAATGGTGAGAGAATATTTAGGTCTGACGTAGATGAATCTTAAGAGTTTTACTTTTTTCCTTTTTCAGTTTTTAGCGAGACCAAATGGAAGAAAGAATGAGTTGCTAATGTGACGGTTATTTTTTTTCCTGGTCTAAGATTCTTCAAACCAGTCTGAGCATTTAAAAAATGAATTAATTTTTTTGAGGCATGCACTACAACATTTACTCACCAACGTGTTGGTTTTACTAAACCACTAAGCTGCTAAGCTGCCAAGCCGCGAGGTTAGAGCACTTTTCGATCGAGTGTTGTAAAACCAACAGAAAAAATAATTCCAATGGCCAATCAGAAGAGAAGCCAATGAGAACTCAAAGTAAAACTAACCAAACTGCATGAAAGCGCGGGAAAACGCCAACGACCAAATCGTGATTGGTTATGGTTTTGCATTTGATTGGTTAAGAGAGTGGTGCAAGTTTTCTGGACCAATAAATGAGCAAAGTTAAGGAAAACTTTCGACACTCAGTTGACCATTGCTCCGATACTAATTTACCTCCACTTTGGTAGATTATTGTTCCTTACCAAAAATAAGACAACAACCTGCTAAGTTGATTGAATGTGCAACAAACTCACCCCAGAAGATATTCTTTCCAACTCTATCCACCATAAAGCCCAAGAATGGAGAGGCACAGGCGGAAATGATAAACACCACACTGCAAACAAGAAGTAAAATATAAAAAAAAAAGTTGAATATGAATAAATAAATAAACATATATATATAAAATAAGTAATGGTAATAGGACTGAGTGGAGTCTGTAATCATATGAGTGATAACAAAATCGGATGACCGCTCAGCGGAAGTCCCATTTGTTTATCACGAATATGATTACAGACTGAATTGAACAATACGAAGTCTTGTTACCAATCAATCATAAAAATTACAGTTTCCAAGAAAAGAAGAACATCCAGGACAGAGCTTGTGACTGTTTGATTTAAACTACAATTTTGAATGTGACTGGTTTAATTTAAACTGCAACTGTCTGATAACAACTTGACAAGTGAATTAGTGGAAAATAGGAGTTTTTAAACTCACAATCACAATCCAGGAAACTGTTTTCTGATCACAATGATTATAATGATGTTGGAAATTGTCTCTAAGTAATTTACTAGTCACACAGTAATGAGCAAGTTCATCTGAAGTTCTACTATTTTTGTCACTTTTCTCCTTAGTAGGGGAGGGGGGGGTTTGATAAAGTTAAGACTCTATCTTGAGAAAGGGGGTAAATATTTGAAAATTGAGCTTCAGGTAGCACCATGGTGTATAAAGCTTAAAATGTAATTCAGCTCCAGCACACGGTGTGCTACATAAGGGTCATTACCAGTATATTGGGGTGCTGAAAGGGAAGCTCATTTTTGTGTACCTGTTAACTGCTCCTGCTTTGGTGGGATTCAAGTCAAACTTTGCCTCAAAAAATGCACTAAAGAAATAAAAATAGAAAATTTTAAATTTTCTACAATTGTGAGTTACAAAGCAGTTCTACGAGGACAATTATTCCCATAATTGCACATGAACAATATAAGACTTTTAACCCTTTTATCAACCCCAAGAGAGAGAAGAAGCTCTGGATTGTTTCCCAAATTCTCATTACAACCACCAGGAAAATGTCTAGAGAACAGTATGGAGAATATGCATTGTGGTGTAAAGGTGCATAATTTCAGTATCAGGTAATTTCTTGCTGGGACAGTTGTTTCTTCATGAAGTAGAATTTAAAGTTGGTCTGTTTTGAAGAAGTGTTTATTCATTACAGATGAAAAAAGTTACTTACAGGCCAAGTGCTATAAATGGAAAAATAGCCACATAGTAGGCAACACAGATAATAAATATTAGCCACAAATTAAGGGGAAAGTCTTTGACATCTGACAAACGAATGACTTCACCTGCAAGAGAAAAAGTTGCAAATTGTATGTATCTTAAAAAGTAAAAAAAATTTTTACAACAAAATTGACTAGTCAAACAGCTCCTGTATACTATTTTGCACAAATCTAAAAATTTTAATTAAGATTTTCTTTCCTGGAACTCGTTAATTCCTGATGAGACTAAGGACATTCGATTAAGCTTTTATAATCAAAGTGATGTCACAAATTGGCACAATTTTGACAAAAATTTTTACTTCCTAAGGAGCAGCATATGACCAAGAGGTCACCAATACATGAACAGGTACAAGCATAAAATATTGTATCATGATTGACCTAATGACATACCTGTTTGACTATCTTCTTTCTTCAGAATGCGAGCTGCTCTCTTGTCCAGAAAACCCAGTACCAAACCACAGACAAGAGAAAACATGCAAACACCAGCTCCTGATAAGAAAACAGAAAAGTTTTCCATGAAGTAAGCGAGTGACTTATTATTACTCACAATAATAATATTATTTTTTGTAGTAAGATATGCCATTCATTTTTTTAGAAGTTGTTATGAAACACTAAATTTAATGGAACACAATTCCTTGAGTTGCTCTGATAAAGCAAAATGCTCAAAACACCAGCTTTTGAATTTCTTTACCTTTACCAATTTACACTGTCAAGTCAGCTGAGTAAACTTTGTGTTGTTTGTCGCTCCTACCAAACTATTTCAATTCTGTGATAGTTTTGAATACAATTTTAAAAAAACAACAACAAAAACAAAAGCAACCCTCAAAGCATTTTAAATTAATGAACATATTACTGATCTAAGACCAAATCAAGTGGACCCAGCATTCATTTACACTTTACTGACATAATTGCCTCTAGTAGGGATAGATACTTCTGAAATTTTGGTAACATATATTTGTACTTACTAACAAACATATCTTTGCACTTACCAACAAACAAGGTCATTCCTAGAGCCTGGTAGCTCTTTGATGCTGGGACATGATTTGAAAATGACTTATAAATTGGGTTGTTTACATTCATGTTAATTGTGCTTCCCTAAAAGAAAACATACATTGAAAATAAAAAAGAGATATACTGCATAAATATGCTTTGTGCTCCTCTCAGAGTTACTTTAACCAACGCCTAGCAGCTCAGGTTAAAATGACTCTGAGTCAACCCCAAAACACATAATTTATGCACAAGAACATTGACTCTATTACTAAACTATTCAATCAAACAACATTAGCCCTTTACCTCCCATGAGTGACTAAGAGAGAATTTCTCCTTACAATATTAATATAATATCAAGCATAGAAGAGATGAGGATACAGTAAAATATCAATTGGCGGATTATTCATTGATCCAATACCAAATTCTCCAAATCTACATCATAAGAATTGTATGGCAGACAGTAAGGAGAATCAGTAATAAGATCTTGAAAGTTAAAGGGTTTAAGGTGTGCTTGAGTACTATAAAGAACATTTACCCTTTACACTTTAACATCAGTATGCATATTCTCCATACTATTCTCTATACATTTCCTCAGGTTCTGACGAGGAGAATTTGATCAACAATCAAGAGCTTTTATAGTTTCCCATCATTTCCTTTACTCTTGTGACCTTAATGTTTTATCCAGGTGGGATATTGTAAAGAGAAATTAGATGTAAGTCAGTCTTAGAACTTTCCATCTAGAGTCTGGTAAGCAAGGCATGTCTTCTACATCACTGTTTAGCCATCATTTTAATTTGAATATAGAGACTCCATCTCTCTTTGTTGAATGACTCATCTTGTGGCTTAAGTATAATTAATGGCAATATCTTTTTTTGCTGGAATTTAAATTGAATAAAATTTCCCCAAAAATTGTCAGAAATCTCAATCTTTACTATCAGGAAGAGGCACTGTGCAGGTTACATGAAGGTACCACCCTGGCCCAAACAAATCCAAATCCAAGTAGCCCAGGATAAACCCTTAAACTTCCATGAGTGACCAAGACAATTTCTTCTTTCAATATCTATATAATATCCAGTATACAAGTGATAAGATAAAAAGCAAATATCAATTAGGGGATTATCAGTTGATCCAATACTAAATTATTTGAACTAATATCATAAGAATAAAATGGCAATTAACAGTAATGAGAATTAATAAATGAGATCTTGGGAGTGACACTCAACCAAGAGTTCAGCTCACTAAGGATTCCACTAATGTTAATTGCTTGCTTTAAGTATAAAAAAGACCACATTCAAAAAAGTTGCAAAATGCTTTATGAATCAATAACACATACCACTCTTGAAAAGCTTAGCTGAAGTCCAAACACCATATTCAACTCCTTCCCTTTGAACCAGTTCACAGAGTAAGTGTTCTGGGCCACTGCCAAATTTTCTCCTCCAAGCCTGAGGGAGAGTAAACATGTATAAGTTAATGTACTATAAATATTAAAATTAAAAAAGGCTTTAACTGAAAAGGCATGCTAAGGGAAACATTTCTCCTATCTTGCAAACGAAAAAAAAAACTAATATGGAGTTATTCAGGTGCTAAAGGAAAGCCTATTTCTTTTAGGTCCTGTCCTTATGGGTGAATGTAAGGTAGCAAGTTCTAAGCCCTTAAGATTTTTTAACATCATATAAATTAAAATTATTTTGCACCATGTTTGTGATATTGAGCATTCAAACCTCACACAGATTTTGTAAGTAAACTGTTGTTTGTCTTGTCACAAGTGTGAGACACAGAAAAAAAAGTTTAATCCTCACAGGAATTGAACCCAAGACCTTCACATTAGACACTCCATTCCTACTACTGAGCCACAGAGAAAGGTGACTTATGCTGTAGGCCACTAATAGGGTCATACATGTGTGTGACATGCATGCAGCATTCTGCAAGGATCAGCAATGTCCAAAGCATCATAACAGTAACTAGATCAGGTAGTCCAATTAGGAGTATCAAACATGGTTTTCACAACCACCACACAAGCATAACAGTACCACTCTTATTTTACCATAAAAATGGCCTCAATGCAAGCACAAACACAAGCCCAGGCACAAGGATCATGTTTTTTCCTTTTTCTTGAGCTTGCCCTTGTGCTTGTGCTTGTGTAAACCCCTTATAACTGTGAAATAAGAGCTATTAACCTTGAGTTTGCACTTGCACTCGAGCTTGCATTGCTCATGAAAGCCATGCTTTAAAGCTGACTGGCAGTTACAGCCCCCTTTCAAAGTTGTTCAATCACAGGAAACAAAGAACAACATTACACAGGGGCTTGGGGGATAAAATTGGTAAACTATACCACACTATTGTGATCTCACTTATAAAAATTTTGTTGCTGAATGCAGTTTGGACAGAACTACCTGTTCTAACAACTGATCTCCTCCATTTAAGGACAGGACAGCCTGACAAGGCCATATTTACTGAACAGAAATCATTCATGACCTTAAAATACAAAGTACAATGTACTACCAGCTACTAATCCATGATAACTGATTATTTGACCTCCATAACCCATTTTCATCGAATAGCCAGACAACGAAACATAGAACTGTACATTGTACTTACCCAAATATAAACCTGCCCACCTCCATAACTGTAAAACTGTGGATGTAAGCTCCCAGAGAAAACACAATCTGAAAGAGTAGAAAAAGAAACACAGCATTTAGCATCAGAAATCCAATCAAACTACATTTTGTGATTTGTTCTGCAGTAAATACCTCTGTCACTGAACCACTATACATGCATGTAATATGCCAAGCTTTGTTTCTAGATACAATTATCCACAATAGCTACTGAAAGTCAAAACCACTTGATATCCTTTTGATTAAGCTACTTATGACTTAACCTTTTCACCTCTTAGAGTGACCAGTATTTAATTTCTCTGTACATTATCACTGCCAAATCAAACATTGAAGCTATGAGAGAACAGTAAATGACCAACTACTCAAGAAGATCTTGATTGTTAAATAAATTCTCCTTGTCAGTACCATTCACAGTGTATGGAGAACAGTATGGAGAATATTCATACTAATATAAGGTGTAAAGGGTTAACATTGAAACACAATCAACTGCCCTTTAATTTTTGGTTGATATTAAAAAGGTTCCCAAGGTCAGCTGTTGTTACACCCTAGAAAATCTAATATCCTATTTTAAAGGAAACAAATCCTGTAGAAAATTATGTCGGTCTTTGCAAAAAATAGTATTAACCCTTCAACTGCCATTAGTGGCCATTAAAAAATTTCTCCTTACAATATCAATACAATATCAAGCAGAAAAGCAATGAGAATGAAGGAAACTATCAATTTGGGGATTATTAGTTGATCCAGTACAAAATTCTCCAAACCAATATCATAAGAATTGTATGCAGATAGTAAGGAGAATTACTGATAAGATCTTGGGGGTGGAAGGGTCAATAACAAAACCTTACCTAAAATATGACATCAATGTATATAAATTGAAAAAAAGCCTCACCTGACCACTTAAGACAAATAAACTGAAGATAATGGTGCCAAGCCTAACAAAAATAAATAAAAAATTATTAATTAATAAGACTTACAACAGAAACATACACAATTTATACATATCTCCACAAAACAGAGACCTCATCATGTAAACCATAAGAGATTCAGAGCACATAACACAACCAGTCATTCCTGTCCATAACATAAACCTCCATTAAAGAGTTCTAACTGTTGAAAGAGCTCTGAAGTGGAAAAGATTTGGTGAAATAATCCCTAATGTTATTTAAGATAGAAAAAAATTTTACCTCACACCAAAGACTCTGTCCAGAAGAAATCCACCAAAGAAACACAACACTACATTTGGGTATGAATAGAGCGAGTATAACAACACATATTTTTGTGTGGAAACATTCATGTCCTGCAAGCAAAAAGGAAATCACAATCCACTGTATTGTACATTATAAAATGTTCAGAGAAATGTGCACACTGTGATTGGTCAGAACGAGTTCGTTATAATTCCATAAAGCACATGCCGTATGTCACACAAGTGTACTGTTGAGATATAATGCATGCAGCCTACATCATCAGTATGAGCGTGTGCAATTCACAATACATTTAATAAATGAAATAAAAAAACTTGTTCCTTGAGCATTGTTGACTTATATAAGCACTTAGGAATTTTTAAGAACACTTGGCTCATGCTTCTCTGCACTTCTCTCATGTTCCCCAAAATCAAAGTAAGTAGTATTTTTGACTGAAATTCTGAACATTAAGTGGTCAATTATCGCATAAAGTGGTGTTGCGTTGTTTATTGTTTTTTGTATTATCCCTAATCTTTGGAACCTGAAGTTAAGCAGTCATCTCACCATACCCTGTGGGTGATCCCCTAATTCAGGACCAACTGTGCAAATTTTGTTGCACCATACAAAATTTTTTGTATACTTTGGAAGTTTTGATTGTTTTTGAGACTGTATTTTCCAGTATCCTAATAGAGTTTGTTCACTTCTTGACATAAGAAAATTGTTCCAAGAAGTAGACTGCAGGGTGTATTCAGCGTGGTATATAGCTAAATTATCTCTCAACCACATCTGAACTTGATGACCAAAATGCTTGCAGCCAGCAAAACCGGGTAAAGTAAACTGATATTGACTCTTCTGAGAGAACCTATCTGACAGCTTTATGCCTCTTTTCTCCAGCTGAAATTGATAACTATAGGTAGAGTTCTATTTGCACCTCATTCCTTAACTGTTCTCCTCACTGCATCAGAAAGATGGTAAAAATGTGAATGCAACTTAAATCTGCTTACCAGTTCAATATTTTTCTCTAATGCTGCTGGATTATCATAGCAGTAGTAACTTCCTACGAGACAGAAAACAGGAAAACCAAAGAATGCAATTAATGTAGCAGTAAAAGTTGTCCTGAGCAATGTTTTCTGCAAACCTGTGTTCAGGTGGTTGAATAATCAGTTAGCGTCACTATATACAGGGGTTTCAATAACTTTTTCCGTAATGGCTGCTTTCTTGTTAACCTTTTCACTCCCAGATCTTGTTAGTAATCCTCCTCACTCTCCACCATACAATTCTTATGATTATTTTCTTCTGATTGATTTATTTTCTTATCACTTGTCTGCTTGATATTGTTTTGGTATCGTAACAAGAAATTCTGACTTGATCACTCATGAGAATTAAAGGGTTAAAAAGAAGGAAGTAAGAGGTGTTATGAGTGGTGGTAGACCACCAGATATCAGTTTTTAAAACCTTTGTAAAACAGTGGCAGTCAACACAGGACTTACCCCCTGCATGATCTGACCAAGGTAGTTATCTAGTAAATAAGAACAAATTCTTAAATCAAGGAAAAGCAGAGAATGGTCCAAAATACAGTTAATTAAGATTAGTTTGTCTCTGGTGACCCAATTTTCAACACCTCAAGACAAAGGAAAATGAAATGAAATGAAATATCAGCTAACTTTATTTTGATTACTTGATTAAATTGATATAGGTGAAGTAAGATTATTGAATTTTATTGATCTGTAGAAGGGAATTCCTTGGATCAGAGCATCTCTTGGAAAAACACCTCGGCTGTGGATTTCTGTTGTGAGACAGCATCACGAACGAATGGAAAGTAGATTTACATAAAGTTAGCATAGCATACTAGGAGTTACTAAAAGAGAGTGAAACAGGTAGCGATAAGCGGCGAAAAATCACTGTTTTTAATTACAGTTCGAGTGAATCTAGGTTTTAATAGTGAAAAGACTACACTATGTTGTCTTCCCCCCTGAAATGACAGCTATCTGAGCGCATTTGTGTCTTTCAAAATTGAGGGAATGTTCGTGTTCGCCGGAACTGAACTGAAGGCAGAAGCTTTCGAGACTCCCAGGGTAAAGAATTACATGAAATATTTGGACTTTGCTCTTGTGACTACTCATCAGATTTCAAAGTTCATGCATGAAGTCAGTTTGTAATCGAGAGTTTGTCAGAAGTTTTTTTGTCATTTTTTTAAGGTGCAATAATCAGTGAGCTAAGGAACTCACGTACGTTCGTGACAGATCAAACAGGCAATCCAGACTCAAACTTACCAAAACTCAAGAAGCATATCAACCCAAGGACAAAGTAGCGATGGACACCTCTTCTAGGATCGCAGCACACTGTGGCTCCACAACCGGTCAATTCTTCACCAGAGTGTTCAAATTTCTTGTTGAGAAGAGGTGCTATTTCACCGTTCTCCGCCATCTTGAATCGACGAAGCGTATCTCATGATTAACACGTGACTTAGTTATTTAAAGAGACTAGTTTTCCTCCCCAGACTTCCTCGAATCTCTCACTCTCACCGTCTACCCAGTTCCTTTATCTTTACGTTTACTAACGCAATGAATTTGTGAAACAATCAAGGGCTTCTTCAGGTGGCGATCATTTCCTTTATTCTCACGACCTTCATGTTTTATTCAGGGGTGATAATGTTAGGAGAAATATAATGCTAGTCATTTTTATCGGTGAAAAGACGGTAAGGCTACTATCACTGCGAAAGCCTACTCTGTTTCAAAATTTGCGTCACTAAAACGTACTTCCATCTTATTTTCAGCCTTCTTCCCATTTTTATCGTAGAATCTCGTCCGATCCCGAACTGCACAGCCCCATTTCTTCTTCCTTTGTTGCCCCATCTCTCTCAATGTAGAAAATACTAATAAAAGCACAAACAACAACAAGACCCACAGGCGGCGCATAGAGGGCTTCTCTTATGTAACAAACCTAAAAATGGATAACTCACTAAAATGGGTTCTTTTCAATAAAGAAAGCGGTCAGATAACAAGTGATGCGCTGTAGAAGTACGGTGAGGTATTTTTTATTGAGAATTTTGACAGTATTTTTTTTAGTCCTACGAGCGATCGTAAATATTCCCCTATAAACTATTATAATTTCACCATAACTCTCATTTCGCAAGATGATCATCGCACAGCTGGAGCTTGGGCCGCCTGTGCAAGACCAGACCGAGAGCTACATTCCCTACTCTTTACGAGAGGTGCGTCGATTCTTTAACATCCCCTGCTAACCAGTACAGAGAAGATGCGGGAGACGGGGCCTAAGGTTTATCTTCCTTATCCGAGAAGACTAGAACATCTAACCAATCACAGATGTCATAGCAAAGACAGCATATCCTCCTCAGTTAATTTAAGACCCTGAGTGTTGGTCTGGTCTCGGGCTTGAACCTTCAACCTCCCGCATGGCATTCCGGCCCTCTACAGCATGAGCTGACCAAGCGCGGTCAAAACAGTGCACTGCGATTTCGGACAGCTCTGCCCGATTTCGACTTTAGAATGTATTTGCGTCCCAAGGAGTCAAACAATAGAAAAATTTGATCGGACCATACTCAAATAGTGCAATGCAAACTCAATGTAAAATACAAATATAAGAAAATGATCTTGACGAAATTTGAGATCAAAGAAGCCGAGGATGTTAAGAATCCACTTAAATGAGGTAAGCCTGTAAATCGTATCAACAACAGTGGATAGTTAAGAGAGCATGAACGAAACTTCGTTTGCAAACATTAAACATTTCTACATCTCTATCTGATTTCAGATGGCTCCGCCAGTTTAGGACGGTTCCTCGTGATTTCGGACGCTTCGGATGGAATATGCCCGATTGGGGGCAATATGAAGAGAACACGAACAGCTTATGTTCACTAATGTTCTCTTGATGGATGATAACTTCTATCAGCTCGTGTTCTCATCATAATCACAGTTACATAAACTAAATGCAAACACCTTAGGTGAAAATTTTTTGAGGGAGTCTGAGTTATTTTCCTCATGGAATAATCCACACTAGTCTTTCTCAACATGAACCGAGTATCGCTAGAATGTATACAAACTGAGTGTTATGGGGACCTGGTAAGAATTTTCGAATAGGGATTTCATTCTTGCGCCCAACTAGGATATAGGGATTTACCTGTTTTATCATTCATAAGATTTCTCATTTATTCTGGATGAATAAGAACTCTTTAAAACTCTATTCTTCATAGGACGCAGCTGTGGTATGCCTCTCTCCCACCCCCCGTTAGGAAATCCTACTCACGATCCCATCAGCTACCCTTCTTCTCCTGCATCCCACACCCCCCACCCCCTGAGCACGGTTGAGTGACCAATTTTACGTCCCAGAGGTATGTTTTCTGATGATCGATATCCAAGACTGACAAGGGAAATCGGGCGTGTCGTAGCTTGTGTAGTTAGTGTTTTTCTTTAATTTTTTTGTTTTTGTTCTCTTTCTTTCTTCCTTTTGAATATTCACTTATTTTAGTACTCGGACTCGCGAAAACGAGTAACGAGCGGTTTTTCACATTATTTTATGTCCAAAGCCATTGGCAGCTTGACCACTGGTTATCGAGCGGTACTGTGCTACTCAAAGCTCTGACTGAGCACACTTAACAGTGGTATGTTCGGTTCAGGGGCACTGAGACCTCTATTGTGAGTCGTAGGTCGAAATGAGAGGTTTTTAAGAACTTTTCAATTAATTTTGTCCAGGATTGTTGATTGCGAGCAATCAGCTTCTGACTCGAACAATGGGCTAAGCTTAAAGGAGAGAGAGCACATGTTAGTGATGTGCTTGCCAGAGACACGTATTGGCTCGGAAACAGAACCAAAATACTATCACACGTAATTAACATGCATGAGCAAGTGAACCTTTAATTTCTCTAAGAATATACTAGTTTTAAAGATAGATTTGGACTACATCAGCTCAGTTTGCAACCAGTTAAATAACCTACAGCTTTTAAAACGTTTTTCATCCCCGAGTTTGAAAAAAAAAAACCACTAGCATGCTGAATATGAAAAAAAAATTCTTATTTTCAGTCGTTATCATCGAGAGTTATCACTGAAATTATCTGGCATCATTGTTTCCTGTAAGAAGAGCAAGAAAACAAAGTGAAAATAATTATTAGCAAAAAACGTACATAACTAACTTCACTAGCCACTACCAAGTAATTTTGGCTTAGTATCATTTTACAAGGTAGAGCCCTTGTAAAATAGGTAGAGCCCTTGCCTTTTTTATATCGTTTTTAGATAGTCTAAGATAATCTCGTACCCAGATCATACCATGTAACTGAACTGAACTTTAGACGCTTAGCCGTGGAAAATCTGGGTATGAGACTAAGAATAAGATAATACAAAAGCATCCATAATGTTCATATAAAGTTTCATTCGGGGTAACCGCCTATCGTTGGACTGGAACCAAGAGACTAATCTATATTAGTCGGGGGGGGGAGGGGGAAGTAGGAGGATTTTGGTTGTGACACTATAAAATTTACCCGATTTCCCCCCTTCCCCCCCCCCATAAAGTTTTGTAATATTCTTATGATTCCCCTTCGCTGGCAGTTAATTAGCAGTCAATTTTCCTCATTCACCCTTTGAATTCTGTTGGCGACGACTGACCTTCCCTCTGTTCCTTCTATTGTGTATCATATCTTCTTTATTTCAAATTACATACTTGCTCTGATAAGACACAAGTACCTTCTTACCTTACTCGCGTATTTTGTAAACGTAGTGAGCCCAGTGCTCCCCAGTCCCCTCCCAACAGTTCGTGGCCTGACCATATTTCATGAAATTCTTATCGTCAGAGACCCAACACTCTCCGTAGAACTGCACTGCGAAATACATTCTGCCTTCCGTTTTCGCCAACTCATAGCATCTCCGCACTGCAAAACAACGCGTCACTCAATAGGAAGACATTTGATGAAAGGTCCAGGAAAGGGGAAAAGGGATAGCGTGACAGGCAGGTGTCTTTTTGGCTCAAATTGACGTTACAAGCTCGCGATCGTTTATCCGACCAGGTATGCCGCGCGCTGCCGTAAAAATCAGTGATAACAGCTTTATTTTACAAAATACTGAAAAAATTACGCCTGCTCTACAGGCTAGTGTAGGGAAGGAGAGGGGTAACTGGCGAAATTTAATAAGAATTGTGATGAAAGAAAAAATTTTGCATAGAACGAAAAAAATATTCACACTTAGAACGTGGTAAATTCATTCATTAACCGTCCAGAAGTTCTTATTATTTTTGGATGTATTATGGCAAAAATACTTACAAAATTTACTCGCTTTAAAATGTGGGTGACGAAGTTATGGGTCGATTGCTCATAGGGACTTTGCTCTTAAGTTACTTTGTGACTGGAGAGAAACTCTAACCTTGATAATTTGATATAAAGTTTTTAAAACACAAACCTGTTTTGCTCATGTCATACCAGTCGATTTCTCTACGAAGATTTTTTAGCCACTTCATAGTTCGTCCACCTCCAGGTCTGTCTTCCCAGCAACCCAAATTATGGTACGGCCCAAATTCATAAACAGCATTGTGTGACAATTTGCCCACACCTATCAAAGAGTTAGAGAGTCAACAGTCAAGATTAAGATACTCAGACTGTCAGGTAATCAATCATACTGATCAATCTGGTCAGTCAATCAGTCAGTAGGTCAGTCGGTCAATTAGTCAGTCAGCCAGTCGGTTATTAAGTTGGTCAACCAGTCAGTCAATAAGTCAGTCAGCCAGTCAATCAGTTAGTAAGTCAGCCAGTCAGTCATTTCGTATGTCAGTCAGCCAGTAAATCAATCACTCGGTCGTTTAGTGAGTCGCCCGGCCGGTCAATCGGTCGGTCAGTCAATAAGTCAGTCAGTCAATAAGTCGGTTAGCCAGTCAGTCAGTCAATTAGTCAGTTAGTCAGTCAGTAGTCAGTACGTCAGCCAGTTAGTCAGTACGTCAGCCAGTTAGTCAGTACGTCAGCCAGTTAGTCAGTACGTCAGCCAGTTAGTCAGTACGTCAGCCAGTTAGTCAATCAGTCTTTCAGTCAATCAGTCTTTTCAGTCCGCAGCCAGTGAGACATTCAGACCAGTTAGTCAGTCAGTCCATCAGCAAGTCAGTCAATCCATCAGTTGGCTAGTCTTTCAGTAAGATAACCAGTCAGTTGTCATCATTGTCGCAATGTCACTACAATTTTTTTTCTCACCTTATTGTAACCAAACAAATACCATCCTTTTGGAGTGTAGGGTGAGGTAAAGATACATATCACCAATACTAATAGGTTTTGGTTGATCAGTCAGCTAGACAATCAGCCCATTGAAATCATGGTCAGTTAATCAGTTAGTCGCTCACATAATCATCAGTCAGTAACAAATTTTATTACCGAATTCGCAGCCACTTTTTGCAGCTCTCATTTTCTTGTAGTCAGGATGACCTTGTTGCGAATAGCACTCGGCGAAATATTGTACACCAAATAGGTTGAAGTCTTTGCCACTAGAGATGGCGTCCCTTGCACACAGTAAAACATTTTCCCCAAGGTTATGCCAGTCGATTTTACCTCGATGGTTTGAGTAAAAGTCTGGCAAAATCCTGTTTCCTGGGTCGTCAATCCAGCAGCCGCTATACACCAACTCAGGGATTTCTTACAAAAATTAAGCATACAAACCAAACAGGAGAAATAGTTAATAGGGCGTGAAGCGATGCTCATTTTCGATTTCAGCTTCAATACAGTTTGTTATTCTTCGTCCTTTATTGAGTTTACGAGTTTAGCTTGAACGAACGCCTTCCAATAGAAAGAAAGGGCATCTCAGTTAAGTGTTGCAAAAATCTATACTTACATTAGTAGGACTTTGAATAAGAAGGGCAATCTGTCAAGGAAGCTAAGTGGATGTTTTTATTGTTATTTTGCAGACTCTAGCTAAAGCAGGCCATATTAAAACTACCTTATACCTTATTTTTTCTCAACGGTTCTGTTTAAATTCGTTGACTTCACTCTCTCAGTTAGAGTTATGGCTGGTCTTTGTATGCTCAGGAAGTTATTCATGATTAATTCATGTTCGTTTGGAAAAATTAATCTTTTTTTCATAGTTTGTTTCGGTAGCCTGATTACTGAAAAGTTATAGAGGAGATTTGTTGTGATTCATAAACATACCCGGGTCGATACACCTTACTCCAGCGTCGTCTTTATGAGTACATTTACCGACCACACCCCAGCCGTCATTTGAACATTCCAGGATGGACTGCTCCGAGCCCTCGCACACCACATTTGACAAGTGGATCTGATACAAAAGTACGCAAAAAGCGATGAGGATGAATTTCGCTTTTAGCTGGGTAACTAACCCTTACTCTAACCCTAGGCATTGGGATTGGATACACGACATAACACACAAGTTGTGGACGTTCCGGTGCAGGATTGCAAGTGCATCAGTCAGCCACTGTTAGGGAATAAGCAACTACTTAGTGGGTGATTTTGCGTGCGCTTTAAGGCGAATCATGCTCCAGAAATCATCTAAATTCGATCCCCACGATTAAAAGTTGTTAATGAAAAAGTAGAGTTACCACGTTATAGATCCCAAGGAGTATTCCAACTGTTGTAAAATTCAAATGTGTTAAGGAAAAAAAGGAAAAACTCGGCTTTACTCCATGCCGTTTTGGAAAAAAAAAAAAAATTGAGTAATCGGCCGCTAACGGAAAACCACAAAACGCATGTCACAAAAAGCTGCTGTTTTAGTTAATACAAAAATATGTCATTATCTGAGTCAAGACTGCCTTTTTGAATAGCTTTCATTTCGTTTCTGTGCCTAGTAAAGCTGGTCATATTGTGATAGAAATTAAGAAAAAAGAAAAAACAAGATAATTGCGTTCGACGAAGTAGAACGCATGCTACTCGTGTCGTTTTTACGGAAATCATTCTTTTTGGCTGGCGGACTTGCTGGCTGGCTGACGGGCTATGTGGCACAAATAGTCTCGATCTCATGTACAAATGCATTCTTGGCCGCCTTAAGCTGAAGACACGGATTTTTTTTCTGCGCAATCAGTACAATAAAACAACTTTTATTAGAGATCAAACACTTTACCACTCTTTGAATATTACTAGTATTAAGTGAGATAAAAAGTAAAAAAAAACCCTCTTACCGGACCAGAACCCTCTGAGTCATTATATGCTTTTTTAGTTGCGAATAACGCTCCACTGAACCCCAGTTCCTTGCAGACCACATCAGCGGCGTCATGTGACCAATTCTCATCACAAATTGTCCCCCACTGGCCATCATGGTACACCTCGATACGTCCTCCCCCTATGTCCTCCTCTGTAGTGATCAGGCGAACTCGATTTTCTGCAACGTGATAATGAAGTAGATATCCTTAGGGAAAGTCATTATTTGTGGCCCGGAGGGGAGGAATTTTTTTTTTTGGGGGGGGGGGAGTCACATGGTTTTCAGGGGGAATGAGGAGAGGATCGGTCGTTGACAAGAGAGTAAAAAGGGGGGACTGGAGAAAACTGACTGCCAATTGAGTGTCAAAAAAAGGGGAGATCATGAAAATATGGCAGAGCCATATAGGGGGGATCAAGTATATTTAATCTCCTCCCTCCCCACGGGCGATAAATCATGAGTCTCTTCTAGTGTTTCTAAGTACTTTAAAACCCTTAAACTTTCGTTACTCTCTTAAAGTTCTTTCAAAGTCTTAATATTTTTTCGGCCTTTTAAAGTCCTTTCAAAGTTTCTAGTTAGAAGACACCAATTGGGCATATAGGTACTTATAATGCTGGAGCCGCTCGTGTCGTTTCTGTCGCACGAATGGAGTCGAAGTAATTTTCTTTAGCTTAGATGGAATGCCGATACAACCACCTCGTTCCCATGTTCCCTTCCTTTTCTCGTCGTCCTGCGAACCCTTGAGCGAGAGAGGGGAAGAAAGGAGAGACCCTGGGAATGAGATTTTTCACCCAGAAAATTTTCAACAAACACCACAAGTAAGGTCCATTACTTTCGATAACTAACCTATTTCAACGAATCCTTTGCTGCACACTGCGAGAGAAGAAAGCAAAGAAATGTGTCAATCAGTTTTAGGTATTTTACACAGTTTCCTACGATCAGCAGTAACAGTTTGATTATTCTTCCCTTTGTGATCAACTGTTCAACCCTCTTTCCCTCCAAATATCAATTCGAAAAAAAAAAATTTTCATGATACAAAGAAGAAGAAATCATGGCGTGAACAAAAGGGAAGAAGCGAGGCTTTAACGAACGAAGAGATTTTGCCTTTAGTTGAGGCGTACTTTGCGGACCAAAACGGAGACTTTTGGCGGGCTTGAAATGTATTTTTTCGTTCAGACTGTTTTGTTGTATTTTTTGAGATTTAATTTTCTTAACGCCCTCCAAAGTGATAATGATAGTAAAACAGTTTATGTTCTTAGGCATAAATTTGCTTTAGGCCTCTCTATGAGTCATATTTATGCCACGGACATAAATTCTACCGTATTATTTTCTGCTTGAGGCAAAAGCTTTTCCTTCTAAAAGTAACAGCGAGTGCACTCCGTTCGAAAGAAAATTAAGATCAGTTGGCGCCGAGTGAAACAAGTTTGATATGACATCAGGTAAAACTGTCAATTAAGGAAGGAGAAATGTAAACAACGTTGGAGGACTGGGATCGGATGTTTCGTCAAACGATCGAGCTTGGGACACTATGGAAAGGAAATGATTTATCTATTAAAGGTGTGCTTTTTGAATTTTTAATATTTTAATCAAGGGTAAAAAAAAAAACTCCTTGATTTTAAGGTCAAAATTGGGGATGAAAAGAAAAAATATCCGAGGACTGGTAGGTAAATTTCCTTTAAGTTAATACTTATGTGCACGACAGTGAGGTTTACATTGCGTGTTTGCACTTAACTAGAGAAAAAAAATAATAACGAGACTTCCGCATCTACTTAAAAAAGGGTGGGCGAAAATCTTCCCAGAGGGCGCTTTCATTGAGGAACGAAAAGATACGTTGTGCTTCAACCTGTTTCGCATTCGATGCAACGTTAATCTATTAGCACAAACGGGTTGCTCGGGAAGAAAAAAAATTCCGAAATCGCAGACTTGACCCTTATCAAATCATCTACTTTAGCGCCAGTGGGTGAAAAAAATTGGAAAGCAACCAATTCAAAGCTCGAACAAAGCATTTATCGTAACAATAAATGGATAACCAGTTTTCTACAATGCGAATGGCAGTCAATAATGGATAAAAAGACCTATGTAAAGCTATTATACAAAGCAGCTTGTTTAGCTGTAACCCAACAAAGATTTTCACCTTTTGTTTGATGGACGAGCCTAAAGTAACTTTACATTTGTTTTGTTCAAAATCAAAGGCCTTCTGAAAAATGGAAAATGTCACGATTTTTGCTCACAGATATGTTTTTTACCTTCATAAAACCTTAAATCTATGCCTTTCAGAAACAAGGGCCTTCTGGAAAAATAAACAATTTTCATGGATCTTTTTCATATTAATTTTTGTTACCTACACAAAAACTTTGCATCAAAGATCGATTGAAAATAAAGAAAGAGAAAGAAAGATTTCACAGATGGAAACTCTTTCAAATGTCCTTGCATTTTCTCGGAGAAAAACGTAAATGCGCTAGTTGTTGAACTTGACTTAGGTGAGTTATCTGTTGAGATGATACAGAAAAAAACTGTTCCTTGTAGTTAGTCCTTTAGTAGAATTTGATTCACATTTTCAAGCTGTACGTTAGTTCCTTCATTATCAATTATTTCAAAGCGCCGTCACTCTAATTTGGTTCGGTTGCACTTCAAAAACAACTGACAGCAAAATATGGATTTCACATTGCATCAAATTGGTAATTTCAACAAATTTGTGGAAGAGTAGTTGAATGTAGTAGATTACCTGTTAGAGTCACAACTGTTAGCAAGCTGCGGAAAACCCAAGGCAAATGCATGGCTGAGGTTTGAACTGCGAAACTACACACCTTCGGACTCAGGATTCCTTTCTGTTAAATGCGCAGAGCAGCTGAAATAAGTCTATTTAAATTGTGTTTGTTCTCTCGCTGACAATGCCAGTCACGCGAATAAGTGAGGCAAATTTCCGGCCGAGTTTTCGCTTAACAAGCATTGATTACACTCCGTAAGTCCAGTGTTTGCCATGTTAAAGAGCTTGAACTGTGCAATATCAACGCAAAATAAATGTTGAAAAACAATGCTAAGAGATTTACGCAATATAATTACTTTTAGAATTAAACAGCTAACGTTTTCATGTTACTCGAATTTAATGGGTTTGATCTAGTTACCGATAAATCGGATACGATGGAAAGCTTGCGGCGACGAATATCAGCCCAGGTTAACTGAATTCCCAAGATTGACAAGAAAGAAGTTTCTGAACCAAGTTTTGACGAAGAAAAGCAAAACGCTTAAAGTGGAGAATTAGGAAAAATGATTGAAAAAGCGCAATATTTTCATGATTCTTCCTGTGTTAGCATTTGTTCCCTGAAAAATCATATTTCAAGTTAATGGCACTCGTCCTAGTATCAAGAGTCAGTCGAAGGATTGAAAGACTCTGTCGAGTAAAAAGCAACAGCAGCAAGCTGGGAATTAGAAATCAATTAGGAGTTAAAAAAAAAAATTGCCGAAACGAAGAAGAACAAATAAGTCATAGACAAATCATTATGTCAGTAAGAAAGTGAAAGTCTGTTAAAAATTGGAAAATATGAAATTGGACTTGTTTCACTCTTTTTCTATGATGTTACCGCCTAAAAAAAAGTGTTTGTAAACCGTGGTCTATCTTGTTATCTTCTCGTTATCTCGTTAAGTTGAATCAAATCGCACCCTTATTGACTACCGCATTGTAAAGAAATACGCAAATAAAAGCAATAAAACTTTCTAATTTTTACGAATCTGGAAAGATCAGAAGATACTTGACATCTTTTCCTCGCAGCCGTTAGACTAAGAAAGAGGAGCTTGACAAATTCATCTTTTATTTTCTTTTTTTGTCCTTACTGACGACAGGCCGCATTCAACTCTGAGGAGTTTGTGTCTGTTTTTGTCTCGCTCTTAATGAATTATTCCTTTGTTGATACAAGTTAATGTAGAAAAAATAAGGAAAACCGGACATAAATCCGCCTACACCGAAGACTATAGCAGACAGAATAATCAATAGTAACTGAATGATTATGGCGGGTCTCATAGGTTTCAAAGTTTTAATTATCAGAGAAAGACCTAAATACCGAGAGTACACGGGTCACCCAGGAGCAACAAAAGGGAAGGTCACCGTTTCCCTACAGAGCGGAGCGATAATTTTGGGGAAGGGAGGGGAAGAAAGATGTCTTAGGTCTGTATAAGGAAGAAAAAGAAATGCATCTATATGCTCATTACCATATCTTCAGATGAATGTAAACTAGTCTGAGATCATCAGCTGCTTTAATGATTGTTCACACAATTTCATACGTATCAGTCGTCGCTAACAGAGTATAAGGGGGGAACTATAGAAAATTGTCAATAATGGGGAGTGGGTGGGGGTGGTCGTAAGAATAGTACAGAGCTGGGGCCCTCCTAACAGGCTATAAACAGTACCTTGTCCTTGGAATGACTCCATGCATTTCAGCGAGTTTTCTCCTTCACAATTGCCCTTGGTAGGTCTCCTCGAACCCGCCCTCCCCCTGTTGATGACGCATAAGAACCGATGCCCACAATTATCCAAAAATCACAACAACAAAATGGCAGTAAAACACTTTGCAGCGGTTTAATTTCATTGAAAATAAAATAATCTAAGTTTCTGAAGAACATACCTCCAAAAAACAAATATACTGTACACATAACAAAAATATATTAGCTTTGTGCAAATGGACTCGACCACCTGAACTAAATTGGAAAATAAAGGTCTCCGAAAGGTTTTGCGCACGCTCAGTGGAATGTCCAATGTTAATATCTTCACTCGAACATAGACTCAACCTACAAACAGTAATGAAACGCAAGCCTCAAATGGACTTCGTCCTCTGATGACACCTTTTCTCACAGTCAAACTTTTTTCGTGTTTGAAATCAGTTTGGTTTGATTTACTCGACAAAAAGACTGCTAACGATAAATTGTTCATGTTCCTTGGTGAAGTCGTCTGCAATGTGATTGCCATAATAAAGCTTTCTCCAAATCTGAGAAAGCCAGGTATATAAGAGCTTGTTCAAGCATTCATTGTACTCGAAATGTCACATAAATTCTTCACAATTCTTGACGCACGTTCAGCATCGACGCTCTAAAGCCACGGTCAGTGATGGACCACTTTTTGGCTTGAAAATTCGCGTGAACACATTGGCGGCCCGGCTTTAACATATGGGTCCGTCTGTATAATATTGTATAACGTAGCAGGAAAGTGATTGCTACACCAAAATCTAGCTTATCTAGCTTCGGTCGTATGATTATTTTTCTCCTTTGCGGTTTTAAGTTGAATCTGAGGAATTAAAGCGGTTTTTAGTTCCTGCGATTTTTTTCTATCAATATGGGTATCTTTAAGAAAAAGCAGAAGAACTGAAAACGTCGACATTGTCATGATTTTATAGATATAGGAAAGGGCGGTGAATTAGAAGATCGCTTACAACCCATATTAAAAAAGGAAACGCGCAATTGAAACAACTTTAAGTTCAATCGCTACCATTTTTAGATTTCTAAATGCGTCCATTTTCCTCATGTAAATCCTATTTTTTTCCTCTTCTGTTGCGCAAAATCAGTGTAATACAGATTTACTCGTATACAGTGCTTGGGCTGCTTGTGGTGATCCTGTGGCTTGTACCAAGCCTCGACACTTGGTCAGGATGTCATCCATTCTTATCCGAAAAACGTTTTGCCATACACTTGAAACTCTCATACAAAATTACTCAAAGCGTTCAAGAAGTCTGTCAAGCACACGATTAGCTGCCCAAAACTCGGCCGTTCATCTTCCGACAAAGCCCAACAACAGGCGATGACTGTGAAAAGTTCATCCGGGCAATTCACCGGCTGCGAAATTCTGTGTCCTTGTTTAAGGAAGTTGAGCATTTCGAAGGCGTCGATATTCCCGTACGGCTGTTGTCCCAGAGTCATTAATTCCCACAGAAGAACACCATAGGCCCACTTTGAAGGACGAGGGTGTATAGAGAGAAAAAGAGACAAAAAAGACAGAAACTATTTTAGCTTCTCCAGCTCAAAAGTGCTTAAAGAAAATTTAAAAATCCTGCCCTATTCTCTTACGTATACTAAATAAAACGATAACCTTCATCCTATCTTTTCACCGACAAGGTAGCTGTCGCTTTCTGCTGGTAAGTGAGGGTAGCAAAGGGTGTGTGTGTGTGGGGGGGGAGGGGGTCCTGAACCCATTTCACGCAATAATTTGTGAAAAATTCACGGTCACACGTACTTTCAAGCGTCAAGAATTTGAAAGGGAAAGTTTCAAACCTCACCTCACCTTGCCTTTCTGTAAAATTCGCGCATCGCGTATGAATTCTGGGCTTAATCCCGCGTCACGTAAAACCCTTTGCCACCCTAGTAAATGTCCCCTCAAATTCTCGATTTTCTGTTTTGTTTCGTTCTAAGTATTGGGCCAAAAGGTGCAATCGTTCGTCGTATCACGTTACGATAACAGAGAGGTGATTAAGTCCACCAGAGAAAATAGGTCACAAAATCGAGCCGACATTCAAGCTTGCATTTAGTCACCATAGTCGAAAATGGGTACTAAATGGAATTCCAATATGGCCCTATGAAGGAAAACTACATTTTCCATTTCAATTTCCTAAACTGAAATCGATACTACAGTGGCTAATAAGTTATAAGAAAAGCTTACCACATCACTTGCAACTGTAAACCTTAACTTTTCCAGGCTCTCCACCGCCATCCATTTGACTGGTCTGTTCTCGTTATCTCCTAGGCAACAGTAGTCTTGTGGGAATAAGTCTCTTGATAGGGCACAGTCGGTGACTTTCACATTCAAATCGTCGTCGATACTGAAGTAAAAAAAAAAAAAAAAAATGATAACAACTGCTTGACTTTACACAACAAAATCACAAAGTTTTTTCAAAGTTTCCATTCCATTTATTCACTCTAGGAAAGAAAACATTTAAGCTGGGTGGTATGGATTTCCATCGGCGCCTCGCAGATTTTCCACGAAATATTTCAACCCAAAACGAAAATAGCCCTGGGAACAAAAAATTTGCTAGGCAAAGCAAAGTGTCTGAAAGGCAGGATGGGCCTTAGTCTTCTTCGCAGCCGCTGTTTGGTCTCGTCATGCAACGCGCTCTTGAATGTTCAACACGTTCATGCGAATTCTTGTTTAAGTATGACCACAGACGGCATTCACTCGCCACGAAAATTCACTTGAGCTCAAAACTCCTCCTGCGCAATGTTACCTGGGGACGGGTTACCTGGGTCAATTTTTGCTAGCATTTGCCACTGGCCACTCAGAGCCATCACCCCATAATAGGTTATTCTGTGGCCAATTATCATCGTCATCAAATTGTGTGCACATAATGTTAAAGCTGGTGAGAAAGAAGTTAAACAAAAAGGTTCTGATTTTATAATCCCTCCCTAACAGAATTTTCTTTCCCCCAAAACCCCGAATGTGCGACCCCATGTTGGCGACTCAATTGAAAATGCAACCCCATGTTAGTCAATTCAGTCGTGAAAATGCGACATCATCCAGTGGAATATCCCATAGGCCTAGTACTAGGAGGTACCCTCCCCCCGGAATGCTACCCACATAAGAAAGGCACTGGCAAATTTTCTACTTACACGCAGTTCCTAGCAGCTACATCCTTGTGAATAATTCGTCGCCTTGCTAAGTATTGTAGTCCTTTAGCAATTTGTATGCCGACGTGGACCAGGTCAGCGGTTGTCAGCGACTATAGCATTTAATAAAGTATTTCATAGAGTATTAAATGACTCAAAAGAATGAATGGATCGTGTTTTCAACGAAACATTAGACATTTGCATATGTCAACTAACCGGATACAGCATGTATTTTGATTTAGCATGAACAGTATGCAACGATATTCGATTAACTAAAAGGGAATCTTTTCTATCATAGTTTAGCTCCTGGGCATATTTTAAAAACTTTATATTATCAAAACTATTTTATTGCAAATGTGTCCCAAAATATCCAAGAGCTAACTGGTAACAATACCAGAACTTGAAGTTGTCATTTAACAAAAATTATTTTACTATTTTACAAGAAAATGTGTCTCAGGTTGAGGGGAGAAATAACAATCAGGCCTTGAGGATTTAATAAAGATTTTTTTACAACGTTACAGATCTATGGCCAATCAAGATTAAGGTTTACTAAGGCATGACAACAAACGCTACTTAACTCCTTTCTCATGGCGTTACACTTGTGTGACCAAGAGGTACCGGCGTGACACAAACATGGCAGAACTTACCTTTGAGCCGCCTTCAGGAGATCTGGATTTCTTAATATACAGTTTAAGATTCCCTCTGTTCATGAACGGAAACATTATCAAGGGTTGTTTTTCATCTTCAAGGCACACCGCCATAACAGGAAGAAGATTTTTATGAGTAAGGTCCTTTAGCATTGAACTTTCTATAAGTAAGAGGTTGATTTGGTCTTCCGATGCCATTCCAGACACAGTTTTCACCAGAACGCTTTGCTGTTGTGCTTCTCCGGGCCCAGTTAAAACGCCATTATATATGCGAGCAAATGTCCCTATAATGAAAATAAGATTATATATAATAAACTGAATTACACGCGCATTTTGATTGGTTGTTACTTATGATCTATTGGAGGACAGACGCACAAATGACGTCTCTATTAACACCTTTTTTTTTTTTTTTCTTTTTTTTCAGAAACCATGTAGATTCCATCCTGCCGAGGTTCTGTACGTAATAGATCACAGAAGACATTAAATTTGGTGAGAATATTAGAGACACACTCGGATGCGACTCGTGTGTCACTTTTTGGTTCTTACCACAAGTTTACGTCATCTGTGATCTAAATTAAACGGATAACCAACAGAGGAAAAAGTAAGAGGGACAGTCGATCCTAACAAAAGCTCATTTTCTGATGATGTTTTTCTCTCTGTTCAAGAAGAATGCTTCCCTCTGAAAGCCTAATAGACAAGTATTCCTCACCTTCTTCTAGCAAATCTCCCAGGGTAATCCTGTCCATATCCACCTCCAGGTCTTTTAACTCGGCCTTCATGTCTCTGTTTCCATATTTCCCCTTCTGCGTTGATTGCAGCCCCCCTCCACCATAAATTCCATCACTGGGGGTAATACTGATTGTACTGTCCCTTACAGGGAACCCACCTGGAAGTCTAGGCCTTACATGGGGCACATGCACACCACCATTTGGAATATGATTTGTCACCACAGGTATGCTAGCGGTTACAACATTTGCTGTTAAAACAGGGATCTGGTTGGTATTTATGGTAACAGGTATGGGCACATTTTGAGGACTGTTATTTCCATCTACAGTTGGTGCAAGAAGGAAAGAAAGAAAAAGAAGTTTTGAATTTGTAGTGGGCTCCAAAAAAAAAAAAAAATTAAATAAAGAGCAATTTTCAATTGAGTGCTAAAATAGTTATTATCATTGATAATTCCTTCATTTTCAAAAGCTGTCAAAAGTTCAAAGGTATGAACTGTTGATTCCACACATGTATTTTGCTAGATTTGAGTTTGCAAACAGTGTATTAAAAATTTATAGTGAGTATATTTGTTTAAGGAGATTGCTCAAATCCACACATTTAACAGGCTCTGTAAACATTTAACTTCCAGAAGTGCTTGACGTGAAACCTCTCCCTATAATATCCATACTTTATCCAGCAAACAGGTAATGAGAAAACACAAACTTATCAGGTAGAAATTATTACCTTGATTCTAATACCAAATTCCCCTGAATAATTTACAAGGAAATATGTAACAGCTAAAGGGGAGAATTTACCAAGACATCTTGGGAATTAAAAGGCTAGATAATTTCAGTCTACAGCTGACAGTAGCTAATTTGATAGAGAAGGTTGACAATGGCTTCTAAAAACACAACACTTATCAATTCTCCCATACAAGGTATCATTTTGTCTGAAGATGTTCTGAGGAAAAATAACATAAAGATCATGTTGAGTACCTGGACTGCTTGTTTCTTGTTTTGGTTTGCCAACAGCAGCAATGAGAGGAGTTTTGGACACACTTTCCTGCTGCCTTCCTGGGTTGTCTGTATCACTGTGCATGTACAAGTAAATTTTCAGTGCAAGTACATTCTAACAACATTCTCATTTGGTTACTTCCTGATGGAGAGCAGAGTTGTCATCAGAAAATGTATTAGATGTATGATCTACATTGAGTAGGTGGTGAAATTGAATTATGCTTGCACTGCAACCATGGGATGCATTTCTGCAACACACCCTTCTGGAGGGGTCTGGCATGCTCCTCCAGAAATAATTGAAATTTGAAACTATCTGAGACATGATTTCCAGCATTTGGGGACATGTGTGAGTAACTTTTTTTTCATCAGACATTGATGTTAAAATCCCTAAAAGAATACTTATTGGGTCTCTTTAATCACCAATGCAAAATGGTCTGACAGCCAATGGGTTTCCACTGCCTGTTGCCTTCTAGTGACAACCCTGTGTGGGGAAACTACTTTATGGGGGTTCCTTGCATTGGTGAACTGCCAATACCACACAAGTGGTTATTCATTAAACAACTAAAAAGTGTGATTCAAATGGTTCTTACCCATCTTTGTTCGGACTTGGCATTGAATGGACATGAATTGCAGCCACAGCAAGGGCAATAACAAGAATAATGCTACAAGCAACTCCGACTGCAATGTAGAAGACTGTGGTTTTATCCATTGGAGGATTTGCTTCAGTGTGATCTGAAAATATTCATTTGATAAATATTTCCCAGTGGTCAGGAAAAAAAAAAACATTTTTTGAGAGGTGGAAAGAGATGGCATTGTTTTCTTTGAATCCCCAACAATTATTATGATAATTTTGACTAAGATTGATTGCATTTTATTATCAAACAATTAAAATGATTTATTTGTTTAGATTCCAGACATTTAACCTTGAAAATCTTTTAAAGATAACTAAAATGAATAAAAAAACTAATATTTTCCAAAACTGAAATAGTTCTGATGAGAACTTCAGTTTTCATTTAGGAATATCTCTATACATAACCACAAACTCTAGTTTGAGGCTTGCCAAGTAAATGCATCATACATCTTACAAAGATCAAAGCAAATACAAAATTCAAATCTGGTTTTGAATTAGACTGTTGTTGTTGAACTACATTAGAACCCTGCTAACTCAAACAGAATCTGATTTCCCTTGGATTTGGCACATTTTCCAGTCATTTATTATCAGCTACCTTGAATTCACTTAACCCTTTACACCCTAACATCATTATGCAAATTCTCCATACTGTTCTCTTTACATTTGCTGGGTTTTAATGAGGAGAATTTGTAAAACCATCAAGAGCTTTTTTAGTTGCTGATCATTTCCTTTACTATTGTGACTTAAACATTTGATTCAAGGGATAGATTGTAACTCAAACTCCCCATTAACTTAAACTAATTTTACTTTCCCTTAGCCCAATATTTAATCACAATTGATAGGAACATACAGTAGCAACATCTATGGGAATGTAATAGATTCAGCTAAACTTGTCTTCTCACACTTAACCTGAAAACAAACATTGCTAAAAGTGATGCATCAAAATAATAATTCTTGCTTTTTACCATTAAAAATAAATATCATAATGATAATCATTATTAATATAATTTATGGCAAAATTAATAAAAAATACATAATTACCATTTGGTATTTGAGCAACAGTTGGTTTCCCTATAGCAGTAGTATGGACAACTAAAAAAACAAAAAATAAAATAACTGTAAAATAACAGTGTTGTCACACACAACCTTCCTTATTTCTCATGGTAACCCAACTTTGAGAGTCATGTAAATGCCAACACAAGGATAGAGCCAGTAAAAATAAGTCTACAGACACCATGAAACTGGAAACATAGCCAGTTGCTTGTGATAACAACATGATTTCAATGCCAAAAGTAAGTAACCAATCTTACATTGTGCCTCATGCAAATGAAAGTTGTAATAGTGATGATTAAATGATAACAATAATCAAGAAATTATTTATAAATGTCTTCTTGCTTCCCAACACATGCACTGCATGCATTTTTAGAGAGAGGAGGGGGAGGGGGGAGTGTGTGCATGGTGGTTTGTTGAGATGAGTTATAACTACTGTAAAAAAATGCATAACAAGTTTCCTGGGACTTACCTATGTTCAACAAAAAGTGGTAAATACCTTTTCTGCATGTTTTTAGCCTTCGGAGATTCAACACCAAATTTCTCTCTCCTGTTATATTAATCTGTATCATCATTTGGGCTGTGCCTGATTTAGTTCCTTTACATGTCATATTAACACAAAATTCTGCAAAAAAAGAAAGAATGATTCACCTTACCCACAATGCAGCTGATAATACTGACTCTGTAACAAAGAGAACTGGACAGTATTTTCATTAAAGCTCTCAAGTTGATATGCTGGCAAAGAGTGAGACATCACAGGTATCACCTCCCTGGGAGAAAAGGGGAGGGGTGGGTATGGGAACATACCCCCCCAGAAAAATGTGAAAATTTCAAATTGGCTGAGTAGTATGTTCCTTTATTCTGAGCAAGAATTTCCACAGCTGGAAAGTACTTCAAGCAAGCACATGGGGAATAAGGAGTACACTATAGTTAAAAGGATAATAAATTTTTAAAGGGAATTTCAATAAAGCAGCAATAAAATTTTCTAACTTAAAATCAACAGTTTAATTCAGAAACCTTTAATGTATGAGAAAAATTGGCTTTGGTGTGAGAGCTTAAGACTGAATTTGTTGTATGAGTCTCATGCTCCATGTGTGAGACTTGAGAGCTCTGCTTTCATTCTTGACTAACAAACCAGATCAATATACAGCAATTAACTAGTGCCTTCAAGACATAATTTAATATATTCTTACTTGTTCAAGTATAATTATAGGGTTGCCTAGAAAATTCTCATCATGAGATTGCACCACTTTGAATCAAGAATTTTTTATCATAATAATCAATTTAAGACTGTGAGTGTTCCCAAATTAAGAATACAAAAGAAAGGTAAAAAAAATTGTCCCAACTAAAAGACAGAGAAACTATTTAAACTTTCTCCAGTTTAGCAAACAACAATCTGCATGATAACTATCCATATTTTGGCTTTACTTGGCTCAGTTTAATCCATTTAAGCCCCAAATATCAATTGAGAAACCATATCCATACATTTCTGTAAGGAACTGTAGGAGTTCAATTAAAGAGGCACATCAAAGAGGAAAGTGTAAATTGCCTGATCAATTTTATTTACAAAATTTACAAAAGCGATATCTCTTGTGGATTAAAATTTGCAAGTTATGAAGCTTCAATCGTATAAAAATCATTTCATCATTTGAGGCAGAATATCTATTTAATTACAGGACTGATTACAAAGGAATCTTAATACCCTATAAGGCCAAATCAGAAGACATAAATAAAAATATTTAGAAAGGTGTGCTTTACTCGGCATGATTTCCATTAGTTTCTAATATTCCCATTCGTTTTCGTGGGTGTCAAACTAATGAAAATTTAAATGGCAATGTGTGAGTTGCCTCCCGGTCCTATCTTTTAAATCTCACAAACCAACACGTTTAAACAAATAGCACTTCGCTTCACTCATTCAGTGACATGCGATCAAACGCGACATCATACAAGAATTTTATGCTTTCTACGTTTTAGTTCATCTTTCTGAAGCAAACTGAAACATCTGAAAAAGCTCTCAAGTAAAGCATCGAATAATAAAAGTGCACTTCGGGGGAAAAATTTTGAAGGATAAGAGATGAGCTCAGAGTTCTTAAAATGTCTCGTATTACGCTATGTAATCTCGCGAATGTTTCGCCGATGAAAATCATTTAGAGATTCTGAAACACCGAACTTGTCAACATGCCAGGAGAAGGCATAGTTTACCATTTAAAAGTGACGAGGGTCGTTCAAGAGATTGATCAAACATGCTCAACTGTTGTTTTTGTTCAAAGTTAGGTGAAATTACGTTTTCATCTTTTGTGTTAGTAATTAATTGGTTATAAGTTATTTCCTAGCCGCGTGCCTTATCGCTGAAAGCACTACACGTCGAGGAAACTTTATACTTCAGAGAATTAGTAGCATTCTTTCGCTTAAAAACTCATGCATTTCTGAACAAATGTCAGCCTTTATAGAACATCTTAAGTATGCCGACTGTACATTGATATATTTGTGTGCCGCGAGTTTTATCGAAGTGTCTGCGACGTTTTAAGGACGATTGATCAATGATTCAAAACTAACCTTTCTTAGTTTCTGGGATTTTTCCATCCCCTTTGATGTTTACTGAGGGCTTCATCAGGAGATCAGGAGTAAACGATGCTAATTTTAAAACGTAGGAGTACCTCTGAAAAAGAGATGAAGGGTTATCATTGAGTTGTGCGCAAAGGACAAAAGTAATTCTAGGGCAGCGTAACAAAAATCATAACATGCAGTTACTAGCGGCTAGATTTACAACCAGGAAAAAAGCGGAAAAAAAAGAATTGTTTCAATTAATATTCAATAAAACTCAAAAGCTACACTCAAGAGGTTCAATGATGGTCCTTCAAGCCACGGAAAAGAACGTGTAAGGGAAAAAAAAAACTTTACTTAATGTGGTCGCGCGAAGGAGTGTGTGTCATCTGCAGCAGAAATAATCGCGGAAAACAGTAGGCTTCACGTGGCTAGTTTTAGAGACTTCGGAAAACTTTTAACAGATCTACCTTTTAACGAACAATTTCAAAACAATGGCACAAATTAAAAACTTACCGCAGAATTTAAAGGAAATCCAGTAGAGTACCATATAAATCGCAAGCAGTCTACTCGCGAAGGGACGGTCATAATGAAGTTGACTGCATTGATTTTTACTTCGCCATCTCGTATGTAGTATATATCACCCTCAATACCTGCCCAAGATAAGAACAACAGAGAGATTTCGGTTGGATTCTGCATGAATTGCATGACTCTGAGAATTTCGTTGTTATCGATCGCTCGACCACCGCGGCAACCCACCGAGAATTCTCTTTGACTCCGTACGATTTATGTAGAAGTTGAGAGAAGATGAAGCCGTAAGAACAAGGTTTACAAAGGCGAATGTAATTAGAAGTAGCCCTGAGAAATTCATCGTCTCTTCACAATCACCAGAAGTTTCTTTAAACGGCAGACATTGGCACGATAAATATTATATCTCGTTGGATTGATACTCCTAAGAGGCTTTGTGACAACTTCAGAAATGTTTGTATTGGGCTCAAAAGAACAAACGCCTTTGTGTTAGAGCCAATCAGCGTTGTCGGTGCAAGCGAAATTTATTCGGAGTAAAATTCATCCAGTTGGTGAAAGATTTCCTCACTAATCTTGGCTGAAACTTTCCAATGTTCTGTAAAGAAACAAATTTTTTCAAGAACCTCTCGTGTCACCGAGAACAGATCCCCGCAATGTTCTAAATGCGTCGTATACAGCTTTTTTTAAACACGAAGAACTTTCTGCAGACCTAGCTTTCTAAATACACTGTATGGGCTCAGGCTCTTCTTTCCTTTTCGTTTTGATTCAGTGCGATTTCTACATTTTTTAAAACTAATATATAATTTTGGGCAGTACTTGCATGCACCCGTTCTCTTTTATTGGCTATCGCGTGGAACCTGGAAACGATAAGATTTTTCCTAAATTCGTTCCCAATTTTCTCTTCACTCCTAAAATTTCGTGAGAGCTCGACGGAGGTACATCATTAACATGTGGAAGCTGACGAGATTATTTTGCATTTTCTCGGTCTCTCCTCGGTGTAGCTCCTCCAGATGCCATTCATCGATTACAAGACAAGATTTCGGCAAATACTTTGAGCAAGTTGTTGCTGAAAGTTTGAAGAAATACTCATTTGATGTAACTGCTTGCGGTGGACCCAGAGACAGAGGTATTGATTTTAGAGGGGCATGGCTTTTGAAATCGTCCCCTGTGCGTGTTATTGGGCAGTGTAGGCGCCACAAGCGACGCTTAGGTCCAAAGCATGTACGTGAATTGGAGGGTACTTTGAGTCATGAAGTGAAAGGAACTCTGGGTATCATCGTGTCAGAGAGTGGGTAAGTAGGAAATTAATTGTTAGCAGGAAGATCCTAGATCTCTGGGGTATGTTCTTTGTTCGGGGGGAGAGCGTCGCCACATTTCTCATCTGACACTGATTATCGTGCCTTTGAAGATTCTCCAGCCGTGCTGTTTTAGACTAAAGAGGCTCAGCTGGTTTGGGTTTTAACATTGACACAAGTTCATGTAACAAGTGTGAGTGTGTATGAGAAGGGAGATGGGGTCTGATGGTTCATGGGATCCCTCTCTATCTTGTGAGAAAGTTTTAAAGATTTTCCTCTTTTGATACAAAGCCAAATCTCTGCATTCCCTGAATTCTAGTTTGATGTTACATGCCTCGTAACTGTACAACTGAACTTTGTCAGGTACGTATAATAGCACAGTTACTGTGACCCTTTTGCTAATTATCTACAGTCTTAGATTGAGGACAAAAATATTAAAACAGGTAAAGGTTTCATGTTACACAGTAGTATAGTCTCTCAGAAGCAGTCCCCCTACCCTCCCAGAAGATTCACAGCACCTACTTTTTTTGTAGGATGGAGTGAGACACTGTGAGAGTTAACCCTCTAACTCTCAAGATCTGATGCTTAATTCTCTCCTCTAGTTGCTACATATTCCCTTGTAAATTAGTTTCAAGAATGTGGTGTTTGATCAAGATGATAACTTCTACCTGATAAGTCTGAGTAATCTCCTTACCTTTTTGCTGGATGTTAATCTCTTCTGGGAGCTTAAGGGTTAAGTGTCTTGCTCAAGAACACCACAAAGTATCTGCAAGTGAAGCTAACAATTCACTTTTATTGTGGAGCCCAGTTTGCAAACCAATGATTCAATCTGTCTTTTACACAAAATAATATTAGACTGGCCACTATCAAGGCTAGAGTGGCTTATTGTTAATCTGATTTTTATTTCCACAGTTACAGCAAAAATGCCAATGAGGTTTTCATGGGTTCTCCTTATCCTGTTGTCCTTACAACATTAACAGGCTACAGTGATGATTTACTTCAGTGGTATTTTGATCAAGAAAGTCATGAAAACAATTGCAACAAAAGTCAAGATTTTGTAGATTGTAATTCATACAAAAATGTACAGTATCCAAAAGCGGATGATTCTTTACCAAGTGACATCAAAACACTGGACAACTACAGACAGAATTGTTTGAAAATTAATAAGATGGATGGAACTAATCATGAAGAGGTAGAATTTTTTCATGAAAAGTCAGTACAACGAGAAGAAGAGAGGAATCTTGTCAACAAAGATGAATCTAGGGGATTAGCAGAGTCAGCCATATACTCAGTCCTACATCATTATGGTTCTTCTGTGAGAACAGGGATGGACAATGAATTATTGGTGAACAAAGTTGGGAAAATTGTTAGAGATGGTGAAAAGTTAACAAACTCTGATTTTCTTGATTTGGGTCAAGGACAGTTTACTATGTTTGAGTTAAATCCAGCTGCAAGAAAGTTATTGCCAAATGTGGTAGTTGGTTTGGAGTACAGAATGCAAAATTCTAGAACACCTGAACTTTTCTTGCATGAAGACAATTCATTTGTTAATTTACCAGATCAATAATAGTAAATTTGTTCTGAGTGGACTACAATTTTGTCTGAACTCAAGTGCATGATTTCAACATTAAATGAATGTGCAGCACAAGTTTGATTAGAAATCACAAGTATGATTTCAGATGAAAATTGAGCAATGTGAAATTCAATTGCCACTTTATTGCATTTACTTTAAAAGTACAAAACTCAGTCACTCAATACAATTGAGTTCTCAAAGTTGTCTCTCATTTTCCTGCAATTTGATTAATTAATTTCTTAAACAAGCCCTGAAATTTGATTGGTTGTTGTTTTAGTAAAGCTAAGTCATTTGCTGGGAAAAGGTGCCATTTAGAATATAAAATGGTGCAATTTGTGAATAAATTGCACCTGTTAGAGCCAATCAGATTGCAGGGATCACAAGTGATTTTAAAATGGATGTGATAAAATGGTAGAGAGTCGAACCTGTATTATTTGGCACCATGTTAAGTGGTCACCCTGTATTAAGTGGTTTGTTGTCAAAGTCCTGATTTTAATTTCCCTTTGTTACAGTAATTTTCACCTATTTTGAGCAGTGAACTCTATCAAGCGGTTGTGGTCACCCTTAACTAAGTTGCAACAGCCTGTTTGTATTGTCTTCCACCTGTAATGAATGGTCTCCTAAAACAAAACCACTCAAATAAAGCTATAAGAAGAATAATTCATGTGAAATTTAATCCATATTTCTCTCCCAAATCAATGTTAGTTGTAGTTTGAGGGATTTTTAGTACATTTAGTGGTCAATTTGGTATATAATGGTATTATTTATCATTATTAATGTTACCCCTCTTTTGTAGAACCTGTATTAAGCAGTCAACCTATATAAATGCAATTACCCTGGACACTTCCCTATAGGTGACCGCTTAACCCTTTAACTCCCAAGATCTATTTTGTAATTCTCCTTAAAGTCTACCATACAGTTTTTGTGGTGTTAGTTTGGAGAATTTAGGATTGGATTAACTTCTAATCCCCTAATTGATGTTTTTCTTTATTCTCCTTACTTGTCTACATGGTATTGTATTTACATTGTGAAGGGAAATTCTGTCTTGGTCACTCATGGGAATTAAAGGCTTAGTACAGGTTTGACTGTGTCTTGTAAATTATGGACTTCAGTAAAGTATTCACCACTGTCCTTTCATGCCCATTCAAAGAGGATTAAACAACTGACACACATGTATACAATAAGTATCACAAGTAAACTCTTACAGATCAAGCAGGTCTCTTGTTCTTAACAAACATTAAGCATATTTGAACTCTGACAGTAAAGGGTTAAACTGACTAGACAACAAAACTGTTATAGAAACTTGATCAAAACTATGATGATGCAGTGGTTCATTTATATGACTTTCATATATTCATAGACACTTATTAATCACTTCAGGGGTTTATTTGAAAGCAACACAATGACCAGCTCCCAGTTGGCTTGTTTGCTGACAGTTGATAGAGCACTGCACCAGTATTCCAGAAGTCATGGGTTCAAATCCTGTACAGGCCTGAATTTTATTTAGGCCTTATTTTAACTACTGCTCAGGTATTGTTCATTACTGCAAAGATCGCTTTCATATTCAAGCAGTGGTCTCATTTAGGGCTGGGCACTATGTAAATAAATTTTCTGTGTATTTGACTGAGCCCAGCTGCTCTCGAAACCTCAACGATGATATAAAGTGTAAGTAACTATTGCCATAGTTACCTTTTTTGTTGCTAAAAAATTAATGTATTTGAATTAAATGGATATAGATAATTCATGAGTGAAAGATTGTGTGCTCGCATTAGAAAACTAATATATTTCTTGATTGATGCATCAAATCACAATTTGCAACTGATGTATATTCCATTTAGTTTCCTCTCCAAAATGTGAGAAAATGTATCCCTGACCCAAGGTAAAACCTGGATTGAACTTAACTTATTTACTCAGCTTCCAATGGAAGGAAATCATGACAGATAGATTCAATAAGAAATCTGGTCAAAACTATTAATGTAGATATATTTATATTTTTAAGAAAGATTTTAAGTTCCCTGTAACTTATCTATAAAGTGCTTTAGTTCCAAATCATAGAGAGGCTTCCCCTGTTCCAAGGGTTACTGAAATCCTTAACTATAATGACAATAAACAGGTAGCTTGTAGGCTATTATAGCTAACTCATTTCTTTTGTAAGCACTAGAGTTTACAGGGAAACACTATCCAAAAACTGTTGTCTCAGATTGAAGAGCATCCAATTGAAGATTGCTAGTCCAATTTTCAAGCATGTAATACATGGCATGTCAACTCTGGACCCCTTTTAAGTTGCCACTACTCATTTTGTAGTTACTTTATTGACTGAATAATACAATTTTTCTCCATGTTGGCCTAGGAATGTTCAGCCAAATAACATAGTTATAGGCAATGTTTCTTTATTTCCTCAAAATGAAAAAGGTAACTTATTTGAAGCATCGATTAAATTTGGTGTATTATGCTATTTGCATTTGGTTTTCTAGGAGACAAGCACTACTTGCACTAGAGCAAATTTGGAAAGATCAAGGTCAACAGTGTTGGTCAGTCAACAACTCCAGTGGAATTTTTCAAAAATATTTTGTATCCAAAGTTCAGTGCCTAAATTAAGTATTAAAGGATGGTTGATTATTTCAAGATGAGATAATTATAAAATTGAGAGTGAACTAAATTTTGAGGAGATTTCTTTTCTTATATCTTATCCATCTACTTAAAGTGAAATACTTTTTTAGATATGGGAAGCTCTGTACAGAATTGAATCTAATAATATTGCCACAAGTGCTGAAAAAAAAAAAGCTATATATAACAAAATTTCTTAGTTATCATGAAAAAGTTTAACCCTTTACACCCTAATATGAGTATGCATATTCTCCATCATGTTCATCGTACATTTCTCAAGGTGCTGATGAGGAGAATTTGTTTAACAATCAAGAGCTTCTTTAGTTGGTGATCATTTCCTTTATTCTTGTGACTTTAATTGTGATTCAGAGAAGATATTGTAAAGAGAAGTTAGATGTTAGTCACTCAGTATGAGAGGGCTAAAGGTGAAAACTTGAATTGAACTACGTCTTAACTCAGCTTCTAATCAATAGGAGAATTACGAATAGAGGATTAACTAGTAAATCTGGTTCAAACTAGTAATGTAAATATAGTTATGTTCTAAAAGATGATCCGACTTCCCTAAAATTTTGTCTCAGAAATTTCACACCGATTATCAATTTTCCAAAAATACCAGTATTTTGATGGGAACAAGTGGAAACAGGAAATAAAACAGAGAAATGTTGGCGTCCCAGCAATATAATTTTATATCAGTTCACAGTTAGTTAACACAAATAAAATACGCGTCAAGCTCCTAGACTAAAAATAAATTATAAAAAGCGCCTTGATTACGTAAAATAAACAGAGCATAGAAAAGGTCTTCGTAATTATATTAACAAAAACTCTTTTCAGAAATCGATTTTACTTTGAAAGGCACCACCGGATGAATTAAAAACCATCCTCAAGAAGTTACTTAGCTCTGGAAAAATTTGAAAGGAAATCGTCAAACGGGAAAAATTAAATATAGAAACGGTAATCACTGAAGTAGAGTGAAATATGTTCCCCCTTTAGCCTTTGGTTCCGCTTATTGCTTCCTACGCCTCCCCCGCGCGGAATTATTATGGTCAGCGGCTGTTAAGTGTGAGGAAAACAAAAAAGACTACGTGGAAGTTGATGGTGTGAAGCAGCTGTTAACGAAAAATCGACCCTGAAACTGGACTTTTTCTTGTTCTATCTCTTATAAGACTATTGATACTTGTCTACTCGACATTAGAGACCGCGTTCGTGTTGTTATGACGAATCTCAAATCCGTTAGTCGAGCCGAGACGTCGACCATCTGAAAGGTGCTTTTCATATTTTCACGCGGCGTCCGAAGTTACATCTTGTAAAGACTAAGTGGTTTTATTTTAAAAAGTTTGCCTCGGAACATAGGACTTAAGGATATAAGTATATATCCTATGTTGTGATGTCGGCAGAGGTAAAGAAAATGCCTTCTCAAGAAGTAACTGGAGGAAGCAAGATCGAACTTCGCACTTCGTCCGGTACAGTCATTTGTTTGAATTTCTCAGAGGAGGACCAAGTGCTGCCGAAGATTGTTCGCCTCGTCGACCCAGACACAGATGACACTGCAGTTTTCCGGTCGGAAGATGGAGTTTATCACGAGCTAGATTCAGACTCTGCTGCGAACTTGCAAGAATTTCAACACATGAATCATTGTCACCATTGCAACTGCAGCGATGGGAACGAACAATCTTCAAACACGAATACCGATGTCCGTAAGGGAGACGAAAGGGGTGATAAACAACGAGAAAAACTACAAAAGATACTTCGGGAAAGGAAGGCGAACAAAAAAGAGGATGAAAATTGCAATGGCCACTGCCATCAGATAATTCAACTGCCGATACGAGGATTGAAACAGTATGTACGAGTTAATTCATCCCAGATGAATGGTGAACACAAAACGAGCCCTTCTAAAGACGGTAATTATAGCAAGGCTATAATCCTTGCGTTTTCGATTTAATTGTTAGATAAAGTATACAAAGTTCTTTGATCGAGGCTACTTTGAAACAGAAAACGCGGGTTATTGCTCACAAACTTCTGTTTTTAATTTTGGTTTGTTTTTTTTCTTCCGTGGGGGTTCGAATTTTTTCCATAAGGTTGTATAGACAAGTTTTCGTCAACAGAGGCGATATTTCTTGTCCTTTCGTGATAACGACAATCATTTTCTTAACATATTGAAAATTCGTCCTGATTTTTTTGGGGGGGAAAATTACTTCTTGTGTGTTCCATGATTGACCTTGTTTTCTTTTCCATCACACTGAAAGGACAAAAATAGACCCACACAGGATGATGTAGCGGACGCTACAAGTGGCGAGGATGAAAGCTGAAAGAAAGTGCTAGATAAATGTAACTTTAATTTTTTTCTTACTTTTTTCTTCATCTCTAATTCGTCCTTTTTTTCGATCAATAGATTCTTCACCGGAATCAAAGCCAGTCAAAGGTATCCATACGAATATGTCTTTATTTAACGTCTTTGGTTTATATTTCTAAATATTTTCGTCAACAAACAGACTATAAGTTATAAATGATCATGGTAGAAGCTAGTACTACCTGTACCATGGATCACATGCCACAAAGACACGCTTGAAAGAAATCAACCAAAAAGTCCCTTTGTTCTACATATGTTTAATTAAAGTGCCGGGGGAAATTGGTTAAAAATAACTTAAAAGAGGAAGAAAACATTCCTGTCTCTTTCTCCTAAAATACAATTCTGTCATTGCCGAACAGACTCTTTTTTTTTCCTTTGAGAGAATGTTCATGTATGTTATAATGAAAATTATTAGAGGTGGATGTAAAAATAAAAGTAGGAATATTGTTGGTTTTTCCATAATACATGTACATGCACATGTAAATAACAGCAGAAACATATCAGTTTACGTAAATGATATTTTTGAAATGCCCTATATCACTTTACATTCGAGTTTTTATAATTTTTTTAAAAGGTTCTTTGGAAAATTGAACATACATAATTTTTTACATTTTGATTTACAAGGAACAAAAATTAGTCTGACCATTTGATACATAACGGTATAAACAGATAAATTATAATGTTGATAAATTTTGTGGAAAATTCCAAACATTTAAATTCATCTCACGATTTAAATGCTTGTGTTTGTCAAGTCTTAGTTTTCTCTATAAGAAACGATAACTTCCTTAGCACGTAACATATTTCTGTTTGAAGTTTTTTGCCATAGCTACTAAGTGGTCCTTACTGTAAAATTAATCTAAGTATGGGGTAATTGTCAAGCTTCCTCACCCTCGAATCAAATGTAAATGTCATGAGAATAGAGAAAATGATCACCAATTTTAGAAACTTCTGATTGTAAATCAAATTCTCCTTGCCACTATTGTAGAAAATGTAAAGAGAACAGTGTGGAGAAGATTAATACTAATCAAATATTATAGTGTAAAAAGTTAATTCCTATTCGGCTTTACCTTTAGTTGATGTTTTCGCAACAACAGTAATATATTGGGTATTAAAGTAAATTTTTAAGTCAATGTGATCAGGTTAATGTTAAAAGATATGGTGAGTTTAAAAGTATTTACGACTTACAGCTGATCTTGGAGCAAGTCAGTTTCACCCACTAATTGTGTTCTACTCTTTCTTATGTAAGCTTACTAGTAATAAGCCTCTTAGGCTTATTAACTAAAATGATATATGCACCTTTAATGTGATAACGGTACCACACACCAGATTGGATTTGATTGTGTTGGGTAAATGGTTCCCGGGAGATCTAAGTCAGAATATAAATATTGCCAACTTTGCCTGATACAGGTAGCCAACATTGTTAAAAACAATGTAAAAAAAATTCATGTGCTGTTACTTTCATTTTGAATGGTTTTATGCAATGGGATTTAAGCTTGAAATATGAACTCCAACATGACACTTGACTGTAGCTTTGTGTTTGAGAAATCAAATTTAAAACAAAAGTTACATTCAGTTTTTGATCATGGAAAGTAGAACAGTTTAGGTTATTGCTAATACATGTGTATACATGTAACTGTGAGATTTGTTTGGCAACAAATATTGTGCTTAGGGTCTTAAGGGTTTTTTCTTTTAGTTTTTGGGATGGCTTAGGGATCTTCTACAATATAAAATGTGAATTATTAACCAAATATATCAAACTAAGGCTCCATGTAATTTAATGCCTTGTATTTTAAAATTTGACCTTTTAGAGCAAATACTAATTAGGGCCCACAATTGATCACAAGGCTAAATTGTTACAGTTGCTATATTTGTGTGTCAGAGAGCTAAAGATATTGTGCTGACCTTATCAGCAGATTTAAGATTTTCAGATAATTGTATTTTATACTGGGCATCATCTCTTTTTTTCATTGAGATATTTTTAAAAGAAATCAAAAGAGTTTGGCTTTTTTAATTGAAAATGATTATTCTTTTTTTGGTTTTTTTTTTCGGGTAGTCTGGAAATCGCTCCTTTGTAAAGTGGTTTTTGCAGCTGCCTTGTAAAAACATATAAATTGAATGTTATGACCATGAGTCTGTTTCCATAGTGCTGTAGGTGCATAAGATATACTGCAAATTATTATGCAATCAAATGACATGACAAGAATCCTCAAAAGTGGATTAAATGTTTTTAGTTATCTTCTTTAGCTGTTAACAGGGATTTTTAGAACACTTTTTTTTTATATTCTTAATGAATTTATAAAGAAATGTTTTGTCCTAATTATAAAAGGTACTAATTGTACAATATTTAATAACCATTATCTTAATGTTATCATTTTTAATTAATACTTCTTAAACAGATACTTTAGATAGATAGAAAGGCAGATAAAGTGGAAACCATGTTGTAAGCTTTTTTCAGAATATTTCTCCTAGAGTACATTGAATTGTTAAAAAGGGAATTTTTTAATATGATAACAAAAGAGGAGGGAATTCAACTTTTAATGTTAATTCTTCTACTGCTGCTATGTAAAGATGAAATGATATTTGATTATATATTTTCAATAATCACTCCATTAATTTCTTGCCTGTATCAATTTTCTTACAACAGGGAAAAATATGTTAGAGGAACTTAAGATTCACAAGGAACCAGATGTAAGTAGCTGTTTTTGTTATTATCAATAATGACAATAGTGACAGTTCTTAGGGTGTATTTTATAAATCTCAAATTTGATTGCTTTCTAAAATTGAATAGAAATGATTAATTCAAGCAAATTGGAATTAAACACAGTAAATAGACATGAACACAGTGTTCAAGAACCCCAACTGGCCAGAGGTAGGCTTAAGTTGGCTATATGCAAAGAGCAGCCAAGGAATTGAACTCAGGGAAAGTGAAAACAAAGCCAGTGTGTGGCATGGCTTAAGGCTTGAACAGTAGTAACCATCACAATCTCACACATGAAACTTGTTCAAATCCTAGATTGAAGTTGTAAACTGTACAACTGTCAAGGTCTCTTGGGCTGGACAAGTTAGCAACAACAGCCACCTTAATGGGTGCAGTTTTGATCTACAAATGTTCTCCAAGGCATCACCATATAGCTCTATTTACAGGTATTCTACATTTTTGTTTTGACATGTGAAGGTGGTAATAAAAGAACAATTAAACAGCTTAAAATCAAATTAAAGTGGTTTTAAACTACTTGACATATGACTGTGCATAAACTGTTGCTGGTGACCATTTTAGTGTGGATAAAGTTTTGTTGGCTAAATTTTCAAGGGTAGGGGTTACATTGATGACCTTGATTAAACATTCATATAGCAAGTAGTAACTTCTTCTTTACCACCTCTGTTACTATTATTGTCACCTTAAAACAACATATAATCAACACTGCTACTTTTACTTTTACTGTCCACTGAACTTGATGATGATAAACCCCTTATTTGTTGACTAAAATAGAAAGCTGGTCCCATCACAATTCAAAAATCCCTTTACTCTACATTTTTCTCCTCCATCCCCTTCCCATTTAAAATGATTTATCCCTGAATTGTCAAAAATACACTTTTCAAAAGCCTGTGTAGAGTTGCAACAAAGTAAAGATTAAACAAATGAAAGATACATGTATGGTTTGTGGTTACTTCTTTCTCCTTTTGGTTGTCTGATATACATGTATGTGTATGTTACTTAGATTTTTAATTTTTCTTTTGAAACTGAGTTTTTCTTTCTTTCTTTTTCCTGGCAACCATTCTATGGTTTTTGATTGTTAAAGAGCAACTCTGAAAAATCTTGAGCTTGCTGCACTGTAGATGGGTGTTGCATTGTTTCACTGTTACCAAAAATAGCTACACTGACTATTGAACATGTAACTGATCATATAATCTTTCCGTTTTCACTTGTAGTGGTTCAGATAAAGAGTTTATTGTTAAGGAACTCAAACCAGGAACACAGTATAAGTTTAGGTAAGTGCTGTGCTAGTGTTGTGAGTTTAAATACCAGTCAAGAAACTTGGCATGATACACAGAGAGAAGGCATGTGTGTAAAATTTGCGGAAAACAGTGAACTCTTCTTTTTAAGTCTTCTGGGTTGCAATGTCCTGTTGAACAACTAGAAAATATTTCAAAAGGGAAATGTCAAATTGAGTGAGTTTTACAGTGAAAGAAAAATCTGTTTATTTTTTTTTTCTGTAGTGCAGGAGATTTACTGGAAGGCCAGCAAAGGAGGCTTTTTTAAGGCATTAATTCAGGATCATGAATCGTTGAGGTTTTTTTATTTATTTACAGATTACAGGCTGAAAAGGAGGGTGACAAGGGAGATTTCTCTCCTGAAGCTCTCTGTGATATGCCCTGTTCAGTTCCATCCACACCTAATCAGCCTCATGTTGGAAATAAAACAAAGACAAGCTTTACTATTAAATGGACGGTCAGTCTCCTAAAATATTTCCTATTCTTATTTGATACATACATATAAGTTTTGATTTGAAATGATTTTCATAAGCTCTGATCTTGTTTAAATTCCCATAAAAGAATTACTTTTATTATTAATAATAATTGTGACGTCACAGTTAAGACCTTGAGTTTTAACTGTCAGTGTCTGGGCTGAAATGCATGACAGTACACATAACACAATCCTGCTTGATCCTCTGAGCATGGAAAATGAGAGACACCACAGCAATTAAACTTAGTTTTGTTAAAACAATTGTCACAAAAGGTACACATCACAGTCTTTCAAAATTAAACAAATTACAAACAATAAACTTGACAAAATTTTGCTCTATTATCCAAGATTAACAAGTGTACAGTGAAGATTGGGTGTGAGGTGGGAGTGGAAGTTACGAGTTTAATGTATTTTGTGCAAGAGCTGCATTTCATTACTGCTGTCTCAGCAGTTTTGCCTGAGACTGGATCTATGTGTTGTATGATCTCCAATGTCTCCTTTTTCCCTAACTCCCTCTGCTGTCCCCCAGAAGAAATAATTATATCTTGCATGTTATGGCCGAAAAAAAAAACAAAACAAGACAAAAAACTGAGCTATGGTAACAGTCAGTAATAATTTTTCCTTAAATTTTTCTGATGTTCAGACAGTTAACATATTTGTGTTCATGTTGGCTCTAGGCACCATCAGACAATGGTTCCCCAATCACGTTATACAGACTGGAATGGAACAAGGGTGAGAAGGGGGGTCCCTACACTGAGTGTTACTGTGGGTCCCAGAGACAGTTTAAACTGACACATAAACTACCCCCTGCCACACCTTGTTCATTCAGACTTCAAGCTGTGAATAGCATAGGAGCCAGGTGAGTGCTCTTAACTTTTTCATATCCAGGATTTCAATTGTTGTTCTCCTTGCTGTCTGCCATACAATTCTTATGATGTTAGTTTGAAGAACTTGGTGTTGAATCAACTAATAAACCCCTAATTGTTCCCTCTATTAAAGGTCTGAGGGTATTAAATTTTTGAATTGGAGTGAATGTGGAAATTCAGTGAGCAAGATGGTAGAAGTGAAGATAATTTGAAAAGTTTATTTTGTGATCGATTGGCTTAATCTAAATAAGTAATATAAAACTGGCCATTGAATAGGTGCTACAAAGAGCAGTGAGCCCATCTTTCATGAAGAAGGATGACATTACTTTCACATTTACCAACCAAATACAGTTGCTGGTAAAAAAATAACAACAAAACAAAAGAAAACAGGTATTTGTTGCAGATGCATTCTCAAGCTGGACTGTCATCTCTATCCAGAAGGGGAAGCAATAATCCTGTAAGTTAAACTTTGTGCACAACATGTATAAAACTTTGATTTGTATGAATTATTTCTTTACAGTAAATTCAGCAAAGATTTGAAGTGTGTCACCAGTGCAGGAGCACCATCTTCACCCTCCCCTCCCACACTAGACAAAGCAGGTGTCAACTTCCTGAATCTTTCTTGGAGTAAACCAGAATCCAAAGGAGGTGAATAATTTTTTTTATCCCTTTTATCTAACGTGACATTCAGGTACAATAAAGCTTCTTCTTTTTCCCAGTCCAAATTAAACAGTTTGTGCCATACATGATGGCTGAATGGTGTTGAAAGTTAACTGCTTTTGTGGTGTATTTAAGTTTCTCGGTCAAATATGAGTATAGAGTGATTTTTTTTAAATTTGTTTTTTCTTTTAGCTGAAATATCAGAGTATTTGTTGGACATGGAGGATGGTAGTACTGTAAGTTTCTTTTCAATAGTATTTATTATAAGGGGTAATTTTCAAGGTAGAAACTTGGCATAAAAAAGCTTTGTTTGTGGTAAGCATGGAAGTAATGAGTCTTAAAGCATGATATAAAGTAAATTTTTGGGGGTCCTTTTACTATACAGCTTAAGTTTTCTATTACTATTGTTTCAGGGCTATGGTTTCCGTCCGGCGTATAGAGGAACTGAAACGACTTGTGTGATTGATAAGCTTCAAAGAAATACTTGTTACAAATTCAGGGTAAGGCAAAGACTTTCAAGATTTCCTGATCTTTTTGTATTTAGGTTGGATACAATTTTTATGTTCCTGAAAATTGCTTAATTTAACCCTTTAATCTATTTGTTAGCTCTCCCTTGAAGCTGCTATACGTTGCCTTGTAATTTAGTGATGAGTATTTGGTGTTAGATCAGGATGACAACCTGTTCCTGTTAAGTTACATTCTTATTACCTGTTTGGTGGGTAATATATGGACAGGACTGGGAGAAGTTGCATTTTAATCACTTTTAGGAGTTAAAATGTTAATATCTATAAAAAATACTTTTGAGAACTTTTTGATTGTGTTAAAGGTAATGTCAAAGTAAAGTAAATACCACAGAGAGCCAATGAAAACTTGAATGAAATAATTCAGTGATTTAGCTTGGGAAATTGTGAGTTATCGAGTGATGACTGGTTTCAGTTAGTGTTGTATCTGATTCAGTTGGACTAATCATAGGATAAAGTGAAGTGAGCCCAAACTGGGGCAAGTCCAGTATTTAATCATGGGGGTTCAGGGAATTGTTTGCTGAAGGTGAACCCTTGTAGGGGCATACTCCTCCGGGAGATTTTGAAAACTAGGTCTTTAGAAACATGATTCCAGATGATTTGAGGAATGATTTGGGGGTGTGACTAAACCACTCAAGGCACCCCTGGATTTGCCTTGACAATGCAACCCCAGATAACTTGTGATGAGCAGATCATGGATTTACAAACTCATGTGTAACAGTTTGATGTGTCACTTTTAATTAATTCCTGTGCATTTTATCAACAGCTTCTTGCTTCTAATTCACAAGGGAAAAGCAAGTGGAGTGAGACTGTCATGTTTGACACTTGTCCAGAACGACCAGGTAAGTGTACATGAACCAAATAGACCCAGTCAGTATCAACCCTTTAAACCCTAAGAGTGACCAGCATCTAATTTCTCTTTACATTAATACTGTTGAATCATTCAGTAGGATCATGAGAATATAGGAAATGATCCCCAACCTAAGAAGCTTTGATTGTGAAGTGAATTCTCCTAGTTAGTTCCAAAGGAAATTTATAGCAAATAGTATTGAGAATATAGATACTGATGTTAGGGTGTAAAGGGTTAAAAGTAAGTTTTAAATGGGACAGTGGGATGGATTGTGTATCGAGAGATTTGGGTTTGAGGATATTTTTTGTTTTTCTCATCACATTTCTACCTAACCCTTTATGTTCTCTTTGTTCAGCATCTGTACTCTATAGATTTCCTAAGGTATTTACAAAGAGAATTTGTTTAACAATCAAGAGTTTCTTTAGTCAGTGATAATTTCCTTTCTTCCTGTGACCCTAATGTGCAATTCAAGGGTGATATTGTGGAGAGGAATTAGATGCTAGTCACTCTGAAGGTTAAAAATGTTTTTATGGTGTAAGAAGGAGTCCTGTTTTGGTCACATCTTGGGGTGAAAAGGTTAATGAACTAAGACTTTAAGCCAGGTTGTATTCCTGATCTAAGTTGCTTGCAAAGCATTTGGCTGTCTTGCTTATTAATATAACTAATCCAGGAATCGCCAACAGCTTCCACAAGGCTGACCTTATGTAATTTTTTTTCCCTTCAGGGCAGCCATCTCGGCCAGTTCTTGAAGGAAAACTTAGATCCTCAGGATTCACTGTTGCTTGGGGTAATTTAAAACTAAGTGATGTGTAGCCATGTACATGTTGCCTCATTATTAAGTGACCTCTCATGTTAGCTCAAAAAATACATTCATAATTATGTTAACCACAACTACTACAATTTCCTCAAATATGATTGGGGCATTAGCAGCAGCATTTTTCACTAATTATTCTGTGAAGTTGTAATCAAACAGTGTCATTGGACAGTTGGCTGTAGTCAGACACCTGTAATGGGATAGTTAAAGCAACCAATCATATTAAGTTCACCTGTGTAAATCCACCAATTACAGAATTGATTACAATAAACATAGCCACAATCATTTACCCCACAAAACTGGAGAATTTTCAAATGGAGAAACTTCTTATTTTAGACATTGTCTCTACCGTAGATGTTTTCTCAAATAGTTGTATTTGTTTTTTGTGGGAAATTATGATTGTTATGATTAATTGGTAACAGGACTTTGTGTCATCCAATTTGTTCTGTAATCAAACTCATGATTGACAAATCAGACTCTTGTGGTGCAGCCGTCTGATTTTGTAGTCACTCATATGATTACATTCACTCAGCCCTATAACCATTATTAAATGTTTGGTATTTATCATTTATCCCACTGTTATGAACTGTACTTAACCCATTAACTCCTAGAAGTGATTATTATGTAACTTCTCCCTATAATATTCATACATTATCCGGCAAACAGGTAATGAAAATATTCAAACTTATCAGGTAAAAGTTGTCATCTTGATCTAACACCAAATTCTTGTAACAAACACACAAGGAATTGTGTAGCAGCTGAAGGGGAGAATTAACAATCAGATCTTGAGAGTTAAAGGTTTAATGTACATGTACGGATTATTTTATGAACGTAGGGTAAGAAATTTTGATAAGTTTTGTGCCATTTTAGTGCCACCAGAGGATATGGGAGGCTCAGAGATCTCAGCTTATGTGTTACAAGCAGATGATGGTAAAGGTAAGGACTTGTGGGTTATTGAACAACCAGACTTTGTAACAGAAAATCTTCAGAGCATCAGGACATTAAGCGCTAGAAATGTCTGGACCCACAGTGGGAGTGGGACGGTAGAGGAGGGGCTCCTCCCTTATATAAGCCACGTGGGTACGTGAAGCTGCTAAGAATATGGTTTTAGAGCCATTTTGGTCTGACATCATGTACAGATTTTGACCAGTATCAGTTGTTATTATCCAACTGCACAAAGTAGAGTACAAAGAACGCGCGAATAGAATACAAGTATCTTGCGATATTGTACGGTTATTTGGACAGTTAAGTTGTACTGTAAACAGACCTGCTTAACCAGTCGGCTGCGCGCGCTACGCTTCTCTATCCACTTTGCTTTTCCCGCCTTACGAGAAATGAGCAGAAAAACTCTGCAGAAAAAAGAGCAGTTAGATAAGAAATAACTTGTAAGATGGTTTGGTGTGTAGTATTATTTACTCGTAGTTTGTATTTTACCTCGCCCTACGGGCTCGTCAAAATACGGCACAACTCGTAAAAAATACTCAGCGATACTATACACCAAAACGTCTGATAAGATATCTTTATTTTCGTCAAGAAGCCCTTAATCGCCATGAGTAAGGGCAATATGAACATATTTCTTTACCACTCTGTTTTCAGGAGGGCAATTTACGGAGGTATACAGAGGTCTGGGGTGTGAATACACCTTTACTGGCTTATCTCCTGGACATCTTTTCAGAATTCGCTTAGCAGCTGTTAGCGATGGTGGTACTAGTGAGGTAAGCTTTACAACAGTATTTGATGAAGTCTTGACCTGCTTAGCAGTGGCTCAGTTCCAGAGGGCGTGAGTGATTCTTGCATTGTGGTAATGATGCTCACTGCCTTCATGTTTCCTTTCAGTGGTCCAAAGTGACAGAGATCAGGACCTTACCAGTTGTACCTGGCCAAGCAAACCCTCCAGTCTTATCAAAATCTAACAAACCTCAGCCAAACACACTTGATCTTCGTTGGGGTAAGTTCAGAGGAAAATGCCTGACACGCAGATGTGACTCTTTCACTTACTGAAGTTTTTTATTTACTTGTTTGTTTGTTTTCGGGAGAAGAGTGGGGCCTGGTGGTTAGTGTGCGAGACTTCTTGAGGTCACTGTGTTGTGTTCTGGGGTGAGACATTTTGAATCGAATGTCGGTGTCTGAGCAACTGCGCACCTACCACTCCCCTAATCCAACAACAGCAAGCTGATAACAAGTTACACTGGGGTTAAGTAAGGGGAGGGGTAGGTTAGATGTCAGATACTGACATTTCCCTCCCTACTGTCACCAGCAAACTAACAAAATTTCGAGTGGTAACCTGCTTGGACTGGGAATGTCACAATAATTAAAAACGAACAAACAAACTCAAATAAACGAACAAAACAAAACAAAACGTAGTCTAACTGCTTTCGTTTGACTTTTCTTTTGTAATTTTATATTCCTGCAGAAATGGTTTTTAAGTCGTTCGATGACGCTTTGCAAAATAACAGTCTGAAGGACAATCAAAATATTACTTGCTGTTTCACTCATTTATACCTTAATTGGCTCATTGTAAGTTATTCTGATTTTGCTGTAGATCCACCCAGTTATGATGGGGGTGCTGCTATATCAAGCTATATCATGGAGATGGAAACCCCTGGAACAAAGGGTAAGAAATTCAGTCAGAATATTTGTTTAATGTGATCATTTGCAATCCTCTGTGTCAACTTTCTCCTTCCTTGTCCCTTCTTGGTTAATAAAGGGGGTAACTTTCTAAAGAAACTGTGTTACTGTGTCGGTGGGAGAGTATAATATGGTAATTTAGTGTTATCAGCTGAGTTGAAAACATAAATTGGCCACCGTAAAGAGTTTTAAAGGCTATAGTTCTTTAAAACTCTTTACGATGGCCAATTTACGTTTTCAACTCAGTTGATAACACTAAATTACCTTCTAGGTTAACTTTTGTACGGGAGATCAGTCATGACACGCCTGTCCAATTGTGATTCTCCAGCGCTTTTTTTAGCAGGCGTCGTCCCTAACCCCATCGAAATCATTGTGAGTTAAACCCCATGAAACACCACCTGTTAGGATTTATCTTGCTTAATTAATGGTGACAAAAATCCTTATGGAGGGTGACTCAGGTGTAACACACACCAGCTGCGCTGTAAAGTTTGTTTATTGTTGTTATGGTTCTTCTAATTACATTTTCAGAGTTCAGAGAGATCCTCCATCTTTGCGACAATACGTGTACGGTAGCAGGACTTCTTCCAGGAAGGACGTACTCTTTTAGAGTAAAAGCAAAGAACAAGGCTGGGGTAAGACACAATATTTCAGAACTTCTTTCAACTTTTCTCAACTTTAACACTTTCTTCCAACCGCTAGATTCGATTTCCAGACCCGACGGTACATTTGGGTTCACTTTGCTGCTGGTTCTCGTCCTTGCTCCGATACTCTCTGTTCTCCGATTTTCCTCCTCCCACAAAAACCTAAAAACCAAATTCCAATTGCACCTGGAAACATCGGACGAAAAGCACTGGAAAGGACTTTAGTTTGAATGCTCAGTGGCCTCCTGTTCCTTTACTCTTGACTTGGATGTCTTCTCTTCATTCGCTGATGGTTCAAAATAGCTTCATATTTCAAGCCTGTTCTTTCCTTCACTTCTCTTTTTTTCGTGTGTAATCGCTGTCGTACGAAGCAGTCTCAGAAATCTTTATTTTCATTGTCGACAGGTTGGCAAGGTGTCAGAAGTATCTCACATAACCACTGCACCAGGCTCCCCTGACACCCCAAGAGCGCCGGACATCTTATGCCGCTCGGCTGCAGCTATCATCGTGTCCTGGGAAGTAAGTAATAAAGTTGCATCAAGTGCCTTTTCGATTCATAAAATTGTTTCGGTAAAGCATTTCCAAGCTTAATTAAAATGAACAACGATGGAGGATTTATTGGCAATCAGTGCCAAATGCTAAGCAAAGAGGTTTACTGTTGTAACCAATTATACTTAGAAAATGATCATGATAAAAAGCAATTTTCAATTGAGTGTCGAGGAAAATCTGCCAAGATTGCTTTGGTACTGCTTTACCTCGTTCTGTGATTGGTCCAGAAAACTCGCGCCACTCTCTTAACCAATCATATGCAAAACCAAAACCAGTCACGATTTGGTCCGCGTTTTCCCGCGCTTTAGGGAGTTTGGTTGTTTCTACTTTGAGTTTTGGTTATTTTCCTTTCTTTTAATTGGCCGTCGTTATTATTTTGGTTTCGGTTGTACGACACTCAATAAAAAAGCGCTCTTTTTAATGATCTTTTCTGATTGATTGGAAATTACTGTGTTATTATCGGGTTGTGTCGATTGACAAAACTACAGGTAATACAAAGTGTGTTCAAACGATTTTTGTTTTTGTCTAATAGTGCCCGGCAGAGAATGGTACACCAGTGACTGGATACACTTTAGAATGGATGGAAGATGGGGCGTTCACTGAGGTACTGAAGTAATAATAGTGGCAAGGTTTATTTACTGTAAGTGGTTAGGACGGAGTATAGGGGACGGCAGTGATAAGAGCGCGGGTTCAATTACTCCACCTGGGGCCCGTTTCTTGAAAGTCCCGGGAAACTTAACGGGCACGAAGCCATATATTAAAATCAAAGTTATAACATTGGACAAGAAGAGCCACGTCGTGGACTGTCCACTGCTAAATTGCCATGAGATGAAAAAAAAGAAAAAGAAAATGAGAAGTCTTTGAGTCGACTGGTATGAAGCTGGAATAGTCATTAAATAATCAATTGACATCGTAGCTCATATAGGGCCGACGGCACATTGTATGACCGATTGGTATCGGAGACTCCCCGACTCTTTCACGAAAGTTCCCCGAATCAGATTCTTCTGAATTGAAGAGTCTACATTACAACACCATGCGAATAAGAATATGAAAATTCTCTTTAACTGATAAATGTAAATTTTGCATCTCGTGATTCGCTCGTGAATCATAGGGGCTTACTTATAGTAGATTTGTATGTTTTAGTGGCACAAGTCAGCCTTAGAGCTGTTTTGAAGTAGTTTTTTTCCTGTCCAGCTTTACAGTGGCCCAGACAAAACGTGTGAAGTCCGCAAAGGAGTCAGCCCAGCAAGCTTTTATTACTTCAGGGTCAAGGTTTGTTTTTTATAGGGCAATTTTCAATTTAGTGTCGAAAGTAATCAAATGCAAAACTAAGATCAATCACGACTTAGTCGCCTAAGTTTTTCCCAGTTTTCCCGTGCTTTAGGCAGTTTGGTTATTTTCACTTTGAGTTCTCATTGGCTCTTAAGTTATTTTCCTTTTTTCTGATTGGCTGTTGTGATTTAGTTGGTTTTGGTGTTACGTCACTCAATGGAAAAGCGCTCTTTTATGCTTCAGTATTAAATTCACCTTTATCTGTTGCATACTGACCAAATGGCTTTTCTCCTCAGGCTCTTAGTGCAGTTGGTCCCAGTCTGTGGAGTCCAGTTAGTACTTGTCAAACCCCGGCCGCCTCACCTTCGGCTGTAACTTCAATAAGAGTGGTAAGTTTGAAAATCAATGCCCTTCTTCTTACGTACATACAATTAGTTCATTCCTTGTTCTCTTTAGTTCCACTTTTGTAGGCATTCAAACTGATAAAAGCACAACAACGCTTCACCTTCGGCTCTTTGATACAACTTGGAATCGACTGCATTGTGTTTGATCTGATTTCGGTCCGTTCCCCTCGCATCGTTCTTACGTTCACCTTCGGCACTTCTTCATGCGCCTTTAGTGCAATTTCGGATTGACTGTCTTGTGTGTGATGTGACTTCGGTGCGATCCTTTCTCAGAATTCTTTAGTCTGCGGTGGAAGTGCAGCTTTATCTTATTTGAGCCCTCCACAAGTCTCTGTAGAATTCTACTTATCCCTCTCATTAGCAGTCAATGTTTTATGGGGCCCCCCCTTAAACTCTGTTGGAGACGACTGATCCCCCTCCATTTCCCCCAAAAACCATACGATCCCCCCCAAAAAGACCTCCCGAACCCCATCTGCCCCCCCACTACCCCTCTTCCTCAGGCGATGAATATTGACTCTGGTGTGAACGTATATTTCTTTCATTAAGAAAAGGGAAATAATTAACTTGAGCAATTTCCCTTTAGGTACAAAATTCTTCATCTCATGTGAGCCTGCGCTGGAGACATCCGGGAAACAATGGCGCCCCTATTACGTCATACAACGTAGAAGTGGCCGGCTTTAAAAACATCAGTTTTGACGTCAGCAATAGCGAAGGGTCTGAGGCCGAGGAAGAAACGACATCTGTTTATCAGGACTATGACATCAATGAACTTCAACCTAACACTATTTACAGGTAAAGAGAATTAGTTTTTCATCGTTGCCTAAGGGCCTTGATCTTGGGTTCCACATCTTTGCTGGGAACAAGCTCACTCAAGCCCAGTTCTTGATTCTTGATTCTTGAAAGGTCGTTTAGCAGTTCAAGGGATAAGTCGTAATTCAAGGGGTAAATTTTGGCGTCAACTCTGTAACTCCCTCGAGTGATCAAAAATTTTCCTTACATTGTTAATACGATAGCAGGCAAACAAGTGAGAACAAACATGAACATCAATTCGGAGATTATTGGATTATTTGGATTGCAGACAGTAAGGAGAATTACTTATGAGATCTTAGTAGTGAAAGGGTTAGAAATACTATGCTATCCGTTGGATAGTGATTAAAATCGACCACTTTTAATACTGTGAGTAAGTCGTCTTAAAATAAACGAAGCTGTAACGAATTATTAATAACCTTTGTTCGTTTTTGTTCCAGAATTCGTGTTCAAGCTGTAAACAAAATAGGCTGTGGACCATTTAGGTGAGACAAAGTGATATTGTGTTATTTCTTTGTTGAAGATTTTTTTCGGTGTTTGGGTCTCTGGTAGCAGAAGTCAAAAGTGTTTTTCTTTTCATATCTTCCGACACGGGGATGTTAGCCATCAGCCTTTTAGAGCTTATCGGAATTTACAGGAGCCTAGCGGAGTTTTATCGGAGCTTATCGGGGTTTTTGCGGAGCTTATCGGAGTTTTATCGAAGCTTATCGGAGTTTTATGGGAGCTTATTGGGGTTTTATCGGAGCTTAACGGAGTTTTATCAGAGATTATCGGAACATGGTCTGACCAGAGGTATTACCACTCACTCTCGCACCCACTCCGTCTCCTAAACGTGATGAACCCTATCATTCTTTCCGTGATTTAGTTTGTAAGACTCATGTAACTGTATCCAGCTCCCAAGTTTTAATTTATTATTATTTACTCATTACAGCGCCACCTTGTTCGCGTCCACTGGCGACCTCCCCCCTCCCGCTCCGCTGTTAGAACTTGCCACGCCTTCTTACCAGAGTCTAAAGCTGAGGTGGACGTCACGTGGCACTAATGGCAAGACAGGCACGGCTGGTGTGACGTACAAACTTGAAATGTTGGACAAAAACGGAAGGTTAGTTTCCATACAGAATATAGTGAAATTCTCTATGTTGTACTAGACCGACCCGCCATGGCTGCTGGAGTTTGTCAGAGCTTATCGGAATAAATCGGAGTTTATCAGAGTTAACTGGAATTTATCGAAGTATATCGGAGTTTATCGGAGTTTATCGGAGTTTATCGGAGTTTATCGGAGTTTATCGGAGTTTATCGGAGTTTATCGGAGTTTATCGGAGTTTATCGGAGTTTATCGGAGTTTATCGGAGTTTATCGGAGTTTATCGGAGTTTATCGGAGTTTATCGGAGTTTATCGAAGTTTATCGGAGTTTATCGAAGTTTATCGGAATTGCGTTTTCTTGACACTAGAGGAGACTTAAAAATAGACGTTTTTTGAAACTTCTGGCTTGCCCTGGCATCCAACGATTAAATATTTTAGCATTTTATACTGAAAGTATTTACAGATTTGTAGCAAGCGCCATAGAAAAGAACTCTCAAATTTAAGCCGCTGTCTGCCCTCTAATTACCAAGATCAAGTTGTTTTTTCCCCTCTCTAGATGCTAAACATTTTCTTTTTAAATTAGTTAGGAGAATTTGGTGTTAGATGAAGGTAATGATTTCTACCCGATAAGTTTGAATATTCTCATAACCTGTTTGCTGGATGATGTGTGGATATTATAGGGAGAAGCTACATGTTAATCACTTCTAGGAGTTGAGGGATTAAACTCCTCAACTGCCATCCCCTTCCGAGTTTGATCTAGAGTAAACATACCAAACAGAACGAGAAGACAAAGCGCTTCCCTCTCTACCACATTAACTATTTTTTCTTGTGTACTCTTTGTTCAGCTTCGTTACTGTCTTCAACGGTCCAACGACATCGCACAAGGTTGGCAAATTACTGGAGAGGACTGAGTATCAGTTCCGTATTCAAGCCAGTAATGACGCTGGGCCTGGGTCCTTCTCTGATGTGGTGTCGTTTGTAACGACTGCGCAGCCACCAAATATAGTCAAAGGTAAGTGTGCTAACCATTGGTCCACTAATCCCACTGGCTAAGGGGCGATGTTTTTTTTTTTGTATTATGGTTCTTTCGTAAGGTTAAGTCTTAAGAAAAATCATAAGTGAGAACAAAGGACAAATTCCCATACCCAGTGAAATACGCCTGAGAGGTTTTTGACAGAAAAGAAGAATTCTGGGCTACTCGTTGCTCTTACGTCGCGAACTTCATAAGATAATAATAACGACAACGATAATAATTATGAGGATGATGATGATAGTAATAATAATGATAATAATGATGATGACAATTTAGGGCTTGTATTACGTAAGTTAACATGAATCTGACCAATTGCGCTTTACATGATAATTCTATCATCCTAATCCTCTAATCCCAGTACCTGTGTTCAACGTTAAAAACAGTACTACTTCATGAAAATTTTAAAATTTCTGCTTAGATCTAATAAAACCTCATTCTGAAATGCATTTAAAATTGGATTGTAAATGTTACATCAAAATGTGTAGTGAAAAGGCAATTATCGGAGGCGAAATGAAATATGATGACCATGCTCTAGCGCTTGCTGCTCTTTTTGTATCACTTGGTTGAAAATTCGTATATTGAATCGTCTTTATAGGGTTGAAGGTAGAGAACGTGACACCTTCCTCACTGAATGTCAGCTGGGAGGCTGTGCAAACTGTTAAGAAAGGAGAGCCAATTGAATATTTACTGCAGAGTCAGTGTGTTGGAAAGGACCCCGATTTTGTGCAGGTTAGCTTAAACTTACCACATTGTCGGACGAATGTTTTTTACCTATCAGGCCGAAGTTATGAGTGGCGTTAGGTGTTTACTTATTTCTCATTTTCAGGTGTACCAGGGGCCCAATACAAAATTCGAGTACAATTCGCCCCCAGGTTCTGCTGAGGTTCGATTTCGAGTTTGCGCACTACGTTTAATGAATGCTCCGAACCAGTCCCCAGGCTTCATCAAAGGTGTCTTCTCCGCGGTTTCTTCCGCGAGGATTATGACACCGAAGAAGAGGAAGATTTTGGAAAGCAGCGCAGAAAGTGATGATCGCAAACCGGAAATCAAAGAGGCGACCAGGGTAGTTCTAACTGATACGCAATGGGCTATGATTTTCTTCTCGGGGTTTTCGTTGCTGGCGATCATAGTAATCCTTCTGCTGCCTTCTCTTTTGGAGTATCAGATTAGTTAACTACTTTACCTTCAGATTTCTTTTCCGTTCAAAAAAACGTCTCTAAATCATTTTGTAGGGCTTAGGAAAACCAAAGTGACTACTGAAAAGTATTAGTCAGTACCTTTCATTTAAAATGGTCTCTCAGTAAGGTTTCATCGCAGACGTTAAAAAGACCCACGAAGGGTTTTTTTCATCGAAGTAAGTAAGACTTGGTAAAAGTGCAGCTTCACACAGCTTTCAGTGAAGTGATTTTAGTTCTATTGGGTCCATGTTGTTTGCTTGGTTCCGGTTTCTCAAAGGATGGATAACGCTATCTGCTGGATATATCTCCATCCTGTGGATGGTGCAGTATGTTTTTGTGGACACTTGTTCACTGGATAGCGATTTATCCGTTGGATAACGTTGTCCGCCCTTAGACAACTGGGCCCTGATGGATATCGGTTAAAAGATGCCATTTGGTTAATTGTGAAAGAAGGTTAAACACGGAGGTTGAAGGCAGCGCCTCCAGCAACAGTGATGAACGTCATAGAAAGCGAAATTCTTGTTTACGGGGTAGAACTTTACTGAACTGATTACATATGATGTTTAGGTTTCAATCTCCAAGTTCTTAAAATTACTAAAATTAATTTGATTTTTTACTGTTGGAAGTAAAGTGGACTTATGTGCGATATTTTTATGTGCTTTTCAGTCTTAAAATTCAACTCGGCTATTAGGCGTATTAAGTTATAGTTATTTTCCGATAGCCAACGTAATGTGTGCTGAAGGGAAACTAGGTAGCCTCTAGAGGTATTTTAAGTATATCCTAAATCATTTCGAATGATGAGAAAATTGAAAACTGGAATTTAAATCATTTATTAGTAAAATACTGGCAAGGCTCTTGTCCGTTCATGTGTCGGGGGATATTCAATGAGAAAACTGTCACGCAAAGTGTCACGCAAAACGTTCTCATACTGTGGTATAAACTGTGCGTAACCAAGAGAGGATATCATGGAAGAATGGTGCTGTTTATATGGAGCCTCGAAGATGCCTTGTGACGTAAAAATAGTCTTAATCAATGATATTATCTCCAAGAGCGTTAATGACCAAGTATGTCTTTAAACAATAATTCATGCAGATCTACACTTTCGTATGTATTGATAAATTTCGTGAAGAATTATATGATGGGTTTGCTTTCAACCCGGCCACTTAAGAAAGAAATCCTATATTCAACGTTTATCGTAATTCCTTTGTTTGTTATGGATTTGGATTGGATTTGGAACAAATTAACTCGTTGTCCTTGAAGAGAATGAAATGTGTGGGGTTTGTTATGAGAAAAAAGAAAATGAATTTGAGCTTTTTCTCCGGAAACCTGCATCAGTCTTGTAAATGTAATCTTTTTCAGAAAACTTATCGTTGCGATGTATAATGGTATTGTTCCTAACCTCGTTATCCACATTCTTTTGGCTGTTATTCTTAGAGTGTTCTTAGCCTAACTTAGAATATATGTCACTCTTTGGAATGCCGTGTGGACAGTTTCGGCTGCGAAAATTGAAAGCATTTTTCGGTTGTAGGAGTAGGAAAGAAAGGCAAGTGAAACTGTGGAACCTTTAAGTACCAACCCTCAAAGGTTCTCACCTCACCGAAAAATTTAAGCTCACGAATCTTTAATCATGTGTGACTTTGATATTATCGACTGATAATTCTGTAGTCAATGTAGGTTAATTAGTTCTTAAATGCGTGACGTATTGCAGTTAGGCTCGCATCTCCGAGAACGGGTCTTTTGAGTATTTGAAGCATATCTAAAGTTTAATTAATGTCGTAATCATCTCTTAATGAAGTGGTCCGCTATTTTGTGAAATTCTAGCAAGTACCCCTTGATAAAGTCAGCTTTATCGGTGCCCACTCTTAAGGACTTAAGGACTCTCAGTTTAGTCTGTTTCTTGAATGTCTTCAGTGTCTGCTGCTGATTGATAAATGGTAGATGTCTGGATTTTTTTTTTTTTTTTGTGAATACTGTAAAGGGAAGGTGAACACATAGAAGAGCGTTTCAATTGAGTGTCGTCAAATAGAAGCCAGAGTAATTACAACGGCCAATTGGAACACAGATAGATATCACGACCAATCAGAAAGGCGGGAAAATGCGAGTGACTTAGTCACGATTGGTTTTAGCTTTGCATCTTATTGGTTGCAAGGGTGACGTAATACAAAGCCAAGCAACCGCGGATTACTCTCGACACTCAATTGAAAATGACGTTATTCACGTATAAAAGTTAGCCAAAGTTTCTCCCACAGATAGATTTAATCATAATTTAGTCTAAAAGGAAATGAAAGATGTTGGTAATTGGAATCGTTGAATGGCTCAACCCACAGAGCGTTAAAGATTATTGAAAATGCAACGCGAAGAAGAGATATATTTATTTTTAGAGATTAAAAACACTGTAAGATAAATAATAGCTAAATTGTACAGAGATTCTCCTCCTATTTATCGTTATATACCTGCACTTTGATCTGTGTCAGTAGTGTTCTACACAAATAAACCGGTTCTGTTGCGATGAAATGGAATGATGTCTTTTGTATTTGTTTGGAAGTTGGATTCGGACCTGTTCTTATCAATCTTATAACCAATCAGGCACGATTACTTGGACCAATTAGGTCTCCTGTTGGAATGGGTAGTACGTTTCTCGAGGAGAACAAAGCGCAATCACTCCCACCCGGTAATGGCGCGAGAGCGTTCGGGAGACACTCGGGTAATACTCGGGGAACCCAGTATTAATATGAGAAAATGGAACTAAATTCTCAGGAACAGAGAGTCCGAACACGTCGAATATTTTAACCCTTTCACTCATGAGATCTCAGAAGCGATCCCGTACAATTGTTATGCTGTTAGTTTCTAGAATTTGTTATTGAATCACATAATATCTCCTTGTTGATATATTTTTATTATCCTCAGTAACTGTTAACTTGATGTTGATTCGATCTTGTAAGGAGATATTACTTCTAGGTTTTAGCTGAAAGTGAAAAGGTTGTAAGGAAAGAGTAGTAAAACGAGATCGCTGAGCAACCCATAGGGAGATAATTTGGTTTGATCAAATGAGTTGATGATGTAAATTGGTCGCCTTAAAGAGTTTCTTGAGCTGACGTTTCAAGCGTAAGCCCTTCGTCAGAGTGCAAGACTGCGCAGTGTTCTGTCGATAAGCCGCAGATCACATAAAAAGAAAGTTGCCAGTAAAGATTAAGTTGAAATCGTGTGCACACTGCTGAAGCTCAATTTCTAAAGCTGGATTTGCCAGGCCCATTCGAATTCAGTTCGACAACAAACCTTTCTCGAATTACTTTAAGTCGTGAAATGGAATGAGATCCAAGACTTGCAAAAATTACCAAAAAATATTTTTTATGAACGACCATCTTGCACTAAACCCGCCCCTCATTCCTTTTATCCTTTTTATGTAGGCTAATTAGATTGCCAACGCGAGCCATAAGGAGTGAATATGATAGCGAAATTCAGGCCTTTGTGGGATTTCAACCCATGATCTCAGCGATACCGGTGCAGTGCTCTACCAACTGAGCTAACAAGTCAATTGAGAGTTGGATATTATGTTGATTCGTATTAAACCAGTGAAGTGATGAATCAATGACTGTTAATATATGAAAATCATACATGAACACTACTTAAACAGTGGTGGAAACAAGGCCTGGAAAAAATTCAGGTCTTCGTCAGGCCTTCAGTAGTGTTCATTACTGCGAAGATCACCATCATATTCATTTCTTAAAGCGCAATTCACATGTTTGATTTTCATTTATTCACAGTCAGCGAGCCATAAGATCAGCAAACGGTGACAACGTAGTTTAATCTGGGTAAGACACTGTTTTATTCCTCGTTCTCGCTCATGCGCAGGTTCATTTACTGAACTAGTATTCTACAAGAAATCATTGGAACGAATGCTTAACGTTCGCATTCTACCGTTGTCGTCACTCCGCTGCCATTCGCTCTGTGGCAAGGATTGGACTAAGGACTCTGTGAGCAAAATAACCAAGAAAGTTCTCTTTAATAGACACGTGATATGTCAGATTATATGGGAGCCATACCCCTCTTCCCACCCCATAATTGACCATTGATAGAACCTTGCCACATGACCACATCAATAGAGAAAAAAGTCATAGTGCCCAAGGTCGTTCAATATCCTAATTTAAGGTTACTAACGTGCATCATCTTAAGGAAGTATGAAACCTTTTTTTTACACTTAAAAAAATTTGTAATGCTAACGCTACCGGGAAGACTCTTATTTGCCAATTCAGCTGACTTTTTCTTTCCGTTTTTTTTCTAAAACTATCGTCAACATATATAACAGTGAAATCTTGCACATTATCGTGGGTGTCTATGGTGGCATGGAAAAAATACTAGGAATAGTGGTTGGAATACTGATTTGTCATGTCTTTTCTTTTTTGGTATTTGTCTCGTAAGCACAGCTACTGTGAAATGGTTTTGCAAAGGCCCCCATCAATCTCTCACGCACGTATACTAATAGCTCGTTTAGTCGTCGCGCAAAGCGTATCTTTTTCGCGTAGGGCCGTGAAATCTGTCGACGGATTTAAACTGACCAATCACGACCGATTTATGCTACTTGAGATCAACAGCCAATAACATCAAAGTAAAACTGACCAATCACTCAACACGAACCAGAATTGTAACACTGGAATGACCAACAACTCTTCGTTTAGGATAACTTCCACTGAGGTCGTCAAAATGTCAGTCACTACTAGCTACGATAACAGTCTTTCTCAGGACTTCTACCTCATACGGTTAGATTTCAAGAGTAGCCCTCTTATTAAGCTTACCTTATCATCATCATCGATAAATTCATACACAAAATTGGTCTGCGTTCCGCCCACACCGTTCCAACAGTTTGGAGAAGCACCGTACTCGCTATAACTCTTTTCTGCATTTACTCCTGTCCAACATTCTCCGTAGAACTGTAATGCAAACACCTGACAATAAAAATAGCTGAGTCAATTGTAAAGTCGTGCTGCTCCTAAACCTTAGCTTAACAACTGTTCACTGGGTTTTGCGAACCACGAAAGTATTTCATTGACATTTTTTTCCAATATACTGCTCTGTGAGAAATTCGTTGCACCTTCAAATGAAAATAATTGAGTCAAAACTCCATCGAAAATTGTTACTTTCCTAGATTAATTCGACATCTTTTACTGAGCTATACTGTTCCAGGCTAAGCGTTCAGTTAATAAAATGAAGCGAAATAAAAAACGGTGCGATAATAGCGGAGGAGTGAAAAAGCGAAAGAGGTATGGGACGGGTCGGGTCCTAAAACCTCCCGCGTTCTTTTACTCTTCCTCTGCGTATAGCGCCGTTTACTATCGTGCTTTGTTTAACTAATTAGACTTTTGGGACAGATTACTGAACTGGGTCTTACCATAGTAGTAGATTATTGTTAATTTCTACAATTTCCTACTCGGATGCCAGGGAAAATTTAACAGTTGGTCTTTGTTGAAAAGCATGAAGGAAGGTATCTTGAGTAGACCCTTTATTCCAAATTATGCTCCAACTTATGGTCGCCTTGGAGGATTTTGGTACTTTTTCTTAAAACATGCATCTCAAAACAAGTCCCAATTATATATTTATTGTTAAAAAAGCATAATATCTTTTTATTTTGAGTTTCATACTTTCTCTGATAAAACATAATTAATTACTGCGCTTAATTACAGACTAGGGCGGAGACTTCACGTGGCAAAATTTACGATGTTAGTATAACGTTTCTCTTTGACGCCATTTTGTTGCCCGTGAAAGCGAGAACTGGGACCAACGCAATCTTTACTTCTGGTGTGCTAAGTCTTCTAAACGTCGAACGACTTACTATTGCGGTAACCATCTTCCCGAAGACGTTGCAAATTTGAAAATAGACTGATCTATGGATTGAACTAAAAAAAATAAATCTTATAGACCAAAAACGTCATGACTCTGGTAATAATCCCTTCAAAAAACTAAAAATATGCTGATCATTCCGTCGATTTTCCAAATTATGCCAAAGCATGTTTGCATAATCTTTAAGGGCCTAACCTTGAGTGTAGAGTTCGTTTTCGTTACTCTGTGGGCGCATTCTTTGACAGTGTTTTCTATGTGACGCCAGTCAATTTTTCCACGCATATTTGTCACTAAATCTGGAACAGCGCGTAATTTCTTTGCGTCCTTGAAGCATCCCAAGGCTATGAACCGTTTGCCATCCGGGCTAAGAATGGATCCTGTATCGTAACAAGATATGATAAATGATTATCAATGGTAAACTGGTTTTACTTACTACTCCGCTCCTGAGCAAAGTTTTAGGGTGGAATGAGCAGGCATAACTATGCTGTCGATGCCTTACTGGGCAGTCTGTGTTGGGTGGTCCTGAAAAGTTTGTTACGTGTTGACTGAGGATCCAACCGCACCAAAGTGTGGCACATATCATAAATGTGTTTACATATCTACTTACCTGGGCATTCAATATCGGTGTTGCATTTTTCCTCTGTGGTGGGTTTCACGGCGTGGCTACACTGATAGTCTGACACAGTTACCAGCATTCCATGCGCGTTCAGTTTCATGCACTTGAGACTGCGAGTCATTGTACCTCCTCCACATGACCGGGTGCACTGAGAACGATACAGAATGAAAAATTTTGTATGCCATATTTTGGTTCGTTAGTTGCTGTTTTTCTTTGGCTGCTTGCAGAAACCGATGGGAAATTCGCTTTTGAGGAAGTTTCCGTTAAAACAACGCAGCATTAGTGGATAATTCTTATAAACTAATTTGCGATCTCAGCTTAATCTTATCCTTGGAAGTGTAGTTAATGAAAATTTCGAACGGCGATATACTTCAAGATTATCACGGCTGACCTCCTTCTGTGTTTACCTCACTCCATGCTAAATGTTTCCATTCAGCCGGACAAGCGATCATGTTGCATTCCTGCTGTAGGTTTCCGACTGGTTTCTGCTCAGTACACGAGGATTCTTGAACAGTCTCATAATGTTCCTGGCTTTTCTTTCGCCTGCAGACGATTGTTCTTAGCTGAATCCCCTTACCACAGGTTTTTGAACATGGCCGCCAACCTGACAGGTACCATCTACGAAATGAAAATCAGGAAAGAAAAAATTTCAATCGATCGTGAAAAGCAATTCTCGGATTCCAATGATGTTGATTTACTGAGGCGAAGGGACTCGCCGCCGTTTTGCGCGACATTTGATTTTTAAACAGATTTATCTGAAGTTTTTCCCCGTTTGTAAGTTTGTGTCATTGCTTTCATACTCACTCCGGCTGACACGGTTGTGTATTGCAAGCCTGCTGCATCGCTGGTTTGCCTCCAGACTTGAGGCAGACCTTGTCATTGACGTAACTGCCGTCATCTTTACGGACGCATTCAACAAGTCTTGTCCGGTATCCTGTTAATAAAACACAATTAACCTTGTTTTGCCTGTTCATCTTATCATCTTTGTCACGGAGATCAATAATTCTTTTGATTTCCTAGTTACCTTCATCTTCTTTATCAAAGGGAGGTCTTATTCATTACTTTTAATTGGAAAATTATTTCAGAGTAAGATATGATTATAATAAAGATTATAATCTCTTGCTTCACGTAAACGAGGCAGAATCATAACCAACACTCATATTCTGGGAACAGAGTTCGTTTATCTCAAATGAGACATTCAAATCCTTCCTATGATTTTCAATTGAATTTGTTTTCATTTCCCAAAATCAGGTGACATAAAAACTATCAATGACTGCGGTATTTAGGATTTGTTTTTTTAATCTCGATTTCAGTTCTTTCCTAAAGTTTGAAACTTCAAGGTTTTTGTAGGCTCTTCGTATTTTTTATTTTCACCACCTACCCTTGATTGTTTTTCTTAAAAATTCAGCCTTACCCAGTGAAAAGCAAATTAGCTCTGCTTACTCGTTCATCTAAACATAACGAGCAGATTGAATCTTATTACCTCCAGCGCAGTCTTGCGTGCATGCGCCCCAGCCTCCTATCTTCCATTTTACTTGTTCAGCAGTTACGTCACTCCTTTGGGGCGATAAAAAATGGTATTCCACCCCAGGATTTGCTCCTTTAATATAGACATACTAGGAGAAAGAAACAGAAAAAAACAAACAAACAAACAAAAAAAAAACAAAACAAAAGAGAACAAATGAATACAAAGATTGTAACATTGGTATAACTCACAGGTTTGATGTACAAGGAAGAGAAAATGACGTGAAATTTGCTTCTTTTACTTCTGCTGCTTTTGACGTCAACCGTCGTTACCTCAGGGCCAGATCACTGAATATTTACCGAAATTCGTCCGTACAATGCATTAATTCGTCCTGATATATTCAAGTATTCGTGCTGATCTACCTGAATCCTCTCGTGCAGAACAATCGAGATTGCAGCTTGCCAAACGGGATCTTTCGTCTGCCTCATTTTGCATGTTGCAGGGTTGAAATAACAAGCTTAGGACAGGTGAGGTGCGCTTACGTTTACAAAATCCACAGACATTGGACTAGTCCCTCTAAACTTTGAACTTTCGGACGTGATGAACCTGTAATTTCTCCTTACAGTATTCATACTAACACATCCGATGAGATATTAAGCAAACTGGTATTGAGAATAGTCCAAGGTATCCATCAAAATTTTATCATCTTGATTGAACAAAAAATCGCCTTGGCTACTTTCTCACAAAGAACACGAAGCAATTGCAACTTGAAGGGATAATCACAAATCATATCTTAGGGGTTTGACGGATGAAGTACGATGATGCGCCAAAGTTTCGAACTTCTGTAGAACCTGATAGCGGAGCTCCTGAACATGAGACACGCAAGCGGGGACACATACTAAAAAAGTACGTCGAATTATCAAAATTGAAACAGTTCTTCTTTAAGTGACCAGTTTTCATCTTTCCTAACACAAAGGTACACTGTGCTTGCGCAACAAGCTGCATTGAGGACACAATAAGCAGATTGCACGTCGATAGGTAGATGTGTGAGCTGGAGCTCCGCTATTAGGCCTATAGCTAAATCACCACAAGTGCTAACCATGAGTTTCAATGCTTCTTTCGTCGGTCCTGGGATGTCAACTTCGTCCTTCCATATGTGGTCCTCGTGATCGTAGGCGACTTTAGTTCCAGCTGCCTTCACTACTGTGCTCCATGTATACGCCACGTTGTAAACCCACTTTCCATCTGCTGCTCTCTTAACCCCTGAAAACAATATGCAATATTTAAAAATTACTCCATGCGTTGGATATGAGATAGTAAATAGCCAACGAGGCGCTTAGCATCGAGTTGGCTATAACTTATCTTGTATCCCACGAGAGCGAATGAAATAATTGTTTTAATCAAATTTCATTAAGTAATAACTGTTAGGTTATTTGGTGCCTCTTTTTAGCTCCGCGATGCGCAATGCATTTCCATATAAAGTGACTCAGAATATGAGCTGATAACCGGTTTTAAGAGAACCAATCAGAAGGCTAGAAATGCAATATTTAATAATTGGCAATAACTGAGGGGTGCAGCGACAAAACTTTCCTTGAAAGCAGGATATTGAGCGATTTTTTTTATCCTCAATCGCAGTAACTGTTGATATCTATGGAATGAAAGTGAAAACGATTTATTGAGAGAGCACTAATATAATAATTTGATATTCAACTCGGTTGGTATAATAAAAAAAATTATTTTCTCCCAGTCACTTGTTTATTGCGTGTCAGATGCCGGATAATGTTACTTTATCATTTAAAAAGCAGGCCTCTCACCAAGCATGTTTTCCGTGTTTCCCTTCACTTTGGCAAAGACATTGGTAGAGCCAGCTGGAATGGTGATGATTTCGCCTGGCTTATTTGGACCTTGAAAGCAAAACGATTGATGAACATAAACCCTAACCGATAACTTAAGAACAAGAGAAATGTCCTCATAATTATATACGTCGTAAACCGAGCGGCAAAAGTATATTTTCCGAGGATTGCACAATCTAGGAATAGTCTTGACTTCGAGGTAAAGAGCTTCTACCCGGCCCACAATGGGCCCCTAATTGGTACCCATTTTAAAGGACTTAAAAGGTTTCGTACTTATTTGTGGACTTAGGGTAGTGTTGGCACTTCTTTAGTTCCCTTTCAAACCTTCAGTTTGTCAAAAATACTCCTTTCATTTCCATAATCGTTTCATCACCTTTGGCAATTACTGTCAATCAAAGGAAGACGCTCCTTTAAGCGTACATGGACCTCAAAGACTTTAAACTGATTTAAACGATTATTCAATGGTTGGGAAACATATAGTTCGGTATACATTCATGCAACCCGAGCAAAGTCGAGATGGGCTGCGAAACCCATAGTAGCTCTTACCATAACCCTTGCGTTAAATGAAAATTATTTAGTTTTTTTTACCCCATTTACGGTAGTTCTCTGTGTACAACCCACTAACGAAGCTGCAAGTGGAACTGTCGCCTCCGCAAACAGCACAATGGTCGTACTTCACGCCTGAATTTAATCTCATGTCACAACCAACGGGCTGGAAACAAAAAAAAACCAGATCATTAAAAGGTAAACGAGTACCAGTTGGGGCTGACTGGTCATAACGAGACGGATTGATTTTATCATGGATAAGGACCTTTTCCTCGATTTTTTCGCTAATTATCATAGGTATTATAAATTTAATGATCTGATCAGACTAAAATTTTATGACAGGACGTTCTTTATCAGTCTCCACAGCAATTCTTACAAAATTTAATGACCAATGTCTTGAATTACAACCCTTGCTATTACTGAAAATCTACAATCTTTTGACTGTAATATTGTGACACAACGTCGGAAAATTTCTGAAAATCCAACTGTTGGGAGTTTTCCTCTTTTGTCTTAACTTGTGGTTTGCTTTGGTCTCGTTTTTGCCATGATGGCATCACGGTTGGACTTCCGTGGAAGCTTTTGTAGACAACCTTGCAAGAGAACAAGAGTCTTTGAAAAATGAACCACTTATGGAGGTATTTAGGCACCGCTCAGCCAAGGATATGAAAATGGGAACGAGAAGCTAACAATGCTTCTACATTACTGGAACACCGGAGTCGACAGCACAGGAAAATGTGACATGTTTGTCTTTCCTCAGTGTGCTTCGTGTGTCAGTTCCCAATTTTTAAATTTTACCTGGCAAACTCCTTCAATGCAAACGTCTTTGCTCATGGGGTTACTGTTGCATCGAGTGCCGTCCTTGACGCGGCCTCGAGGTGTTGCATAGCTTCCTCGTCGGCATTCTAATATGCAAGGATCTGAAAAGCGAGGTTATTTGGTGAAATACATTTTCATTTCAGTTAAAACTACATTTTATTCTGACTTGAAGTACATGCTACCGAGTGTAGAAAACGATTTATTACTGCTAGCAGATTTTCTCTTATCTATTCCGCTTTTCTCGATCACCCTCTCTGATAGTTTCGATAGATTCATCACATAAATTACTGTGATAGATTCATCACATAAATTACTGCTTCATTCACAACTGGAAGTAGCTGAAATAATATACGACAAGAATCACAAATAATATCTTTGAAAAAATCGTAGATTAACTCTTCCTTTTTTCTGACCAGAGAAAACGATTTAATCATCTCTGAAACATTTTCAGTTACATTCTTGGCTGCTTAGCCTCTCGTGACGTAAGATACGCACCTGATCCCCAGTGCACCACGGATTTCGGATCAAAGGCCTGGCACTGAGTAAGTCTATAATCTGTGGAGCCTTCAGGGCAAGGCTGTGGGAAAAAAGTGTATCCATGTCTGGATTTAAGGATGATACATAAGATACTAAGTAATTATTTTGTAAAAACTAATTCACGCCTAGTCGGAGCCACTGTATGATGGTTTTTCATTACCTTTGTGTTACACATTTCCCATGATCCTTTGTTTGATCCTTCACAGTTTTTACCACCATTCTGTGGCCTAAAAAATAATATTGTTGCGAGAAGTTACCATGCGATAGTCCCTTGACTGATTGTTGACGATTGACAAAATGTTTTGGAACAAATTGAGCTATTGCAAATCAAACCAGGACAAGACAAAACAAGAACAATAAACAAGTGTTTATCACGTTGAGTCATGTCGTCCGAGTGAGACTAATTTTGAAAAGAACCGTTGTCGGTAGAAGATTCGAAAAGCCGAGAGTAAGTCATCATTAGAGTCAGGTAAAGGGTTGTTTGCTCACCGATCGTTCTAAGTCTTGTACGTTAAGACGTATTGACCAGTTTTGCCGAGACCTTATCAGCTGAGGGACTCAAGTAGCATAAATCTTTTGTCATTCATAGGATCATTTTTGATCCGTCGATAAGGTTTGCTCGTTCTGATTGGTTTGTTTGTTTCGTTGATTATGTAAATAAGGCTAATGGTTTGTTATTGCTCACGACAACAGTCGTTCTCAGGCTTCCTCTCACTTGAATGATTAGACTGCACGATTAACTGTTATCGCTAGGTTCAAATTTCACTGAACAGAACAAAAAAAAAACCTTAATGAAGTATACGGTCATTCAGATCCTCAGCAATATTGCTTAAGAAAGAAGTAAGCAGCAAAAATTAGAGTAATGGCTATCCCTACACAGGGTTGGTGCATGATCTTGTTTTCCAGGTCACTCCGCCACCGCAAGTTTGTGTGCATGAGTGGGTGTCCACCCAATCACTCCATCCTCCGTCAATCATTGCAGAGCCGTCGTCCTCGCATTCACCTTTAATGCACCACTTCAAAAATTAAGAGAAAGTCAAAATTATGGTATACTCGAAGAAAATTATAATCCCAAAGTGAGTGAGGTCTCCATGATCACATCTGGAACAGTGATTAGTCTGCCGCAAACGTAAGGGTATAGGAAAATTTCCGTTACACCAACAGATTGCGCGGTTTATTTTTTCAAGATTTATTTTATTAGTTAGAGAGCTTATTCAAGGAATTGGTTGACGTAAGCTCAACAGTTTTACAAGAAGCAAGAGATGTAGCAGTAAGTTCAAATTCAGTTGTTTTGAGCTTTTTTACTTACGTGCCTATCACCACATCTCGTGCCATCGACAGGCGGAGCTCCACGAGATATACATTTATACCCATCGTTGGTGCAGTATAAGACTCCACAGTCAGCCTAATGAAAAAGCAACCACAGGCCTTTTGAATTTTTCTCAGGTCTCATCTTAAAGTGTTAAACCGTAATGTTTTGAAACCCTTCTCTTACATTCGTTTTACGCTCGTGATTGACTTTAAATGTTAGGTTTGTCAGTATTATCACAACTGAGAATTTATAAAAGTAAGTCTGCTGACGAAACTAACAATTTTAGTTGTTGTAGGTTATTCTGTGGTATTGTTCGACACCCCCCCTCCCCTTGCCCTGAGGAGCATGCCATACCATCCCAGTATTTCAGCCAGTACCCACTCGTGCTTTTGTAAGGGTAGAGGCACTATGAGGGAAAATTTCACTGCCCAAGAACACAACACAAGCTTTCCACTATTCCAGACAAAGAAACATTTTAACATGCAACCAAACAAATGAATTACATCGGAGTCGACAGATTACTTGAGATTACCTTCCGTGGCAGAATTTCTAATAGAAAACAGAAATAAGCAAGGTTTTTTTTTTATCTATGTCTCTATATCATTCAGCTTTTCCTGTTTATTTCAGATTTGTGACCATGACCTTTATACTGATAGACGGTAATTCGGAAGGTAACACTCGGACTATTGCACTCAGAGTGAGATAACAAAGTGAAAAAGTTCGTTATTCTTAATTTTGCACAAGCCCGCATGAACAAAAGTTTCACTATCAAAAACTATTGTTGCTAACCAGGAGGTCGCAGGTTCGACTCTTATTGAAAGCACTCGGAGTTATTTTTCAAGTACGCCTGAGTCATTCACTGAAAAACATCATCTTTCAATTGTTACTTACTTTCCTCTGGGGACAATGAAAGTATCCTTGACCAAATTGCAACCTACACTGTAGTGTAGCGTTCACAATCTGTCCCGGTAGCTTCTTGTGGAAGACGCTGGGCATTTCTGTGAAGTTATGTGGGTTGTCATCCAGACATTCCGAACCGGATCCACTGTCAGGAAATACCACACCTAGAGCTTTATTCTCAGAGCAGAACCTGACTTTTAGCCCCATCCTCTTTCAGGAGGGGCAAGGGTGTAGGAAGACTCCTCTTGAGTTTTCTGAGCCACGTTTTAGCTCAACTGATTTTCTATTATGCCATGGATTCGTCACTATTCTACATTTAAATTGTAATTATAATTATTATATTTGCTAGAAGGAGTCGATCATGTGGAAGGGCTCTTGGTCTCTCATGGGCTCCTTTGCTACCTTTTGTTACTCTTGCAACTTGATAATTAAATTTCTGGCAAAAAAATTTATAAATGAAAAATAGATCGTTTTTAGCCTTTGACATAAAGCCTTTGATAAATATTTAAGATTGGGTGTCTAAATTGTGAGCCGCAACACCGCTGAAGGCACGCTATCTTTTGAGGAGGTCGAGAGGGTTTCCTCTGTCTTACAAATTTTCAATCTTCCTCGTGGTTCTCCCTCCCTCTCTCAAGGAGGTGATGAGGGAAAAGAAAGAACGCTAAAAGAAGAAATCTTTTCTTAAAAATTTCCTCTGCATTTTACTCATTCATTGTAAGAACAGCTGTCGCTTGATCATTTACATTCTGTTTTAAACTATTAGGAGTACTTTAAGATATAAATCAAAATAATCTAATGTTCATCATTCAATGCTGTTGATTGTTTGTCTTCCAATTGGAATTTTCGTTTCGCTGTTCAATTTCTCAGATCCTTTTACCAACCTTCATCTCTGTTAATTTTCAAATCCCAGGATTTAGTACTTTCTCGTAAATATACTTACGTGAGGAATTCTTGAATGCGAGTACGGCTGCAATTTGACCACTTGAATGCATTCTCCCCGTCGCTTACGACGCTTGCCATGATATACCCGTTGTTGCACCGCTCTCCATCATGACCCACGCCAAATCTACATGGAAGATTGACAGCTCAGTTGATAGAGCGCTGCACCGGTACCGCAGAGGTCATGGGTTCAAATCCCATACGGGCCTTAATCTTTTCAGGCCTTATTCCAACTACTAGTTCAGTAGTGTTCATAACTGCGAGGATTGATTCTATATTCTTCTTTTCAACTGCAGTGCATATATATAATTTTCATATATTCACAGCCATTATTCACCACTTGGAAGGTTTTGTTTGGATCCAACATAATGACCAGCTTCCAACTAGCTTGTTAGCTCAGTTGGTAGAGCGCAGCACCGGTATCGCAGAGGTCATGGGTTCAAATCCCGTACGGGCCTGAATTTTTTCTAAGTACGAGGATCGATTCTATATTCGAAGGGTAATTAAGTGTTATCAACTGAGTTGAGAACGTAAATTGGCCACCGCAAAGAGTTTGAAGGCTGAAGTTTCGAGCGTTAGCGACTGACGAAGGGCTGACGCTCGAAGCATCAACCTTCAATCTCTTTAAGGTGGTCAATTTACGTTTTCAATTCAGTTAATAACACTAAATTACCCTTTTATAATCTCCCACCGACGCAGCACCACAGTTTCTTTAGAGACCCACGCCCTAAATGCAGATAAGTTGCTCAAGACTGCAGGGGCTGTCGGATGAACGAGATCATCCAATTGCACCGTTCGGTATCGTAAAAGAAGTGTATTTATAAAGTCTTTTATTTTATGACTAATACAACAAGTAGTAGATATTATTTATTTGGACCCGTTATCCCTCGTAATTTTCCTGCTAACTGTTCATCACTGATATATATATATATATATACTCACGTGTGAGCTGTTTCATGAGCGATAATGATGGCTGATGTTAGGCCAATGTCATTGTTAACAGTTTTGCCAAACTCTGAGGAGCAAGTAGAACCCACAGCAGCTAAACCTAAAAATTGATTAAATGATGAAGTCTTTTGTTCTTAAAAGCTAAAAATCAATAATCTTCGTCTCGTTTTCTGTGTAAGGCAGTAAAAGTGAGTAAACCGAAAGTTAAAAGAATAATTGAAAAATGGAAAAACATTTATTCAAAAGTGATAAGGAGCTGGTGGAGGTCTTAATTCTCATTTCTAGGCTCTGACACGACGATCTAATCGAGGCAAGAATTTCTGAAAGTTAGTCTCGAAAAACGTTCATTGTATACTACAAAAATTGGAAAGGGAAATCGATTCAGAGGTGTAGCAACATGACTGACACAGAATTAAAAATCTTTATCGATTTAGACAACAACTCATCCGTTTACCTCCAAAGCCATCCCTGTGAAAAAAAAGAGGACTTTGTTTTAGGTTTCCGCTCACTGTAAACTCTGATTGATCCAAATAAGTCGTCCAGCGGGGATGAGTTAGGCATTCTAGGCTTACGTTTTCGTTTGAAAGAAAAACCTTTCGAAAGCAGACTTAACCGAACAGCACTATTTTATTTATTTTTTTGCGTGATAAAGCCCTACGCAATAAAATAGTGAAACGTTGCATAAACTTCCCTCAGGCTGGGCGTGGAAAAGATAACAATTTGGAAGCTGTTCCAGAATAAGTCACCGCTTTTTTTGGAAACAAATATAACCCATCCTAGCCCACTTACTCTGTGTCTTTGGATGATGCCCCATTAATAAAAGAGTTTATAATTGTTACTCACCCTGTCAGTAATATAACAATGTCAGCATGTTTAGGATCGTCGTCTGACTCTGGCAGGCTGTCACCCCAAGCTTTCACTTTACTTAGTCTGACATGATTGGAAGCTGAAGAATCGTAACCAAACTGAAAATTGATTGGTAGAGATCATTCACTCAATGTCCTCTCTCTGACAGTGCTTACTGGATGTTATAAAAGAAAGATTTGTAGAAAAATAAACCAATAGAAAAAATTATAAAAACAAAGTAACAAAATCTGGAAAAAAAATAAAATTAGAAAAAAACACACTGGGGTTACACACTCAGAAGCAGTGGCTATTCAAATGCACACAATAATTTTCCTAACATCCTTGCGATTACGTTTACGAACACTCATTTAATTTCCATTTACGACTATGGTGCTTTAATCTGCACCGGATATTGGTTGATACTTGTGTTACAGAAATCATGTATCGCTCAGTTCTTTGGAAAGATATCAAATAAAAAGGTTATTGCTACAATCACCTGGAAGAAAACGATCATTTATCACAATGAAGGACACTGTTTATAAAGAATGAAAGGATGTCATTTTGTTTTCACGTGTTGAATAAGCAATGGTTGCCAGTAGCCAGAATCGACTAACATATCAATGGTCTATTCTGTAGACTGACAAAACACCAGAATGATCCAATGCTTACGTAAAGATCCTTACAAGAGGGTAGCTAGAGGCATCGTTTTTGAAGAAACACAGAAAAACAATCCAAAGAGACAACCTTACCCCATCTTTCTTGATCTCCAGTTTAACTACCACCAATGATACCTTTTTCTCTCCAACACTTTCGTCGTGAAACATGCTATCGACCTAACAAGTTTTAATAAAAAATGAGAATACAAGATTTAAGATGCATTCCAAAAATTAGGTCATTGAAAAGGGTTTTATTTCAACTAAGTTTAATACGAGAGAAATGCACTGCAAGTCAACAAAAGAGTAAGGTTTCTTTACCAAGTGGATCAACATAAGGAGATGTCTTTCCAGATTTTCTTCCCCACGATTTTTGACCACCAAATCGTCTGCTACTATGGCAACTTCTAAATGCTTATGTGATACTGAACGTTTAATTTCCAAGCTTCTTTTCATTCTCTCGTGAGAATCTGTGTTGCAAAACCAAGGTTGATTAGAATTACAATGTTTCACGATTTAGAAGTTTTATATTGTTGGTTTCCCCATAGGCGTTATCAGTATGTATTCTACCTGATATGTCACATCCTCTACCGATGACATCTCCTAGTGATCTTTTAAAAATCAAGTGAGGCTGCGCACCACTAAATGACCCATAATCCTTTGCGAGGTGATTGGGTAGTGGCTGTATAAAGAGTGCCTGCTTTATAAGGTTGATCATACCACTCTAAGAAATAAAGAGAGTTAACAATTATGTTTTGTCATCTCATAGGAAGCTTATAGCATGTCATACACGGAAAAAGAGCTTTACTTTAACGTAAAGCAAAAACAGGAACATTTACACTCATTATTCATTGAAGTCTACATATTTATACCAATCCATCGTGGTTGCTGACGGCAACTACAGAACCAGGATGGGACACTACATGGCCACTATAGAAGGTATTCTTAGGTGGTGCGGCGTAGGATTTGCTCCCGTTTTCATGGACTGTTTCTACAATGGCTCCAGGGGCCAGTATATGTCTTGATTTGGTGACATTCAAATGGAGTTTGAAACCAAACGCTTCCATGTTATAAAACCAGTTGTTGGGTTGATCTGTGCTTCGTTTCCTGCGACTACGTTTGTGAAGTTCATGAGAAAGAAATTCCCCAGTTTCGTCTGCTTGGAATGGCGAGATGACTTCATACTCAGGCACTAACGATGACAATAATAAAACATAACAGCCATTAGATAAAACACGAGTGCAAATATATAACAAACAATAAGTACGACAAAATGAGCAATGCTTGTTAAGTTTCTGATACAAACTGAGAATTTCAATGCAGTATGGGAGGGGTGGGAGGATTTTGGTTGTCTCACACTAACATTTCGTGATCCCCCTGAGGCTCTGTGGTATTTCAATTTGTGATCCCCCCTCTGTTCCCTCTAAAAAAATTTGATCGCCCCAAAACCCTCCAAACCCACCTCTCTCAGGCGATAAATAAAAAGGGGCCCCGAAATGAAAAAAATAATTACATTGAATACAGACCTTCTGAGTGGGAGTTCGCTCCAAAATAGTTTGATATCTCCCTTTTTGTCATTCGATGATGGAGTGCTGGAACCTAATCACAAGATCATGAAAAACTTTTATTGGCATTTTACAACTACTTTCAGTATAGCATGTAAACCTCGGTTCGCTAGACTCAATTTGTCCATCAAGATCGCACTAAAAACGTATGGGGTCCACGAAACAAAGCTTTGCACTTTGTGTAGTGGACGTAAATGTCGCTGGTTGGAAGTGGCATTTTGAGATGCGCGAATGACGCGAGGTTTGAGTCTCTGGGGCAAGCTTTCCTAAAGGGCTCGCTTTTAGTTTTCAAAAAGGTGGGATCTTCCATTTTGAAGACAGACTGGCCCCTAAGGAATTAATTGTCTCAATCGCAGTAATTATGTTTACATAAATGATTCACTCTTTAACAATAGCTATGGTGAGATCACCCGTCGACGTCGAAAACGCACTAATGAAGTTTTGATTTTCGTGACAATGAGACATTTTCAAATCAAAATCTTATGAATACCTTTTGGTTGATGGTAGACGTGACCGATTCTAGGAAATAAAAGCAAAGTATTGTTATATCTCACTGTCACATGAAACGATAATAAAGCTATGATTTTCAAATATAATTTTCATACCTGAAACGATACTTAGAACAACGCCCACTTGTAATAGAATTTTAGTCACAGAGAGCATTGCTGCCGATTCTGAAAAGAAAAGTTGAGAACAGTTTTTGTGATCATGTGGTTTTCACAGGGAACCGACAGTCCTAGACGTATATCTCTTAAGCAATGCACTATTTCTTTGTGTAATTTCAAAGATTCTAGGGTTTGCTTGTAACTAACTAACTGTACAACGCTTCAGTTAGCGTAGTGCGAGGCATTGGTGATTTGAACTCCATTTAGTCGATTTAATTCAGGTAAGCGACAGACCAAAGTTTGCATATCTGCATAAACTGCATAAAAGTTGGTATAGCTTAGCATTATTTTAAATCTCATGAAGAGCAACAGAGCTTTTAAACCGAAGCCTTCTTGAAAGCTCTTGTTTAGGACAGAAAAGTATATCAGCCTATTCTGTCAAAACTCGTTAGGACCATATCCGTAATAGTTTATCCTTTTCGCCTTGTAGATGCTTCATCTTTATCAGAAATTCTGAAACCTGCGAAGACAAATCTTTTTGTCATCACCTGTTCTCAAACGCGAAATATTTTTATGGTAGTAAGAAGGTGAGCTAAGAGCAGTGCGTATAAGTACAAAGTGCATTCCCGTGCATCTATAGGCTCGCCGTTGTGAAATATTTCCATGAATTAGTTACTTTTTAAAAATAAAAACCTTGAGTCCAAAAGGAATGTAATGGTCGAAACAAAAGCCATCAAGTTTTAAACAGATTACACAATTAAGAGTGAGATTTAACTGAAAGTCAAGGCAACGTTGGGTGGGTTTCGGCATTAAATATGATCTTATTTGGGTCGAACTCAATATAGAGGTAGATTTCTAAGCGAAGCAATGACAAATCCAACTGTAAGACTGGGCTTCACTCCCACGAAACTGGAGCCAAGCTGATTTCAGAATAAGTAACTTATTGAGATTTTGGAAAAATAGACTTAAGAATGTTTTCCTCATCCCAGAACATGGAGGTTGTGGTTTTCACCTCAAATGGAAATGGCGAGATCAATGAAATTTAGCCGCACAAGTCCGTCTGTTAGTTTGCAGCTAATAAATTTGAAAATTAAAATGGCGAAAGCTTCTCTGAACCACATATTCTTTGTAAAGTAAAAGATAGACCAAGAAAAGCACAACTTTACCTTGTTGTCTGCAAAAAAGCTCGCGCAGTAGTCTAATTCAAAGGGGACCGAGACTGCAGTAAAACAAGAACATGAGAAAATCTCCTTTCATTTCGCTAAAAGGCAGATGTTATTTGTGTTTGTTAGAGGAAAAAGCAATGTAAATTAGGCTTGTCTGACAAAAACGTTTAAACTGTTTTGTACATAGAATGTCAGTTTTTTAGAGAGTAATTTTATTTCCCCCGAAAACTATGTGGGATAGTAGAGCACTTACCCAAATTTTGCAGACTGGTTTGTTACTGTTTTATCCTGAAAATCTTGTTGCCATGTGTTGATTCTCAAATGAAAATTTTCTTTCGTGAGGCTAGTATTTATCAATATTTATGCCTTGGGAGGGTATTTCAAACAAAAAGTGTCAATTTTTTATTGACATTCACTGAGTTAATCATTGCCCTTAACAATTCAGTCTTTAAGTACGCCTGTCAAGGTGAGCTGCGCCTTTATATTTTTTTTGAGAATTTTTGACTAAACGACCCAATGCAACGAGAATTGCCTTCTTTGAAGTAATTGGCACTTTAGGTTCTGAAAGCTGATACTTGCAAAGGCATGGAATCGCAGGAAATCGGGCAAATATCAAAGAACGAGAACAAACAGAAATGATTCATGTAGACCCATTTCAAATTACACGCAAATAGAATTCTAAACCGCTGCATTTCTCGCAAGTGTTGTCGTTATTCATTTAAACAAAACGAAAAAACATACAGTACTGATGGCAGACTTGTCTGCAACTAACTGCAGTAACACATCTCTTGCTATAGCTTATATGTTCTCTAAATAATTTTCTTAACACCCGGTAAGTCCGGATAACATTCAACGACAAAAAGTAAACAAGTGCAATAACATTTATTTGATTTCTCGCTCCTACACTTTTCCAATTGTTAAAACCGCGCCAGCTTCTGTCATTTTGGTATTCAACTAAGTAACACATGAATCAAAATCCCTGGATTCATAGCATATTTTTTGAAATGAAATAAAAAGATTGTGTTATCCTTGAAATGTGCCTCCCTATTGAAGAAAAGCCGAAAAATCTCTTCGAAACAGGTTGACACCATCTTTTGTTGCTAATTGATCTTTCTCACGTTGTAATGATTTATGGAAAGCCTAGGTATCCTTGCTCTATCTTTAGATCAACAATGCCGAGTTATTCCAATTCCACTTACCTCTTTATCCAAAATGTAGATCAAATCTTGCCAACAATTGTGAAAAAGGGCTGTCGAATCATGTGAGAAGACGAGGAGATCGACTGTATTTGTTTTAGTGCTGAATGACAGAGTGTTTCCAGTGTTTACAGACCAACCAGGTGCCTATTGTTGACTTTCAGGTACATTTTGTCTTTTAAAATTGTCTTAAATGTGAAAACTGGTGAAATACTGAAAGAATCAATACTCTTAAAATTATTCCAAAGCAACTTATTTTTAAATGTGAAAACTGAACGAAGGATTTCAGCTGTGTTTATACGAAAGGGATGTTCACGAGGTTGTATCTTAAGTCAGTACCTATACTGCTTTTGTAATTTTTATATTTTATTTCATCTATCTCGGCGCGTATGGATAGAAAATTGCTTTTTATTGTTTAAACTGACGTGTTTTCTGTTTTTCAGAGTCTATATGTGGTTGCGAAACAGACACAGAAACCAACGGAGAGGGAGAGTAGGACAGATTTGTCGTAGTTATTGCAAGGATTGATTAAGGGTCCGACTTTAGGATACTCAAACTTGATATGGGTGAGCCTCTGGGAGACTGGAGCTCGCCCCGTTAATGAAATCAAGCAGTTTTCATTTTTTTCGTAAATATCTGGATTTGCATTGGTTTTGCTTCCCTCTCAACCATTCATACGAAATTAAATACAGACTCAATTTGGTCATTCGCGTATTTACTCTTGCTTCTCTTTGCCTCCTTGAGTTATTTTTCTTTTTTCTAGATAAGCAGTTGTCATAACATTGGTTTTTTGTCTCATAAGTCTCGATCGAAAAGTACCAATCGAGTTGCAACTGAAGCAACCATAAAAGAGCGATAACAACTACGCAAGGATTTTGTTGGCGAATACGTGATAATATTGTTAATTTTACGGTGACGACCATGAAATCTAAATATCTATATTTAATTTGGATATCTCTATTTAATTTGGATTATCTCTCTTTATGGGGACGGCGATAGCGCTTTTCTGGTAAATTAAAGAGTTAAGAAAACCGTTTTTTGACCAAAAAACAAAACACCAAACCAAGCAACTGAAAAGAAAATGCAGACGCTAATATTTTTAAACGTGGTGACCAAAGTATTCATACAGGTTACGCATACTTCCTAGAACTTCAGAATGCGGTATATACCAGACGGACGGTCATAAAATTACGACAAAATTTTTTCAATATGTAAGGTTACCATTTTCTCTTTGTTATGGAGCTACGCAAGCGCATTACATGAACCGCGGGAGCTAAATTATTCTATGAGACCTGCAACAGCACCACTGATATGGTGGAAGGATGATGAACTACGTGTACCGTTCACCATCAAAAAGTTACTGTGGGCCATGGTGGTTATGTACAATTACATTTTATCTCTAAAATGTAATTGCGGTTAATCTCCGAGTTATCCTTTAATTAAAAAAAGTTACTTGATTGCGAAAATAGAAGGAGCACGAGAGCAAGCAAGGTGACAAGCTTTGTTTATTTAGACTGTTTAATATTTCACCCATGATACCTTAACAGTAAGTTTTTTTTTTGCAAACGGAAGAAAAATGGCGCCAAGTATTCGTAACTACATAAACTGTTATGTTAGGTGGTTGATATTTTTTTTCCGTAATTCCTTTTTCATTGATCTTGTTTGAGTATTCTTCACATCGTATTCAGAGAGGTTTTATCATCAGTCCAATCCTGCGGAAAAAAATAACGCAGAAAATGTAAAGTTAGTGATTGACATGGAGTTTTGCTTCTCCTCTGTGTGAAATGTTAGTTAGGAAGTTATTCCCTCTCTTCCCTAACATTTCTTTGGGTTTGCTTCATAAATCCCAGGTTCTTTTGCTTTGCTTGTGATCCCCAATAAACTCATTCTCTGTAAAGATATCAGCCCTCTTAAGAGTAAGCCCAGAAGCTCCTCAATAGTTTTGCCTTGTGAGTTGGTCATACTTTTCGAGTGACCGTTATATGCCTCCCTTCTCACTTTAAATAGGGACCTTTAGCAAACCACGACAGCAACGGCAACGAGGACGTGGAAAAACAAAAGATCTAATTGGCAGAACAATAGCTCAACACGTGCATTTTAAAACTTTGTACATTTCTTAGCCGTCCTATACAAAACAACAACGTGAAATCATCACAATTTGCGTCGTCTGCGAACCGAAACCGCGACGGCAAATTATTTTAATTTCCATATGGAACTCAACGCTTCTTTAAACGTTTTGCTGAAGTAGAGGTGTGGCGCCGTATGAGACGGTAAACAAATGCAGCCATTTTTGAAATTCTAATTTAAGGCAGAAATTCATTTTTAATCGAAGTCTTCCTTGGCGTTGCCGTCCTGACTGTTTAAGGTCCTTAGTTGGCAAACAGAACCGGCTAATAGCAAAACATCATCATCGTGCTACAAAACATACATTCTATATTTTCCTTGTAGATGTATCAAACTCAAAAAAAAAATTGTGGCTAGTAAACAAGTTTGGGAGCACGGTCACATCAGTACAATTAACCACCCATTGGAGAGGGGATTCAGCAGAAGGGGGAAAAGGAAAAATAGAATCGATGCTACTTTGAGACGTTGTAGCTTGGTGCTCGGTGCTCACTCATAAACAGAAACGGCTTTTACATCTACTCTCGGAGAATACAAGTCAACATTACAACTAAATGACTATCTTTCACGATTGAAGGGGACTTGGCGAACAGACATTTTAACTTCCGTAGTTTGTTACAATCTAAGAATCACAAAGTAGAGGAAAAGGGACAAGCGGCCATGACTGCTCGGACATGCATGCTGAGGCGAGCACGTGAACTTATTGCTAGGGTTGCTAAGAGAAAATTCAACATAAGTGTTTTCTTTCATTTCGTTTTAAAGCATTTCCCACATTTTTCTCTGGAAGTCTCATGACCATATTCCATTATGTTCATTCACTCGATCCAGTTTCCCGGCCCCGTTTAGACAGACCAAACCTGAGTATTTGAGGCACACATACCACTTTAGTCGACAAACTTGTAAACAAAATTGATTCCAGCGCTTCCCACTCCTTCCCAACAATGTTCAATTTTATCTTCACCGTAAGGCAGGGCACCGTATTTATCGTATGTCTTTAAACCATTGGTACCGGAGAAACATTCACCGTAGAATTGAAGGCCGAACACCTTCAGACTAGGATCTGTCTCTGCTGTCGCCTTGGCGCATTTCGCCACGGTCTCGGACATGTCACGCCAGTTAATGCCCTTCCTTAAGTTTTTGATCGGTAGTGGTAAGGCTCTAGGGTTACCGTCTCTGAAACACCCTAATGGTTCGTACAGGCGATCACCTGAGGATTTGGAAAAGAGTGGTGTATAGATAGAAATAACTACGAGAAAGATCAGAATGACTATAGTAATGATTATACTGATATTAATGAGGGTGATGATAAAAATAATAGTACTCATAATATCAATAATGATGATAATAGTAACATTTTGAAGCAGCTTATTAGTTGGTTTATTGGCTAGAGCCTTCGAATAAGTGAAATTTAACATTCTTTTTAAGGATGCATGCGGAAATGATACTTTACCAAACGAAAAATTAACTCGTTCTAACCTTTAGTTTTTCGTTCGTTCGTTCTATTTTCCCTTTTTTTTGTTTATTTCATCGTTCACCGGTTCGTCCATTCGCCTGCTGTTAGTTTCTCCACTTTTTCGCTCTATTGTGTGTTCGCTTGCTAATACACTCGTTATCTCTTATTATTATTATTATTATTATTATAATAATAATAACTACAATTATTATTATAATTATACCTGGGCATTTTACATCCTGATTGCAGCCTTCTTGTAAAGGGGGAACAGTTGCTGCCGAACACATGACCTCCGGAACAGGCTCAAACACACCTGTCTCTTTTAACCGCTGACAAGACTTTTTCCTGGTTTTGATTCCCGCTCCGCATGAAGTGGAACACTGTAAATAACAATACAAATGATTTTGTTTTATCATATAAGCAATGAGGCACATCACAAGTGATCGATGTAGTCAATGAACTTTCGGAAGGGAACGATGTCTGCTTTTTAAAGACTTGCTTGACTCTACTAACTCGTCGTTCGCAAAAATTGATATCTGCCCCCCCCCTCAAGTCGTGTGCCATACTCCATCAATATCTACGCCATCTGTTCAAAGGACCCCAAAATGTCCATCATAGTATTTTAGTACGGGACAGTTTAGCCAATTTAGACAATTTTTTCAGATCGACAGACATATTTACTAGCTCTCGGCGAAACCCTGGCATATTTGTCTGTTATGACTTTCTTAATTTCACTTACGGCTGACCAATCTCCTGGAACGTTTTCAGCAGGGCAGTCTATCTTATTGCAGTCACGTGACACCGGGTCAGACGGTTTGTTGCCTGTGCATTTGGAGTCGGATAGTGTTTGGAATTTTCCTCTGGTTACCTCTTGTCGACAAACGACTTCACGTGTTTGCGCTCCTTTACCACAAGTCTTAGAACATGGACGCCATCCAGATACGTACCAACTAGACGGTAAACAACAAGCAAACATGTAAATAACAGTAATAACAGATACAGTAATAAAAAAATTAGATTTTGTTCGCGATTTAGGGCCGGACATTATTAAACGTTAATTAACGTCAAAATGATGTCTGAACAAAATACTAGTACGATGACTGTGGGAAAGAAGATAATATAGAGAGATAGTTTCTACAAATCGATTAATTTATCTCTCTTTTTTTGGTTTCCTTCGGGGTTTAAAAAACATGATGAGCTGGAAATTTTGATTTACTTACGTAGGAGGACAGCTCTGAGTGTTACAGTCCTGCTGTTTAGCGGGTTTTGGAGTTGTTTTTTCGCAAACGGCATCATTTAAATAAGTCGCATCTGTTTGCAAGATACATTCCACTGTCCTAATTTGAATTCCTTATAAATGATAATAAAGAAATTAAGGTGAGTTAAATTTTTCAAAACTAAATAATTCTCAAGTTCGACGAAACAAAAAGCTCGAGGTAACGGAGTTCTAAGCCATTGGTCATCGTAAAGAGTTTAAAGGCTGACGTTTCGCGCGTTAGCCCCTTGTCAAAGCGATTGACGAAGGGCTAACGCGCGAAACGTCAGCCTTTAAACTCTTTAGGATGGCCAATTTACGTTTTCAACTCAGTTGATAACACTAAATTACCCTGTTAGACTCTCCTACCGACGCAGCACCACAGTTTCTTCAGAAACTTACCCCCTTTATTTATAAATCACTAGGTTTTGTTGAATCATCCTACCTCCTGCACATGAGTGTGTGCATACATTCCATTCGCCTTTAACCCAATTAGCTGCTCCTGGTTTTAAATGTTCATCGCCAGCAGGTTCATTAAGCGAGTAATCCACTGGCTGCCTTGCAACATATTGCTTATACTACAAATACACCAGAAGAGAAGAAGTGTTTGAAGCTTAATCTACTGATTGGTCATCTAGCAATTTCAATTAGTTGGTCTTCTTTGTGCGTCCATGTACAAAAGGCCTCGGTTAGAGAACGCCATTGATTTCTGACGGTTAGCGTTTGTACAAGTTGCCCATTTCCAACCGCTGTCATTCATTTCCGTTTCCACGGTTCTCGGAAAATTCAATTAATTAACCACTTTTGATTATAAAATTTCGGTATGAATAGACATTGTTCATGTCGTATGTTAATTTCCAGCGGCAGATTAAGTGAAAACCTCAAGACTGGACACAACAGGGAGAACAAACAGTTTTCTCTGAAGCATTCCTTTTATACTTGCGCATTTTTTCGAAAATCGAAATAAGAGTCAATAAGATTTATTGTCTTAACTTTCTGCCATACCCAATGAATATATGTCTGAGTATGGTGTTGGATTATTTATCACCTGGGAGGGGGGGGGGGGGGGGGGGTTGGAGGATTTTGGGAGATCGAACGGTTTTCAGGTGGAATGGACGAAGGATCAGTCTTTGCCATCAGAATGTAAACCGGAGACTTAAGTAAACTGACTGCCAATCAATCTGATGAGGGGAAAGAGGGATAATAAGCATATAACAGAGCTTTATGAGGGTATCAAGTAAATAACATCGACCCCCCTCTTACGTAGACTTGAAGATGTTCATTGGTTGGTCCGGGAATGAAGACTCTATCAGCGTCTTCGTTCTTTTCGTGATAATAATACACAATGGTCCCTGCAGCGTGTTTAGATATACTCCATGTACGCGTCACAGGGTATATGTCTTTTCCAGAATCATCTTTTACACCTTGGGTCATGAATAGAAAAACGATTAAAGATAAATCTGCTGTGACTTTTCGGTTAACATTAAATGAAGCCTTGGTTTGGTATTCATGTTTACTCATCAGTACAAGAGTACAAAAAGTAGCGTGAGAGTAGAGAGCCTCGCCAAGAACACGACACAATAAACAGGCCAGGGCTTGCATTCGCACCTCTCTTGCCGAGGTCCAGCGCCTATAAGACTCACCCAACACGTATCCTAAGGCGATCATTCCCACAACCTCAACAGCACCGAGAACTACTGCTTATTGCAATAGTCACCTACTTCAGTTTACCTCCTCCAATGCCTATGTGTTTACAGGAATCTACGCTCATATCTGGGAGCGGTTCCAACTGGAAATTTTAAACTTTATCAATCGAACAGAGAAACCCTTACCCAGAAAATTCCAGTCTTCCACTTCTTCATTGACCGTTATATTCGTTGCACCAATGGGAACGTCTAAAACTGTGCAACTTCCTAAATCAATGAATTGGAGAAAATAATTTCTTAGGCTATAGGACTACTAAGGGTATGTGGATCAATCAGGAGAACACGACGGAGCCGATCCTCATAACGGCCTCTCCCCATCCGTAATTGAGCTACCTGGCAAATTTTGGAATAGTTGAGAATCCTGTAGGGCTGTGATAGCATTTTTCTCCGGCACTGAGGTGTGCCTTTTTTCCCATAAAGATTAATTATTTATCAAATATGGCCTATCAGAACTCATGCTGCTCATGATGTTTGGGAGGGAAAAAAACATTTTTGACAAATCGTTCATGGAGTACGCCTGATGGATGTAAAAAGTGGATAGATTTTGTGATTCATCCATTAGCTTCACTATTGATGCGTGTTATCAATCTAACCTTCTACATGGTTTGTCATCCACTTCAAGATCGGTTTCAAATGAGTTAACTGCTCATAGCTGTTGCTCTGAGTTGTGATTGCCAGGATTGAACGAACAAAAGAACAAAAGCGAGAGCAAGAACAAAAGACTTTCTAAAGCTGTATTTCTCATTCCAGATTGCTATCTTATGATGTAGTAATTTCTCACTGAGGTCTTAATCTTTGTACCTAGCCTCCAATAAATCACAAGTGAGAACCAATCTAAACCTGCATAGAGTGATGATAATGTGCTTTTCAGGAAACAATTATCATCTATTCATGCGATCAGCCGTGTTCCAACAAACCTTTACAGGGCGTTAGTACTTTGCCGTAGACCATTTTGCAGGTTGTACTGTCTCCGTTACAAACTTTACAGCGGTCGTACTTCACACCAGATTCCAGAATATTGTCACAACCAACAGACTACAATTAAAATAATTTTAAGTGGGTAAGTTCTTCAACTTGTCATCGATAGAGCTGTCATCGGTATCGATTACTTTAATGAATTAATAGAAATTATGTTTAAATTGATCTTACTCAGTTTTATGATGTATAGTTTTGTTTGTGTCGAATGCCTTTAAAACTTGTCGTTCTTAAATCTAAAGCCAAGTTGGACAACCTCTTTAAGAATGCCATTTTTTTCAATTTATTGACGAACCTTGCATTTGCCTCCGATACAAACATCTTTGATTTTTCTGTCCAGGCTACATCGTGTTCCATCTTTCACAGTTCCATATGGCCGGACATCGGTTCCATACTTACAGACCAACTGACAAGGATGTCTGTCTGCCGTGAATAAAACAGAAGAAAAAACTTTAAATACTTTGTAAAATATCGATATATGTATTAGGGACAATCCCAGATCACGGTGAAAAATTCTATTAAAATCTCCAAGTAATTTCCTGGGACACTTCCTTTTTTGAGTGAAGAACAGGGAAACAGCGCTTCCTCATATTTTCCTTTTCCCATTAAAATGTTCCTTTAATTTTTTTCTCTCAATATAGGTCGCAAAATGGAAAGGAAAATAGTCCCTTTCGCAATCCTTGTTAAGTCTTAATGCGTAACACACGCTCCCTAAGGAAGGCGCTGCGTAACGGAAGTGTGCACAAGGGGCAGGTAAAGCTATCATTTCACGACTACCACGTCGAGATGAATGCCCAAACCATTTTTGCCGAAGATGATAGTCTTTCCATTTCCTCAGTAATGTAGCTTTGTTGGTTTTCGCTCAGAAAGAACTCGTTGTGTTTTTACATAAGAGAAAGGCTGAGGCTTAGTCTATATGAACTGCACCAAGAGACTCCCCTAAGATAGATCGGACTCTCCAAGTAATATTTCGTGAGGTAGCTAATCATCAAAGAGGTAGGAGTCAACCAGAAATAAGATTCAAAGATGGTCGAGATTTGCAAATATCCAAAGAATTCCAAGTGAAAGACGTGTAAGATCAAGGTTAATTTCTACGGGATACTTTGACCGTGAAAGACTTTGAGATGACGGCCTCTATATTTCCCAAATGTAGTAAAATCAAAATTTCATAGCTCCCTTTTTTGAATGTTAAGATACATTATACTTACCAGGTAACTTATAGGGATATGATCTTGACCATTTCGCGGTGCATTGTGCCTCTCGATGGGTCGGTGTTCCCTCTGGACAAGCCTGCCATAACAGATCTTACAGTCAGAGTAGATTTCTTACTGATGAGATTCTAAAACGATTTTTATTTGTCGTTTTCCGGCTGAAATTAGTCGTCAAAAACATTTTTGTCTACGATAGTGACCGACGTTTCCATAGCTTGGTCGGAAAACATTATCATGTTGGTTCAGCGGGAGTTGCTTTTCATTCGTACTTTTTAGTTCTGCTTCGTTGAAACTGATCAACATATGAAACTTCCCGCATATAAAACCCAAGTTGCTTTCGGCCTTTGTAATCTGTGATCAGTTTCGATTTGTCAGTCAAGGTGGGTCGGCTGTGATCTATTTGTTGCTTTAGATAGTCTCGTAATGCCGCTATAAATAATAACTATGGTCACAAGGCTATGCAGCAATGTCACTTTTGATAAAGTTTATCTCACCCAATCAACATTCTTCTTATCACAATAATGATAATAATAATAATAATAATAATAATAATAATAATAATCATAATGATTACTATTATCATCATTATTTAACTATCATCATTTTCATTATTGCCGCCATCATCATTACCTCTGGATTGCATATTCTCCAATGTCCTACACTCTCCCCTTCGCAATCCATGCCTCCATTTTTAGGTCTACAAAATAGTCAGAAAAATGAGAAGCAAAACAATTACAGCAGAAAAAGACAGAGACAAACAAAAAGTGACCGAAACAAACTAACGTACGAACGGACAGACGGACGGACGGACGGACGGACAATAGTCAGACATAGAGATAAGGAAAGAGTGAGAACGCCCCCACCCCCTTAAAAAATCCTACCCCAATCTAAAACCAATTGTGCAAAAACAGTAAAGACACGGGTGTGCTTTATGCCTCTCAGTCTCATTAAAAGGACTCATGATAAATTATGACTGATTATTCATAAACAAACAGAAACAGGCTAGAAGGGCCATCATCTATTTTCGGCTGGAGGGTTACTAAACCTCATATAAATATATGTCAAGTAAATGCTGTGATCACAAATTGCTGTTGAAAAAGAATACATATATACTTACGGGGGATTAGTGCAAGTTCTTGTTCTGTACTGTGCACCACCACCACAGGAATATGAACATTCTGCATAGCTTGACCACTGACTCCAACCTCCGTCAATCATCGGCGATCCGTCATCAACGCATTCTCCTTTAATGCACCACTTTTGATCACAGGCAGGACACATCAATTAGTGCAACATGAAGGTACACGAAAGAACAAGGAAGTAAAATTGGAGGAACATTTGAGAGAGGACATTTTGTGGAAGAGATTATTCTAGCACAAATGCAGCTTTGTAATATTGTTTACCTGTCTTTCACCGCATTTTGAACCATCTGCTTGTGGCACGACGCTGCTCACACAAGAGGCACCGCCGTTCTTTGTGCAATACAAAGAGCCGCAACTCGACTGGAGGAAACAAAATGATGATTGTTATAATTTTATTTTCGAGTTAAAATGGGAAAAGTATAACTCCCTTTGAATCACATAGAACAAAATAGGTGTTGTGCATCTTCCTTTCAAAACTAAAATCTCATCAGCGTTCACTCAAATTTGCATTACGGGAATTTCCAACCGAAGCCGGGTAAAGATAGTTTGGAACACATCAGTTTGCCTCACAGTACTGTGATTGGTCTAAGAATCTCGCAACGTCCTCTTAGATGAAAATCCAAATCCACTGGTCACCCGCTATTCCCCGCGATTAAGATCCTTCACATGCTTTAGGTTTGAATCTACATTAGTTCTTTGACATGTTAATTTCTGCACTGATGTGTGGTGTTCGTTTCTTGGGTTTTGGTTAACGACACTCGATATTACAGAGCCTTAATGGGGAATCAGGTAAATTTGATCTTGATACAAACAAAAAATTCTCCGACCCCTCCAGGTGCAACAGAGTGACTGGTCCCTTAAGTTTATGAATATCTTGATACCCTCATCCTTGGACACAGTTTATAGCTGGCACCAAACTGAAGTGCGCATTGTGCATCGCTGTCGTACACTTGACCAGGTAATTTATTATGATTAGCTCTTGATCCGGAAACATCTTTGAGAGGGTGGTCGTTTAAACAAGACGAAGATGAACCGCTAGAAGGAAGGAAATGTATTGAAAAAACATGGATTTATGAAGAAATCCTTTTCCCAATTGCGAAAAAAAAGCCCTAACAATAAAACTTCAGCATTTTTAAAGTCATGTTTCCTCGAAACATCAAGTGACTGAATAAACATTAGGGTTACAAGTCAAAAATCCTTGTTTAGATTAATCTGATGTGCCAATACTCAAGGAATGATTCTCTTAATTACAACTAAGGCTCTAGTAAGTGCACCTGTCTAACACTTCAGGCGTCTTTTAAATAAGTCTCCCTCTCTCTAAAAAAGTCCGCCCCCTCCTTCTTCGCCAGATTAAAAACTATTCAGGAGAAAGATTTACTCTTTTGGGCCGGGTGACTTTGAAATCCAAAAAATGTTTGTGTTTGAGAACCAGTACAATAAAAGTTTTGAATGTCATAAGTTTGCAGCTAAAGACATGGATGCTATCAAGGTATTAGGTAAATTCGGACGATAATCTCGAAGAACAAATAACTTGCATTATGGCCAAGAGTGGGCTTTTACGAAGCTCCGCTCCCCCCCTCTTTGATTGCCCCCTCTCCTTGGGGGAGGGGAATTCAACTACCCCCACCCCTTATTTGGAAGCCCTATGTTTTTTGCCTTAATAAGCCCCCTATCCCCATCCTAGGAATTGATAGAACATTTACCTTAGGAAAGACTGTAAGGTAGCGCTACTGCAGGGAGACCACCTGAAGGCATTTTTCCCTCCCGCTGTTGTGGTGGACATGATGAACGTGTTGTCTGGACAACCAGCTTCTTTGTTACCGTCGTGACCAACACCAAGGCTAAAGGAAAGTGAAAGAATGAAAAGTGCAAATTGAAGCGACAGTAGGATTTGTCGGCACCATTAGATGTCATTTGAACTTGTTTAATCTAGAAAATCTCTTTCAGCTCTACTCTCAAATCTCAAGTCCTCTGTCGTAAAAAGTTAGCGTATACACCCAGAACATGTCTCATTCCGTTTCTGAATGCGTGCCGCTTTGACCTGGGTTACTAATTCAGAGCCTTATTAACCCCTGGGCTGTGTTATTCAAAGCTCGATTAGGTCTGATCAACTGAGGTTAACTGTCAAACCAGCCATGGATAATGATAGGCGCTGTAATAAACTATATCCTCCCTTAGAACAATCGTAACTTCGCAAAAGGAATCAAAGTTTAAAAGTAAGATCTACCTCGGATTGCTATTAAAATCCCACTCAAGAACCCCCACTAAGGAAGCAGTCATTATTTATTGCCTGGGGGCAGGGGGAGGGGCTTTCAGGCAGAACGGAGGGTAGGGGGGGAAGGGTAAATCGTTGCCAACGGAGTATAAAGGAGAAAATATACAACATTTACTTCTAATTAACTGCTGCCTATTAGACGGGAACATGAGAATATTGCAGAGCGTTATCGGGGATCAGGTAAATTTTGTCGTGATACAATAAAAATTATCCCCTTCCCCGGGAGATTATTAATGACCGGTTCCTTTAAGGTCTTTTTCTGTGCAAGTGCAATAAAATGTGTATCGAAACTTTAAAAACAATAAATAATTTGAAGACAGTCAATAGTTATGATTTGATTTCTATGCGTGCATAAGATTCTCATCGAATATAATATTTCTAATTAAACTATGGTATACAAGTTTACATACGCGTGTGCACTTTCGTGAGCCATGATTAAGGCGGTCGCTAAGCCCAGGTCACCATTGCTTACACTTGCCCCATACCCCTTGCAGGTTGATCCACTTTGAGCTAAGCCTGAGAGAGAATTATTGAATACAGGAGATTGTACAATAAAATGCGTAAAGAATCTTGCTAGCTTTATCTAACATCGAAAATTATAAAATAATTCAAATAGTACGCGCGCTCTGATTGGCCATAAAACCATTTTACATGAGCGTATGTAAACACAGTTTTCGTTCCTCTTTCATTAGTTATTTTATAAAATGGTTTTCGTGTTTACATAGCCTGATGTGAACACTTGGGAGGTGGGGAGAACACTCGATAAGCTGGAAACCAGTCCGCTTCGCGTCGTGGTTTCCTACGCTTATCTCGTGTTCTCCCAACCTTCCGCGTGTTTACATCAGGCTATGTAAACACGGAAACCATTTTACATTTCTTCAAGATAGAAATCTTACGGAAATGGTTTTCAAGTAATAACACTTTGAGAACTGGGAAAGTTAAATAAGCAAATAGCAAAAAACTAAGCATTGCACTTCAAGAAAAGATAAGCAGGTGATAATCTCTTGTATATATGATTTGCCAACTGCCCGACTGTAGTGATAAAGAATAGCTAGATTCTCAGTTTGTGAAAAAAGTTGAAATGTGGTGCTGTCTTTTGCTCGGGGTAAAAAGGAGCAGAAAAAAAAAATTTTCGGCAGGAAATGACTCTAGCATTCCTATGTACTTTGGACCTTTTTCAAACAAGAGAAAGAAAAAAGAGAAAGAAAAGAAGAATAACTTCCCTTCAACCTTAGATGGCAGGCTTACCTCCAAATCCTTGCCTAGAAGATGAAAAAAGACAAAAGTTAATAAAAACAAGAAAATAAAACGTAATGATGAGTTTTGAAGATTGGTTTAAATGGCCTTTTCATAAGAAAAACAACCTAGTAAAATCATTGACAAGCGTTGGTCTTTGACAAAAGAAACGAGGAACATTAAATGTTCAGACAAATAGATGAATAAATTATGTGATAAGTGAATGGATAAATCAACCGATGAAAGACGAGATGAGCAATCGAAAAACAAACGAGTGAATGACAAAATCCATTAATGCTGTCACTTAGTGTCCCAAATCAGTAGAGCTTTTTTCCCCGGGTAAATATCACTGACACTTAAATAAAGTTATTAATTGATTAATCGATTGGAGGCAGGAATAGATAGATGTTCAGAATTATGGGTAGATAAAAGACCGATATATAAAATAATTAACGAATTAAATAACCAACGTACGAGCAAGATAATCGAAGCATTATTATACACACCCGCTGACAAGCAGAACTTGGTCTCCATGTTCTTTATCAGCGTCTGGCTCTGGCATATTACCACCAATCCAAACTTCCATGGCACTCAGCCTTTGTCCTGAAGTTGCCTTACTAGTGTAACTTAGCTGTATAAAAACATAAATCTGTCTTATTCTTCCTTGTTTATTCCTGAGGAAATGGTTATTAGTACAAAGAAAAAAGAGCAATTGGTGTCGCACAAGGTTGCAGGGTTACCAAAGAAAGAGCACTTTGCTTGCTTGCTCACCTCATATTTTATTTACTTGGTTAAAACAATAATTTTTTCCATAAACCAATGGCTCACATATTAGGACCGGTGTTTATCTGAAACTTCCATGAAACCAATCCTTACAACTGACCATTTCTTCTTAAAACTGATCGGACTGGCTACTCAGTTCCTACAACTGAAGAGCTCTAGACCGGGGCACAGAGGCAGGATTGAACCGAACACAGTCAGTACTTTCCCTCCTCACTTTTGTTTAGCAAATTTTACATCCTCTTATTTCCTGGCATGCGCTATTATGCCAGTAATACTCACGCCATGATGAAACAGTACTATCTTCACAACTGAGACGGTCACTTTGATATCCCCAATGCTTTCGTCATGATACATTGCGTTTACCTGAAATAAAAGTTCGGCTCTACATGTTTAGATGCGGTATTGAAAAAACTGGGTGAGTTCATTGAACTAAGGGCCATTAGCCATCATGTCCCACAAGAAATTAAAGAAAAGAAAACGCTGTTTCCATTATTCGCTGATCTGTGTATTCTTTATGAAAATTTTAATATTTCAGTTTACCAGCCAGTCCCCATTTAAAAATTCCCACCCAGTTTTTCCCAGTGCGCCTTCAACAGTTGAACACCACAAGTACAGACGACAGGTTTATCAAGGATTAAAACACAAATCAAAAATCAATAGTATCAAGATCTTGTATCGTAAATTTGGAGGTATACGTGTAATCTGTTCGCGAGACCTAACAGATTCAACGTGTAAAGCCGACACCATAAAAAATTGGTATCCCCGTGCAGCCTACTAAACACGGCAGAGAAATTAATTCAATGAACAGAGAGATAGATGAATAGAGGACCTGGTGCCACGTCACTGGTAGGTATTGCTTTAGTGTAAGTCGGCCGCCTAAAGTTTATTAAATGCTTTACGATAAATAGATTAATAGATATCATAGATATGTAAATGTGTTAATAATGATTTAATAAATAAAAAAATAAACAGACGACAAAACGAGGAGAGTAATATGAGGTACTAACAATATTAGCTAGTGTTAAAAGCAGATCTGTGGCTTCTTTATCGCTGTGGAATTTATTCAGATACAGATGATCAGCTGCCAGTAGAACCTCTAGATGTTTGTCTGGGACGGATCTTGATTTTCTAGAACTCGAGAAGCTTCTGCTTGTTTCCTTATCTAATGATGATTTCCTTTTCAACTGTGTTTCTATTTCAAGGTAAAAAAAAAAAAGAAGAGTAACATCGTAAGGTTAAAATCTAAGGTCGTAGAACGATCTCCTATGAGCTGGGTTGTCGATGATGCAAACAGCTCGAACGTTTTTCTTCCTCTTGGACTGCAAGTGAATTTGTTATTGACAAAGTGTCAGAAAACATGACACTAGGGAAGGGTGGTTAAGCTTCGCTTTGAACGTTGGACGATTCAGCAAAGAACCTCGCTTTACAATCACTACTTTACGAGTGAGTCTATTCTTTATGAGAGACTTAAAGAGACGAAAAGATATCAACGAGAGAACAAAGATTGTCAGTGGTTGTTTCCTGACAAGTTTGTTGGAATCGACCAAGAGGGGGGGCTTAAACCGAGGGCAAACTTCCCTGTCAGGTGTCAATCAAACAGCCCTGTTACGTGTATCTTCCTTGTAATTGGCTGATGGGGATGTGCCGCTGGATGAGGTTACATTTTGATAATAATGGAATTGCGTTTCAATAGAGCTATAAGAATGAGGTTGCACATTTTTGGGATTAAGAAATTGTGGTATAAAGATAATAAAAATGAGAAGATTCGTTTCTACCAAACGTGACTAAGATGAGACCTATAAATGGCCAAAGAATAGACTATTATTGGGTAAGTGTTCTGAGAAGCAAGCGACCCAGCAAAAATTTATCCGAGTACCTCCCAACCTTCGTTGAGGCTTTCTAATATACGTCTCACCTATCACTCCAAATCTGCTCTCTTCATTATCCAAAGATCGCCGGAAAATGAGATGTGGCTGAGAACCACTAGAAACACCATGGTACCTTGCGAGGCGGGAAGGTAACGGTTGCATAAAGAAGGAACTTCCAAAGTGATTAATAATTCCTTTCTGGAAACATGTCAAAATGAAAAAAAAAACAAATAAAAAGACTGAATCCATTTGTTAACCAACAGTAAAATCCGAGAGCAAACGTGAGATTGAAATTGAATTAATACGTGAATAACTATTCATCAAATGAAATAAGTTATTGTGTAACAAAAACAAATCATAATAAGTCAATTTGCAAACTAAAATCGAGGCTGATAAGAAAATTTAGTTTTATCAAATGAGTCTAATATATAGATTTAGCCAAGCCTAAAGACGGAGCTCACATTTTTTTTCCCGCACGTCTCAAGGGCACAATGCCTTGCCCCGGCCAGGACTAGAACCCGGGTCGTCCGACTCGGAGCCCAGTGCACTGACCACTGGACTACTGAACAAAGCCGTGGCGTTGGCGTACCGCCGTACAGTTGACCACGCATGTTAAAAGTAGCACCTTGTGCGGTCGTACGGTCGGAGGGTCGTACATCCAAATTTTTTCGGCTTGATGGGTTACTACTATTTTGTATAGTTATAGGGCTACGCTCTGCGAGCTCCGCTATAATGTAAATTGGCCTCCGTAAAGAGTTTCTGAAGCTGACATTTCGAGCGTTAACCCATCGTCAGAATGTCAGCTCTTCATTATTACCCCACCAACGAAGCACGATTGTTTCTTTAGAGACTTACTTTCTTAATTCACTGATAGATAGAGTTAATAATCAGTTAAAAAATATTTTTAAATTTTCGAGTTTTGTTACTTTTGAATTAAAAACACATCTTCTGAATATCCTTCACCATTAATTTTTGTCGACAGTAGATTCAAAATGCAGCTCTACTTACCAGTCCATCATGGTTGCCAATTGCAACCACTGAGTTGGGATCTGAAGTCACGTGTCCAGCGTAGAAGGCGGAGTGTGGCGGTTCACTGTATTCCTTGCCGCCATTCTTATTTATCTTTTCAACCACCAGGCCGGGCGCTAGGAGATTATTATTTTTGGTGAGATTTAAATGAAGGGAAATACCAAATGCCTGCACTTGATAGTACCAAAGATTTGGTTCGTCATGATTGGCGTCTCTCTTTCGTCGCGCATGCTCATGCAGCTTGTAGCTGAGAAAGTTTCCAGATTCATCCGCTTGGAACGGGCTTGTGACGTCATACTCGGGAACTACATTTAATTAAAAAAAAAAAAAGGATTAACGAAACACACAGTCGCCGTCGTTTATTAACACCCTTAAATCTGATATGAGTTATTGCCGTGAAATCTAAAAGTGGCAAAAATGTTTATCATAACAGCAGCCAAGACCTCGACGGTACTGAGAAAACTCACACGGTAATGGGAGTGACGAAAAATTCAAACTTAAAATCAGTGTTTTCTCTCTTCTCATTGGTATTTGGTATAATCACGGAAAAGGCGAAAGGACTAGATTTGTCCACTCAGCAAGATTCAGTTCTCACTTTTAATTGAGAGCGTTTAATTTAGGAATCAGGATTTGAAAGGTAAGTACCGTAACCAATTGATAAGAATCAGTAGAGCGTCTCCACTAGTGGCAACACAGGAATACACTTTTAACGAGTCTCATATATCTGAGATCCCTAAGGTATCAAACAAAGAAATGATCTTCACAGGTGGTTTGAAATTTCAGAAAAAAAGAGGGTAGCAAAGGGTTTATACGTGACGCGTAAAATTTTAAGGCAAAAATAAATATGCGACGCGTAAATTTTACAAATAGGCGAGAGTGAATCGTAAATTGAAGACCCTGAGTGAGTTGTGATTTTCCTCCTGAAGTGAATTTTACTTTCATTTCGTGAAAACCTCGAGATTTCTTGAAACCTCGCACTTGAGAAGAGAAATTGGAGGTTTCTCTTTTTAATTTGGTACATTTTGTTTTAAAAAAATACGTGAGGAGGATCAGGATCTCCCCTTTGCTACCCCTAATAATGAAGTTTAACAAACAACAGGAATCAATCCAGTGCCTCTCAAATACTCGTTGGCCCACGGCTACCCACTGAGTTACCAAGTCACAATTGGGAGGAGAGGGCAAATTTAAGAGGTTTTCATCTTATCCGTAAAGGAATCTGATCACAATTTTTTTGTGATTTTTCAAAAAAATTGTGATCTCTAAAAGAAGTCGCAATTAAACTCAGTTTGGCCTAGTTTAAAAAATCATCGTTCAATTTAGCCGTTGTTGGCTCGCCAGTAGGGGATGATATCATTCTGCAGTGTAAATGATAACAAATATAATACCTTTTTCATGTGTGTCAACGCCAAAATATGTTCGTATTTCCCTTCTCGTCATATAATGATGTACTTTTAAGGGCTGCAATTTTAAAGAAAAGCTTCAGTTATCTTTCACAGTCATCCGAGAAATTTGAAATGTTAATACATGGATCGATGATGAATGTTTATGTGTGTTGTTCAGTAAGTTTCTGATGCGCACTAATTCTTCACTTTTAGCCATAAGGGGAGAAAATCTGTGGCAGCAGAGGTATTGGAAAGTGCGTGTAAATTATGCTAAACATTTTAACCTCCTCCGCCGTTTTATAAATTGCGTTTTTTTGTTCCTTTAACAACGTAATCAAATACTTCCAAAGTCAAGGTTGAAAGGAAAGTTCTTCTGCTCTCATAAAGACTGTATGATACAGATAGGGCCAATTAAAGAGTAACGCTGAATTTAAACCGATTCCAATGAAAATATTTTAGGTGAACATCTCACGTTTCGCTATGTAAAAACAAAGAATTGTGGAAACTCAACCAAGCCTGTGTGTACCATAAAAAGATTCCCTCGAAAGAAATGAAATTACCCTGGATCGGCTTGAACATACCTTGTTTATACTCTGTTGATTCAACCTGAGCGCGTCTGTAGACGAAACAAAATTTTTTCCAGTTAGCTACTGTTCCTTGGATCAAAAAAAATTATGATAATAAATATCGCCCATTTAAGTACATCTAGCCTTTGCAGTTAATTTCAATTCATCATAAGTGCGGTTTGATAAGATTATTGTTTAGATGATTGTGACGGACTGTTTCTCGATGATACGGTTTTCAAAAACGATTGATCTACGAGTCTTAGTGAGTGGGATGCTCACAAAAACGATCCAATGGTCACTTAAAAGCCGCATTTATCATGAAGTTTGTACACCTTAAAACGTCTAGCGTTAAGAATTCGCGTTGGTTTGTTTTAAAATCCTTGTAAGTCCTCAACTACCCCAACAAAATTTATGTTTTGTTCAGTTTTATTTCCATCTGGAAATGTTTTACCCTGCTAAACTACATGTATCTGAAGGTTGCCCTCCCATTTTAGATCGCCACTTTTCAAAGCCTAATAGTTGTTAATTTCAACCTTTTATACGTTCTTGCAATATATACAACTCCCCTCCAAATGTAGCTGTATACTTGTTAATCTAATGCCATACTAATCTTCTAGCTAGCCATTGTTTTTTCATACTGATTACGAGACGTAATAAATCTGCTGTTTTAAAAAATACTATTGATTATTAAGGATTTTAACGTACCCACTACAAAAATCCAACTGACGAGTATACACCACCACAATTCTATTCTTATATTCCAGGCCATGAGCAATCATATGATAAAGGCTGAAAGATAAAAAAGACACAGCTATGTAAGTAGTTTAAATTAATAAAATTTAAATTAAAAATTTCACCTTTCAAAAGAAAATGTTTTTTTGTACGTTGTTGACTTTCACTTCAGAACCTTTGAACACTTTTCTTTCTCTGGCGTGAACACGTTTACGTGGATTGACAACCGAATATAGCAAGTCTACTGCAAAAGTATTTCGTGGCTTTTTTCGTTTGCGTTTTTGCTCTCCAAACTCTCCTAGAGATACCGGAGAGAAAACGTCATCTTATAGTATCACAGATAATAATCCTTGCCAAAACAGTTCGACGGACAAAGGGCTGTCGATAATGTGACAATAAAGATAACGGCGTATCCGGGCCTTCGAAGGACAGTTAAAAGAGGCCGAAAAAGGCGGCTAGTCAGAGAATTACAAAGCCGACGAGGTTGTTCTAATCTTTATCAGATATTATCAGAAACATGAAAAATAAATACCGGCTGAAGAAGAACGTTCTGTTAGAAAAAGAAGTAGAGACAGCAAAGACAGCAAACACAAGAAATTTGAACTCGGCCAAGAAATTGTTTTCGGGTGGTAGTTCATACTTTTGTACGCCCTTTCTTCGCTTTTCGCATTTAACGTGTCTTTTAAGAAGTTGTGAGAGAAAAACCTTTTGTTACGCCCAATGTGTTTGAATCGTGATTTGAGTTTGTATAGTCAAATGCAAGAGACCAAAGGATCGTATGTCAAATGACCATATTCACATTGGCTTTGACTTCCATGAAAGGAGAGAACCAATAATTACCTCGTGTCCTGTTTAGTCTCGATGAGATAACACGCAGTATACACTGACTATTAGACGGTAATCACCTTGAGTTGAACCCAGAATTCATTGTGATTTGGTGCCCCTCAAATCAGCTGCATACTGTTGATGAAATTGCTGAAATCGTCTTTGATTCTAAGTGCTGCTCATTTAAAGGTTGCCTTTTTGAAACCTTGTATTGAGCCGGCAACATTTAATTTGACTGAATTGAGTCTGGGAAAATTCCTTGCAGTGAACGACAATTATTTCCCTTGGGTTACAAATATATGAAACACAGTTTATGAGCATAGTAGGTGACAAAAGAATGGATGACTCTTTAGCCTGTAAAAGCATGGTATGCAATGATCATTGAAAACTAAATATGATTTGGAATTTGTCTTTTGTATGGCCCTCTAGAACTAATTTATAGCGAAAACGGTGAAGTTAGTAATACTTGGTATTATCACTAATAATGAGTGCTACTTTCATTTTCTATAACAGTTGGTTGTTTATTTTTTCGGTTAGAGGACTTGATTGACAAAGATGAGAAAGTTATCAGGTTATGAATGTACTCGAGCATCTGTTGCTGTGAATGTGGCTATTTAAAAGAGATTCGTAGGGGAACTCTTTGTACATATACCCTACAGGCTTCGGTTGTTCGAAAGGCTGATAACGCTATCCAACGTGCGGATAAATCGCTATCCAGCAGATAAGTGCCAACAATACGCGCTGCACTACACATTGGATAGAGATTTATCCTGTGGAAAGCGTTACCCACCCCTCAAACAAGCCGGGGCCAGGACTTTACAATCGCCTTGTTATTGCTTAATTTAGAATCTAAGTAAATGATTTGAACTAGGGGGTAAAACGTCGATCGTGTAGTCTGATTGTCTGAATAAGAATAGCCCTGCGAGATACTGTTATCAGTACAAGCGACTGAACCTTCGACAATCTGAGCGGATGTTACTGTCAAAGTCGAGTTAGGAGTTCGAATGTTAAAATTTTGACTCATGAAACCTGATTGGTTAGTTTTGTATTGATGTAATCGGCGGTATTTACTCACTGTAACTCTGCTAAGTAGGAAGACAAAAAATACTCTCGAAAGCCGACAAAGGTCAACAAACTTGAAACCGATCGATACATAACAGACTGCGACTCATAGCTACTCTAGCATTCAATAAGTTCAGTTCAATCAGTGTTTTGCCACTATTAAAAGACTTGAAAATTTATTACGTCCTAAGTACAGAAGGCGTATCTTTTCGGAAATGACCGCCTAACACACTTCAGTTTTGTCGATCTTTTCATCACATGTCAGTCAATATTCGTAAGCCACCCCCAAGATACGATTGGATGAAACACGAATTAACCCCTTGGTTGTTTGAACAAAAAAGAATTGAAGCAATATTTGTTTTTGTCAAAAAATTTAACTTTCGACTTTTTCGCCGCGAGAATTTTTTAATTTTTTAGCGAACTTTCCCTATTTTACAACTGCTTTTAAATATGTGGCTAACATGTTATTTGATGAAAACTCTGTCTTACTAGTCTGAGTTGAATTATCCTTTCACTGTGTATCGGTCTCGTTTAAAGTTTCTGTCGTTCTCTCTTTGTGTGTACAGCACAACAGCTGTGGTTTCAGACAAGCGCCAGTCTTACTTTGTCATCTCTATTCCCAAGAACCTTTTAATTCAAAATGTTACATCTCCAAAAAGTAAAGAATATGACAAGTTTTCCGGAATATTGTCAAAATTAATAGAAGGCCATAATGGGGTGATGGCTTTTACGGCTAACGGTTAATATCTTTCCATTGTTGTCGCTAGAAATTTTTTTACTGTTAACTTCTTTTACGACTAAAGGTTGAAATTTGTCATTTATAAACCTCACGGCAAATTTTGAGGCGTTTTACGGCTAACGGTTAACCCATTGAGAGTCTCTTCATAGCACTCAAGCTTCAAGAGTACATGTACATGAACTACCAGCGTGTTGTTTACGAAACACAAAATAACAATAGAGAAACTCATTTCATAGAAAAATAACGATAAAAGATTCGAAATTTTTCTGTTTCCATCAAATTTTTACATCACAATTCTGAATTTTTTCGCAAATATTTTAATCAATATTTCATTTTAAACAAGAGATACTAATTTCTATAATTACTCAACTTAAACTTTCCATATTTCTTTTAATCTCCCCATGTTACTTTTATATCTTTTTCATTTCTTACCTTTGAATGGGGACTTTTGCTAGTTTACATGTTCATGTCATTAGTTGCAAGTGGCTTAGAAACAGTTTTACTGATGCTCGTTTCGCAAATTGAGACGTGAAGGCTTTGGAATTGAAGTTATAGGGATGCACACCAGGACTAAGGCACTTACCTTTGAAATCTGTAATCAAACCTTGTATTACCGTGTTCAATTTATATGAAACCGAATGTACTTCTCAGCAGAATTGGCGGCGTTTATAAAGTGCTTCTCAAGTTTCCGTTCAGGGCTCTTCGCGTTGAAATAATTGTTTTTCGTGTCAGAGAGTTTTGAAATCCAGTCACCAGTGGTGTCATTAGTATTAAATACATTGATAGACGACGGATGTTTGGTTACTTTTGTATAAAGCCCTCAAAACACTCAGAAACCTGAGCCAAGAGCAAAGCACTCATGCCACGGTTAACGTCATAGAAATGAGATAAACTAATCAAGTCCCACTTAAGAGCGGAAGAGATAAATCTCGGTAAAATGCTGAGCCAATATTCTTCTTCATTGTGTTTTAGTATTTCTGAATTTTGTGGATTATACCTGTAATATATTTCAATAGAAGTGTTAATGAGTTTTTCAGGATCCATTGTTGACGATCTTCATCAACTTTCCTGTTAAATCCCCGTCTTTTTTTTTGTAAGGAAAAAACACTTCATATTTGATGACAACAGTTAAACTACGTGAGAAAACAAGAACTGAGATAAGTGTTCTGCATGAAACATAAACGTTTTACTCGAAAACTTCTAGCACGGCAGTGGAATATTCAAGGATATTTATTTGCTTTGGCTAGGGTGTAAAGAAAAGAAATAAAATCTGAGTTCCCGCTTGGAGTTGATAGTGTGTCAGAGCGCGAAATGTCTGAGGTTCGATCCCTCCTCGACCCTCATTTTTTTTCTGTCCCACGCTCGAAGCAAGACGAGTAACATATTTCTTGAACATTAAGCTTTTTTATTAAAAGTATTTCTATTCAGGTTTATGTGTGCAGGTTTTTGGTCTAATTTTTCTATTGTATATTAATAGACACTGAAAAAATAATACCAGAGTCCCACTTTATAAAAGAAAGATAAGTACTGCACATGCAAAGCAAACGTTTTGAAGAGATTATCTTGTATTTTAAGATGCGATAAAAAGATAAAAAAATAAGTAAAAAGAATGGGAATTAAGAGGAAATCTATGGTAAAATTTAAAAAGGACAATTCATTGTAAGAAATCTTAGACCAAGTATATAGGGGGCATACGATGGTTTTAATCATAATTTTTTTTCAAGAATTTGAAATAAGCTTGGAAGTCTTTAGGTACACGACAGGATAGCCATGATCATGGAGCAAACAACGTGCCAAAGACACTTAATTGCAATATAATATACAACGAATACTCGTTTCTCAAAACATAACACGCATAGCAAGACATTGACACTATAATTAATCATTCTGAGTAAACATGGCTCGCAATGTTGTCTGATGACTCTCAAATTTTGGGAAAAATTAGCGAGTTATTATTTAAATTATAATAAAGTTCGTTTATGATGCTTGCTGTCATTGGTTGAAAGAGCGTCTTGTGTTTCTCCCTACACATCTTTCGTGCTCTAGCCGCTTCCTGCGTGCTTCACAACAGAACAGAACACAGTCAAGGCTTCTCTATTTGTTAAATAACGCTTTTTCTGGATGCGGCACGACCCGCCTCTGGTTTAAGACGCTGGGTTTACCGATTAGTAGTCTGCAGACCTTATGATTAAATTCTCCATTTTTTCATTCGATAAACTACTTTCAGTATATTGGCTTTAAAACGAGGTTTCGGGGAAATGAACAAGGAAAAGCTCCTTTTCAATTTCCTTGGTTTGGTCCTTTAGGACTCGCTTGTAAGCTGGAGGAACTGAATAGCTAGCTGGTTTGCCTTTCTTCAGTTTGAATCAAAATTCTCATAATTAAATCTTTATTCACTAGAATCGTTTATCCTTCTATACTTTCTGTAATTAACACAGTTCACCAGATACTTGGAACTAAAACAGTATTTTTAAGAAATTGTGGGGAGGGAAAACCAAAGCTCATTCAAAGTTTTTACAAAACGAGTACTCAGTATCGGGTGTAATGGAAACTTCAAAGATACGTTTGCCACTTATTTGATCCCAAACTGTTCGTGTAAAGTTGGTGGTTTAATGGAAAAAGGAATGGTGGTTGAGTAGGATACTGGATTTTAATTCAGCAAATCGCAACTTTCCTAGTGCTACACGGTCAAACACTATAGTTTCTACTCCAACAAACTCAATATGTTGCAGAACACTATCATATAACGGCCATTAAATAATGTCTAAATTCCGCGTGGCCTTAACTAGAGTGTAAAATAATGAGACTCCCAGGTAAAACGTTCTTTTTCTTTTTTTTTATTAGCGCTTGATGCCTTTAAAGACCCCAACAAGATCGTTCTACATAAGTTTTCTAAAAGCGTTGACATTTAAAACCTAATTTTCTCTGCTAAATTCTCTAGAGCGGCTAATCCTAGCTCTGCTTCGTGAATTATATTAAACATATGTACTATGACAGTGACAACTTCGAAATCACTATTTGGCTATGATATTAGCATTGTTATTGTCCACAATGTTTGAAGACGAGTCATGGTCTGGCTCAGTTTTTCTGGTTTTTATCTGCAAGAAAATAAGAGAATGAAATAAAGCCCTCGTAAATGTGCCTAATTCTATATAAGGTGTTCAAGAGAAGTACTCCCGCCTTGACTGGTTGGTGTTATTTTTCCTCAAGGTATGTGGGGTTACATCACGCGCGTTCGACCGACAAACAAATGATGTCGTGGTGCCCAAAAGCAGAAGGTTGGGAAAAGAAATATTTTCTCTCCTTCCTACAAAGCCTGACTTTTCCTGACCCCAAAATATCAATTGGAAAACGACCTATCGACCCGTTTCAGCCAGGGTTTAGAATTATAGATTGTGCTCAATATGTTAAAAGAAGCTGGAGTAAACTCACCTGTTTGAATCGATAAACATAGTTTGTAAAGAGAGCTCCCACACCCGCCCGGCATTTCTTCAGATCTTTTTGTGGACCATGCCTGTTATAAGTCTCTGCAGCGTCTGGAGAGGACCAGCATTCTCCGTAAAATTGAACTGCGAAGTACTTGTAGCCTTTATCTCGGGCAACGAGTGCGCACTGGCGGATTGTAGAGTTCAAGTTGTGCCAGTCGATGAAGAATCGGAAATTTGCGTAGTTATCTGACATCGCGCGGTCACCTGTCTTGTCTTTGAAGCATCCAACTGGTTCATACTCTGGCAACGGATCTGCAGGCACAATGACGGATTTGTGTTAAAGCAATAAATTGAGAATGTGACTTGTAGTGTATGGTGCAATGGTTTTACTTTAAGAGAAAAGAAGAAGGATATTTTTGTCTATTTGAGTGATGTTTTAGTTGCTTTGCAACAAACCCATTGTCGCCTTCTGTGTTCTTTCTAGTTGACTTCGGATTACAGGTTCAGCCTATAACTTTGAATACACCAAAACTGTTAGAACAAATTAATAAAAGGAAACCACGTCATTACCAAAGGAATAAACAACACTGAATGGCCCCTGTCCAATAACTCCCGAGCATTTATCTGCATCAGTTTTTCTTCCAGGCTGTTTGTGTTTGTAGTATTTGTTTTTTGCGTCCGCGCCTGACATGCACAAACCATCAAAGCCAAGGGCGAACACACGGTAACCATTCCTATGTGCTAATTCGCCGCACTGCATGACGGCCTGGTTCGGATCTGTCTTAGCCTCTGCTCTGAAGTCACCAAGGGTCTTTGAGAATAAGCCAGAAGGAGTCTTAAAACAGCCGATCGCATGCTCTACAGGTATTATAGGAGAAAATAATCAAGACTGGATTAAATGAAGTTTCTCTCCCATTGTTGTATTTTCTTCGAATGTTAAGGTCTGAGATGCGCTTGTAGGCTTGTAAACATGAAAAAAGCGATGCGAAAGTTCAGGCTGAGAGCATTCAGTCATCAAGTGATCAAATGAACCTAGACCGGCACTAGATTTTTAACCCACAGTCTCTTATAAAGAGAACTGCCTCCCAGCTCGAATGCTGCCAAGTTCTGGCCTATCAGGCTCGATATTTGACCAAGTGTGGCATTTGGCAGAGTTTAATTCATTAACTCGTAATTCGTTAAACCGGCGGAAAAATTCAAGGTTTTTTTCCTTTTGAACAAAAGTCCATATTTTTGAGAGGTTCCGATTTACATTTCGGGCCAAACGTTTTACGTTCAAAGGTTTTTGCATTGATGATATTTAGAATTATTGCAAGTATTCCAATTAACCTTACTATGCCCAGCTTCACTTAGGTTAAAAACAAAGTGTGTGACTAAGATAGGAGAGTCAACATGACAAATAGTTAAGAAATGCTGGATGCACAAAAAACCAAGAAAGACAGGGAGATTGCTCGATTTTCGGCAAACTACAAACCTACAGATCTCAGGTCTCAGAACAGTTCTCTAGAGTGCCAGAGATAACTTACTTTTACAAGGGTTGTCATCATTGCATGTTTCATTGGCAGATGGAGGAGCGCTACCTTCATAAACGCATTGTATGTCTGACACCTCTTCGCTTTCTCCCAGGGCATTGATGCGTGAACATTTTGTGTAGTTTTTTCGGACCCCAGGAAGGCAGACTGTAGAACACTATGAAATGCGTTAAAAAATAATTTCAATAAATCTAAGTCACCCAAAACAGAAGTGATTGTGTGTTAAAAGGAATAGTTTTATTGACGAATGAGGGAGAAAAGGCCTCAAAAGTCTTCTCTTGATGATCAAGGGGGAGAAGGAAGCTTGAAATCCAAAAGTGCTAATTATAACTCTCCAATTTTAGGCTGTTAGCTTCAAACTTCCGAAATGTTCAAAGTTATTCTATACTTATCACGATTAAATGACTGGGCTTGCCGGAAAGCTTACGACAATTGACATTTCTACTCCATTTTTATCTCAATTTCATATTGACGAATGTTAGAATGTGGATAAAATATCTAGTATGGGCATATTTAGCGCAAATGTACTGCTACAAAAGCATAGTAGATATATAGTTCAAGGCCCTTCATAAATCGTAAATGTTTGAATAAAAAAGCGCTTGTCGGAAAGAACTACCTAGCCCCCTGAAAGAGACACAACGCAATAAAGAACAAAGTGGCTTACTGAAAAAAGGGGTAAGTTTCTAAAGAAACTGTGGTGTTGCGTTGGTGGGAGAGTATAACAGGGTAATTCAGCAACATCAACTGAGTTGGTAACGTAAATTGGCCACCGTAAACATCTTAAAAGCTGACGTTTGGAGCGTTAGCCCTGATGCTAACGCTCCAAACGTTAGCTTTTAAACTCTTTTTAAAAAATAGCTCATTGTTTAGTAGAAAACACTGTTGGACAACTAGAGAGCCCTAGTGTGCCGTTAGTATAAAAAGTGAAATCATGTCATACCTTTGTCCAGTGAGTTGTTCGGGACGCAGGACAGTTTATCTCATTACAGAAGCGTGTTTCGATCGGTTTTTTGGTGGCGTTACAAACTTCGTCGAACTCGATTTGATAGTCAGTGTCAGTAACTCTTGCGCGACAAACAACTGATCGTGATTGGTTTCCTCGTCCACATGTCTTCGTACAAGCCTGCCAGTTTGAAACGTGCCATCTGAGTCGTTGATAGAAAAATAGGGAGAAGATCTGATTTAAATAAAGATGTTCGTTTTGCCACGAGCGTGAGACGGCATCGGAGCGCAAATTCGTTAGATCAAATTTGCTCTACGAAATTCCTTCCACAGGCAGAACTCGAATGATGAGTTAAGCTGTTGATATAGACGAGAGATAGATAGAGTAGACGTGGAAAGCGCCATGCAAGTAAATAGAATGAGAAAGTTGAAACATTTTTTTCTTTAATTTGACGAACGAGCTTAAAATTTACCAACTTTCCCACCCACTTAATTACAAAAATGACATTGTCACGCTCATAACAAACAAACATAAAAGCAAAAACGCATTAAAATCGATATAAACAACATCAAGAAGAAAAAAATTATGGAGAATATGCAAAGTCCACAAAAATCTGATGCATTATCATAAAACATCTTCATTTCTATTATGCATCTTTTTCCACCTCAGTGACTTACTCAAAACAAAGCTGTATTTCATCAGGTTTTGAATCTTCTCCACAGCAACTAGCACTCGCAGGGGTCATATCATCGTCTCTTACACAGTGGACATCACGGGTCTGCTGACCTGTGGAAGAGAAAACATTTAATGTTAATTTGGATAAACACTTGGCTGATTTTAGAAAAAGACTGAGGGAATTCTTGATAAAGAAAAAAAATTATTCAAAATGAAATTAAGATGTTTAAAATTTTTCTGGTGTACTATCTATCGATTGATCCTTTGTCAGTGCGGCAACAAAAATAATCACTCAATGTTGTCCAAGGTGGTGGCGTGGTTCAGGTAATCTTTACGAAGTTGGTGTTGCGAAATCGCTTATCTTACCCCTAATAAGTGCATTGAGAGCAATCCATCGACATTCGGCCAAAAGTCAATTGACAGTTGACCGACAAACGGTCAGCTATCCTTTGATAATTGACCGACTCGTTGGCCAACCAGTCGGCCGAGCTTTTGCCGGCAAAATGTTTCATTTCGATTTTAGATATATGAAAATTCATATATTTGCACTGCTGAAATTAAGAGATCCTCGCAGCTAAGAACACTACTGAAACGAGTAGTTGTAAATAGGACCTGCAGTACCCTAAAGGACCTAAAGTAGTTAAAAATAGGACCTGAAAGTCTTGCAAGCCTGCTTTGGCTTTGTGGCTCTTTTAGCAAGTAACATGCATAGGCGTTGCGTTTCTCTCCATATCCTATTTGCAATCCCTCTAATTGACCATTTAGGTTGTCAATTATGAGTATTTCTTTATTTAACAGTAAAAGTGACTTCTTAAATGGAGAAACCTGTAGAACAGTCAGTCCAGTTTGTTGTTACCCAGCTACACGTTGGTGGCATAGAAGTCTCGTGCAACTCAAGTGGTCTGTAATATTGGTAGTCAACTGCCACATTGGGAGCCTGTAGGTGAACATACTGCAAAAAATGGAGAAAAATGAAATCGAACCAGTCAATGGAATCCTATGCAACCATAAGCCCTTGTGAAAACGAGAAACTTAAGAGAGGAAGTTTCACACCCGTAAAAACTACTCGACGAAAGAAAGCATTTTAATTTGCTGGGAATAGAACCATAAGTCTGGATAGAAGCAGATATGTAACGAATTTAAGAAAAAGAACGACTCTTTTAAAATTAAAACACATGTTTAGACAGTTCTTCTGTCATCCTCAGTTCTGAATAATACAAAAAAAAAACAATAACGACAGAACAAAGTAGGCATTTACAAGGAAAGTCTTAAATTAACATGATAAAGTTAGTGATTAAGTGTAGGTTTCTCCCATTAAATGTAGTTAAAATCAAAGAAGCTATCCACATTCAATGGGAGAAACTTTAATCACCGACTTTTATCATGTTCATTTAAAACTTTCCTTGTAAATGCATACATTGTCCAATCAGCATTTTGTTACACACTTTAAATTCAACTTTGTACTTTGTATTATTCAGAACTGAAGATGACAGAAGAACTGTCGAAACATGTCTTTTAATTTTAAAAGCTTCGTTCATTTTCTTTAATTAGAATAGAACAATAGTTTGAACATAACAGGGAAATATTTATGACGTGACGGTCAGGCCATATTCTTATTATATTACCTTCCTCCGTGAAATTGTGAATACTTCAGAATTTTTCATCGAAATTTGAAATCAAAAACTTATTACCAGGTTACCCATCGAGTTTACATTAATTTTCCTCGTTTTCTGATATCCCGCGCACAGCGACAATTTATACATTGTGATCCGAGAATTCACGAGTTAAAAATTAAAACTACTGTAAAAGATCCAAAGCTCTTCTTATAGTCACAGTTGACTTATGCAGTTTGGAAGCTGCTTCAATCTCTCGTACAGTTTTCATTAATAGTTCCTCATATAATTACCACTATTCGTAGGGGCACTGCTATTGGTCCATCGATTTCCAACCGGTCTGGACTTCTGTAGTCATTTATATAAGAAATTTTTGTTCCATGTTTGTAGATGGTCTTTCCTGTCCAAGTTGGTATTGGAATCAAATCTTTTTTTTCATATTGAACACCTGAATAAAGGAAAATAAATTAAGGCAACATCGATAAAGCTGCGATGATACGAACATCAAAACTGATGGCCAGAAATCCACTAAAGATTTCACGCTGTGGAAATCATCTACCACTGTAGCTTAGGCCCACAGCAAGAAGAGAATAGACTACGAATGAATTGAAAATCGACTTGTTACAGTCATCGATTCATCCACAAATAGGCGAAAATGTTAAGCATCAGGAAGGAGTTATTTGTATACGTCGTAATCCCGGCTGCCTTCCTGTATCTCAAGTCACATACTTATTCACACAAGGGGGGAGACCTCATTTGAGGTAGTGGGCACACCTTCATAACATAAGCGATTTGGTAATTAACTTCAAAAATCCTTAAAAAAAAGGCTGTGCTCTATTCACATAATGGCTGTTGATGTTTCCAGAATTTTCATCTCTTCCATTTATTGTTGATTATGTTATTGACCATTAATAAGATGAATTTTTTTCACAATTTTTTCAATGGCCAATGACGGTTCCCAAAAAAATCTCACCAATAACGTTGTATTGTTTTACGTTTCTCTGCTGGAAGATCGCATGGGAAGTGTTTGGTGGTAGAACAACGATGGTGTCTGCGGACCAATCTGAAAAGGAAATTCAAATCGGTTAATGCATTATTCAATCATTGCATTTATCAATGTTAACATTTAGCTGAAAGTTGTATACTTTAGCGAACCGAAAGATCTTTCTGCATAGCGGTATCACACCTAAATGGTGGTGGTAAGAATTAAGAATGGAAAAAGTGTGGCGGAATGATGAAACGTGTACGATTTTCAATCCTGGGCCTTTGATCATTAATGTGAAGGACTTTATAATCCTTTCCAGTCACAAATTTTCAACCATTAATTCAAAGAGTACCCTCTTTCTAAGTCAAATGAGTCACTTTGGCATAAATTTAACAATTTCCAGCTCCTTATCACCACGACTAGTAAAACGACCTATCGTTAGACGTGATGAGCACCCCGTCCGTTGATTATTTTTACGAACATACAAACTCAAAATCAGAGCATGCTTATCTATTTCTTCGTCTAGTTATTGTATTATAATTCATTATTGTGATGGTGTCAGTGGATCCTAAATTGCTACTATTTTTGTAAGAGCATTGAGATTTTTGTGATGCAATGCGCTAAAAATAAATAAAAATAAACCACTGATATTGACGATCAAAATCGAACTGACGCTTTCTAATTATGAGATCAGGATCAAATATGTATCATTGCGTAGAGAAACTCACATTTCTTGTAGTCCTTTGTGTAGCTAGAGTTCACAAATATACATGAATCCCCATTTCCATCGCAAACGCCACATCTATCCTTTACTTTTCCAGAATTGAGAATACCATCACAACCAACCGTCTGGAATTTAAACAAATCACGTTAAAATAAGTCAACTAAGAAACTAAATGTAATAATGAAAAAAAAAAAAGACATCAAAATAAGTAAACGAATGATGAAATTGGTGAGATAAAGTCCAAAATTTAATTTCCCCCTATAGTTACAGGAAGTACATAGTCAGTGAGGTTATCGCTTGTATTTACTCTCGTATAAAATTTACTCCTGTAAATTGCGAATATGTCTGAGTTGCACGTATAACGGCAACAAGTAAACAAAATGAATAAAAAGATAAAAAGAAAAAAGTTAGCAAAAACAGATTAGAACAGAGCAGAAGAATATTAAAAAAAGAGAAATGATAAGTAATGACACCAATTATAAACAGCTGAAATCCGTGATCGCATGCTATTGATCAAGATTATCTCATAACCGTCCTTGGGAATCTTTCCTTTGGAGACTTTCCGAGGAGAACGGAAAGACACTATTCTAAAATCGTTGCACTTTTTTATAGGCGACTATTTTTCAACTTCTTTCCCAAAATCGAAATAAATAGTGTAACTCAGTGCAACTCAAGGAAACCTATTGAATTTTAGTTGCCCCGTATGATAAACTCGAGATGGCCGTATACCTTGCATTCTCCCTCGATGCATACGTCATGCACGTAAGGGTTTTCACTGCATGGAGTGCCGTCTAGCACGTTTCCATAGAAACCAAAAGTGCCCCCTGATCGACAAGCAAGTCTACATGGGTTATGGTCTGAAAGAGAAATATCATCATTTTTCCTTTTATGGATAAATATCAAAAGCCTCTCTACATGTGTATACATCAGCCTGTAAAGGCTAACAATTTTGAGGAGTTTGGACCTTTACAGACTAAAATCACTTCACCCAATGCACCAGACCTACAAGCTGGCTGGCGCCATCTTTGTAGTAAAAGAATATAAGAGTGAATAGAGCTCCCAACAACCCCCTCGGTTTTTTTTTTTCGGTGTTTAAATATATTTAAAGTATATCTTTGCAATAATTAGCCTGTTGAGTTAAAGATTGTTGTTTATGCTATCCAAATACGTTTCTGTGGGCCAGGACGTCATCTGAGATGGTGCATCTCTCATTTTTGTTTCTTCAAGATAATTCTTTCGTCTCGTGAGTGGAATTTCCCGACTTTGAACGATACTTTCTGTCTTTTTAACCTGGATCATGAAATAATACATCTTTGCATTGTAATGTAACCTATATCAAAGAACCTTTTTATCGTATTAATTTTTTTCATTCCAAATGTTGTACCTTACTGATGGAGTTCTCCAAAGATTTTGCAAATGAACTGTCTCTCTAAAGTTATCTTATCTTTCGCTTCTATCAATTACTTAATAATGATTTGAAAAAACTAGCGCACTTACTGGGAGGATAGTAAGCGTTGGAATCAGCGTTTATCCTTTTACACTGATAATCACGAAAAGATGGCTGACCATCAGAAATGTTACAAGGGACCTGAAATAAAAATAGTAAGGAGTCCCGAAACCTGTCAATTCTTGGTTTATATGGGGTAAGTCACAAAAATAATAATAATAATAATAATAATATTAATAATAATAACTGAAAAGAAAGAAAAAAAGGTGTAAAAATCAGAAACAATTTTGAGGGATTCATTTATCAGCTAGCGCAAAGCAGAAATGAAGTTTCATGATTATCAAGGGAGCTTGCTCAAGAGTAAAGTTTTAATTGTAAGTGCTCTTACCTCGTTATTACAGGTTTCCCAGAACGATATCGCAGGACCTTCACAGTCTGCGCCACCATTTTCAGGTCTTGTGAGAAAAAAGAAAAAAGAAAAAATTAAAAGGAGCTTAGCAACTGCTTTTGAATCATATTTCTGTGAGTGCTTTCCAGTTGCGATAGGAACACGGTCATTCCGGTGGAAAATAAAATGAACAGGCTCAGTTTCTATTTTACGAAATTGTTTCGGAAATAATGAATTTTCTTCTCTTGTTTTTTAGCGGAAAATCAATATGTCCATGAGTTGTACCATAAGCTATGTATGTTGGCGAAGATATAAGTGATGTGGGTCACGCCAGGTCTATTCAGGTAATAGCAGGTGACGGAACTTTTACTGAGAAATGAAAACCACCAGCAAAGGCAAAAGGAACACGTATGCACTTTGTTCGCGAGAAAAAATCTCGGTTTTCACCAATTATATCCTAAAAATTAGGACTACATTTGTAGTAGAGTGTTTTTCTTACAGTGGGTTGGTGCATGTTCTTCCTCGGTGGCGAACTCCTCTTCCACACGCTGGAAAGCACTCCGTGTAGTTAGACCACTCGCTCCATCCTCCATTGATAATTGGGGAGCCGTTATCGACGCAAGAGCCTTTAATGCACCACTTGAATTGTAATTACATGCAAGAGAAACATCAGTCGTGAACAGCAGTGGAGTTGAGACTAAATTTATGTTTGGATGTAGGAGATAGAGATTCACAGTCTTGTCGCCTGGCTGGTTATGTTGGTATCTACTAGTTGCGTATTAGTTGTGTAGAAAATGCAAAAAATTTTATACCAAGGGTTCAAGACCATCTTAATTTCTTTCGCTCATCGAATAGACTTCTCCTATGAATTTGATTAACTTTAGTTTCAATCGTTGAATAATTAAAAAATTAAGAATTAGGGTATTCGAGATCGTTGCGAAATCACAAGGGTTCACTATGAGAGAAAATATTAAAAGATGTCCAGGAATGATCTATCATTCCTTTGGCATCTATACTATTCATCATATGGTGTAGCAGTGCTGTAAACCGTTTACATGGATATCTTTCCTTATTCTTTTGCGGAGGGAATACTTTGCGTTGCTTAACCATATAAACCCTACAACTAATTAGTGAATGCCGTTAAGAGGTGTCTCAATTATCGAAGTCTTTCAACGATTATCACTGATCAAACACCGTAGACTTTCATAACTAGAGAAGACTTACAATACTATGCCTTGGAGGAATGGCTACTGGTGAAAAAGGCAGTGACCCATTGAAAAACATGGCATGACAGCGTCTCTTTAACTGGTTAGAATTTGATTCAAGTCGGCCAGGACTGTGAACTATAGAGAGAATTAAGACGTGTGCGAGAATTCTGCCACAGGCAGAGTTAGAGGACCATTTTGATGATAAACTTACTTTACGCAGTCCGCATGGTGCTCCATCTGCTACCCTTAAATAGCTCGAATAGCAGTTGCGTCCGTTTGATGTACACCAAAGGGAACCACAGACGCTCTAAAAATAAAATGAAGGAATTTCTCGATCAACTGTTTAAAAAAAAAAAATCAACTTGATTCGACTGTCAAACCATTCTTTACAGGCTACCTACCCTTAATAAATTTGCTCAAAATTGCAAACCATCGTTCAAGATTATCTGGTTTCCTTCCTGTATTTTATCTGAAGTGTAAACGAGGAGGTTCTCCCCTTAAAAAATTTTTTTGATTAGATCAGTCTTTTTTTCTTACCCTTCTTTGCGGACATTGTCTGTATTCAGGGCCATACTGGAACAAACATTGTTTATCTGCGTCGAAGAGTTCTCCTGGTAGCTCGGTGTAGAAGTCAGAGGGAAGCTTAGGACGAGTCGAGGGAGGAGGATCATTTAAACATGTGGATTTGCTGCTCCTTTGAAAATGAATAAATAAATAAAAAGGAAATTACACTGTTATGAAAGCAATAAATGGGAAAGCGAACCTTTTTATCAACCAGATCAGGAGTTTCTCCATATTGTACGAATTGCTCTGTCTGACACTGCAATCTCTACTAACGATACTGCCCATTGTATGCTTGCAGATAAGGATATTTAAATTTGATTACAGCGACCAAAACGGAGTCAAATTTTCCACTCTCAACTTATTATATGGGCTTCTTAGGCACGCTTGATGGAGCCTGAAAGTAAGTTACGAGAAGATAAAAGGTGCTTTCAGTACTTTCGAGACTTCTCTTACTTGAGAAAACTCTGAATTTTTGCCTTGCTGCACGATGACCACTCCCAAGAACCAGGTCCTCCTTGTCCTGTCGTTGACATGACGTTAACAAAGTTGGAACAGTTTTTACTTGATCCTTTGGAATCATGGGGTACCCCTAAGCTGCAGAGTGAAACCAATACCTTTTTCAGTCAATAAAAGGGGCAAGTTTCTAAAGAAACTGTGGTGCTGCGTCTGTGGGGGTGTTCAAGATAATTTGGTTTTATCAACCGAGTTGATAATGTAAATTTGCCACCGCAAAGGAGCTGAGGGTTGACGAAGGGCTAGCGACAAAACAAAAACTTTAAATCTCTTTACGGTGGCTAATTTACTTTATCAACTTAATTGATAAAACCAATTTTCCCTTAACATCGAGTTTACTTCAATAAGCCGTGGTGATTGCGTTTATAAAGTGTTACTCCGTATATGTAGGCATTCATGTGATTTGACTGATCTCTCGTTCAATACCCGTCTACTCTCATACCTAAAGCTAATTTCCTCAGGTTTTTTCAGGGTAAAGTATTTTTGCTAACGAAAACCACATTACATCTAGCTGGAGCACTCCAAATTGTTCTAAGTTAAGGAGACGGAAAGAAATCGTAGCATGGGTTGAATGATCAACCATAACTCATGATGTGTCGTTCTAAAATATTGGCATTTTTTTGTATCCTTCACGAATATCTCTTAGAGCAAAGAGCTGGGGTCTCTATTGGATATTCAGTTTGATTACCGCGAGGCATGAAAATTGATTGAAATTTCTGTTGGAAAACACTGTAATTTTTTGCAACTTTTTATTCAAGTGGAAGAGCACTATCGCGGAAAGAAACAAACTGTATATTTTCCGCCGATTTTCAACTTATCGAGGTGCAAAGAGGGAAGGTGATTCTTATCTTAACAATTCGAATGAGTTCAAATTAAATCCCCCGAGTAAAAATGAGTTGATACATGACTGGTATGCATCTATCTTCATTAGAATGAGCAAATCACATTTTAACCGCGCAAAATCCGTAGAGATTAAAACTCACAACATTTTCATGCAACACGGTATCTTGCTTAAAGGTTCTAAGGGATTTCCAAGTTAACATAAACATACTTATGTGCCACTTCGTGTGCGATGAAAGATGCAGTTTGAAGACCACTATCCCTCACCACACTAACAGTGTTGGTACGTTTACAAACTCCACCAAACGATGCTAAACCTAATCGAGACACGAAATGAAAAATGTCGGTTTGAACACAGAAGTTTTTAGAATATTACTGAAGCAAATTTACCTATAGTCATGTTTTAAACGTCAGCACTCCAACAACAGATTTTTTTTTTCGTTGATTGCATATGTTAACAACACTTAGTCGACTGAAAACAATGTTCAACTTAGGTTAAGAAAGAAAAACTGCATCTTATTTTAAACGATGTATGTTTCTACTTAGGTACCCACTTCCTGGAATAAAATGCATGCTATCCAAATAAGTTTCACCATTGGTCAGCTGTTTGATCATGAATAACTTATTCTATGAAAATTTTATGAAGGGTATGATTGAAATTGACTAACCTCCTATTCCACCGCTGTGAAATGAAACAAAAACAATAAAAAAGCACAAGATAAGTACAAACATCACTTTTCATCATAACCCAACTGTCGTGGTTAACCATTAGTTAAGATGAATTAAAAGTAAAACCGAAACACTGAAGCGCCCAGGTGAGATTTAAAGCTAACTCTAAACTAAGGGTTTACAGAAGACTTGTGGGTATTCTAGCGAGCTCCACTCGCTAAAATTGACGAAGGGCGATCATGACAAGGAAACTCGCAAAGAAAATCTTGCTGGTGTGTAATTAATTTCTGGTAAGATTCGAGGTGCCTACGCATCAACACTTAACTAAAATAACACGACTTACCCACGAACAAGAACAGCGACGTCGAATTGCAAAGGATCCGATTCATCTGGTCTGTTGTTTTCTGAAGCCCATTTTCCCACTTTACCAATAATGTCCAAGTGACGTACACCAGAAGAAGCAGAATTGGCTCCGAACTGGTCAAAGATAAAATAAAAATATTATTTTCAGTATTATGTAGTCAAAGGGGACTTAATTATGGGTCAAGGGGTATTTGAACGGTCCGAAAATGAAAGTGAGGAGATAAAAGTGTTCATAAGTGAAACAAAAACGCTGTGTTTATCTTTTTTAAACTTCATCGTGAATCCTTGGAAGCCGAGGATGGTTTACATGGATTAGTAGAGAAAGAAGTAGTAGGAGTTGATATGCTAGGCTTTCAAATGTAGGCGCTGGTGGTAGTGTCGATTAGTGGTGATTAATTTTAGCCGGAATTATTCCACCTAATTGTATGGCTAGTTAGGCATGTGTGCTCTGACAGAGCTGAATTGTCTTTTTTGCTGAAGAAGACCGCTTTTTGATGCTCTTTAAAAGGTGTACCAAACTGACGTTTGGTCTGTCCGATATACTCGTGATCACATTCATTGCACAGAATAGAGTAAATAGCGTCGTTTCGTTGTTCTTTCGTGATGGAATCTTTAGGTTTGGCAAAAATATGCCCCAAGTTCTGAAAAGGCTTTTGAGAAACTTTAACGTTGTGGCTATTAAGAATTATCTTGATGGTTTCTGCAACACCCTGAAAGTGTAAGGAGTAACAGCAAAACCAGTCGCTGGTTCCTTCTCATCAGGAGTGTTACTAGTTGTAACTGGTTCTTGCAGTTACGCAGAAATATTTTGGTATAGCCATTTACCTTTAGGACGTCCGAAACATATTTTCTCTCCTCAGCCTTCGAATCAAATGAAGATGGCGGACAGTCCGCCCTCCTGCGTACAGTTTTAGCTACAGAATTTTTACGGCAAATAGGGGGACGAGAATCAAAAGCGAGGTATCTGTCGGTGCGAGTAGGTTTACGATAAACACCTATCTCTAAATTCCCCTGTTCCGCTCTGCACCCATTTAAATCAATCCTTTATCCTTTTTACGCTCAAGGGTGAATTGGATAGACGGCTCCGCTGAATTCAAATGCGATAGGAGGCATTCCGCTTCATTTCCAGATAATTCTGAAATAAAATCAACGACATATCGCTTCCAGAACAAGGGTTTAACCGGTGAAGTGGCTAACTGAAGACGATTTGGTCTTTCCATTTTCTACATTAAAGAATTACCTCAGTGTTTTTGACAAAGACAAGGCGAGTTGCTACAAAATTGATCTTTTGCTCTCCGATAGTTGGATCTTGGAAAATTCCAGCGTCTACCTGTAGGACGTCAAGGAAAGAAGTGAGCGTCGGAACAAACACAATCAAAGGAAAGGAAACGGAAGAGAAACCAAAGAAAAAGTACAGCAATCAGATTTTGTAGAGACTCTTTCTTTGATTTGAATGCATAACTAACAGATCATGTTATAATGCACAAAATTAAAATCCAGATTTCATCCGAAAGTTGCTTAGCAGTGTGATGACGAAATTTTTACTGTGATTTGCTGGTTGGAAATGAGAGATGGAAGGCCATAATGAGTAATATTCTTGGAACCTTTTAACTTACTATGCTGGCTAAAACTAATAGGTATTCCTCGGAGTGATTTCCATGAATCTCGACAATACTTTCATCAGCAAGTATCGCTACCTCCAAGTATTTATCATTTACTGCGCTGTTGTGGTTGTCTTCCTGAACACCGCCTGCTCTCTCTGAAGAGCGACGAGCTCTCCTCTCTCGGGGAATCGTTTCTAATGAGATTCGAAAATCAGAACATTCAAGTAAATGCAATGGATGAAGCTTTGAATGTAACTGAATTAATTTCCCTTTCCTTGGTACGGATAAGAAAGCCGTCTATTTTAGGCAGAAGAAAAACCTTCAGCAAGCTGACCAAAAGTATCTAACTTACGATGCTCCTACGAAAAGCAGTCTCGATTTTCCAGGTTGGATTTAGCTCGTTTTCGTCTTCAGTGGTGAGTTTTGTATGGACTTCTTAGTCAGGAATTGATCGTTATGAGACTGAATTCCCAATTGTCTAAAGCGAGATAGACGTGCGTGACCAAGTTGTGATTAGTTTGGGGTTAGCACCTGATTGGTTGAAAGGGTAGCGTGATTTTTCTCGGCGAATCACGGAACAGAAAAAAGCTAAACCATTGTAGTCTCAGACAACTTTCTTATCTCAAATGAAAATTGCTCTATTCCTTCGTCATCAAAACTGCAAAATCTCAAGAAAGATTCTTGAAACATTTTTCCTCAAAGACGAGATATCTTACGACCAAACAGAGCGTCAGAGGGATTTCTTTTGGATGAAGGGCTCCATGAGATATTCAGTGTCATCACTCACTCCTTTAGCTCTTACCTGTATTTGTTTGACACCTATTGTTCTCTTGTGAGGATCTTCGGTAAATCAAATGTGGTTTTGCTCCTTCTTTATCTCCGAAGTGTCGAGCCAGCCGTTTGGGTAAAGGATGAATTAAGAAAGTGTCACGTGATCTTTTCACTATACCAGTCTACCGATAGAGAAAAGTGTAATGCAAATTATACAGAGCCGTGGAAAACGAAAATCCGAATCCACCCGGTTTTTGCTTACAGCAAGTTTAACACCCAGACTAAGCCACAAGGGACTTGTTTGCAAGTAAATTCATGTGCTGGGAAATTTAACACTGTATTAGCAAAAGCATTGAAGCTAAAGCCGAACAAAGTGTTCGTGGGAAGGGAAAATAGAGACTTTAGTACGATCCAGTGAGGCCCCGACGTGCGCTAATTTCATCGCGTTTGGTGGAGTTTTTAAAAATTCATAGCTTGCGCAACTCGAAAACTCATCATTATCAATTCGTCTTAATCTTTTCGCCCTCTTTGTTTCATACTGTCTTTTATATTTCCATAATATGTTTTATTTTCCGTTATGGTGGAGATAACTTTATTTTGCTATATTGGTTTTGAAAGTCTTCTTAATCAACGATTTTAAGGTTAGGAGGTCCTCGTTCGTTTGTTTTAGTGTTCGAAAATTGTATTTTCCCTGATAAATTGCAAGTTGCAATTCGTCAGATCGTTTCAATATAATTCAAATTCCATTCAAGATGGTGTACAGTTTGGAGTAAAAACCAATACCCATAACGAAGAAATTCGTCGGTACATGTAGCCATTGAACTAACTACAATTTTTGCTCGGCGCAAAAAATGACTCATTTTGTAACATAGCTCCCTCTAGGTGCCCTTCCATAGATAATCTTACCAGCCCTTCTCTAACACTCAATGCAACCACTGAATCTGGATCCGAAGCCACTGAGCCGGTCACAAACGCATCCCTGGACACTGGTCTGGAAACCCTCTGTCCATTCCCATCACGGGTTTCCAACATTAAATCAGGAGCCATAAATTTTGTGTTTCTTTTAACATGGAGATGTAGCTTTTCTCCTAAGGCGTTAATATGATAGTGGTAAGTCGCACCATCGTCTTCTTCGAGGCTTCTCCTAAATCGGCCATTCATTGAGTACGAATTGGCGAAGTTGCCATCCTTTGACTCAAGCGGCACTGTGACATCGTATTCAGGGACTTCAAAGGAAAGCAAAAATGATGCATCACTTCGAGTCGTATGTGTAAAAAGTGATACCTATTCAATATTTATTAGTATGTAAGTCAGCTTTGTGTTAAAATTGTACATGTATGTCTTAGGAGCCTCGTTATATCTGATTGGACATGATGGAATTTAGCACTGTACTTCTAAATATACATATATTCAAACTAAGAAAAATTGTCTCTTACCATTTGACAGGTTCTCTGAGCCAAAATAACGTTTCAATTCCCCTTCTGTCATCAAATGATGGAGGGGCTAGAAAGAGGTGATAACAGAAGAAAAGCAAAAAGGAAATGTAAGTCGCATTGCCCGAAATAAGCGACGACACTAATTAGAAGAATCCTCAAAAATAAAACATTTCAATCACTATTTATAACCCTCCCCCACCAAAATGGAATAGAACTTTTAAAGCTGGGTACTCAAGAAGCAAGACGGTCACTGTGTAATGTTAACGTAGTTTCGTGTCAGCGCAAAGCAATATACATTTTTTTAAAATATGATTTCAAGACATTGACATCTATATAGCTAGTTAAATAACAGTAATTGCTGATGAGTATTTTCATCGAGTTCACATCGGAAAATTTTACGACAAACAATCTCAAATTTTTCTCTGCATAAATTTCTTTTCTCACTGACGCCTTGCCGAGTGGTTTTATGTTACTCGGCTTCAGCAATACCCATTTTGTGAAACGCACACTAACTTATGAGAAGCAAACTGAAAAACTAAACAATAATCTTACCTTTCCATCGATTGTGCGGTGTTCACCTACATAATAAAAAGAAAATATATATATCACTTAAAGCAAAAACTTCAACTTTCCAACGCAACCTATAAGGGAAACCCATAATATCGTTATTCGTCGTTCGCTAGCTAGAGAGGGACTGAAATAGCGGTTCATCACCGGCCAACACTTTTGACTAGGTATTATTAATTGCACGTATAATGGTAAGAAGGCCCAAGAGAATGTGAATTCAAAGATTATTTCGCCAGGCAAGGTTCCCCGTCAGTAGAATTATGATCGAGACGCTAAATTACGCTGCTTGGTCCGCTGAGCCCTTCTGAAGGAGATTTGGTAAAAATTTGCTGGGGTTGAAAATGTCGTTGTGTTTAACTTACTGTTATGAAACAGTGATGTCAAATAGAATAAGATACATATCCAAGTGGGAGATTGCTTCATCTTGCCGCTAAAAAAAAATGAAAATAGACAAAGACGATAAGTTTTATGAACAACGAAGACTCGATCCACTCTTACATGTAATAGGCTCGATTTTTTTTATATCAAAATGCTCATTATCGTAGATACATTCAGTTTTAGAACGAGGAGAACTCTTGAGAAAACAGGTATCAGACAAAGAAATACGAAATAAAACAAACCGAAAAAAACAAAGAAACAAACAAAAAGAAAAACTAGAAAAAAATAGTAAATACACGCAACATTTACCCTTTAACTTCTAGTGTGTTTTTTGGTTTCTGTTTCCAGGTCTTTTCTTACCCTATGGTAGTTTTGAATTCGCTTTTTTTTTCAGTTTTTTTAGAGATATCTGCCGCTCTTTCACTCGTTGTTAAACGAATGAATTTTTAATTGAAACATCTACCATAAATTGTATCAAGTCTGATTGTTTTTGAAACGAAGATTACTGAAGAAAACAAAGGAAAAAGTTTAAGTTAAGAACCAAACTCCATATCATCTCCGTCGAAATGATTTTTTTAAAACATTCATTACTTAGATAAGTATCATCTTTACAACACAACACTTGCATTCTTAATATGCATTTTGGTTTCAATGATTAACTCAATAACAGATGCTGTAAAGAACTTATTTAAAACGCTATAATGTTTTTATCTTGATCTTAATAAAAGCAAGAATTGAGTAGACAAGTGAGACGAAGTATTTTTGAGACTCCTCAGTCATGTTCGAAAAGCTAATAGATGCGACACGTATGCGGCTTAAGCTGGGATGCGGTAAATTATGTGGGTTTAAAATTGCGGTTCTTTTCATAGATGTGAAGCTTGCCAATAATCTATTCAAATAAATAGGGAATTTTCTTCGCTTAAAGATAACTTTTAAGATTTTAAGTGCTGCTTTTTGGGCGTTCTGTACTTTACTAGGCCAAGGATAATTCTCACGACGAACCAGTTTGCGGGGTACTATGCTTTTGAAAAAAAAAAAAAAATTATAGAAAATAGGTCCTTTTTTTCTCTTTAAATATCATAGACAAACTCTTACAACTTTTTGGTGTCATCAAAAGAATAATGATTGTCCTAAGATAGCGGGAAGACCTGATAGAGATGAATAAATTGACTAACTAAAACACATCAAACAAAGTAATCTGAAAGATAGGCCTTGAAGTTTTACGTACAAGAAGTATTCGAGCACTCAAGCGAAATTCCACATAAAAAAACCGTGTAAGCGGTGGCAGCGATAAAAATGTGATGAAAACGAGACTTCAAGATTAATTTTCAGTATATGACGTAATCAAGCGTGAGGACTGCTGAGTTAGCGCGTGTAAGTTCGCACAAACCTTCTTAGAGAGAGATGGGAATGGAGTTTCCCACAAAATTGTCAAGTCGTTGAAAATTAGCTAGAATACAAAACAAACTAATTTAGTTGGCAGGAATCAAGTAAGGAATTGTGTTCAGGGATCGCGGATGCTTTTTCCTCATGTATGTGCTCCTGCACACCACAGAGATACTTTTGGACTAACGCTAATCACGATTTTAAACGTGTAAATTGACTATATTTGAGCCAAGGTCTTTCCTTGCCTCATGTTAATTTATTCAGCTCTATTGGGCCTTCGCGCTCTCCTAGAATAACAAGTAAGCTCTTGACTATTGCGTCATTATACCAGCAATCCGCGGAGTTCTTTGTAAAAAAAAGTCCTGAATACTTTTATCTTAAAAAGCTAAATAAAAAAGAGTGGTCTCTAAGACCAGGAGATAACCTGATTCCTCAGTATAATTGGAAATTGATACCGCCTTGTGATATTGGATCTGTTTTATGGATGATAATAGGTACCTACCTAGAATTGATCATTATTTCCTTGATTCTTTTCAGGGGCTATTACAGGTCTCTGAAATTTCTCGAAAGTGTCTGAAAATGTCAATAATTTTTCTTATAGCTGATGTTTTCATACGGGAACTGTTGTTACATCACATCATCCAATATCAATGACTGAAGAGTCCCCTGCGGCAAAATCTTCTCAGTCAAAGGAACCGGAAACCAGCGATACAACTGCGTCACTAAAAAGGGTATCTTGGTCATAGCGGAATTTTGACCACAACAAAAACTTGAAACGCTCCAGCGAGAATAGCTTTCCTTTACGTGATTTCGCAAAGATTTTTTTCTTCCGAGGGAAATGGGTTTTAATTGCAATGCAAAATATTTATCTCAACATTTACACACCGAAAGAAAGCTGATTTTGAAAGCTTAAGTTAAACGACAAATCGAAATTATAGCTGAAGCCGGATGAATTTTAGATGACATTAACTTCTAAGGATTTCTGTTTCAGAGAACAAAAGCCGAATTTTTTTCCTAAACAAAACATCAGCGCGTTGAGTGCCGAAGATTCCGTGTATAATTAAAAGATCTTAAGGACATTAACATAGCTTGTTTCTCTATAAGTGCCTCTTTTTTGATAAGAGGGTTTGACTGTTGGTGAAAACGAAATAAAAGAACGGAAAATAAATATTGACAAATTACAAAGGTTGTTTAAAGCTGATCCTTGTTCAAAGATTTTACACGACTGCCTCGTTGATCTAGATGGGGCTTGTTGGAAGATACAAATTCTCTGATATCAAAATCATATTAGCATGCAACGTCATTTCAATTTATCTATAAGCATGTTTTAAGAAATCGTTAAAAATTGGTAAAAATTTCTTTGGCGAACAGCAAAAAAGCCAATTCATTGAAGGAAGTTCTCTTTTTTTTTTTTTTTTTTTTTTCTTCATTTCCGCTGAATTGGCATCGATCAGTGAGTGGCGTTCATTATTCCAGCGATTCCGTGTAACATGATGACGTTTTCTCGCTTCAATTAATCTGTTTCTCTGGAGAAAAGAGAGCTTTACCGTTTAGAGTCGGTTTAGGTAAAGAAGATTTATCAGTTTAATAGATGAAAAATGAAAATGAAAATATTAGAGTTGCCTGGGAAAACAAGAGTAGACTGATAAGAACACATGTATAATCTATCAAATAGCGGAACAATTGTAAAAATGCTACGTGTCATATCAAATTCAGAGATTATCTAAGGAACGGGATGTGGGAGTGAAGACTGATTTACTGAGCCAGTCAAAATGATTTGATTTGAAATGAAATTCAAAAAATAACTAGAAATGTACTGATACTTACGTGTAATGCAGACACATGCAAGTCCGAACGGTCGCTTCTCAGAAATGCCTCTATCGAGTTTCTCTTTCTGTTCGCGACCAGCGTCTTGACTTATATAGCATATGCGGGAATAATTTAGAACTTTTATTTTGTTTTTTGTATACTGATATATGCTTATCAAATTGCTCTTTGACAGTGATACACTTTTATAACTGTAGTTTATCTCCTCAAATAACATTCTGTTATTTGTGTCTTCCTTGTTTTTTGACGTAAAATCTGAGTAATAAAGTTTTCCTGCATTACCCGCGTATGCATCATTAAAGTTAGAAAGTTTTAGATAAATGAAAAAATTACTCACACAATTTTCTCACCATGGTAACTCTTCAACTAATGAAGATTTTAGATTGGCCATCTTAAAAATGTTTTAACTAATCCCAAGTTTCAAAATTAAATGCTTTTAACTTCCTTTTTTATCCATTAAAGCAAGGGTATCATCGATTTAATTGACAGAAGATACAGTGGATAAAAGTCATTAGAGTCCATGTTCCGTAAGACATGAGTCTTCCTCTTTGCATCTATGTTCTATTATTTAATTCTACTTTCTTTAAGAAGAAACTGTACATACGCGTAAACTTTATTCAAACAAGGAAAAAAATATTCGGTCATTTTTTAGTACTCAGTTGTGAAGCAGATTTCCTGCCTTCATTTAGAAACAGTGACTAAGCATTTACAAAATAAATGTCGCGGAAAGGCTTCCCCTTTGGCGAGAATTTTGTTGATGAAACGGTCCTTTTCCTCTTTGCTCCTCTCTTGTCGATGCTAGCTGATAAAAAGGACATGGAGACATTACGAGTAGAGCGGTATGTCTCACCAAAATGGTGATAGTACTTTTTGATTGTACTTAACTACAAATTAAGTAGTTACGTGCTTTAATTCCTTTTTTTTTTCACGCCCTTGCGGAGGCTAAGTTTTACCATTAGTGGTAGGTTTACCTCCGCTCTCCCAAACCAAGTCTGCAGCAATCAAACAGAACCGATCGGATAGTATTAAAATATAACAAAAATGATGGTAATAATAATGATAATAAATAATAGTAATGACAGTGTTTCAAAAATTAACAAAATTCAATAAGTTTAAAAGATTTTACTCGCTGAACAAGACAGAAAGATCTCTATAAAGTTTAACAGGGCAATTAAATAAGCATTATCAACTGAATTGATAGCGTGAATTGGCCACCGTAAAGAGTTTCAAAGCCGTCGTTTCGAGCGTCAGCTCTTCATCGAAGCAATTTTGTCTAACAAATATATCCTATGATGCCATGCGTCTCCCGGATGACGTCAAAGTGTGATAAAAACTAAAATTTGGCACACGAGGTGCGGCTACACACTTTAAACCGTCTTGTCACTTCCGCTGTCACGAGGTAAGTATTTATCTTACTGGATCACAAATTATTTTATTTTTTTCTATTGTTTTTAAAAGATTAAATCTCGTCACTGACTCCGCTTCATTAATCTTCTAGTACGTTTCTTCGAAAATTACGCAATTTAGTCCAACATTTTAAGCAGCGCGTTCATTGAATTTAGCTTCTCTCCTGCACGTTCCATCTATTCTCTTTTTTTTTTTATTTAAAAAGACTCGCGACTGAAAAAAAGTATTTGTAAACAAATTATTAGATCATTCATGTAGTTACGATTGTTTGCAGAAGCAATAAAAAAGCATGATCAATGCACACTCCAGTAGTGCAAAATTTGAACTCTACGAAACAAAATTTAAGTCTACGGTTACACCTGAAAGTAAGCAAATAAACGCTACAATACTCCTAGTGTGTCTTGATTTTTGCATGCCTTGAAGCATTTGTCGAGACAGGAAAACATGACATCTTGTCATAGTACGCGGTTACTTCAAGATGTTACTGTTGATGTCGATTTTGTGGGTGGAAATTGTCTGTGATCATAAGTATTTCCTTTTGACGTGATCGGGAGAAATCCACTACAGCCCGCTGACGCTCTACGTGTAGGTGTGCACGTCGAAGTGGTTTGACGCAATGAGACACTCTTAGTTCCAGTGACACAAAAGTGATGGTCTAGTAGACATGTTTCTTTTATATCGCAGATAAATTGCATTTCCATAATTTTCTTCGGGTGCCACCTCACTTCAACGCACCGTTAATTTTCAAGTACCTGAATTGTGCAATGGTATAACTACTTTAAGCGATACCCTCACTGTTTGTATTCTTTCACTTGCGTGTTAGTTCTTTTATATTCCCCTATGGGGACTCAAAATTTATTCTTTGTCCTACGCTGATGACATGACGAAAAACATCTTTCTCTATTCCTTTAACGAGCTCAAAACTTACCATCTTCCTTATTCTATTAGTAAAAGATTAGAAATTATGATGTGAAAGACAGCGACCATTAATTGATAGTAAGTACCTATCGATGTTGAACAAACTGATACAACATAGCAATTCCTTTATGACCCTTGATATATACTTTTCTGTCTGCAGACGACTTCAAAATTAGAATAATAGAAGTGATAATAAAACATGAAATTTCTTGAAAAACTAAGACGGCAGTCACAAAATCTGATATGTTGTCGAGGAAAGATGTTAATTTGGGTTAGTGAAGGAGACTTTTTGTAAACAAAGAAGTTCCGTATTATTTAATTTTTAGGCTTTAGTAGCAGAAACTAAAATTCGTTTTTTCGTCTAACGATTAGCGCGGTGGACTATGGATCGAAAGATCTTGAATCGAATCTCTTCAAGTCATGGTGTTGTTCTCTGAAAAGAGAAATGTCACGCCAATAATGCCTCATTTGACTCAGCGTAAAGTTAAATGGTCACCGGTGAAATATCACAGAAATCTTATGAATGCTTGAGGTCTTTGAGGGTATGACCCACTTTCAAAAGGACCAACACCCATTTTTATTCCTGCTTGCTCTTTCGCTTCGAAACGTAAAGGCCTTATATCAAGAAACATATATACATTTTTTTTTGCGGAAGGCGTCTTGCTAAGACGAACAAATGTCTTGCGTGATACTGCAGAAATGAAAAATGAATGATCTTGTCTAAACAATTTATTAAAAGAAAAGCAAATGAAAAGATAATTGTACCACAAATACGTGTTAATTCCTTGCTCAGCTTCCGTTGGAATTTTAATTTCGCGCCCATTTTTGAACAACATAACTGACGAAAAAATTTAACGCCTAAATGCACAATTTTGAAAGAGTTAGATCAGCGGTAATTTTTAGAAGGTATATTAGAAAGGAGATATTATTTTTCAATGTATTTTCAGAACCAAGAAATAGTAGCACAATCAAAAAGAAGTAGAAAAACAAAAACAACACAAAACCTCAGTTCAACCAATGTGGCCATACGAGATGCTAATTCTTAGTTTTTAAAATCTAATTATTCCTGACCTTCCCTCTCGACGCATTCTTAGTTAAATCTTTGAGTGCTCTTGGATTTTTTTGTAGAAGTTTCTATGGATCACTTCGTATGCAGTATAAAATTACTTGAGCAGTGCAGCTGGCGAGTTTCGTCAACACTCCTTCATGAACTTTGTTGAATGGCACAAGCCTTCTGACAGTTATGCTGTCATACTTGAATGTTCACAATAGTATATCGGTCGCGTCTTTTCACTAACATTTCCCATTGTTTCTCTAATCATAAGCGAATAATACGATTGTTATGCTGCGAATCCAGCTTTTGTCTAACGAGGTCTAATTTTACCCTCAATTAAGATAACATACATTCAACTCGGCTTTGAGGTACGATTTAAGTTGCTTTCCATTTGTAATTAACTGCGCGCCATCAATCATTCGAAGGAAAAGCGAAGTAAAAAAATTGTGCTTTTTTCTGCAGTCCTCATATTTAACTCTTGTCAGGTGGTTTAACTTATGAAACGCACGGGTATTTTGGGATTTGCGTAACTAATTAAGTTACCAATAAAGATCAGTAAATGAAAATACCACGTTGACAAATGTGCCCACTCTGACATTCTAAATCAAACAAACTAGATTCTTGACATGATTAAAATTTCAACTGCCCGACTGTCTTTTGAAAACTCCATAAACTACTAGGAGCACCCTTAGTAGCATTAAACTTGGGATAGACGTTGTGCCCTATTTATTTTGACGAGGCCCGTGTTGAGGAAGACTTGAGAAGGAAGACGCGCAGGAGGATTTAATAAAAATTTCATTCGTTAAAAAACACTACTGTGTAGGTTGAAAATTTATTTTATTGCGTATTTTCATTAGCAGTTTGTTTGATTACAAATCATTCAATTTAATATTCTCTCCCCTTTCTGTGGATGTTTATTCAATGACAAATTAAAATTAAGTGAAAATTACTCAAACAGATACCAAAATTTAAGTAGGAACACTATTTTGCAGAATTATTGTTAAATAAAAGGTTATAAGAGCAATTTCTCCGTCGAACGGTTCGTTGAAGCTACCAGAGACATCAAGTCCGTCCACTTATCAAATTAGCGCCAGCTATTCTACAAAAGAAAAGACACATTCTATATCAGTTATTCACACCAACAGTAATGCGGACCGCAATGAGCGAGTTTGGACTCACTCCCGCAATACATAGACCCGGTTATGTATAGAACGCTGGATAAAGTAAATTTCAAACTAACTTAGTCTGAAGCATTTCTTTGACAATCAATGGTTATAATATCAAAACTGTATAAAGCGGTCAGCCACGGTGGAAGGCGTTCCGAAATTTTTGGTAATATATAAAACGCCACTTTATGTCATAATTGACCACTCATTGTATAAAACCTGGCTCAATACTACTAACATCGATTTCGGGAGAGAAACATAGATTAAATTTTACTAGAAGAACTATTTTTAGTTTAATTCGAGTAGTTCCGCTTTAAGTCACCGCTAAATGCAGGTGGATGACAATACAAACAAGCCATTGGGACTCACTCAAAGGTGACCGCGACCCCTTAATTGAGATGAGAATTACAGTGATTAAAGGGAAAAAAAATTTGGGACTTTGACAACCGATCACTTAATACAGGTGACCGCTTAATACGATGCCGCCTTACACAGGTTCGACTGAAATGCAATTCTCACCATTGAACTGATACACCATGTTCGCTCCTTTCAACCCTATTCCTCCCTTGCATTTTTGAGAAGGACCAAGGTCATCGTAGGTGTCCCTAGCATTCACATCAGACCAACATTCTGCCGTGTTCTGCACAGCGAAATATGCGTAACCCTTGGCCTTTGCTACGCGGGCGCACTGATCAATAGTCACTCCGTTCTGTTTGTTCTTTTGATTGCGGAAGTTGATGTATCTAATTCGCAAAGGTTTTGGTCTCTTCTTAGCCGAGGCAACGTAGCAACCGAGAGACTTGTAAGATGGAACAGACTCTAGATGCCAAAGAAAAAGTGTTTTGACGAGGAAAGTGCGTGAAAATTATATAACTATTATCGTATATTAAAGTTCACATGGTAACCAGGTGGACAATCAGACATGGTTTGATGCTACCTGGTTTACAAATTAAAAGAATGTAACCGAAGAAGTCACAATTCATAGACCCAACGTCTCGTCACTCCTGTGTTTTCTAATGAACATTGAAAAAGCTAAAAAAAGAGGAATGGCTATAAAAAATTGTTTACACAACACGACTTACACACTCCATATAACGGCAAGTTGACTTCAAAATATTGCAAGAACAATTTAAAAGGTGGCACACGAGACGCAGCCACAAGTGAATTTACTTACCAAACGTAAAAACGACAGAAGAGGCTTTTGAGCCAATGCCTTTAGCGCATTTCTTGTTAGGAGCAGCACCTTTTGTAAAATAGCTTTCACCAGCTTTTGGACCAGAGAAGCAAATTCCGTTCAGTCCGACAGAAAAGTACTTATAACCATTCTCTTGGGCTAGCTCTGCACATTTCATAATCGTGGGTTGAGTATCTTTGAGATTCACCTCTTTTCTCAGGTCTACCAGTTTGGGTATCACATTTCCTTTGTGATTAAAACATCCGATGCGATAAAACGCTGAAACTGTAACAAATTAAAGCAATGGTGAAATGCATTGTGACAAAAAAATTGTGTTCAAAAAATAATCGTGAGAATTCATTAGGCTCGAACCTGGAACTAACAAACTGTGAGTTTTTCATTAATTATTCAAACTCTCCACATTAACACTTCCCTTAAAGTAGCATTTGTGGAATTAATTATACCACAAATGGTTTTGGTCAAATTACACTTTCATAAAAAGAGCTTTGAAAATTAAAGAGCACTTCAAATGCTTCAAAAGTCCATGCAATGTTACCTTGACAACGCTGACCCGTAAGGCCTTGAGGGCACGTACAAGTATATTCGTCTGAGAGACCTTTATCGTCACAAGTGGCTCCGTTTAAACAAGGATTGCTCATGCAAGCTGTTATTTTAGCTGAAGTGAAAGGTGGATACATCAATATAAACATTAATACTTGAAAGACAAACAGACACTTTTGAAAGAGTAAATAATTCGACTAAACTTCGAGAAATCTTCAGATAAGGCTCCTAGAACGACTATGTATCTGATTTTTTAAGTAATGTGAACAATGTTAAAACAGTATGCTTAAATTTTGGTATTTGTTTGAGTAATTTTCACGTAATTTTAATTTGTCATTGAATAAACATCGATAGAAAGCGGAGAGAATATTAAATTGAATTATTTGTTATCAAGGAATATGAATGAACGGAAGTAGAATGTTAATGGGAGAGATAAAGACCGGAATATTTCAACTGCTCAATCTTAGCTGGACGAAACACCTTATTTTTACAGTGGTAGAGTACTACAATTTTTACTCGCGATCGATGTATCTTCGTAAAACCATTTCGCAAAACTATATTTACACAGTAAAGCGCGTGTAGGAAGATCCAACAATCACTACCTATAAGGGTTAAAACTGCTTTGTGTTATTTTTATGAACTTCTGGCAACAATTAATGTCAATTAATGTAATGGAAAAATGTAGGAGCACATTTTTAAACCGCCAAATGCAGGCTACTTTATTTATTTTCACATGAAAGCGAAAATACAATGAACTTACTTTCGCAGTTCCTTCCTGTAAAGAGAGGGGGACACTTGCAGGTGTGATTGTAATGATGAACGATCCCCGCTGAGCACTCACCACCATTTAAACACGGTTTCTTGTCGCATGGGTTTAATTTTACTATTGATTAATAAAAAAAAGACATAATAAAGGAGAAATTTAATGGTTCAGTAATTTGAGATGGAAATTCGTAAATCGAAAGCTGTAGGATCAAAACTTTGGGGCTCGGGTAGGAGTGCTGACTGATGCAGTTCGACGACATCACGTGCCTCTTTATATCTACTTTAAGTGTATTCATGGGCGCCATCGGTACGGTGAAGGAGCTCTGTCAGAATAATGAGGAGGAGTCCTTTGATGGTTTGGTTTCCCACAACATTTCCAGTGATAGAAAGATGCTTCGTCTTGTCTGTATGCAAGATGCGTGTCACATGAACTTCGTAATGGGCCTTACTCACCATAGAGTCTCTGTGGCTCAGTAGTAGAGCATCGGAGTGCGGAATACGAAGGTTTGAGGTTCGATTCCTTATGTTGACTCAGAATTTTCTTCTTTGGCCCACGCTCATGACAAGACGGAAAACATCTTTTTTATATTTCTTTACCGTGCCCAAAGCTTACCATCTATTCATCGTTCTAGTTATTTCATACTTTAAAAGCCTGGACAAACTCCAACAGTGCAGGCCACTTGGCTCATGCACACTTACTTTCGCACTCGACGCCAGTAAATCCCTTGTCACAAACGCACTTGTAACCTGATGGATCCGGTTGACAGCTTCCTCCATTCGAGCAGTTATGTCCAATGGGAGGGCAGGTGGGTGGTCTCGCTGAACCAAGAAATATAAGCGGACATTATTTTGATACCTCTGAAATAATTTTCTTTTCTTCTTCTAGATACGAGTACAAAATAAAGTGACTTACATCCACAAGGTTTATTCTCGTTACATTTCATTTCAGAAAGAGGCTTGTTCATATATCGGCAAAACTCTGGATCAATGATGGTTAAGTTTCCGGATTCGTCGATTCTTGAGCATGAAACCTCACGACGGATCATTCCAACTGCACACTTTGTGGGGCACTGCAGTTCAGGAAACATGAAAAATCAAACTTTTACTCTATGGGCTAGCTTGATAAACAGTACCTCCATCAATACAATCACCATTTTGCCGGGAAAATACGTTATAATTTTGTACTACTAATAAGGCCTTGTAAACTATGCCATGGGAATCACCAATTCTGATTTCAATCTTGCCCTTTTTGCTTGAGAAACTGGAAAGAATTTAGATAGTTCTCTTACGCTAAAAGATTGAATATTCAGGGTGATGCTAGCGTGAGGCTTCTCAAAAGCGAAAGGGAAATACCAAATAGTGGTCCTCAGTCGGATTCTGGGATTTTAGATTCGTAGATACTAGCTTGATATTCCTGGGACACTCACTAAAGCTCATTCGTCTGAAATACATCGAACCAGCTATGAGATGTTTGCAAAGAACTGCCTGCTCACTTTAAACAGTATTAAAAAAAACAGCATGAGGGCCTTCCTTTTCCACATAGAATTTAAATATTTCAAATTCAGGGTCCTCAAGCTTTTCTAGGGTATGGAGGACCTTCTCAATATCAAAAAGCTCCTCATATAAATATATTCAAATTTCCTTGATGATGTTACCGAGGTTGAAATCCGAGTGGTTACCTCTTTCCTTTCTTCCCCTATGCTCGTAACATGTGAAGGGCATCTTTTTTTTTATTCGTCGACCGAGTGCAAAAGTTACAATCTTTATTTTCATAGAGGTTTATATTGTCTGATTAGGGTTTAACTTAATATACAATTCAACTAACCGCAGACCAGGGCCCAACATTCCATGCAGCCGGACAAGGGTATCTATTGCAGGCCAGCAGAGCTGGTCCAACGTTAACGGGTTTCGGTTCTGAGCATAAATCAGTTTCTCTGAAGTCGTCCAAGGCTACTTCGTGCAGGCATTTTAGTTGACGTTGTTGATGTCCGTTTCCACATGTTTTCGAACAAGAGGTCCATTCTTGAGTCCATCTGAAACATCGAAATAAAGTTACCGTTAATGTCTTTGGAAACACGGTCTCCACGACACTTATGAAGCGCTTTCATATTTGCATTTTTTCCCCACGCTTTTTTCTCCATTTGCGATTACTTTAGTTTGGTTTAACGACACCACAATGTAATCCGTTATAAACAGATAAACTTCTAAGTTCTGTAGGGCGTTTGCTGCTGGTAAGAACAGGTTGGCTTTGGCAATACATTTATAAAAAGTATTCCCTAACTGAGTAGAACTGCATGTGAAAAAGTTCGAGAAAGATCTGCTTGTTAAAACTTACGAGTGAGGTCGGTCAAACCCGACCACTGCTACGATGCAATGCGTTGTCTAACTCCAGCAATCTTGGACTCAAGAGATCGGTCACGAAAACCGGCGATGATGCTAAAACTTGTCGCCTGCGTAAAACGCGTCCCTAAGGAAATGAGACTTAAATCGGTACAACTCACTTTGCTGCACAAGGCTGCGTGTTGCAGTCTTCGACTGCTGGCATTTCTCCAGGGCAAGCAGAGTTACTGGCAGGACTTTCGTCATCTATCCTAATACAACGAACATCACGTGTTCTTGTACCTGTAAGAAAGAAGAATCTATAAAACCTGGAGCTCTTCCCTCTCATTCGAAGATTTTTTTTTTTGTAATGAGAAGTGGGGACGTTTCAAAAGAAATCTTGGTGCTGCTTCAGTTGGGGGTATAACAGGATGATTTGGTTTTTAAATAATGTAACTTAGCCACCATAAAGAGTTTTTAAAACTAACGTTTTGAGCGAATAGAAAAATCGTAGGTTCTGTGTGATTTATTGAAAAAAATTTAGTTTTGGACCATAGAATGTCTGGAATAGAATTTCACCTCTAGATATTAATTTACATTTAGATTGGCGGCTATTAAAATACATTTTACGCCTTACCGACAGCGCAAGTCCTTGAACAAGTAGACCATTCCCCAACCACCCATTTGTAGCCGAGTGAAGAGCTTGAGGACGAGCCTTGAATGAGGTATTGATACATCACGCCAGGGTTGTCTCCAGTTTTTGGTGATCTCTTTATGTACTTTAAAAAGGGAAAAAATAACTTTCGTTAACAAATAATTTTTGGTTTAATTAGATCACGATCAATCACTGAAAGAAAGATAGATGAAACACAGTTATGTTGGACGATGACATAATTGATTCAGTATGTCAAAATGGGCGATTGCTAACAATAATTGATTTTCTGAATTTTATTTGTTCCTCTTCAAAAGCAATCATGCGGCAGCCTTTTCCTTACTTACCATTACTCTCAGCGAAGCGTTCGTAGGGCCAACTATAGTAACTACGTCTCTTGCTGCCGGCCTATTTCTATGGGTATACTTTATCACTGTGCCAGCGGCAGGTTTTTCTTGATTTCCGCCCAGATGTCCCCCAACTATGAATTTGCCTTGAGCGTCAATTACACCTACAAAGAAAAGGAAATAAATAAAGTAACCAAAATTGCACATTTTGCAATGCAACTGAAGCAATTCTCCATCAAGTGTCAAAGTTACTCTGGTCTTGCTTCACTACAATCCCCTACCCAATCAATCCAATATACAACCAAAACTAATCACGACGTATTCACTTTTGTTTTCCCGCGTTTCAGGCAGATTGCTCGTTCCTTTTGACACACTACTTACCAAAGATCAAAGAGCAGAATTTCTTTCTTCTTTTTAAGAAAATACTCCATTTTTAAATTCAGAATAGCGTGATTTATTTTGCAATTTTTAATCAATTTTTTTTTTTTTTCACGATTGTAATTTCTATCACCAGGGCTCCTACAGAGAATAGCCATGTTGCTGAATGGGCTACGCTGGCTCATTAAAAGTAGTTTAGCGCCGGTGATCTTTTATCGACAACGAGATTCGTCTTCACGAGGCGCAGCCGAGTGAGTCCGCAACAAATTTTGACCACTGTGATGACGAATATCGATAAGAGTACAGACCGCGCTGAATCAATGTCGATTTGTTTTTATCATAATATCGATGTCAAATACACGATTGTTTGAACGATGTTTGAGAGCTGAAAAAAAACATTGCGTGACACGTTGACGCCAGAAGCATTGTGTGTACTGTTATGGACAACGGTAAATTGGCAGTTGGCCAATCAGATTGCAACATTACTGCCAGTTGTGGTGAAAATAAAGTTAACCTAACCTTTCTTTGTGATCTCAATGGTTTCTTGTCACAATTTCTTTGTTTTTAAATTGCAACTAGTGATTACTTTGGTTTGGTTTACGACAATCAATCAAAAGTAACTCTAATTATATGATAAGCTGAATTCGACACGCATTTTGGTGGCTCCTCACTGAATCTCTCGGAGGACAGACGCATAGATGACGTCACCACTAATAACTGAATAGACCATTTCACAGTTGTCTACTTAGTTTCCAAGCCTTTGATTTGGAACGAGTCTGAGGATGACCTTGTTGTGATAGAGACCAGTATCTAGTTGGCGTAACAACAAAGCAATTGACATTTGAAATACAGCAAGGTTTATATCATAACAAGGTTAACCTTAGCCTCACTCCTGTTCCAAGGCTTGGCAACCACTCACAACTGTAAAATGTACTATTTCTGCTACTTTATCATATAAAAGAGCCGAAGCCATCCTTGGTTGCTCTTGGCACTCAATTGAAATTTCTCCATGTTTTATATCTGATTTTTCATTAGAGTCCCCTTGTTTCGGTGAAATATCTGTACTGACCTAAATAATTTAAAGTGTTGGCAACCACCACGAAACCAGCATTTCTAGTTCCAACTGGAAGTTCTGCTACCTCTATCGCATTCTCGGGGCCTGTTTAAATTAGAAATTAAAAAGAAATTTAATTGAAATTAAACGTATAAAACTACCGTTCTATCACAAATGGCAAATGATATTAACTTTTTCTGAAGCAACAGCCTCAGTTTAAAAAGGAGGAAATTAAACGTATAAAACTACCGTTCTACCACAAATGGCAAATGATATTAACTTTTTCTGAAGCAAAAGCCTCATTTTAAAAAGGAGGAAGAGGAAGTAAAATTGTCAGAAAGACAAAGAGAACAATTAACATAGCAAGTAATGATAACTTTAGAGCAAAAGAACCATACAGAACTATAGTAAATATAGGGGGGAAACCGACCGCCCAGGCAAATAAATAGCGACTGGTCCCTTAGCCCTTAATACCTGCTTCAGCTGGAGAGTCTTTGAAGGTTGCTTTGATCTTACTGCAGGTATCTCCGTCTCCTCCGCAAACACCGCAACGGTCGATTGCTGTTTTTCCATCTAACTCGTTATCACAACCAACCGACTTATACATAAAGTAATGAAGTAGAGAAAATTAACTCAGTTTTGAATACGTCGAATTTAAGAGGTGATGGAACTTGCTTTAAATTATGAAAGCGTGAAGAACGAAAACATCAAGTGAAGAGTCGTTGCGACAAGTCGCAGGTATGAGTCGCAACAACATAATTTTTCATATGACGTGAAAAATTCTCGAGAATTATTTTTTCCTGGGACAGATTGAATTGGTTTGAGTTTGTGCAGTGATGTATAACATTGATAAATCAGTTGCGATGATATGTCATGGAAGCAATAGAAACGAAACGGTTTGCCGTAGACTTTGCCAAGTCGAAATATATAGGATTGGTCACAAAATCTCTGCGGCTTTTAATTTACTTTTATTGGCTCTCCGATGAAAAAAACTTACTACCAAGCCTAATGGAAATAATTCATACTCCTTCAAGGCGAAATTAAACCGGATATATATTTTTATATTTCACAGATAGGTATATGCACAAGATAAACACGTAAGCTACGGTAGCAAAACTTACTCTACATTTTCCTTGAACACAGACGCTGCGGTCCTTTCTATTGTTGGTACATCTGATACCGTCTTTGAAGGTTCCTATTCTCCTAACCAGATTTCCTTCTCTACAGTATATGTGACATGCTAAAATAAATAGGTTCGAAGTTTGTGAGCTCGTTTAGTCTACCTTAACGTGTTTCTTCAACGATGTGAATACAATATTTCACCCAAAACATTTGGACGCGATTATCTTGCTGTACAGAAGAAATTGGGGCGGGATCAAGACAACAATAACAACTTTGCTGCAAAGACAATGCAAAAAAAATTGTAACTGATAAGCAATGGGCAACGGACAATGGAACTACTAGCATGACCTCGAACAATTCCGAACGGGAGCTACCAGAAACTCGGCAGAAATACCAGCACTATCCTGACCGGGAACTAGACCAGGATCTCGGATCTCGGATCTCGGTTCTCGAAATTTTAGTTATTTCTTCACTTTGTCGTCGATCAAATGATATGGTCTCTTACCGTCTCTTGCGAGGTTGTAAAGGACGTAATTGGGGTTCCTTCCTTTGCACACTTGCTGACCATATATATTCCTGAAGTTTTGTTCCTCACTTGGGCAATCCTGGAAACCAAAAGCATCACAAGAAAATTACGATTCAATCGACAAGGTATCATAGATGTGAGGGGAACCTCAGATAAGCCTATTTGAAGATAACAAGATCATAGCAAGACAATGGGTTGATGAAGGGAAAATGGATATAGACGTGTCTAGCATATACTAAAATAGGGGATAGCGTTGAAGGCGCGCTCTGATTGGCTATTCAAAATCCGAATATCCTTTGTTATTCACTTCCGAGCAACCTGCGCGGGATTAGCGCCTGCGCTTTATTATCTAAATATTTAAGTTTATGCTGAAACAACTATTCACCTCTGTATCGGTAGCTAGCGGTAGATATTTACCTCGCCGCAAATGGTTAAATATACAGCAAAACCGTCGTAAAATCACTGTATTTTTCGTTTGTATAATAAATGTCAGTCAACAATATCCATCTGACTCTTTTGAATAAAAGCCAAGCTTGGAGTAATGTCTCAATTTATTGTTGAAAGTAATCCATGATTGTAATAGTTTCATTTCGCCTCACTGTGCGACGGATATTTTTAAAAAACTGAAAAAAAATTGCAATGAAAAGCCTTGTCGATGCATGCGTAGTACTAACCTGCGGATTACAAAGCCTGTATTCTTTCCTGACGCCTTTACAATTTTTTCCATAACGAGGCCTTAGGATATTAAAAATGGTAAGCTCCATGAAAGAAGAAGTATTGTTGTAATTGTAAGGAGGCGCTGTAACCAAATGGTTAATTAGCCCTCTGAACTGCGGATCAAAATGTCTGGCTTCTGGGTTATTGTGCCGTATTCTTGGGCGGGACACATTCGACAGTGCCTTTATACTCGCAGGAGTATAAATAGGTACCAGAGAATGCTGGGGAATGGGCGGGGGTAACCTTAAATACACCGCATCCCATTCGGGGGGAGTAACAACATTCAAGCTTCTAGTCGCTTCATGCTTCGGAGACTGGGACCAGCTCCCTCTCCGTTACGTAGGCCTCTAAGCTCGTGAGTTATCTTAACCGCTAGGTATTTTAGAAGAAAAAATAATAGGAAAAATGCAATCATGGCAAACACATATGACAAAAAACTTAGGCAAGCAAATGTTTTAAGAGGGGTTTGAAGTGTTTCCTGAACCCTTTCTCGTTCTAACTCCCATGAGCGACCAAGACAGAACTTCCCCTAACAATATCGATACAATATCAAATGGAAAAGTGATGAGAACAAATACTGAATAAAAAAAAATATCAATTAGGGAATCATTAGTTGATCCAATACCAAATTCTCTAACCTAAGATCGGCATTTACGATTTGAGCCTAGGATTGCTGTTGACTAAGGTTGAAATATCAAAAATTTCTACAAGACACGTGTAAAAGATCCTACCGGGGAAAAAAAACCTTTCCCTGTTCAGAGAAGAGGATAACAAGAAAAGTAAGGACTTACTTAGCATTTACGCAATGCCTCTCTCTGTACTGGACACCTCCGTCACAATCTCGGGTACACTGAGAGTAAGGGCCCCATTCAGACCAGGAGATATTTTCTACCATGCCTGACTGTTCACATCTTCCCTTAATGCACCACTTGAATTAAAATAAGTAAATGAACAAGCGTATTAACCGCAGGATAGACAAGTCTTCGAATCAGTGAAGTAGTGGGCCATCGAGTCAGCGAATTAGTGGGTCAATTTTTTTAAACGAATTAGACGAGTCAACAGGTCACCTGGTTAAATAAAAAACAATTGATCAGCTAACTAGTCAACGAGTCAGTGAGTTAGCAAGTCATTCAATTAGCGAGTTAAGGAATTAATAAGTAAACGGTTCGGTGAGTCGTTAAGTCAACGCCTTCAGTAGCCAACGTAAAAGAGTCACCTGATCAGCGGGTCAGCGGGTCAGCGGGTCAGTGGGTCAGCGAGTCAGCGAGTCAGCGAGTCAGCGAGTCAGCGAGTCAGCGGGTCAAAGATTCAAATAGTAAATGAGCCAGTAAGTAATCGAATTAGTGAGTTAGCGAGTCGGCAAATTAAGGAGTTAACTAGTAATCAAGTGAACGAGTTATATTATTGAACCAGCGAGTTGGCGAGTCATTTACTAAGATAGTCACTTAGTAAGCGAATCAACAAGTAACCGACTGAATAATAAGTCATCAATTCAGAGAGTTATTTAATCTGTAACGTGCTGTTTCATCGTCAGCGAGTCACAGATTGGTGATAATTGAATTCAACAACTGAAGTAGGAAAAAAAATTATACAGATGAATTTCAGATTATGCAAATATAGGCGGCCCTTTTCACAGGTAGCCGATGATGTCGCATGCTTACCTTTTGGAATCCGCATTCCGTTCCATCTGCAACAATCGTATTTCTACCCAACAACGTGCCTTCCTTGATACAAGATAAGTAAACACAATTGGACTAAAAAAAGGAGAAATAAAAACGAGATGAGAAAAAAGAACATCATTATCAAAAAAGACATAACAATAACATTTCAGCACATGTCACATGTACATTGTCTCTGTTTTCGCTATAACTTTTGTTGAGAAACATGCAGTTTTAGCTTGATTGGCGTAGTTTTTGAGGGAAAAATTGGCTGAATCCAAGAATTTATAAAGTTGAATTGAGTTCAAATTCTTATGTCAAAGTTTGACACTGATAATACACGCTTATGACTTACTTGGCCTTCCTCTGCCACAGAAAAAATTAGGCAAATTTATACATCTTATTAACCGAGGTTGAGGTCTGTGCTGCAATTTACGGACCAAGTTATTCCGTTTTGATTTATGGCCCAAGTGCGAAGCGCACGGGACTTAAAGAATGAAACGAGGCTCCGCACATTACTGTGCGGACTAAGAAAATGAGGTCAGTAAGATGTTAATCATATCCTTCAATTCAAACAAATGGTTGAAATCAGTGAGACGTATAGTGAAATGCGGCTCGCTAACTTGACCAATCAGCGCATGTACTAACTGGGAAGTATGGTAAAGAACTCTGAGCCAATTCTCTGGTTCTCTTGAAAAGGAAGAACATCAGAATTAAGTATGTGAAGCGCATAAACAAGTGAATCATTTCGTGATTACTGTATGCTCTAAAATTCAGCCTCAAAGGATGTGCTGACCTAGAACACTCTCTTGAAGGTCTGATAAAAACACTGAATGTAAAATGAAGCAAAATTCCGACTAATTACCGGATTGTATTGTTTCCAGCCTTCCCCATAATGCATTATGCACTGTTCATCGCCACTGATGATTTTCCCGGGAAGTTTTCCCCGGAAACTGGGAAGAATTGTGGGGTGATCACCCACGGGACCATCATCTAAACATTTAGATTTTTTTCTGCGCAAAGAAAGTTGTAAGTTGTTGTAAGAACCAAAACAAAAACACAAAAAAGTTCACACTTTACCGATCATGGCGACGAAAAGAAGAAAAGGAGATACAAGCGAAGAGGATCAGCGGGGAAGAGTTATGGAAGGGAGCGAGAGAAATGCAGCGGCGACGACTTCTTGTTATCTCACCTTGTACTGTGTACCATACAAGATGTAGCATTCTTCGTATTCACAAACTATCGCAAACCTGAATTGTAAGATTTGTATGATTCAAAAAACTTTTCCCGCGGAGTGGGGTTCGAAGATACCTAAGATGTCCTTCCCCCTCCCTTCCCCACCGGGTAAGCCCCTGTAGACTATTCTTTATTCCAGATAGACTTATTCTTTATGTACGCACTCGTCTGCCAAGAAACGCTGAATGACGTTCCTGGAGCATTCTGACCACTCTGTGGCATGAGGTCCTCCTGGTAGTGCAGCATTCATGATATAAGCTTTTAGAGCACAGTCGCCACTGGTATGATCGAGGTACATGCTGAAATTATATACAGCAACAAAAGCATACATGAATGACTTTAAAGTTACTACGTTCTACATAGATCATCTTTGACAAGACCTTAGGCCTTTAAGCGCAATGTACAAGTACAGAGTGCATAAATGGTTGTTGGATGTTTTTTTTCTATTAATGATTTTCAAATTCTGTTTCGGTCACCAAGTTTTTGTTCACTTATACAGTGTTTCGTTCAGTATTGAATGGGGTAAAATTAAAACCAAAGTTGGCAGGTTGGCCATTCAGTACAAACGTAGTTATCAAGAGGAATCTGTGAGAACTTAACGTAAAAAGTCTCAGACGTCTAAGTGTAAACTGCCATAACCCATCAACCCTCTTGGCTGACCAAGATGGAATTTCTCCTTACAATATCAATACAATGTCGAGCAGACGACTGACGAGGAAAAAAAAATTTTATCGATTAGGAGATTATTTACTGATCCAAAACCAAGTTCTCCTACCCAACATCATAAGAATTGTTTTACAGACAGTAGAGAGAATTACTAATAAGATCTTGGGAGTGAAAGCGTCAAACCCAAATAGCCGAGGAGTTTTTGGTCTAAGTCTACAACTGACTGGTAGAGAGTTCTCAAGAACGATCGTAAAGCGCAGCACTGGATTGCGTCTCTCAAAGTTCAAATGAAAATCGCTTTTCCGCAGGAATGTCTTGATTCAATAACCAGTTTTGGACAGCAATTTTAACATAGTCTTTTCTGTTAAATTTTTTCAATATGTGTTTGTTCCATTTAGTTGGTTTCTTATTGTGTTCTTTGGTTGGGTTTTTCTCTCTCTTGTTTTGTGAGTAGAAGCATTTTCTAAGGAAAGGATTTTTCAAGCAAGAACTGAATTTTTTATCTGATAATTAAATAACATACTTATGTCCGGTCTCGTGGGCGAGATGCAATGATGTTGGCAAACCGATTTCCTGATTCACATTCCCTGTAGGTACTGCACAAATCTGATTGGCAATGGCGAGGGCTGAAAAGATAAATATCGCATTTCAGTTGAGCCAAAGAAACCATTTTGAGTACTGCGTCGCCACTGAGCTATTTTGATAATAATTGAACTCTTCAGTTTCCATCAGTTTTTGATCGAAAAAGTTAAGCACTGCCAGTCTAAAATGGCATTTTTGATGTTCGCATTCTGTTGCAGGCTATAAGATCGTTTCTCTTTCTCACCGTATCTGTTCGACAGAACGTTTGCCAAATTTATATTGTCGTGATAGTCTTTTATCTAAAATATCCGTGTTCCCCAGTTTTTGCAGATAGCCTTTGAAAAACCTAAATTCGCAGGAATGTACGCACTTAACGCAAACTTGGCACACGGTAGATCTCAATGGCCATGCACGCAGGAAAGCCGAAATGAGCCAGGGTATTGCTAGATTCCCTACCCTCCTCTCCCCCCTTGCAGCCCCATGGAAAGGATATCAAACCACTACAAGTTACTCGCCCGCAACTATTGTCATCAGGATCAGATGGATCAGAAGTCATGTGACAGCAGAGGCCATGTTTAATTATCATTCAACGAGTCAACCTCACACCAAAGTTACTCATTCCATCGTCTGGAGACATTTTCAGGAATCTACCCTAGCAACAAATTTTGATATACCTTGTTTTAAGCTCGAAGCACGGAAATAGCCGCAGTTACTAAATGTCACATAACGGTATCAAGATAAAAGAATAACACTCACCTCCACCGGAGATTTTGCTGAAAAATATTAAAACATAGTCGAGTTAATCTATTTGACATTATAGAGATACTACGAGCGCTCTGATTCCGTTTATTGCATAAGTAAACCCATAAAAAATTGAAAATTTCCGTGCTTGTTTTAAGTTTATTTTTTAAAAGCAGTCGACCACACTTTGTTTTTGGCTTACCGGCGTAGTAACGGCTCGTGATTTTCAAATTCTTGGAATGGATAATGCGGTCTGTTGTCTGTTGTTATGGTTACATTTTCTTCAAAGGACGTGGAGAAACCTGTATCACGCTGGTCCCACGTCAAGTGAAATTTTCGAAATTTTCCTGATCAGTTACTTTGCTCTAATTGGGGTGTGGATAATGGATAAAGCTACATTGTTGGAAGAACATCAAACGAGGAACGCACGGAAGAAGGAACGGGGGAAGGGGGTGTAGAACATGCTGCTGAGACCTAAAGGAGTAGCGACCATAAGAGCAGTAAATATCTATTGCTTACTCTGAAATATAACTGAAGACATCAAATGGAACTTTCTGTATCGCGTTGTTTTCCCTCGTCTTTCTAGCTATCCTGGATAGTTTGATGCTGTTGCTGTCACTTTGCTTGAAACCATACTAGATACCAATTGGAGTGAAAATGAAGGAAAAGAGAAAACACAGACAAAAAAGAAAATAGAAAAAAATTTTGGATACTGAGAGACTGATCACTATTCATGACCTGGGGGGCTGGAGGATTATTGTTGTGTCATAATATAATTTAGCTGATCCCCCTCTTAGGCTCTGGAAAAATTTACATTCCCCCCTCTCCGTTTCCCCCTAAAAACTACGTAAACTACGTAAACACACTCTCTCCCAGTATGCTCACACTAAGAACCAAACATGCGTAAACTGTGGGGAAATCATCGATATTTCCTGAAGTTATTTGGGTCAGTAGACCACTACTTTTGGAGATTTTATTATTTACGATAAACCACAATTTACAATTATACACATAAAACATCAGAGTATCATTTTCTAGCTCCGACAAGCATACGTACCCGGACAGGATCGATGATAAGGATTCTAGTGACGACATAAGTAATCTTCATTTTACCAATTGAGGGATCTTGAAACATGCCAGCAACCTACATGATTCACATAGAAACAAGGAATTTTTCTGTGAATCGAAAGATGCGCGACACTCCACTGAGAATGAGATGAAAGGAAACAAGCTGTATATTTAGGCAACACGCAAAGTAAGAATTCTACGCTGACGTCGAAATTAAGTGTCTAATTCTGGCCACCTTAATTCTCCTTCCTGCTTCGTTGCAAGTATAAATAAACCAAATATTATTTTATCTATCCTGTGCTGCGAAGCCATAACATACTTTGAAGCAAACTTCAAAATAACTCTCCTCATGTCCCCCCCTTCTAGAAAAATATGGAAAAAATGTTTTTTTGTCGATAAAACACAACGCACACACGTGAAAAGGTTGGACTTACCATATTGGCAAGAATCATAAAGTAGTTTTCCAGGCCCCCAGTAATTGCCTGTAAGTTTCCCTGGGAATATTTCTTCTGGAGAGATGGTGGGCACATCAGCGCCACTTTAAGTGTTTTAAATTTTGGAACAGGACTGTGGGACATTATAGATCTCTTCACCCGGCTATTTTCATCGTCTGAGGGATCTGAAAATTCAAAGTAGTTGCGATTTAAAATACGCCATTGATATTAGGGACCAGCCTTAGTTATCGCAGGAAGGAGATTATCGGGGGAATGTTTTGAGAGGGGATCACATGTCTTTCATACGAAAATAGAAGGGGATTAGTCCCAGAGTATAAAAGGGACCAGGGGAAAGTTGACCGATGAGGGAAGGGGGGTCAGTAGAATACTGCTACGAGATGGGGAATCACGTAAACTATATAGTGACATAACTAAAATCCTGTGGACCCCCTCCCCCCTTGCGACTATTTTCTCTCCTATACAGGCAGTAGCTATGCACCCCATAATGCCAAGAGTTTGTAGTTGGGTGTTCTAGCCGCGCACTCGCTGCTGTATATTTTGCGATATTTAGAGCAACAGCTGTATGCATGTGAACCACGCAACGGCGTTGTTTATAGTAAAATAGTTAGCATATTTGAACGCATATGATGAAAAGTTGGGTATATTTAATGGAGTCTAAAAACGTGTCAAGCACCTTGAGATACGCTTGATTCTGGAGCACATCTCTCTTAACCCTTTAACTCCTTAGAGCGTATGACATCTAGTTTCTACTCACAGTATCACCTTTGAATCAAATGTAAAGCTCAAGAGAACAAAGGAAATGATCACCAATTTAAGAAGCTCTCTACGGTCCCAAAACTCTTCATGTCAATACAGTATAAGGAGAACAGTAAGGAAAATGTAAATACTTATGTTAATATGTAAAGGGTCAAAAGGGAAAACAATATTCATCAGAGTTAAAAAAAAAAAAAAACCCTCGTTACCTTCTTTTACCATGTGCATGACATCATTTTTGAGGGAAATGACTTCTTCTTTTACAGATCTTCTGTGAACGAGATGAGGCGTTGCATCTTCACTGCTGGTCACGTGCTTAGCCAAATGCGCGGGAAGGGGATGGACGAAAAGCGTGTCACGTGATGTTTTCACGATCCCCGTCTGATGGAAAAAGAGTAACTTTAATTCATTCCATTTCAATTTTTCCTTTTGTGCTTTTATTTTACTTATTTTACTGAATCTAAACTTGTGTTCTTCTTAGTTCATCCGCCGTTCAGTTTCTGTCGGTAGTTATTCTTTACAGTTGCACATATTAAGAAATTAGCGTAATTCTGGCATTCTTTCTTTAATTCGATCGATTTTTCGTTAGTTTTTGCGTCATCATTACTTTGATTATTTCTCGTTTTCGCTTTTCAATTAAAGCCAGAGATAGCAAAGTAAAAAGAGAACCTCACCAGTCCACCATTGTTGCTGACGGCGACCGTGGATCTTGGATCGGAGGCGACATGTCCGAGATAGTATGTGTTTTCTGGTACTGGATATGACGTCATGGAACCGTCGCTGTTCTCACGGAGAACCTTGAGACCCGGAGATATTAAGTGTTCATTCCTCTTCAGTTTTAAATGAAGGTTTGATCCGAATGCATTCAGTTTAAAAGATGAAAAATCATCCAATCCAAGGCTACGTTTTGCTCTGGCGGGATGCAGGGAATATGACACAAACTCTCCTTCATCGTTGGATTGGTACGGATTTGAGACTTCATATTCAGGAACTGTGGAGGGATGAAAGATCGAAATTGTTTAAAAGTAACAGCCGGACGAAAAGACACACGCACCAAAGCACGTATAGACAGGCAGACAGACAGACAAACGGACAGACAGAGACCTATGAACTGACCGACAGACAGATATACAGACTGGCAGAGCAAGGCAGACACACAGACAAACAGACACAGACAAATAATAAGAAATGGTTGATGGTAATTTTGCTACCTATGTGGAGCGCAAACGCATGTGGTAAGATAAACGGAAGAACTTCGATAAAAATTGTCGAAAGACAAATATAAGTACAGGGCAAGAATATTATACTTAAACTTTAACCATACCAATAAAACTTTATTACTGAACTATTTTAGAAGTAAGGACTAATTGACTGACTGATTGAGTTATCAAATCAGTTCAATAGCCTAATATTTAGGTTGAAAGACATACAGACAGACAGGATGAGACGTAGAGTGGGTATGAAGGACAAACAGCTGTTTCCTACCTTTGTCATGATCGTCCACGTTGAAGTAATATTGAATCTCTCTCTTTGTCATGTGATGATGAAGTTTCTGTTGAAAAATCAAAAGAAATAAGTATGAAGACAATAACATGGAATTATCGTTTGACCATAACTGGTTCTCTTGTTTTTGTTTGTTTTTTCCTTCCCCATTTTTTACTGCTCTGCGGGATCATTGGCGTGCAAAAGAGTATCAAGAATTTTAATTCTTAATGTTCCTAATGAAATTAAAATTTCATCAGTCTTATCACTAACCACGCTGCCACCTTTAGTTATCACTCTTCGCACAACGCCCTTTTACATCGGGCGTAAAAACCACAGATTAAGTTTATACATATCAAAAGGTTGAAGTAACAGCTTGGAATATCAGCGATCGTCATAAAATTAATCTTTGGTATCAGTGTCCTAGAATATACCATACCGACGACTTGGAATCAGCAAATTATCAAGAAAACAGAACTAAATCAGAGGTAAGTGACGTCGGGGAGAGAGGAAAGGGGGGAAGAACCTGTAACGGACTTCAGCTAGTCCATGGGGATCAACAATACTCCCAGTGGCTTTATTCCACAGAAACCGGTATGACCTTAGGTAAGATGCATGGGCAACTGGGCCAGTAGGTTGACTATGTCAATGCTCGGCAATGTAAATAACTTGTTGAGAATAACTGAGTAAAACTTGCTGTATTCATTACCTCAGTTGGCCCGCCGCTTACGTCTGTGCATAGGAAAGAAAAAGTACAAATAGTATTTAGCTGAATGGGTTTTAAACCGATTAACAGGATTAGCCGTTATCAATAAGGTTACATCAACTTCTTCCTTGCTGCGTCTGTAAAATGGTGCTTTCACATTAGCAGCTAATGAGTGAAACTTTCCTGTGAATTGAGTTGGGACAACCACTCGCGCGTGCATGCTTTTCCTCGAGCTAAGTTCCTTGTGTCACATTTAAGTTGTGCGCGCGTTCGCTTCATCGGGTTGGCATTGTAGTCAATCCTTTTTCGCCGGAAAAGTATGTCTGAAAACTATTTTTTTAATGTGAAAACGTATTCTCACAAAATGACGGTGATACGCTGCTTCTTGTTGAGGAGAAATTATCCAAAAGTTTATGGTCGAATATCATGTTTCTAGGCTACAAACTCATTGGTAGATTTAAAAAGATGAGTGCCAGAATTGCATCATCAAATGCTTAAGTTTCATTTCTGTTATACAGACAACCCTTTCTTCTCTTAATGGAGAACTTCGCGTGATATTTATTAAAAAGCTTGAGAATAAAGCGTCACTTTTCCCGTTCTTTTGCGTGCGGAGGCAATCGCGGTACCAGTGGAATAAAACGTGAGGGCAAGTTTCCTGCGCTCATCTGAAAACGCTAAGAACGATGCCCGTTCAGGAGACATTGCATGACTGACCTCGTGTCAAATAGGCTAAGTAGTAAATTTACGATATATTTTAAACTAATTGCCGATGAGTTTTGTATTACAGAAGACACAGTCTAATTAATGTCAAACACGCTGATATACGTTGAAGGAAATGGTGAAACAAAGTTAATACTTACAAGTTCGAAGCAGTATAATCAGAGTGACGGTGCTCCATACTAAAAGGGAATCCATCTTGTGTCAAATAATGATAAAAAAAAATATCAAGCATTAATATCATCCTCACTTCTGCATATATGAGGAGGAGTAATGGTGCGAGACAAAAGGTTAGACATGTTGACTGATCTTAGGCGAGTCGTGTGAAGTTTAATGTTGACGTGTAAAGTTTTTGTGTCCTCATTGGCGGAAACTTTTATACAGCAAGGCTAATAATCGACGTCGCCCAGCTATTTAAGGCAGTTGTTTTCCTTAACTTCCTTGGAGAGATTTCATTATTTTGGCGATGTTTTTTTTTTCCACTTTGATAAAGCATTCTGGCTATTACGATCATAAAAGAAATAGCTGAAAATCGATAAACGACTGAGTAACCGTTTTACATAAAAAATTTTTTTCCTTTCTGTTTCGCAGCTGAAATTTATTTTCAGTAGGAATTACTTCGCGAAGATTTTACACGATCGCAGTGCGATAAGCTCTGATACTATAAAAAAAAATGTGTTCTTTCCCAACGGTTGCACGTTTTGTCAAACAAGTAGAAAAGTAAGAAATTTCAATTTAGAATTTTTTAGGAGACGTTTCAACAATATTTATTGGAAATTTCCCGGGAGTTCAGTTTAAATTCGCTTCTTTGAACTTTTTTTTCCTAACAAAGCCTGTTCTTTCCACGGGACAAAGATAAGATATTCAGAAAATGAAATAATGAAGGATGACAAAGAAAACAGTCAATAGAAAAGATGTCTAGCCTTTGTTCTGAGTTCCACAGCTAATAAAGTAAATGTCGTGCTGTCAGTAACACGACGTGAATACGACAAGAATTGATAACAATGAGAGTTGGATGCAGATTTTGTACGCACAAAGAGTGACTTTTTGTATTCATTACCTTCGCTGGGATTTTCAAGTTAAATCTGCTTGGCATAGAAAGCTGCTTCACCAACCTTTAGCTTACTAAGTACGATGTTCTCTTTCCAAAAGAATGGAACAAAGTAATTTTAAGGATCTTATCTCTTATATTGAGCTTTCTGTTCCGGTAATGATGTTTGTTTTACGTGGCTGTTGAAATTTGAAACGGCTTATGTCAAGTTTCGAGTTAATCGGATCAGTTTAAGATCAAGCTTATCCAGAAATAAAGTAGAACAAATTAAACGGAGTTTGAGAGAAAATTTGGGGCGTTATCTCTTTGCCTTTAGGGAAAAAAGGTGAAATAATATTAATTTAGGGCTTTACATCTGCAAAGCAAACATATTTAGCGTTGGCTATGTTCCGGCTGTTAGTAAAACAAAACGTTATTTGATAATTGAACAACTGAGATTTACTAGGGAACATTTAAAAGGTCAACAAGGAAGAAAAGGCTTGATTATAACAATTCAAAGCTACAGTATAAATGTTGAAGCAGTTTATCTTTGTTTCCAAAATCAGGCATATCAACCCCGCGGGAGATATTTCTTTAAAACGTGACTTTTTTAGGTTCTCACCTGACTTTTTTCATCTTTTGAGAAAAGTTCCGAAATAAGAAACATTGCTTTCTTTACTACTTGTCTTCATTGAGCTCAATCCATGTCACAGTTTTTCGTTTGGTTTTGTTTTTTTTCGGCAAATTCCAAGAGGAAACTGCTATAGGTCTTACAATAGGGACGCTTACATAAAAAGCTACAAAGAAGGTTTTCTTTACAGAATGTCCAAATAGACGAACAAAAATTAATAACTAAGAAAAACAAAGCACAGTTTTGTTGCATACACTGTACGCCTTCAAACAGCGCCGGACGGAAATAATTGCAGACATTGGTAAATATTGAGAAGAGTATTTTAGACACATTTGTGTCATATTCTTGGTGAGTTTTGAAATGTATTTTGAAAAAATTAGAGAGTTCATACCATACCAGCTATCAGATGTCCAGCTTTCCAATTCTCGTTGTTGAGAGAAACAGGAGGTTTACAGACCTCAGGAAAAGTAATGATGGATAAGTATTTCGAATTTTGTTTGGCGTGCTATAAGTACCCTGACCTTATAGGTCTCGTGGCATTGAATTACGTGATAGTGGGCTCATTTGCACATGGAACGAGGCGCGAATTTCTCACGCTAGCTCAAACTTGAACGGAAATTGTCGTATCATCTGTGATATATTTGATATCAGATGATCCTCAGTTTCCGCGGGTTAAAAGCTAAATTATTGTATTCACGACTCTTTATTAACACCCCACTTAATATATATACACAATGATTGCTTTCTAGCTGAAAACCCACGCTTAGTCAAGAGAGGTAAATAAGGAGAACGATATTCAGAATTTACTCTTACAGAACACGGCCGAACGTAAATAAGCCTTGAGTAAAATCAGAGGGTTTACGAAAACTCAGGCTGAAACCTCTGAGATGTACAATAGCGAATTATTTCCAGAGAAATATCATTGAACTGTTATCAGCATCTTTCCTGATAGAATAAAAAAGTGTGTGGTGATACGAAAGATTTAAACAAATCTTGATTGTTTTTTCCATTAGTGCCGGTTTCCAATTTGATGAACCCTTTTCTTTTCCTTTCCTCTAAAATGAAGAGACCTACACAAACGAAACCTTGGAACACACCTTAAATAATACCCCCATAGACACAAAGTTCTCCACTTTCACTACACAAAAAAGAACAGTTTACTTCTTTACAGAGAAAACGAATTAAGTGATTGTGATACCGATTGTCATCACATGGTGACATGTATGCACACAAGCTTTCAGTTGAAACTGTGCGTGATGACTCTTGCTTCGTCTGCTTTTTACACTGTCAACTGAATTGTTCTTTTGATTATATATCAATCTTCGACTTCTTCCACCCCAGGTATTTTAAGTAACCCTGAAAGAATATTCTCTTCTCTGACCCCGCCCTAAACAGCAGGCAACGGATAAATTTATCTTGTTTAAGTGCTACCAAAAGTGATCCTTAATGGATCTCATCGTGCCTTTTTTCTCAGTTTCTTAAACAATTTTCTACGCCACAGAAAAAATTTTTTGGCATGAAACTTTTGATAAAAAACAACGCTTGCCACAAAATTACTCTACACAAAGCATTTCTCATAGCTCAATGTTTCAAAATCTTCAGTCCTATATGTCTCTGATACGTGGAAGGTCACAAATGAACAATTACGGTAAAAAAATCATTATTCCCATCCCCAACATGGACAAGAATAGTACAGAAAAGTAGTCACTTCAATTTGACATTTTGACCGAATGCCAAGAGGTAATGCATGTAAAAAGAAAAGTGCACTAGTGTCTATGATACATGATTCTATCACAATGATTAAAAAAACAAACATTGTTTGTACTTCAGTATCTTCTCTGTGAAGCTGAAAATCTCCGAAAAGCCGGAAATGGTCTTAAAAGATAGGAATAGAATGATGAACCTTATTACGCATGCCTCACCAAAAAAAAAGGAGGGCGCAAAGAAGGAGAAAAGAAAATTTCTGTCATCGGGACGTAAAGAACTGCACGCAATATTTCATGCACGGAATAAAGTGTAGTTGCAGCGCAAATAAACTCAAGTCCATATTGCAGTGAAGTGGGGATAAAATTAAATCCACGTCTTGGCAGTATAAGGTTTTTGCTCTGCTTAAAAAGCTTTTCCTCTCTTTTCTTCTGAATGTTTTTTTGTTTATATGTTTGTTTTTTTCGCTTTTGTTTGTTTTCTAGTGCGAAAAGTTGCGTTTCGGAAAATTGGATGCGGAATCAATGGAGAGGAAAAGGTTTCTTTTCGCTCTTCTTCAGCCGAGTCTAATCTAATATCGTTTTCAAAACTCGATAAAAGAAGGTTATGCTTTCACAGCTAACATCACATACTTTGCACACGTTGTTTTTATTGTTTGGTTTAAACAGTTACACCCCTTTTGTGTCTTGGATATTTTAGCTTCAATTTTTCAAATCATAAAGTTCACGTTATCCCGACAACAAGGGTATTTGATTCTTCTTCGAACTCGAATACGTGTTTAAACTGACACCTCACGCAAAAAAAAAAAAAAGCCGTGACAATCACGATTTTCCCGCGATCAAAAGACTCTCTGTAGTTATAAAACGGTGAGTCAAACATGGCGCATGCCACTTAAAAAATCTTACGAAATATGTTTAAAAAGTCCAAGATCCTACGTGTGAAAGACCTCAAATGGTCAGTTATGCTCAAATATCATTATTCCGGACCCCCAACATTTTAAATGAACACCGAATTTTCAATTTAATTTTGATATTATAATTGAATTCTGAGAGGGCATGCAGGTCAAACGAAACGTGCAGTGGTATGCATGTTATCAAATTCCGCCACAGCTGCAGTGATCAAAAATAAAATAAAATAAATAAATAACGCGAATTCGCAGCTTCTCTGTCAACCCGAAATTCTCCAAAAAGCCGCAAATGCTTTCAAAAGATAGAAAAAAAAATATGATAAACCCTACTATGCATGTCTCGACAAAAAAAAAATAATAATAATGGGGCAAAGATGGAAAAAAAGCTAGAAAATCCGTCTCATTGGGTCTGTAAGCATTGCTCGCGATGTTTTAGGGAATGAAATGTAATTTCGTGAACAATTTACTTTCCATATTGAGGTAACGGTCGGAATTTGTCACAGAAGTGGTATTCCTTTTATTTTCTCCGCATACTTGTCGTTGTGTCTTTTTTTCTTCTTTCTTTTCTCGGAATGTTTACTCGTTTATTTATTTGTTGTTTGTTCGTTTTGTAATGATGAAAGTGGCTTTTCGGAAAACTGGACGCGGAAGAAACGGAGAGGCAAAGTTCCTTTTCGCTACTCTTCGCTCGAGAACAGTCTCCTAACGTAAAAGGGGTCCTTGATCGCACATATTGCATGAAAGAGTTCGAACAATTCTCGCGTATGGTAGCCAATTATAACAGCGATGTGTCGATTTATGTGTCGTGGCGCGGAAAATTTGGTCTCAATATTTCAAGTCACACCTTACACACCAGCAATTACAAAAGTATACTGTAAGCTATTTCTACAGAGAACACGAAATCTTGTTTAAATTGATAAATCCGCGCAGAAAAGCTAAATTATTTTTAGAGTACAGTTGAGTATCTCACGGAATCGGACCCCTGGGAAGCGGTGATGACAAGGAAACATCCAGTCTTATTTACGTTCCCAAAAAACCTCGGGTTGCTCGCTCGAATTTAAAACGTGTGATGATCAATAGGTTTCTCAACGTTCTTGACTGGACGGAAGGAAGCGTAATTCTTTATCCTTAGTCAAATGTTAAATGTTGTCAAACGATATTTACAAGGGACTTCAGCTTTTAAAAGCAACACAGCATAGAGATTTCATGTTCCTTAGCGACAAAGTATGCTTTTGGGTTTTTAAAAGCTAGGTATTTCTTTTTTCTCAGACCTACCGTTATTGCGTTTTCTTGTTAATGAATACCAGCTGTAGTGCCTTCTTCATGAAGCTCTTTTGACTGTCCTTGTATTGTATGATAGTCGTCTATACATAATTACAATGTCACAGAAATTTGATACAAGTTAGTGATGACGATTGAGTGTGAAAAATGAGGTTTCCCGTTGTTGCGAATTGTAAACTTTGACAGCGGATATGACAGAAATTTAATATTAAAGTATAATGATTGTGACGTGTGTTTGAAAAGAACGTGACTTCTCTCGGTCACGAACGTGAACTTAGATGCATATTCCGGCTGAATCTCTCTGAGATGTTACGAAAGTGCCGGAAGAACAGAGTCATACAATGCTAGAGTGTTAAGTATGATAATAATTCAGTTACTCGCGGTAAGTATTGTTATAAACGTGCCGTTCAAGATACCTGAAAAAATGTAATTCCATACCAATGTAATGCCTTCAAAAGGGAAATTGTACCCTAAACTATAGAGAACATTATTCATCTCCTCAGGAGATTTCGAGCTCTAGTGTGAAACTGACGAACATCCCTGTAAGAAAAGAGTTCCTAAACCAAAGAAGACAAATCTGGGATTAGCCAGTTCATTTGACCTTGACAAAAACCGTTAACGTCTCATTATAAATAATCTGCTTGAGAGCATAATCTGTGATGTGTATCACGAAGCATGACAACGAGAAATTCCGTCGTTCTTTTTTCTTCATTCTTATTTCCTGAAAGCGTTTACAAGCTTTTAACATTTCGAATCCTCCTCTCTACTGCTCTACTGATGCGATTTTTGCTCTCTGAGCGTGCATTGTGGCGTTGGTATCTGTGTCCGGAGGATATTTGTTTATGAAGCTAATTTAATGAAGGCTAAACGGTATACTTACATTCCAACCTAGTAATGGTAACGAGTCCTCTGTAGGTTGGCGATAGAGCATCGGAACCATGCGAAATTGAACGTCTTTTAGGGTTCAATTCCTCTCAGGTGACTTAGACGTGATCGTTAAAAAAATCGTATTACCGCACCCTCATAAAATTACCATCTTCCTTACTCTTGCTCTGTGCTGAAAAACCAGTGAGCGCGCAAAGGGTGAAGAGATTAGGCAGGAGGTTGTCGCGATACAAGTTAGTAAATAGTTGATCTTCTCAAATTAACCGCAACCAAATTTAGTAATCGCAGAAAAAGAAAAAGCCGAAAAAATGTATCCAGCGGGATTGAATTGCTACTTTCAAATGAACTACGATGTCGTATTTTTCATTGGAGCGAGGCAATCTTTTTTCTACTTGCTTTGCTTCCATCAAATGGCTTCTAAGCTAAACTAGATTCTTCTTTCAATAACAAAGGAAACGTGACTTTCTACAAAATTCTTTCCCTGCGATGACCTTTCTTCCTGTGAAGTTGTTAAGAACAATTCATTTCTTATTGTCCGCTTGTTAACGCATATTTCATTTCATATATCTCTTGACCTGATTGTGCTCTACACTGGCGAAGTTAAATCGCAAACATTCTGTTGCACTGAGTCTTAGAATTTACTACACAGCAATAGTTTTGTGAACTAAAAGCTCATCAGTTGCATGAAAATATGATAAGAACTTCACATCCCAGATTCACATGTCCGTAAAAAAGCACGTGCGGTTGGTAACGCTCAGAGAAAATCAATCGATGACATCAACAACATCGTTATATTGGTGACAAATAAATAGTATTTTTTGGTAAATGCCGTGTGTTATTAAATTTAGCGAATTAAATGTTTTAGCAGCAGACGATTACTTCATCGTAAATTAAAGGAACTCAACTATATGTTTTATTTTTAAAAGTACACTCGGCCGGATACGGATACGGAGTTTGTTTGGGTAGCCTGTGGTTATGTTTGGCAATGTAACTGAAACTGTTGAAGTCCACATTGAAGGCATAACTTGAACCCATAATTCTTCAAGTCAATATACACGGGCGCTGAACCGTTCATCTTCTGCTGCTGATACTTTTTAAGCGCAAATGAGGGGAAAGCTTGTCATGTTCAAACGCAACGATAAGGACGACGGGAAGGGTTCCTGCTTATCTCTCCCGCGCTCCTCCTTATATAAAGATGAGATGACTGGCGCCGGCATGGCTTGGGACGAGTCAGACCCAGGCGGCCGCGTATCGGAACATAGCTAATATGGGTCAAATTGAAGATGACGTTTTCGCATTGATAACAAAGGTTTTTTTTATCATTATTGTTGTCATGCAATTGAAAGGTTTCAATTGAGATATGATGAAAAGAAATGCTTTTTGGTCGTGCAAACCCTCGCTTGAAGTGCCTATGACATATTTAGCTTATCATATGTACATGTACAAACCAATTCGAAAGAAGAAAAGTTTCAGAAATCTTAAAACTCGGTTTTTTCAGGCCCTAAAGTACTCTTATTTTGTCTCAAAAGTGTCCCGTAGACCAATAACGAATTAGCGGGTGATGACGTAGAAAACTGTGAAAACTCTCAATTGACTTTTGTATCATTCAGCGTTGAAATGCTCTTGAAATAATATCCGACAGCGATCTATACCTACCTTCAGCAAGCTCTACCGAGAGTTGTGATACATCGTACTCAAAAAGTAGCGAAGGCAGAACCGTATGCATCAAACGAAGATTTCGACGAAGACTGACCAAGATTAGAAAAAAAAATTCCCGTTACTGAATGTTTAGTTTGCTGCGTTTGTGTTTTGTTTTCTATGGAAAAATCTATGTTAAGAATGGGTAGCTGTGTTCATTCCTGTTGCCATAACATGCATCGACTTTCACTCAGCACTTGGATTCGCCGCCATCTAATTCAATATGCCTGTGTCCGCCGGAGGTTTCGCACTGTTCAAGCAACAGGATATCGGTCAGCTCAGGAAAAGGCTTGAACTTCATTACAAATGATGTATTTTTGTTATTAAAATACGATGGAACTACAATTGGTAGGATTTTTATACGATAAGAAAAGCGCAGTATGACAAGGAATATGAGTACCTCTCAAGCGCGTGAAATAAACAACAATAAGGAGCTCACCATTTTTTCGCTTGCGAAATGTCAGCTGGAAGGAATGTTGAACAATCGTGTACGGTGTGGGAACAAGCCCCTTGATCAGCATTCTTTTTAGCTGAATTCATTGGTTCTCTTCTCTTGATTTGACCAGTGGTATGCGTTCGTAACAGGCATCTTCGAAGCCGCTACGGAGCATAAGGCCGACGACATTGAAGAGTAAATCTCCACGATGTCGACGATCAAAACGCGTCCATTTTGGCCATACAGCTAGATCCTTTGGAAAGTAGTGTATAGCAATACCTGTTATATGTGCATTACCCTTGTAGCTAACATCATTTGGCGCTCCGGCCTCGTAATACTTTCGTTCTTTCTTCTAGATTTCTCCTTTCTCCACCATAGTCAGCGGTGTGTCTTCACAGTTTTGTACGTCACAGCTATGTAACATGATCGTTTTGGCCGCGCGCTAAATGGGAACGCTTTTTGGCTGCCAAATCGTACTTTCAATACACAAAAAAATGGCGGAGAACTCGCTAGGCGCTAAGGTCGATCATTTCTAATTTTAAATACAGCTATTAACCAGAAAATGCAAAAGAAAATCTCGAGTCAAAGGCACTTTAACACTAAGAGCTTTCAGTACGAAGCGATTTTAAAAACGTTCATTCGTGAAAAACACAGAATGTTAGTCTGGTCCGTAACGCCTCGGATGGATGGTCAGTTGCTATGCATTTTGTAAGAATTTTAAAAGATTACTGTCGCAACACTTAGTGAAATTTTCTGTCTCCTCCCAAAATTTGGTTATGAAATCCCAAAATAAAAGCGATACCCATGTCCTTAGAGATGAGACAACACCGTATTTGAACCGAAAAGGCATAATTGTGGCAGGGGTAACTTTCACTTCTGAATGATTTTGAATTAAACTTGCCGAACGTCCTCTACATGCAAATAAGCGCATGAACATAACATCCGACAATATGAAATTTGAGACCTTTTGAACATCCCTTACCTTGGCTATGGAAAACGTCACCAAATTCTCAAGTGACTCACATCACAAACAGCAATCCACTTCTCTTGTAACCGTTTATCTTCATGAAGCATTGACGATTGGAGGACGACAATCGACCTCTCTCGTGCATTCAAGAAAAAAATGTTGTCCTTACATACTGCCTCCAGATATGTTTTGCGATTTGGTCACTTATTTGCTTCATATCCGCTTTTCGGAAGTACCTTTGTTTTGAAAACCTGGCAAGAAATGTCTTAGATGTCAATTTTCGACCAATGAGCTGCTCTAATATTGTTTCGACGATTTTCATTGTCAATGATCCACTCCAAAATTAATATTGAAAGTAATATTCGAGATGCTTTAAGGTTTTTTTACAGATTCCTTCTTGGCCGAAATTTTTCTCAGCATTAAGTTTTGTCCAGTCTTGATTTCATAGCAACAGACTGCAAGCTGAAAATCGCCTTTAATCGTTCAAAAACGAACAATTTTTAAAAGCATATTGTTAGGAGGTGTTGGAGATATTGATTAGGCCTTTATTTTAAAGAGTTCATCATAAATGTTTCAGTTTACCAATATACAGACCAAACATTTTCGTATGCAAATTTGCACGTCTCAGTTTTGAAACTAGGCTCCTAAGGTCTCTAGGCGGTTTTCTACTCACACAATTTGAACCTTTGAATACTACTGTCTCTAGATTTCAAAGTGCTGAAATAACTCTTTCTCTCGAGTTCCTTACGTAAACAAACCTGTAGTAATAATGTAATCAATACTGTGATCCAGACATAAACATCACCGATAGCTGTGCATGTTGAGAACGATACTGTAGGCGTTTATATTGGTAAGAAAAGTTAGAGTGCCGAGGTGAAAATAAATTGTTTCTTTTTTTACGTTTTTTTCCTTTTTTTCTGAGTGTGAGACTATGGTACAAACCGTGCGATGACAAAAAAAAACCCTGCTCTTGCCTTTTTCGATGCAAAAATGATATATCATAAGGAAGGTATTCAAACACAGATTTACCTTCATCCAGAAAACACTTTCTTCAGCTTTTATGGAAAATAATTTTCTGTTACCTATACATATGGTTTCTTACCTGGCAACAGTCTACCACGTACTGTATTCTATCATGATGTATGTTTCCTTGTATTTCACTCTTTGCTATTAACTACAGTAATCAGAACTAATTTGTTATCAGTAATTCTACCTTTAAATATGAAATACGCTCAAGATGGCTGCCCTAATATTAACCAGTGTTCATAGAGGTGGTGCATAAACTTCCTGGGAGAGCACAGTCAACAGCTTGCGACACTCTGCCGCATCTGGTCGATTGTGGGGTTTTCCATCCCAGCAACGCTGCATTAGATCTTGCCAGCCAGTTGGAGGCTTGATCGCGTCTTGTACATATGAAGGTCTTGCACCCTCTTGGTCCGACACATGTTCCGCTTTTTCAAGGAGGGCTCTCTTACCATACCACATCTCCCAAAGCATTATACCAAAGCTGTATATGTCAGCCTTAAGCTTGTTATCGTACTCTTCGCAAAAGATCACTTCGGAGGCAAGATAGACATCGGTTTCCATTGTCTTAGTCTCTTCAGAAAGGCGAAAACCAGAGACCTTAACGACATTTCTTTCTGAAAGCTATGAAAAGAGGTAAATAATGAGCAAAGTTGTTATAAACATAAAAATATTTTCGGGCCTTTTAGGAGCTACAAGGTCTCTTCTGCAAAATTGACTGGAAGCACTCGCAGTTCGTCACTCGATACCGCGAACTGTTGATTAAAGAGTACTTAAGCGGAATTTAACAACAATTACATTTAATTTGTAAGTCTTAATTATTTGACTGACGTATTAGATAATTCATGATGAACTGACCCTCACAAGCAGACTCAAATCGAAGCAACTGTAGGAATTAAATTCAGACTTATTTGAAACTCACCAAAATTTTCTCCAGCTTGAGTCTGCGGTGAACAATGCCCTGGTTGTGCATGAACTCTATGGCAGCAGCTATGTCCTTTGCCCAGCACAGTACATTTTTCTTAGTGGAGGTTTTTTCAGAAGATCCAGGAATATTTTCAGGATTCTGAAAAATATGATTCATCAAGTTTTCCTCGCAAAATTCCAAAATATGGATCACCCGCAATCGATCGTCTTCCTTCAGTAATGCTGTCCCAAAGAACTTGACAATAAAGGGAGAGCCAAGCTTCCTACAAAAGATATAACTGCATTGACCTTTATTCAAAATCGATAGGATCTCAAAGCACCCGAATATTTCGGCGTTTTTCAACTGCTATGTTATCATACCGATCAAACTAAAGTATCTAATTTTCTATAGTTGTCAAATCCCATTAAATTATTTTTTAGACAGCCCTCTTTTATGTATTAACTGCAGCTATATCAGAATTTTCATTCGATACTCAGAGTAACTAACCTCAGTGTTTCTGTCTTAGAAAGGAAGCCAATCGCGGTGGATTCGTTTAGTTCTTCACTCCATAATTTCACAGCCACCTGTGTTGGTTCGCTCTGTCCAGCTAACCTGAATGTTCCTCGATAAACTGAAGCGAATTCTCCATTTCCGAGAAGTGAAGTTGGATCGTCTCGATCCCACTCCAAGTCATTACGACTTAATTCCATTCTCTGTAATTCTTTAATGAAAAAGAGGGCCATCTTTTCCTTTTCTCTAACACTCATCTCTTCTAAAGGGCCATATAATTCTTTTATTTCCTTCTCAGAGCGAATCTCATCTCTGAGCTGCTGGCATAGTATTTTGTCAGCGACTATGAGCTCGCGCAAACAAGATGATACTTTCGTTAGGTAAACCTTAACATCTTGGAGCTCCTTCTCCACGAACAACCAAAGCTGTTGCTCTTGAGCCACACTGCGAAGGTATTCACGGGAGGCTTGCACGATAAAGCTCTGTTTGTCTTTTTCGTATTTTCTCGAACGTTTCCAATTTGTTACTTTCTCTTTAAGTCTCCTAATACCCATGAATGGGACGCTGCCAACTAAAACTGCCAGGCCGACTGGAACCCAAATTGGACTTGTCAGCCCGATCATAACTTTTTGGGCCGCGCTGAAGTCATTTGAAGACTGGCAAGTATGTGATCCACTAGCACCAGCATCCGTGATGACGGAGTTTTTTGGGTATCGGAGAGGTAGTAGACTGTTAGTTTTATCAAATCGCTGGTGGGACAATTGGACCAGAGATCTGCAAGAGTAGGATAAAATTTGGTTTTTTTCTTCCCACGCGGTAATCGTGGTCTGAAGTCGCTTCATAAATGCATCTTGGATAAGATGTTCGGTCACCTCCCAACTTTCTCCAGCGTGTGGAATATCATCAAGCGTCCACGAGGTAAATTGTTCCATAACTTCGCAAGACTGGAGGTGGTTGGACAGTACCCTAACGGCGTCGTCTGCCAGTTTTCTGAAATACTCTTGCAACTCGTATTCAATTGAGCACAGGCGCATCTCAACGTCACGAAGGCGTTCAAAATGTGAAGAGACGATTTTACGATCGGTGGAAGGGCAATGATCCATGACCATTTTCATGTGGTAGGCCATACGTGAAATGGCTAAGTCAAGCCACCTGATCATGAGAGATGAAAGTATACAGACTACAAGTTCATTTTTCACCAAAATGTTTATTGAACTTATTCTTTATCATTCCATGTGGGCGAAACTTCAAGATATAAACAAGTCTGATAACAAACTAGGAAGAAATTCATTGCTAAATTCATGGCGATTTTGAGCGTATCTAGGCGTTAAGGAATTCGGCTTTTACCCAAAGTTTCCCCATAAAGCACTTTGTAGTAGCCACATAGAGAAGTAAACCCCACAATTTTCTATGCCTTTGCGTATGTGTAAATTATAATTTTCACTGTGCACATGAGTGAACCTCATTAAATCAAAACAAGTGGGCAACATAACTTGGTCTTTTTAATAAGATAGGAATGCATTTAAAATAGTGCATCACTTAAGGTGTAAATTGGGGCCACAATAACCCCACGTAGCTTTTTAAGATCCTCCATAGTCATAACAGAACGTACCTCCACTGCATTTGCAGCGTTTCTTTATTGCTTTGCAAGGCGGTGGATTTAACAGCATCCATCAGCGACGCAAACTCCGCGACGGCTGTGTCATCGTTTGTGGCGTAAGGCGATGAAATGAAAGTGGTTTGGGAATCTGGGTCTAATTCAGGCCAATATTCTCTGAGTTGAGATAATTGGTGCCAATTGTTACATAGGAAAAGAGGAAAAATTGAGGAGGTTTCCAGATGGTCAAGACATAATCTTCTGCATTGTTTGATTGTTTCTTGCATCTAAGGACAAACGTGCACATGGAGTTGAAAATTCCTTCGCGGTAACTATAATAATTCTTATAATAATAATCATAATAATGATAATAAAACATATTTATAATCCCTGCTATGGAACAGTTCGGGTGCGTGAACTCCACTTGTCCATACAGCTTACCCTTTGTTGCTGTGCTGAACTGTCAATAACGCAGAGAACTGCGAAAGCTTCAGAAAGGTACGCCTTTACTTTCTCCTCCACGATGCATGATTTTTCAAATCCTGGACTGTCAACTACAACGATTCTTTCCTAGTAGACATAACGATGAGAAGTAAGTGAATCTTAAAACAGGTTAAATTACTCTTTTTTAATGAGTATTTTTTGTAATTGTTGCTGTTGAAACATTTATAGACGTTTTTCTGATCAAGAAATCAAGCTACATCAATGCTCCTAAAGGGTTAGATTGCGAACGAAAACGATATATGTTAGGTGTCAAAGCTAATCCGTTCATCAAAATTATATTGCAAGACCTAATTTGCCAAGAATATTGCTAGATGGAAGCTTTTAGCAACCCTCAGCTCACAATTTACAATTCATGCCCTTAGCTTGCTAATCACCAACCTTAAGTAAGTTGTTTGGCCAAAAGATCTCAATCTTATCAAAAACTGAACCTTGGAGATCTTCATTTTGGAAAAATGAGGAGATTTTTTGAAGAAAGATTTGCTGAGAGTTCACAGCCATCTCGCTAAGTTGGATAGTCTTTGAGAAAAGGCCTGTTTTAGGATCTGCGTCTTTATAGTGCACTACCAGCCCAGGGGTTTTTCCATATCTTAGTTCGCAGATAATGGAAGAAGTGGTAAGAAAGGAGTCAGGGAGGAGTTGTTCCCCAAGAATCAGACTCAGCAACGTGCTTTTTTCCGAATCTCTTTCACCTGTTGAGAAAAATCACTGGGTTTTAACTTGTCAATTTCTCATGACCATGAATGACAAGAATCTAGACGTTAAAGGGAAACTGCCTTGAGCCCTGTCCGTCTAAAGACAATAGAAGCGTTATTATGACAAAATAGTAAAAAAACTACTTTACTAAGGCGAAAAGTCTGGAAACATGGCAGCCACTTTGACTTATCTCTCGCACATAAAAGGGATGATACACATGATGAAAAATGTTCGTCATGAGTTTTTATTAGTTTAAGAAATCACAGTATATACATTTCTGAAAGAGAAGATGTTTTGGGATCAAGATGAATTAATTCAATTGAAACAAGAAAACAACAACAACCAAAACAACAACAATAATGTGCAGCGTTTCTGTCTTTCGAGTTTATAGCGTCGGCGTCGTAGCCCTACGACATAAATCGTTTATCACTCGAGAAAAGCAAATTTCTCAAAAACTCATGACAAGGTATGACCACATGCGGAGGATTTGACTTCCCAGTGGAATCAGTCTGAAAGTTGCTCTCTTGGCCAGGTGGGTTGAGCAAACCTCTTACAACGAATGAGGAGACGAGTATGAAAAAAGCTGCGTGACGTCTGTCAACATGCGTTAGTGCAAGGCCCCTGTTTCTTATGTGTATATAAAAATTAAGTTTCACACGACTTACTGCACGATGAGTCACACTTCGTAGTGAGCCGAGGAAATTCATTCCACAGATTAAACGCGATTAACTTCAAAATATTGGCCATGACGGATACGAAGGGATAGTTAAAACGGAGAATATATTGCAATTAAAAGTGAAGTCTGGCAGACATTAACATGAAACTGTGCAACACCTGTTGTGGCCGTCAAGTAGCTTGCGTCCCGTCTCTTGCTACTCCTTTGCAAGTTAATGGCGTAGTCCTGTGGCGGACAATCTGCCTGAGAGCGAATGGAGCAGCTGGCAGGAAACTCAAGTTACGACGCACGCACGTGCTTCAACCTCTACGTAATTATGAGCTTTCTGAATTTTTTTCAGCAACCAACCTGAAACTAGCACTACGTATTCCACTCTCTCTAATCTCTGTTTGTGGTAGGCCAATTGGTTCTTGAGATTTTTGAATCCCAGCTCCAGAAGAGCGTAGTCCTCGTCACTCATCCTATTTAGACATGCCTCTGTGCACACGCATGATTCTAGCAAGAGCGTTTGTCTTCTCTCGACTTCTTCCCTGGCCTCTGTCAACGTTGAAAAGGCCTGATAAGTGGAGCATGGATAGATTACATCGCTTTGCAAAAAAATATCGACACGACAATATAACTTACTAGACTTGCTATACTATTTATCTATGTCGGTCACTCAATACTAGACAGGATTTACTTCAATGAGGTGGTTTCTTTGGAATCAGCCCATTTCGGCGTGTTGACTGATCAAGCTAGCGTAGGCTCGGGTACTCTTCCTTGTGTGCACATTTCATTCTATAGTCGGACCTGTATTTAGCAGTCGCCCATGGAGAATGGCGGGGTAACCGTTGAATACAGGCTGACCAGAAAATGACTTGCGAGATGTTCGTGCGAAATATTTTTATTAAGCTCATTAAGCCGTACCGTATTAAGTGGTCACCCTGTATTAAGCGGTTGTAAATTCCCCTTAAACGCTGTAACGTTAGAATTATCTCTCTTCTTTGGACTTTTAATAAAGTTTTGACTTTATTGACATACTCGAGTTTAGATTTGAGTTCTACTTCGACTTGGAATTAATTATTCAAGTTGAACTACAATTTACGACGTAAACATACGCATAAAAATGCACTCAGAACTGAAATTTTAAAACAAAGTAGATTCTGCTTTACAACAGAAAAGGACAACACAAAGGAAACTGTCATCTTTATCAAGCGAGATCACCCATCAGTACTTGAATGTTAGAGGATATCGATGGGCCATTGGTTTTTAATAGAATATCAACCTCCACCAGCGAAACATTGAAATTCTTCCCATCAAAGAAGCGGAAACTATCAGAGGAATTTACTTGAAAGAGTAGGGCTGTAATTTCCAATATACAGTGATAACTAGCGCGGATGAGAGTCGTGATAAATTTGTCAACAGCCTATCATCATAGCTCTAAATTGGAGTATGAGCCCAGGTCCGACTGAAACTCGTTGAAGAAATTCTTCTTTACAAATTTGACGAAGGATGACAAACAAAATGCAAGCTTAACATACTAAACATTTTCGCTTCCTTCGACACGAGCTCTGAATACAATTTAGGTTATGTCCATTGAACCGTGCTAGTCTGATTATCAGGTTTTTCCATCCAAGGTGATTTCGTTTTGTGATATACGCATGAAATAACGAAATGATAAATGTTGAACAGGGAGCTCTAGCAGTGTAATTAAGAAGCTTTAAATCTGGAGTAAATGTTTGGTTTGACAATCAGTCCACAACCAATAAAGTTATTGGTGTTCATTGGTTTCCCTTTGGTTCGCTGTTACGTACAGTGTCTGTGAATAAACCAATTTTTAACCTAGACATATGGAATGCCGGCCACAAGACAGCTTGTCGATAATTTCGGACGATAACTTCACCATTTCTCATTGCCATAAGCCCGGTATTTAAGGCTATCAGTTCTTGATAATTCAGTGACAGTATGGCAATGTCAGTGCAACCTGAGTTTGAATCAATACGCAGCCATAGATGTTTCATTCTTACCTTCTCTGATATTCCGAGTGCCTTTTTGGCCCTCTGTTTCATCTGGTCTAACGTCTGCAGCCCTCTTGACGATAAACCTCGAGACTTCGTTAACTCGGACATGAGCTCAATATCGTCGATTTCATCAATGTCTATCGACGCACTCATGCTGTTTACGCTCTCTAAGATGTCTCGAACAATGACCAGCTTCAAGAAGAGAGAGAAGAAAGTAACTATACACCTCTTAGGTAACGTTCTGTTGAGCTGTTAATCACATACGGGGTTTATATTTACACCACTGCAGCTTTACCTTGGACTTACATTGTTTCGGTTGAGTGAAAGCGGTTGTTATCGTTGAACCTTCTAGACTGTTCTCTGATGAGAAACAAATCCTTTTCTAACAAATCAGGCCGCAGTACTGATATGGATAGATTAACTGATTTCCAATTAGTGATTCCTATCGCGAATATTACTTTTCCTCAGCTCTCAAAACTGTGTTATTTCTTTTCAAGATGAATCTGTCAGCAACAGCTGTGGACGAGATCTACGACATCGCAGTAATGGTTCAAACAATAGCGTGTTTAGGAGTTTCGCATGAAGGCTTAAAAACATTGGACAACATGAAAAGGGTATTGAAACAGAAAATCAAAATATGTTGACGAAAAAATCCAGTTGGAATATAAGAGAGGTAAGGACAATAAGCAATGCGAGGGTAACTGCCATCTACGTGTCACGAATCAAGTAATAAACCTTAGACAAAATTATAGCAAACATCAACACCAGATTTAGTCTTCTTGTTACGTGACAACTGTTTCTACAAAGCATTGAAATCACGGGGCAGACACGCACTAGCTGGTATCGATCGATTATGTAAAGTTGTTGCTCATGGAAAGAAAGTTTGCTTTAAACACAATTTCTTATGAACTGAGCTGTTGATGAAATGAAGCTGCCGCTCGATTCAGGAATGTTACTCCAAGTTTAAAGTTTAAAACAGTTTATAGAGTTTCCCACTGATTGCCTCTTGTTGCCCATATCTTTTTAGTTTGTGTATTTTAGAACATAAACGCAGCGAAGTTGGAAAGTTAAAACTTCCGTTATTACATCTGAAGAAATCACTGCTTTGACGCACAACTCCTCAACGTGCGCTAGATGATCATCTGGCGCACGTTAGTTAAAACTTTGAATTAACCGATTAACAAATGGATATAATTTTATTAAGGTGACAAAGGAGGTTTGCTGATGTTTCGTGACGCAACGTGACGCCACAACTAACTAATCAGCGGTTTTACATGGTGCATTTGGTTCAAGTCAACGATTTTGCTTTAATTGATGATAATTCGGGACAACGAAGAGGTATTTTTATTCTGAATGGTTAAGAAGAATGCAATTCTTAGGTTGCGCAATACAGAGCAAGAAGAGGCAATTAGTACAATTAGGAAGCTGACTTAAATTTATGATTAAACGAGAAACGACATTTCCTCTCGTTTTGTAACGTGATAAGTACAACTGGGATGTTGAGAGAGAGAACCTTTCAGTTCCGCGAGCCGTTGAATCGAGTGATTTGTAACTTATGAGGCTTCTATGGACAACCAAAGTGGGTTTAAAATGTGATCCACTACTTTTATGACATAAGCCTTCATACTTGTTATAATTTTTTTGTTTTGTTTTCTCTTTTATTGAAACATTCATTCAAAAAAGTAATTTTTTGGACCGAAGGCTTTACTTTAGTCGATAGTTTACATGTTTTGGAAGAAGAGTTGAAACAATGAAACAATGTAAAAAAAATAACAATAAAAGGAAATCATAGCGTGACAACAATTAACTAATGAAACAAAGCGTGATACTGTTACACAGACACTGGGCTAAAGGTAATTCATGAATCTAAAATTTTTTTTGGAAGCTGAATCATCCATTTATCGTTAAGTTCTATGGTGCTGCACTGTTTAGAGAAGAAGATTTGTTGAGAGTAACTCTCGTGATGGAATTCTGCAAGGAAAACTTGATGGGACGCATTTTCTAGAATCAGGACAATATACCTAATCTGTCCTTGACACCTGGTGCCGCGAGAAGTCTAATTCGATGGGCAAGAAACATCGCCCATGCTCTCGAGTTCATTCATATTCAGGGAATTGTTCATAGAGTTTCAATTTGGAAAACATCATGGTAACTTGTACGGAAATGACACACGAATGAACATGGGAAGGTTTCCGAAGAAAGCTCTGGACTGGTATGGTGATATTAAATATTCGTTGTTAAATTGAATGAATAAATGGTAAAGGATACATTTGCAGGCTCTAAACAAGTATAAAATGATATCAAATCTTTATCTCAGTCTGAGTCAGCAGTGACTTGTTTCTCTAAACAAGCAGTCTTAAAACATTGTGGTTTCAAGTATTTTTTCACACTTGAAGTTCATATGATTTCATTCGTTACTTTACAGTTTGTGTTAGCCTGTCTCAGAATCTGTTTGAACGCACTTAAAACTATTGACTAGTTCTCAGCAGGAACACTCATATGATTCGCATTACTTGACAAACTATACTACATAATTTGTCCTGAATTATGATCGTTTTGCACTCCATTGCATCTGTCTGTATTTGTAATTTTCTAAAGCCACTCAAATTTTCTGATGCAAGGCCTCCCTTTTTTATTTGCCTTGAACACCAAGGGGAAATCTTAGGTTTTTAATTTTGCGATCTTAAGTGAGAGAGGGGGAGGGGATGAATCGTCACTTTAAAAGTCACTGCTTAAATCTATGCATGTACATGCGCAGGAAAGGCCACCTTTTTTCCAAAGTAGTCCAAATTTTATCATATTTCAGAGTGGTATGTAACAAAAACAGCTCAAACACTCATTAGCTCTGCGCTTACATTTATAATGCATTTGAGCGAGAACCGCCTAAAAGAGTTTTCTACTTCTGTCTTTTGTTATAGGCGTTATCTAACAGCTGTCACATGAAGTCAATGTCAGGTTCGCTAATGTCAGTGTTTCTAGAGAAGCCAAGATGACCACAGGAACAATGAAGGAAACTTTTTACATTGCCCCAGAAGTGATCAGATCAGGGTTTTACGATAGCAAGGCCGATATCAACAGCTTTGACATAATGCACTGGGAGATGTGGTTTGGAGAGAGAGCCTTTACAGGTGTATAGGGAGACGTGAGAGCGGTTTATGGTTAGTATGCTAAACGTAACAGACCAACACAAGACGACCAAGAAAGGAAGAAACCCCCACCTGAATGGAAAGCTCTAATGCGGGGCTGCTTGGTTGAAGAAGCAGACAAACGACCAGATACCACAGCATGTCATCAGAGGTTGACCATGCTCTACCGGGACACATCTCCACCCATTTGAACTCTTATAATTTCAAGAAAATCTCTGAAGGTATAGAGCTAAAACTTAGTTTATTGTGACGTTTTGTACATAGTGTCAAGATTATGAAGTTAGTGTCACGTATGTATGATGATTTACATGGTTATCAAATCATTTATCATCATATGTCTACCTTCAATCATACTGAGGGAGTCGAAGTTGAGGAGCAATAGAGTAGAAGTGGTAGAGGTATACAAAATTTAAAAGTGACTCTTTAAGACATGGAGATTGGTTTATTGGTGAGTTTTGTGAAATCGAGATTCTCAAAGCGCTTGCAGGACAAACAAAGATCATCATACGGCTTTATTGAAATACTAATACAGCAATAATAATAATAATAATAATAATAATAATAATAATAATGAAATCATAAATTTTAATTCACTAAAATTCTTATTCCTATAATATAGTATAAACTTAATTAAATTTAAATCTGTCATAGGTCTCATTTCACATAGTTATTTCATTCTAATGATTACATTCCATCCACTATAATCTGTTACTTCCTAATCCTATCCTTAACTAATTCCGAGTTCAACCTAGCTCAAGGGAAATATCATGGAAAATCTTATTTGAAGATAAAAAAAACATCCATCTTATATATTAAAAAATCTAAAAATATTCTCAAAAACAAAACAAAACTAAAACAAAACAAAAAAAAACAAAACAAAAACAAAAACAAAAACAAAAGCAAAAACAAAAACAAAAACAAAAACAAAAACAAAAACAAAAACAAAAACAAAAACAAAAACAAAAACAAAAACAAAAACAAAAACAAAAAAAAACAAAACAAAAACAAAAACAAAAACAAAAACAAAAACAAAAAAAAAAAAAAACAAAAAAAAACAAAAAAAAAACAAAAACAAAAAAACTAAATCCTGCTGGTTCTTTTTCGATCTCAAAGTCGCAATGTTCAATGTTCAGAGGGACACGCCTAGTGTCCCTCTGAATAGTGGTGCGTGAACCTCTTAGGCAAAGTAAGGCGGACCTTAGTAGAGCGAAGGACACTTTTGAACGCATCCATGAAATCGTTGTTGTGTAGTTCTCCAAACAATTAAGCAAAGTTGGTAGAAAATCTGATAAGGATAATTTTTGACGATTATGGCATTAGTTGTGAAAAGGATGATGACGATGGGAATGAGGAAAAAAATATCAATCAGTTATTTACAGACTAGACCGTGACTAAAGATAAGTTCTTGTTATTTACGATGATACTTCGATTACAAATGGGTATGATTGTTTGTAAATTTTTTTTATGTTTCTAAGGGAAAAGTTATCTAATAGTATAGTGATAAAGATTTGGTCTCTGAGTATTGCAAAAGTTTGTATTTGTTGTGTAAAATGTAGTTCTTTCGTTCACATAGGTAAAATGGTTACGGTTGGTATGTTGCGTTCAATGATGGCCCATGGATGTTTGAATTTACTGAGCTATAAGATACATTTATGTCAATGAGTTAAATCTTCTATTAATAAACTGATACAATACTAGAGATTATTAGTTGTTATAGAGTAGTTATTGTCACTAATTTTAGACTGTATCAAATACATTGCAATTGTGGAGTAAGTTTTTAACATCCAACAAGATTCACAAATTATGTGATAGAATTCGAAACAAACCATTTAACCCTATCACGCCAATTCCTTTTTTTCTGCAATCATATAAGTGCTTAGTTGTCTGTAAATAAGAAATTTCGGCTGATAAGAGGACTTCTTCCAAGAGATGCTATAGTCCGAAATAAATGCATATGCATCCGCATTTTGCAAGGAGCACACAACTGAAAAAGATTCTTAAAGATAATTCAGAACGCAGTTTTGCCAAGCAATGGCTAAATTTGTATTAACCCTTAAACTCCCAAGATCTGATTGTTAATTCTCCCCTGTAGCTGCTACACATTTCCTTGTAAATTATGGGCAATAATTTGGTGTTAGATCAAGATAACAATCTCTACCTGATAAGTTTGAGTATTCTCATTGCCTGTTTGCTGGATAATCTATGGATATTATTGGGAGAAGTTACATCTGATCACTTCAGGTTGTTAAAGGGTCAATAATCGGCCAATACCTAGAACTTGAAGCAAAAGAGCTCCATCACCGAATTGAATTAAACCGGATTGAGTCAGCGATGGAAATTCATTTGAGGGAGAACATCAGATACATGAACATCACGATGAAGTACCTGAACCATTGCATATTCAAGACATTGACTGTACGGTATATAGACTTTATATACTAACGTAACGTTTAGCTAAGTTACGACGAGTTTCGTTGCTGTTTGTCTGTGGTTATTTGCGGATAAAAAAATGGAAATCTTTGTTATTTTAGGAAATCAGTTTCAATAGGGAAAAGTCAGTATTTATCAGCTGTGGGGAAGGGGTCGAGGGATTTTTAATTTTGTGAGGGGGGAACACATGGTTTCAGGGGGTAAAAGAGTTTAAAGTAGGACCATAGAAAATTGACTATTGATGAGAGGGAGGGGCGCAGTGACAAAACGAGAGCGCATGTTTTGCCACTCGAGTCATTTAAACGTTGAGGACCAGGATTCTTCTTCTGCAACTGATAAGCTGACGTGATTTTTTCCGCGAGAAAACAAATGTTTTCTCCGAGGGCTGGGGGTTGCCTGAGGAGAAGGCGACAGCGAGAAGCACCACAGCGATAAAAGTGCTACGAGCTTCGTAGCCATCTTACGGCCGCTCAACTTAGTCACTGAATTCACACCTACGTGACGAAGAAGGTTTGACAGAAACTTTCCTGAAAAAGGCAACCTTATCTGTTTTGGTTTCGGCTAATCGCCGCAAAATGAACACAAGCAATGCGAATTTTAAAAATGCCGCAATTCTGCTTAGTGTAGTGTTACTATGGAGATATTTTCGTTCCCATTTCTTTGCACGCATAAAACTTAAAGCGAGTTACAAGCATACGCACTCAGTTCGCCGCTGTGTCAGCACAAGTAGAAAGTGTTGGAAGATCGATAGAAGAAAAACCTGGATCAAGTCTTTATTTGACTTTCACAGTTTGCGATCTTAAGAAACGATTAAGTCTTACCATCTTTGTAAAAGCTTCGTTTACCAATTTTTAAGGGGTAATGATGGGAATTTGTTTCTTCTTCCCAAGTTTAATCACACAATTCCTTAATGAAAACGTACGCTGCTCAGTACTAAAATTCCTTCTAAGGGAACTTCTGTTCACGTCATTTGACCCTTTTTATGCTAACAACTCCATCTCTGATATCTGACCTTCTTGCATTATATTTAATCTAAATTCTTAAAAAACAGAATGCTCTTTACGAAATCTTCTAAGAGTAAACGATCACAAGTGTCTTATACCAGATGGTGAAACAAACTTTAAAATTCGGCAAAAACCTTCTTTACAAGCTGAAAGAACAATATTTGCCTTTAGAATATTCTTGTTTTTCTTCGTTCAAAATAGTAACACGTCAACTATTTGACAAAAGCCCCAAAAAAAGTAAATTGGAAGGAGATTAAAACACATGATAACCAGCTCATATTAAAGGAAATCTATTAAATCATTGAAACTATTATATGTTTGTATACTTTACGATACTATGAGAATATGACTGGACTATGCCTTTTTAACATGAGAGTACGGTCGCCCACCCTCTCTTTTTCTTTCTTGATTAAGACTTTCTCGAGTTTCTTTTACGCTTGCAGGGTCTAAAGAATACCAGAACATAAGGATAGAGATCCTGCAAAGATTTAAAGACCGACTATGCACCAGTCCTACATTCTGTCAACTGCGTAAGAATCGATATATATCATACACTTCTTGCTTTAACTTTCATGCCTGACGAAGCAACGGGCTAACAACCCTGTACCGTAACAAAAGATCCTCTGACAAACAAAGCAACAGAGGAGCCAACTACACCTGTGCGCTTAATTAGGCCTCTCGGAATCATCCAAAATGACACTGGTCTCGATAGAAGTCCTTAGTATCAGCACTGACTAAGACTAAAAGAGGTTTCTATAATGTACGAACTAAGTTTGAAACGAGAAAAATTGGCGCGGGTTAGGTCAATCTATTTGCTACAACAGTCATAAGGGATATCGTAAAACACTCTAAATCACTGTTGCTCCAAAACAGTTTACACTTGAAAAGTAAACACGTTCAAGGTGGTTGCCTAATAACCAGTGTTTACGACGATGGTGCGGCAGATTCCTGATAGAGCTGAAACAACTTCTTATAACACTCGCTCGCATCTGGTCGATTATCAGGATTTTCGTCCCAGCAACGCTGCATCAGATCACGCAAACCAGCTGGAGGCTCCTTTGAGCCTTCGACATGCGTAGGTCTTACACCCTCAACCACTTTTTCAAAATACTCATGCACATTTCCTTCCACATCAAGAAGAGGTCTGCTACCATACCACATCTCCCAGAGCATTATGCCGAAGCTGTAGATGTCTGCTTTGTAATCGTACAAATGGGACTTGATCACTTCAGGAGCGAGATACAAAGGAGTTCCCGTCATGGTACCCATGATCGCTTTGGCTTCTTTAGAAACACCGACATCGGCTAGTTTGGCAATATTTTCTTGCGACAGCTGTGGGAAAATTAGATAAATTCGATGGAAAAAATACATTTTTAATACCAAAGTCAAAAAATTTCGACTGTTAAAAAATTAAGTCATATAAGAAAGGGGTGGTCGTCAGGAAAGGCCGAATAGAGATGAATCAGGCTCTGTTACTAAAAATTTTTTAAATCTACCACCATTTTAAAGTATCTTTGAAACGCATTATAAGCAGTTTTAATTCAAAGTTTTAACCTCTCTAAGTTGAGCCAGTTTTGTTCATGTTAGTTTCCGATAAAACGTTTAGTGTTGTGACCGCTTGTGATTTCCATTTAAAAAAATATCCTGTAGAAACCGAGGAATTACAATATGGGTGGAACCCAAAACAGACGAGACCTCTTAAAAGAAGGCAAGACATAGTGAAAACGAGACGCCTGGAAGTGTTAACTTGGGATGCGTTAGTCGTTTTCTACAGTCACACTGGTTTTACATGGAAAATAATGAAGTTAATGTTGAACCTTCAAAGTGCAGGAATTAAATCGAAAACTAAAGACAACACAGGATATCATGTGCGGTCGCCCATCCAACCTCAACTAGTTTCATTGAGAAGCACAAACACGCGGCTAATTTCCATATCTGACCACAACGACACTCAAGCGAATTTATAAAGTGGTCTGCCACAGGTATCCCACGTAGAAAGCAGGCAAACCGGGTGAAAGCGAGCGAATTGGAATTCGATGAAGTGCGAGAGAGTCTCGAAGGACGAAGATGATTATAATTAAAAATAGTCACGATAACCAGTACTCCCAATTTTTGAACTCACCAATATATTTTCCAGCTTGAGATCTCTGTGAACGATACCTTGTCTGTGAATGTATTTCAAAGCATTGGCGATGTCTTTTGCCCATCCGATCACATCTCTCGCAGCTGTAGCAGTTGATGACCTACCAGGTATATTTCTTTCATGCCGGAAAATGTGCCTCATCAAGTTTTCCTTACAGAGCTCCATCACCAGTATTGCTTTCAGCTGCTCCCCTTCCTTGCGCAGTGCTGCACCATAGAACTTTACAATAAAGGGATAATTAAGCTTCCTACAAAAAGAAAACGTAACGTAAACAATCTACACTTATAAGTCAGTATGTTTATTATCTATACTTCCATCCAAACATTTTCTGATACTAACAGAAAAATTTTGATCAGTCAAGAGCTTCTTCTGTTGGCAACCATTTCCCTTATTCTCATGACCTTTATGCTTGATTCAGCGCGATAATGTAAGGAGCAATTAAACGCTAGTCCAACTTAAGAGCTCTTATAGTGATGAATTGTTGAGAAAATGAATGGTGATATGTCTCCCTGTATAGGTTTTTTCCTAATTAATATCCCGATGTGCCTTAAAATATACCTAGATCTGTGTGTTCTGAAAGCGTCGGAAAAATATCCTGTGATTAAAAAATAAATCTTCTTATTACGATGAGCTCCTTGAACAGAAAAGAGTTTTATGACTAAGAAAATATCTCATCAGCTACCGTCCAGAATATATTTAGTGCTTTCCCAAGGTTTTTTAACTAATGGGCTTTTTTTTCATAAAATAATACAACATTTCACGATTCCTAAAATGATAAACCAACCTGAGTATCTCTGTTTCCGAAATGAAGCCACAAGCGTTAACTTCGTGGAGCTCGTCGTTCCACACTTTCACAGCAACATCTACGGGTTTATCCTCTCCTCGTATCCTCAGTTTTCCTCGATAAACACTAGCGAACGCTCCCCTTCCAAGAGGTGCATCGTCTTGCCACTCCAGATCGTCGCAACTGATGTCCATGGTGCGAACTTCTTTGATGCCAAATAGGGCCATCTCATCCCTTATTTGTACACTCTTCTCGAGTAACGGTGTGTAGAAATCTTCTACTTCTTTCTTAGAACGGTTCTCATTACTCAATTGTTGACACAACATTTTGTCCTCTTCTATGAGCTGAGGGATCCGATCTAAAACCTGCTTTAAAAAAACCTGAGCTTCTCTAAGCTGCTCCGTCACAAACAACGTCAGATGCTGTTCTTCAGCTACTTTATTCAGAAATTTTTGGGAAGCTTTCGACATAAAGGTACACTTGTCGTTGTTGTATTGTCTTGTTTTATTCCAGTTTTGCAACTCCCATTTAAATGCTAAGGCACCAAGTACCGGGACACCGACCACTAGGACAACCAGACAAATTGGTAACCAAATTGGACTTGTGACCCCGATCATGACTTTTTGGGCGAGGTTTAAGTCATTTGATGCCAGCGAGCCACTTGCTGAGTGGGTAACACCTCCAGCTAGGAGAGAGCCCTCCAGTATTCGAAGTTGACCCTCGACGTAGCGGAACGTCTCCTGAAAGTATTGAATCAAAGAGGCGCGAGTATTGGAAAAGACATGATTCTTTTCTTCCCATTCCTTTATCTTTTCTCGAAGTCGCCTCGTCAGCGCCTTTTGGATGTAATTCTGAGTCGTTTCCCAGCTTTCATAAGTCTTAGGAACTTCATCCAATGTCCACGAACAAAACTGCTGCATAACTTCTGGAGGACTTAAGGTATCTGGACAGTGCATTAACAGCTTTGTCTGTCATCTTTTGAGGTGCAACTGCAGCTGTTTTCTTTTTTCTTTACCTTGCTCTCTCTCAATACTTTGAAGGCGGTCAGTGATAAACTTCATTCTATCTATCACATTTTTACGATCTTCGGACGAATTACGAATGAACGCTTTCGTGTGAAGGGCCATACGTGCAAGAAGATAGTCAAGCCACCTAAGAATCAAGGACATTTTTTTCAATTGTCTTTTATACTTTGTCACTATATCCACTCATGCAAAGCCAGGCTGAAGAGTTTCTTGGGTTTTTTCGCACTGAGTTAACATTTTGTGCACTGGATTACCTTCGGCTTATGCTTTTTGTTTCCTGATAAATGCATTTCACGCAGCCAATCAGAATGGAGATATTTTTCATTCCTATTATCAGAACTAAAAATACATTTTCAACAGATGCAACTTCTTGAATAATCATTCGTCGCTAAAGATTCAAGACAATTTACCTCCACTGAATCTGAAGTCTTGCTTCAATACTTTTCAAAACCATGGACTTGATACCATTCATTAGTTCAGCAAACTCTTTCGTGACCACTCCAAGATTCTGAGCTTCGATGGCTTCTTTTGCTGACATATAAATGATCTGAGATTCTGGATCTAAAAAAGGCCAGCACTCTGTGAGTTTTGTCACGATATGGTTTTTCACGTCCTCAGTTTCCTCTGACGGCATATGGTCCCACTTGTTGCAGACGAATAGAGCACAGTTTGAGGAAGACTCCCTTTGTTTGTCAAGAGATACCCTTCTTGCGTGTTCGATAAGTTTTCCTAACTGAAGACAAAGAGACAGAATTAGCTATTTGCCGACTTTTTTTTTGGTTAGTTCAGTAGTCGCTTTTTTGTAACGTTATGTCTTACGTTATCACTCTTATCGCTTTCTTATTCGCCTTCTTCTAACACATTTGACGAAAAGTTTTGAACAGTTACGTTACTCTAACTCATCTTTAAAATAGAGATTTCGAAAAATAATACGATTTTTGTAGCACATTTTTCCTTTAATTATTTTTGCAATGAGAATGCATTTCGCGCTTTAAAGTGCCTTACCCTATCTGGCTGTATTCCTCCGGCGTTCTCGCTGTTGATGACGTAAATAAATGCGAAAGCCTCTGGAAGGTACTCCTTTACTATGTCATCCATGATGGTAGATTCGCCAATTCCTGGACTGTCGACTATCACGATATTTTCCTAAAAGATACGCAAAATATGAGATGTAACAGGCAAGATATTGAATATAAAAGCGATCTTTGCTTTTATTTTCATTTCATTTTCATTTCTTAATCCGCAGATCGCATACATGATTTTCATATATTCACAGTCACTGAAGCAAAACTTTGTCCTTGAGGATCGCTCTCTAGAGTGCGTTTCGATTGTTTGTCATCAGACCAAGCCCAAAGTAATCACAACAGTCAACCAGAACAAAGGAAAACATCACACAATACAATGAGAACCCAAAGAAAAAATAAGCGAACTACGTCGAATAATTACTGAACTTGCTCATGTCTAACCTTCAACAGATCGTGTGGCCAAAACAACTCAATCTTTTCGTAATCTGAGCCCTTTTCTCTGTTCGTCTTTCGGTGGACGAATTGGGAAATCTGTTTGAGGTAACTCTGCTCGGAGGCTTCGGTTGGCTTTTCTAAGAGGACAGTCCTTGAGGTATCCCCTGATCCTTTGTCTTTAAAGTGCACCACCAGCTTTGGTGTATCTCCATATCTTAGTTCACAGATGGTGGATGTGGTACTCAGAACGGAGTAAGGAAGAAGCTGCTCTCCAAGGATAAGATTTAGCAAAGTGCTCTTTCCTGAACTTGTCTCGCCTGGTAAGTATAAACAGGTGAAAATAGGGAGGGAAGAACGAAAAAAACATCGGTAAGAATGGGTCGATTCTACTTAAGTTACGTCGAACAAGAGAATCTGCTTCCCCGGTCCTTTCCTCCAGAAATCCCTTACAAATCAGCGTTTCCCTTCTTCTTCTTATTCGTTTTCATAAAAAAACTATTCCTTCTGCTGTCCGCCATTATATAGGTTTCACCTGGAGATCACTGAGTTCGAGGTTGGCCATATTATGTGCCACGCTCAAAAGACAGAACTTCGTTAGAGGGACTATCAATACATGTTCATAGTTGGTCTGAACCAGCAGATTCCCACTTTTTCCATTCATTTATTCATAAGAAGTGTATTGTATTTATTATTAACCAGGCTGGCCAAGTTCAGTTGCAACCTGGTTTGAAACTGGATAATTGAAAAATGGTGAATAAATGAATGAGTGATCTTTAGTCCATCAATAAAAGTTATAAAATTTAAATGATGTGAGATTCACGATTTCTGTAGAATTCAAAAAGTAATCGTACGACAGTCGAGTTTGACTAGAAGATGTTAGCGATAAAGTTCTCACTGTTAATATGGCTTAAGGGAGTATATTCAACGAAAGCATTATTAAGGGAGGATAAAACATACCGAGGGTGATTTGCCCTCAGAAATATGGTTTTATCGTACTTCATGGCTCGATCATTAGCCTATTAATTAGCTAGGGTAGGATTGGTATGATAACTGGATGAAGGCCTTCTTTCCTTTTCCAGGCTTGAATTTAACCCTTTAACTTTCATGAGTGACCAAGACAGAATTTCTCCTTACAACATCAATAGGATATCAAGCAGACGAAGGATGAGAATAAAGTAACATGTCATGTAGAGGATTATAAGTTGATTCAATACAAATTCTCCAAACTAACATCACAAGAACTGTATGGCAGACAGTAAGGAGAATTACTAATGAGATCTTGGGAGTTAAAGGATTAAGTCTATTGGGTGAGGAAATTTCAAAGCAATGGCGGTCAAATTGTTTACTTATAACAAACCTGCAACAAGAACAATGTACTCTTTCTTCAGCAGATTTTGTTTGTGGGAAGCGATTTTTTCCTTGAGGTTCCCGATGTTCTGCTCCAAAAGGGCATGAACTTTTTCATCCATACTTTGCAAGCAAATATCCGTGTGTTTGTAGAAATTGAGCAAGGTTGCTCGTTTTCTCTCGTCTTCTTTCTTTGCCTCCGTCAACACTGAAAAGGCCTGATAAATGGCACAAAATGAAACAAATGCTAAGCATCAACCTTCGTCTTTGTAAATGAAAGATTACTTTTCGGCCTAACTGGTTAATTTAACCTTTTTACCGTCATTTAAAAAAAGAAAAAACCTTGTTAATAATAACATCACTTCTACCGTTCACATCGCTGTTCTGCGCGCAACTTAATTTAAGGAGTAGATTGATCAGTAGCACGCTTGCCACGCGCATATGGAAAATTCACGGATTTGCTCAAATCTTTTAAGAATATCTCGGTGCACAATGATCACATCAGATTGAGACTTTCCAAAACTGTTACACATGTGTTAAAAATGGTTTAGGACTAAACAGAGGTAGAATAAAGTATCTTTGAAAACATTGAGTCGGAGCCGAACTGTGAAGTTAGCGCAAAAACATGGCATTACGCGGAACACGCGTTGGCTTCACTATTCACTGTCTTTTGCCAACTTGAGTTTCGTTTATAACCGTAAGACTTAACAGATGGTGAAAATGGTTTTCAATTCATTGTGCGAGTCATAATTCCTATGTTAGAAAACAATTTACCTCAAAATGTAATGCTCATAAGTTGTTTTTCATTTGCCTTCCGTTTTTTCGGTGTTTTTATTGGAACATTGTCAAGATTTTAAATTGATTCTGCGTTCTAAACAGTTGGCAAGCGTTGTGATCTGCCAAGTGATCACACTGGTGATTGAATTACCTAATCGTATTGTTTACGACGAGTGAAGCGGAGCGAACCAATGTGTTGACATAGGCAAAATGCACAAATGACAAGCTTTTGGAACGGGCAAGGTTGCTATGTATTGTTTTCATTTGATTTGACGTTGTTGTCAATTTCATTCTCACGATTGCAATTTCTCATCGAAATAACGTTTTTAGTTATTGTCTGAAACTACTGAATATCTCATGAAAGGTGTTTGTCATCGTAGTTTAAAATGACAGCTGTGTTAATCGTTTGTCTCACGATTTAGTCACATGGACGTGGATCGCGACGTTTCGCCTGCTACTCTGAATAACTGTAGAGAAACAACGAGTGCAATTTTCTCCTTTCGAACGGATGAACAGAACGGGCGTCAATCCGTTCGAACGGATGTCGCAGTTCTCCGAACGGACACTTTTAGTTGGCGAACGGATGTCGCAATACTTCGAACGGATGCTAATGTATTTCGAACGGATATGCAAACCGTTCGAACGGTTTGTCGAACGCTTTGAGCGGATTTTTTAGGCGTTCGAAAGGATAACCGTTTGTGTCCGTTTTGCCTTTCACGGTCACAAATATGCATGTATCATGCGAACAAAAGCAAATTTTGATGTTTAGCCATGGCAGGAAAGGTTGCCAACTCTTCGCTGACAATTACGAAGAGTAGAAAAAAAATTTGTGGCTTCCTTTTACCGTAGAAGAGCATCAGGTCACTCCGGGCTAAGTCCATGGTCGTTTATTTTACAGAAATTATGCAAGTATTTCTAAGAAAATAAAGAAATGTAAACCTGATACAATCGCCAGTATCTTCCCAAGTAGTAAAAATGTTTCCGAACTACAACCACAGAGCACAAGGAAAAGCCAGGAGTGAAGCAGATTTCTCCAAAATTTATCAATCCTCGATGATCTAAGAGCCGTATTTCTCAATTTGAACCCTCGAGACCCGATCGTTGCTCAACCACGCTTGCTAAATTAAGAATATTAGTATGCATGATAACCTCTCACTGTGGAAGCAAAACTTTGCAATTTCTTATTTTGAATCATTTTGCTGACACCCAGTTGTAAGAATCGTTTATGGAAGTATCAATAAGTAATTAGCCGCCTTTTAGATTGCTCTACGTACTGTTAAGTTTGAACTTAGAGAAACATTTGGCGGGTGAATGCATGCTACTATTTCTGTTCATGGGAATAAGGTTTCTTCTAGTACTATTCATTTCTGAGATGCCATCATTGAATAGATCGCCATGGTGTAAAATCGCAAACGATAGCTAAACTAGAATCGGGAGATTTGTTAAACAACTCGCGACTGAATCTCACGATATGATCAGCCTTTACCATTTATTAAAAGTCACACCCAGATACTTCCGCCATTGTACTGAAAATGTTGTTTATGAATTGAGTTTGCTGGTAGTCCATATTTAAAAAGATATTGTAGAGTTCTCACCTCCTTTGCCGTCCAACTTGACTTCCTCTCTGACGACTGGAGTGTCTCTTTTACCTTTGCTTTCATTTCGTCCAACGATTTCAGCCCCTTGGTCGAAATTTTGAGTGAAGCCATTGTGGTTACCATCTCCGAGATGTCGTCGATCTTGTCGATGTCTGGTAATGCACTCATGTTGCAAATCGATAACTTGAGCGCTTATTATCAAAATTTCATCAGTTTCAAGGCTAAAAAAGCTTTGAGAATTGCGAAAAAGGAAAAACCTAGATCTTTACAGTTTCGTTTGATTTATGATAGTCCAATTCACACAAGGGGTCTGATTACAATGGTGCATTGTTACGGATCCTTGCCACTGACGTCATTGTCTGAGCTTGTCTGGCATTCGAAACATGACTAATCAAGCAATAAGTAAATTTCGAGAAGAGTTAATCAACGATAGGTCTAGGTACATAGAGAAAGTTACGGGAAATGGCGTTTTGTTGATTGCAATCAATGCTTGTCTTTTTATAACGTTTGTCGAAGAGGAGCAATATATTCCAGAAATCGCAAGTCCTCAAAAAGGAGGTTTGGCAAATCGATATTTCAAGCCCAAACTCTGATAGGACTCAGACTTTGGATATCTTCTCTCTTTATCGTTGCTGACTTGTTTTTTGTATACTTTATTCATTTGTAGTGTCATTTCTTTTACTGATTAGAACCAGCAGAATATAAACAGTCTATGTTCTCTTGTTGGAACCCTACACCACGTGGACCGTCAAAAGAGTTTCATGCTTGTGAAGCCGAATGCGATTTGTAATTTGGTTGTGAAGGTAAGCAAGCCAACCTGAGATCTATCCAGAGTTCTCTGCCGCTCGAAGAATTTGGAGAGAAGAAAGGCAAAGACACCTCCTCTTGCCTTTGGCTAGTGTTGGCTTCTCGCCCTCTGAGTTCGTACACTAAGCCGATATCCACATCCATATAGTTTTCAGGTTTGAAGAAAGTCACTGCCTCCAAAAATCCTCAGTTCCTTGCCCTGAGAGCCCAACCTCATCAAAACATTGGCAACAGGAGCGATTAGCAAATTAATGATATAAACAAGAGAGCCTATTCCCACATACAGCCAACTCAATCCTGTCAACGTATTATGGACATGGCAGTTTAAACATGGTGTATGGATATGCCAAAAGTTTTCCGTTTCCTTGACTAATTATTTTGTAACAGTGTTTATAAGTTGTGGAAAATGGTTGGGTTGAAATATAATACAAAGACTTGCCAGTAGATAGTCAAATGAAAACTTTGTACATATCAATAAAATTTATTGTTGCGATTCATGTTAACATGTTGCAACAAATCCACTTCCCAGTAAATTCAGTTATTTGCAAACATGAGAAAATACCATCTAAAACTTTTCAACCTATTTAAAATAGCCAATAACAACATTAACTCAGCTTTTAAATTAAAGAGAAAACTTAATTGGTGTTTGGAATTGATTTTTGTAATGTGAAAATGAAATCCAGGTATTTTCTTAAGTTTTCTTGAAGACGTCCACATTATATGCAATTACAGCAGAGGTTACCGAATTAAATAACAGAAAAAATCTCAGACATCGTGTATTTCCAGCTAGAGGACAATTATGAAATAGAAAGAGCCAAAACAAAAAAGTTTTAAAAAAGTACAGGTTCAAACACGAGTTGAAAATTACCTTTCTTTTTCATTTTCTACCCAAACAGAGGAAGTTGAAACGTCAGGGAAAAACGGTGGGGCAAGCAGTCATACCTGGCAACTTTAAGAGAAGATATAAGAGAAGCCCATGCGATTCTGGCGTATCGTTTTACTGATTCACTATGCTCACGTGTATACTCTTCAATCGACCAGTGATGTCTTAACGCAAAGTAGTTTACCGTCGTTTCTTTCAATTTTGGCTCATTAGCCCATACCGAAATTATAAGTCGCGCTCAGTAGAATATAAATTCAACTGATGCCGACATCATACACTTGATTTGAAGAAGATAACATTCCCCATCTTCGAAAATTTGCTCAAAACATCAGGAACAACGACGAAGGTCACAAGCTGTCTGAAGATACCACTGATTAGCATGCGTTTTGATCGTCTTGGAAGTTGTAAGAACATCCCCCCAGGTTCCAGACCCCGTCAATTCTTCCCCTCCCCCCTCCCTACCCTCCAGACTCTCCTAAGTCTCCTAGAAGAAACTCTTCTATAGCCAGTGCTGAAGAGTCTTATTACAGTTTTTATTCTATATAACAAAGGGATGGAAAATAAACTAACGAGAGCTCCGCTTTTAGGCTTAGCTACAACCATATATTTTTTGAACTGAAGCTAGTATCAAACGACGATTGGTAAAGTCAAGGTTTGAATTTTTCCAGGCCTTAGCGTAAGAGAAAACCCAGATGAGACACGACTTACCTCCTCTTCTTTCGCGGATCCTTTGCGGTTCGCTTCTCTTTGTTGATGACCTCTTTTCAGTCTTTTTTCTGGAACGTCTTTGCATTTCCTTCTCTCGTTGCTCTTCGCTTGATATTTGCCTTTTCACTTATGCGTTTTCTAGTTCTCTTTCGCGTTCCTTTATTTTGACGTCCTTTTGGCGTCCTTTCAAGCTTTCTTGTGCGTTTTTCGCGATTCGCTTTACACCTTTTACTTCTTGCCTTCTTTGGTCGTACTGTCTCTTTCTATCCGCACACTGATGGGGTATCCAAATTACGAACGCAATTGCGCATGCGCATTGCCTTCCTCCCCAGCCCTTCCAATACGTAATGGCTAAGATAGTGCCAGCAATGCAGTTGGCCGCGCATGCTAAAAGTAGCACCTTGTACGGTTGGTCGTACGGTCTCAAGTCCTATTTTTTTCGGCTTGATGGGTTACTCCTATTTCGTACAAGTGTTGCGCACGTGTTGTGCTCAAACTTCCGCTGGACAAGAGTAAGGCTATAACATTGACGTGCCCCTGGTAGAGTTGGCCGCGCATGCTGAATGTAGCACCTTGTACGATTAATATTTATTGATATTAATATTTTTGAAGGACGATTTAAAGATTAACGAGAGGGGGGGAGAGAGAGAGATCATAACTACATTTAAAAGACCACACAGTGACGAATAGAGAATTTCAAATAATAACCGATCCATCATGATGATAATTTTTGATAAATTTCCATTATTCTTTTGACAATGCTCCATTGAAGATTTTTTTGCCTAAGACACTCACGCAGAGACGACCTACAAGGGCGTTTTTTTCCTTTTTTCGCAAGAAATTCTTCTATTTTACTTTTTCTCCTAGGTGGGAAAGCTAATCGAGCACGCTAGGCAAGTGTCTCTTGACCATTATGGAGAAACCTAATCAACTTGTGCTCTGTTAATTTGCCGATCAAGTGGGACCAAGTGCCATCAGAAGAAGCTGATGAGGACAATTATGAAACAAGTATCACATCGTCAGAAAACTTGAACACTGCTGGCCTAACGTAGACCCTGAATCTCAGATCATTTACATGTCCTCCACCACTACCAGAAGAGCCCAAAGTCTTGGATAATCACAAAAGAGTTCGCTGCACTGATGAATGGAATAAAGTCCATGGTCTTGCGTCGAAGGAAGACTGTTTGTCCAATGGAGGTAAGAGTTCTTAAGTCCATACAAGACACAATAAAAACCGCGAGTGTCATTTTCAATGCTAGTGGTACGTCCTAAATACAGTTTACTGATAAATAAGTAAAACTAATTAACTATCATCACCCAAATGGAGGTGGCTAATGGTGGATGCCGGATTTGCTGAGAGTTCACAGCCATCTCGCTAAGTTGGATAGTCTTTGAGAAAAGGCCTGGTTTAGGATCTACGTCTTTATAGTGTACTACTAGCCCAGGGGTTTTTCTATATCTTAGTTCGCAGATAATGGAAGAAGTGGTAAGAAAGGAGTCAGGGAGAAGTTGTTCCCCAAGAATCAGACTCAGCAACGTGCTTTTTTTCGAATCTCTTTCACCTGTCGAGAAAAGCGCTGGGTTAGAAAAAATGCAATTCGTTGTTTTTAAATTTCCAGATCATTGTCTATGATGAGTCTTGGTAAAGTTTAACGTGTCAATTTCTCATTAACATGCAAAACAGGTTCTTATCAAAGATATACGTCGTTTTTACGACCATGAATGACAAGAATCTAGACGTTAAAGGGAAACTGCCTCGAGCCCTGTTCGTCTAAAGACAATAGAAGCGTTATTATGACAAAATAGTAAAAAAAATTACTTTACTATGGCGAAAAGTCTGGAAACATGGCAGCCACTTTGACTTATCTCCCGCACATAAAAGGGATGATACATATGATGAAAAATGTTCGTCGTGAGTTTTTATTAGTTTAAGAAATCACAGTACACACATTTCTGAAAGAGAAGATGTTTTGGGACCAAGATGAGTTAATTCAATTGAAACAAGAAAACAAGAACAACCAAAACAACAACAATAATATGCAGCGTTTCTGTCTGTCGAGTTTATAGCGTCGGCGTCGTAGCCCTACGACATAAATCGTTTATCACTCGGGAAAAGCAAATTTCTCAAAAACTCATGACAAGGTATGACCACATGCGAAGGATTTGACTTCCTAGTGGAATCAGTCTGAAAGTTGCTCTCTTGGCCAGGTGGGTTGAGCAAACCTCTTACAACGAATGAGGAGACGAGTATGGAAAAAGCTGCGTGACGTCTGTCAACATGCGCTAGTGCACGGCCCCTGTTTCTTATGTGTATATAAAAATTAAGTTTCACACGACTTACTGCACGATGAGTCACACTTCGTAATGAGCCGAGGAAATTCATTCCACAGATTAAACGCGATTAACTTCAAAATATTGGCCATGACGGATACGAAGGGATAGTTAAAACGGAGAATATATTGCAATTAAAAGTGAAGTCTGGCAGACACTAACATGAAACTGTGCAACACCTGTTGTGGCCGTCAAGTAGCTTGCGTTCCGTCTCTTGCTACTCCTTTGCAAGTTAATGGCGTAGTCCTGTGGCGGACAATCTGCCTGAGAGCGAATGGGGCAGCTGGCAGGAAACTCAAGTTACGACGCACGCACGTGCTTCAACCTCTACGTAATTATGAGCTTTCTGAATTTTTTTCAGCAACCAACCTGAAACTAGCACTACGTATTCCACTCTCTCTAATCTCTGTTTGTGGTAGGCCAGTTGGTTCTTGAGATTTTTGACTCCCAGCTCCAGAAGAGCGTAGTCCTCGTCACTCATCCTATTAAGACATGCCTCCGTGCACACGCACGATTCTAGCAAGAGCGTTTGTCTTCTCTCGACGTCTTCCCTGGCCTCTGTCAACGTTGAAAAGGCCTGATAAGTGGAGCATGGATAGATTACATCGCTTTGCAAAAAAATATCGACACGACAATATAACTTACCAGACTTGCTATACTATTTATCTATGTCGGTCACTCAATACTAGACAGGATTTACTTCAATGAGGTGGTTTCTTTGGAATCAGCCCATTTCGGCGTGTTGACTGATCAAGCTAGCGTAGGCTCGGGTACTCTTCCTTGTGTGCACATTTCATTCTATAGTCGGACCTGTATTTAGCAGTCGCCCATGGAGAATGGCGGGGTAACCGTTGAATACAGGCTGACCAGAAAATGACTTGCGAGATGTTCGTGCGAAATATTTTTATTAAAAGTCCAAAGAAGAGAGATAATTCTAACGTTACAGCGTTTAAGGGGAATTTACAACCGCTTAATACAGGGTGACCACTTAATACGGTACGGCTTAATGACCTTAATAAAATTTTGACTTTATTGACATACTCGAGTTTAGATTTGAGTTCGACTTCGACGTGGAATTAATTATTCAAGTTGAACTACAATTTACGACGTAAACATATGCATAAAAATGCACTCAGAACTGAAATTTTAAAACAAAGGTAGATTCTGCTTTACAACAGAAAAGGACAACACAAAGGAAACTGTCATCTTTATCAAGCAAGATCACCCATCAGTACTTGAATGTTAGAAAATATCGATGGGCCATTGGTTTTTAATAGAATATCAACCTCCACCCAGCGAAACATTGAAATTCTTCCCATCAAAGAAGCGGAAACTATCAGAGGAATTTATTTGAAAGAGTAGGGCTGTAATTTCCAATATACAGCGATAACTAGCGCGGATGAGAGTCGTGATAAATTTGTCAACAGCCTATCATCATAGCTCTAAATTGGAGTATGAGCCCAGGTCCGACTGAAACTCGTTGAAGAAGTTCTTCTTTACAAATTTGACGAAGGATGACAAACGAAATGCAAGCTTAACATACTAAACATTTTCGCTTTCTTCGACACGAGCTCTGAATACAATTTAGGTTATGTCCATTGAACCGTGCTAGTCTGATTATCAGGTTTCACCCTCCTAGGTGATTTCGTTTTTTGATATACGCATGAAATAACGAAAAGATAAATGTGGAACAGGGAGCTCTAGCAGTGTAATTAAGAAGCTTTAAATCTGGAGTAAATGTTTGGTTTGACAATCAGTTCACAACCAATAAAGTTATTGGTGTTCATTGGTTTCCCTTTGGTTCGCTGTTACGTACAGTGTCTGTGAATAAACCAATTTTTAACCTAGACATATAGAATGCCGGCCACAAGACAGCTTGTCGATAATTTCGGACGATAACTTCACCATTTCTCATTGCCATAGGCCCGGTATTTAAGGCTATCAGTTCTTGATAATTTAGTGACAGTATGGCAATGTCAGCGCAGCCTGAGTTTGAATCAACACGCAGCCATAGATGTTTCATTCTTACCTTCTCTGATATTATGAGTGCCCTTTTGGCCCTCTGTTTCATCTGGTCTAACGTCTGCAGCCCTCTTGACGATAAACCTCGAGACTTCATTAACTCGGACATGAGCTCAATATCGTCGATTTCATCAATGTCTATCGACGCACTCATGCTGTGTACGCTCTCTAAGATGTCTCGAACAATGACCAGCTTCAAGAAGAGAGAGAAGAAAGTAACTATACACCTCTTAGGTAACGTTCTGTTGAGCTGTTAATCACATACGGGGTTTATATTTACACCACTGCAGCTTTACCTTGGACTTACATTGTTTCGGTTGAGTGAAAGCGGTTGTTATCGTTGAACCTTCTAGACTGTTCTCTGATGAGAAACAAATCCTTTTCTAACAAATCAGGCCGCAGTACTGATATAGATAGATTAACTGATTTCCAATTAGTGATTCCTATCGCGAATATTACTTTTCCTCAGCTCTCAAAACTGTGTTATTTCTTTTCAAGATGAATCTGTCAGCAACAGCTGTGGACGAGATCTACGACATCGCAGTAATGGTTCAAACAATAGCGTGTTTAGGAGTTTCGCATGAAGGCTTAAAAACATTGGACAATGTGAAAAGGGTATTGAAACAGAAAATCAAAATATATTGCCGAAAAAATCCAGTTGGAATATAAGAGAGGTAAGGACAATAAGCAATGCGAGGGTAACTGCCATCTACGTGTCACGAATCAAGTAATAAACCTTAGACAAAATTATTGCAAACATCAACACCAGATTTAGTCTTCTTGTTACGTGACAAATGTTTCTACAAAGCATTAAAATCACGGGGCAGACACGCACTAGCTGGTATCGATCGACTATGTAAAGTTGTTGCCCATGGGATGAAAGGTTGCTTTAAACACAATTTCTAATGAACTGAGCTGTTGATGAAATGAAGCTGCCGCTCGATTCAAAAAGAAAAATCCGTTTAACTTACAGACAGTGACATTCAAACTTTCCTAGAAGGGAAAGAAAACCAAAATAGTGAAAAAGTTACGTATTCAGTGGCTTTCGTAATGACTTTTCTCGCGGCTGAGAACGAAAATCGACAAATAGAAGATTTGCCATGGGCCGACTTTAACTATGTAGCTGAAAGATTTCTATAAGCAACGAAAAAGTTAATAACTGACAATTTTGAATATTGAAAATTACGCCCACTGTTGTTTTGTAGTGATTCAGCGCTTTTTTTTTCATATTGAGCTTTATCGCCAACGCACTTTACGAGTTTTGTTCGGGGATCATCGATCCTTTTATTTTCATTCGTTGAAAAAGTCGACTTCTCTCGTCAGTTAAGGGCTATTGTGTTTATATGATAAACGAAATAATACATGTTTGCTTCTAGATATGGAATTTCGCTTCTTGTGTTCAACTCGATCGACATCTCACTCGTTGGCTGCGCTCACTCGTGAGCTATCGAGCAGGACATTCGAAGAGAAATTCTATATATCTACGCGCACCCGTGTATTATTCACTATTTCTCTTCTTTTTTTTCGCGGTTATCGGTCTGTTTTAGATCAGAGTTGAGAGGTATCATAAAACCCTTTATGACAGGCCCAACGGAAAATAATGAGTTTTGTTACCCCAAAACTCGCTATTTCCCTCGGGGCCAGTCATTAATTGCCTACTGATTTCCATGTATAAGGCGTTCGTGGTGTTGAAAGAGGCCAAGGAAGAGGCCAAACGAAAACGAGTAACCTTGGAAAAATTCTTTAAGAATACGGAGACTTGTTTATACACCATGATGAACGACAAACTTCGTACCCTCTTAGAGCAAAACATTGGACACCTTGACGACAAATTTCTTCTCACAAACAGAGTCTGGAGAGAAAAGAATACGTGGTTCTCATTGCAGGTTGGTAATCAAGAGTACAAATTTTTCGTCCACAACAATTCTTTATGTTCCCAAAGTTTGTGAGTCAGGAAGCTGACTTAAATTTATGATTAAACGAGAAACGACATTTTCTCTCGTTTTGTAACGTGATAAGTACAACTGGGACGTTGGGAGAAAACGAGAAAACCTTTCAATTCCGCGAGCCGTTGAATCGAGTGATTTGTAACTTATGGAGGTTCTATGGACAACCAAAGTGGGTTTAAAATGTAATCCACTACTTTTTATGGTATATGCCTTTCTACTTTTTATGTTTGTTTTGTTTGCTCTTTTATTGAAACATTCACCAGAAAAGTAATTTTTTGGACCAAAGACTTTACTTTTGTCGATAGTTTACGTGTTTTGAAAGAAGAATTGAAACAATGAAACAATGTAAAAAAATAACAATTAAAGGAAATCATAGCATGACAACAATTAACTAATGAAACAAAGAGTCATATTGTTTCACAGACACTAGGCTAAAGGTAATTCATGGATCTAGACTTTTTTAGGAAGCTGAATCATCCATTCAACGTTAAGTTCTATGGTGCAGCACTAATTAGAGAAGAAGATTGGTTGAGAGTAACTCTGGTGATGGAACTCTTCAAGGAAAACTTGATGGGACTCATTTTCCAGAATCAAGACGATATACCTAGTCTGTCCTTGATACCTGGTGCCGCGAGGAGTTTAATTCGATGGGCGAGAGACATCGCCCATGCTCTCGAGTTCATACACATTCAGGGTATTGTTCACAGAGTTTCGATTTGGAAAAAATCATGGTAAGTTGTACGGAAATGACACACGGATGAACATGGGAAGGTTTCCGAAGAAAGGTCGTGACTTTAATGGTTATATTAAATATTCGTTGTCGAATTGAATTAATAAATGGTAAAGTATACATTTGCAGGCTATAAACTTTAAGTATAAAATGATATCAAATCTTTACCTCAGTCTGAGTTAACAATGACTTGTTCTTCTAAATGTGCGGTTTTAACAGGAAAAAATTTTAGTTTTAAGCATTTTTTCACACTTGAAGTTCATATGATTTCATTCATTACTTTACAATGTGTGTCAGCCTGTCTTGGAATCTGTTTGATGGCACCTAAAACCATTGACTAGTACTCAGCAAGAATACTCATATGATTTGCATTGCTTGACAAACCACTATGCTACATAATTTGTCCTGAATTATGATCGTTTTGCACTCTATTACATCTGTCTGCATTTGTAATTTTTTAAAGTCACTCCAATTTTCTGATTGACAATCTTTTACTACCTTGAGATGGCCTCCTTTTGCCTTCTTTACCTTCTTCTTAAGTGGGAGAGGGGAGAATATGAATCGTCACTATTATATTCACTGCTCAAATTTGTGTATTTAGTTATGCAGAAAAAGCCACCTTTTGTCCAAAGTAGTCCAAATTTTATCTTATTCCAGAGTGGCATACGATAAAAACAGCCCAAACACCAGCTCTGCGCTTACATTTATACTGCATTTGAGCGAGAAAATAGCAAGGAGAACTTTGAAGTCTATCTAAAATCACAATAGACAAGATTACATAAAAAACCTACCCTATAAAAATGTACACCATCAGTCTCGTTAGCTTCTGAAGGGGGCTTACGGAGTTGCACAATAAAGATGCAGTAAGTAGAGGCCGTCAAACAAATATAGAAGTGATTTCAATGGGTGGGTTTAAATCAAGATGCAGCACAAATAAAAAATCGAGACGAAATCTGGTTCCTATTTCACTAACTTAAAAAAATTTATTGAGTTATTTCAGACGGTAGCAAACTATTTAACTTGGGATTTACACGTGCAAAGGAAGACCTCGTAAACATCACTGAGTTGTGTGGTTCTCTAAAAAATTAAGCAAAGTCGGTAGACAATCTGATAAAGATTATTTTGACGATTATGGCAATAGTTGTGAAAAGGAGGATGACGATGGGGATGAGAAAGAAAAATATCAATCAGTTATGTACAGAACTGACCGTGATTAAAGATGAATTCTTGTTATTTACGATGATACTTCGATTAAGAATGGTTGTACAACTGTTTTGTAATTTTTTTACGTTTCTGAGGGAAAAGTTCTCCAATATATGTATTTGTCGTGTAAAATGTATTTCTTTCGTTCAAATAAGTAAAATGGTTTCTGAAGGTATATTGCGTTCAACGAAAGCCACTAGATTTTTTAATTTACTGAGAACAGGCTATAAGATACATTTATGTCAATGATTTAAATCTTCCATTGATAAATAGACCGATACAATACTAGAGAAATGAATACATTGTATGCAATGATAACTGCAGTCATTGTCACTGAATTCCGATGATACTAAATAGATTGCCATTGTGCCATGAGTTTTCAAAAAAGATTCACAAATTATGTGGACACGTTGTGGATACAATTCTAAGCAAAATACTTAACCATATCACGCTATTTTATTTTCATATAAGTGCTCCGTTGCCTGTAAAAACGACATTTCGGCTGATAAGGAAGAACTTCTTCCAAGAGATGCTATAGTCTGAAATAAGTGCATATGCATTCGCATTTTGCAAAGGTCACTCAGCTGAAAAAGATTCTTAAAGATCATCCAGAACTCAGTTTTGCCAAGCGGGGCTAAAATTTGTTTTAACCCATTAACTCCCAAGATCTGATCGTTAATTCTCCCCGTTGGCTGCTTCACACTTCCATGTGAATTAATTGCACGAATTTGGTGTTAGATCAAGATAACAATCCCCGCCTGATCATGAGTTTGAGTATTCCCATTACCTGCTTGCTGGATAATGAATGGATATTATTGAGAAAAGTTACATCTCACCTTAAAGCAAGAGAGCTCCATCACCCTACGAACTGAATTGAACTGGATTGAGTGATGTAAATTCATTTGAGGGAGAACAGCAAATACATGAGCATCACGATGAAGTACCTGAACCATTGCTTATCCCAGACATGGACTGTATTGTGTATAGTCTCTATATACTAACGTAATGTTGAGCTAAGTTACGACGAGTTTCGTTGCTGTTTGTCCATGGTTATTTGCAGATGAAAGAGAAGAAATCTTATATATTAAAGTTCACATGGTAACCAGGTGGACGGTTTAACCGGTGAAGTGGCTAAGGCCCTTTGTTCCATGTCTTCCATTACCATGTTAGCAATGACAGCAGAGACGGGCGAACCCGTCGCTGTACCAAAAACTTGTTGAAAGTAGGTGCCGTTATATGTAAATTGCGTGGTTATTCCTTACATACAGGGTGTTACGGAACCCATCAATAGAATTTTGAATAGCCAATTGCTCAAAAACCTTTTCAGACTTTGGGGCATATTTTCGCCAAAGCCAAGGATCCTGTCACGAAAGAACAACGAACCGACGCCATTTATTCTATTCCTTGCAATGACTGTGACAACGAATACATCGGACAGAACAAACGTCAGTTTGGTACACGGTTAAAAGAGCACCAAAAAGCGGTTTTCCTTTGCAAAAAGGAAAATTCAGCTTTATCAGAGCATACATGCCTAACTAACCATACAATTGGGTGGGATAATTCTAAAATTATCACCACTAATCGGCGTTACCACCAGCGCCTTTGTTTGAAGGCTTGGCATATTAACTCCGCCCACGCTCCTTAAATCGTGACGATGGCAGTTTGCTTCTTGACGCCTATTTACACCTCGTCAGAAAAAAAGGCCGCTAATTAGTGATCATATAAAAGGACCTCTTGTTGCGACATTTAGATCACTCCTGATGAAGGCTCTAGACAGGAGTGTCGAAACTTTGGGTCTATGAATTGTAACTTCTTCGGTTACATCCACTAAATCTGCAAACCAGAGTAGCATCAAACTATGCCAGAAGAAATCTTTTTTATCTCAGGAAATCAGTTTTGAAAGGAAAAGTCATTGTTTATCACCTATGGAGAGGGGTCGAGGGATTTTTTTTAGCGGGGGAGGGGGGGGGAGGCACATGATTTTTTGGGGCAACGGGGAGAGACCAGTCGCGTCTAAAAGAGTTTTAGGGGGGAATATAGAAATGACCATTAATGAAGAAGGGGGGCACAATGGCAAAATGAGAGCGCATGTTCTGCCACTCCAGCCATTTGATCGTTGAGGGCTACGATTCTTCTTCTGCAAACATAAGCTGACGTGATTTTTTTCGCGAGACCAAAAAACGTTTTCTCGGAGGGAGGGGGGTTGCCTAATGCTTACAAGGCGATGGCAAGAAGCGCCAAAGCGATAACAGGTGCTATGAGCTTCGTAGTCATCTAACGGCTGCTCAACTTCTAAACTAAATTCATATATATTACCACAGCACTTTTTTTGTTGAGTGAGATCAGTGACGAAGCGGGTTCCCCTGAAACTTTCCCGAAAACGGCAACCTTATCTGTTTTGGTTTGGGCTTATCGCTGCGAAATGAAAACAAGCAATGGGAATTTAAAAAATGCCGCAATTCTGCCTTGGTAGTGTTACTATGGAGATATTTTTGTTCCTATACCTTTTCACACATAAATTTCAAGCGGGCTAGAGGCATACCACTCATTTTGCCGCCGTGTCAGTATAAGTAGAAGGCGTTAGAAGATCGATGGAAGAAAAACCTGGATAAAATCTCTATTTGACCATCACAGTTTGCGATCTTTAGAAACAATTAAGTCTAACCATGTTCGAAAATGCTTTGTTTACCAATTCTTAAGGGGAAATGATGGAACTTTGTTTTCTCTTCCCAAGTTTGATCACACATTTCCGCCATGAAAACGTATGCTGCTCACAATTGAAAGTCCTTCCAAGGGAACCTCTGCTCATGTCATTTGACCCTTTTTGTGCTTACAACTCTATCTCTGTGATTAAATAAGGAGTAGATAGGTGATTTCTAACCTTCCTGCACCATATTTAATGTAAATACTCTCAAACGCTGAATGCTCATACGAAATCTTTAAGGAGTAAACGATCACAATTGTCTTACACCAGATGGTGAGCCTAACTCTAAATCCGGTAAAAAGCTTTCAGACAAGCTAACAAAACAACATTCGCCTTTAGAATATTCTTGTTCCTCTTCGTTCAAAATAGTAACACGCAAACTATTTGTCAAAAGCGAAAGAATAAAAGTCAGTTTTCAGGAGATTGATATACATGATAACCAACCCTTATTAAAAGAAATCTTCCACGCCATCTAAACTATTGTGTGTTTGTATCAGTTAACGATATTATGACAATATGACTGGACTATGCCTTTTAAACATGAGAGTACGGTCACCCATTTCTCTCTCTCTCTTTGTTGATTAAGACTTTCTCAAGTCTCTTTTTCGCTTTCAAGGTCTAAAGAACACCAGGACATAAAGATAGTATGCATATTATAACAATCATCCTGCAGAGATTTAGAAAACTACCATGCACCGCTCCTACATTCCGTCAACTCACTGCGTAAGTATCTATGTGTTTCATACACCTCTTGCTTTAATTTTCATGCCTAACGAAGCCACTTTTAGGTTTAAGGCAGGGTAATGAACTGACAACCCTGTACCCGTAAAAAAAGAAGATCCTCTGACGGACAAAGTAACAAAGGAGAAACCCACGAAAATGCGCTAAGGTCTTTCGGAATCATCTAAAATGACACCGCCCTCGATAGAAGTCTTTAGCATCAGCTCCGACTAAGACCAGAATAGGTTTCTATGATGTATGAACTAAGTTTGAAACGTGAAAATTAGCGCCGGTGACGCTTATCTATTTGCTATAATAGTCACATGGGATATCTTAAAACACTTTAAATCACTGTTGCTCCAAAACAGTCTACACTTGAAAAGTAAACATGTTCAAAGTGGTTGCCTAATAACCAGTGTTTACGAAGATGGTGCGCCAAATTTCTAATAGAGCTGAGTCAACTTCTCATGACACTCTCTCGCATCTGGTCTATTTTTAGGATTTTCGTCCCAGCAACGCTGCATCAGATCCTGCAAACCAGCTGGAGGCTCCTTTGAGCCTTCCACATGTCTAGGTCTTGCACCCTCGACCACTTTTGCGAAAAACTCCTGCAAATTTCCTTGCACATCAGGAAGGGCTCTGTTACCATACCACATCTCCCAGAGCATTATACCGAAGCTGTAGATGTCTACTTTGAAATCGTACAAACGGGACTTGATCACTTCATGAGCGAGATACATAGGAGTTCCAGTCATGGTACCCGTGATCGCTTTGGCTTCTTTAGAAACACCGACATCTGCTACTTTGGCAATATTTTCTTGCGACAGCTGTGGGAATATTAGATAAATTTCATGGAAATTGATATGTTTTTAGTACCAAAGTCCAAAAATTTTGACTGTTAAAAAAATTATGTCATATTAGAAAAAGGCTAGTGGTCAGGAAAGGCTGGATACAAATGAATCAGGCTCTGTTATTAAAAATTCAAATCTGCAGCTATTTTCAAAATATCGTTGAAACACATGATAAGTAGTCTTCATACAAAGTTTCAATTTCTCTACCTGGAATCTTTTGTTCATGTTAGTTTTCCACAAAACGTGATGCATTGTAATCGCTCGTGAATTCAATTACAAAAATGTCCTGTAGAAGCCGAGGGATTACGATACCGAAGGTTTCTCGAAATGGGACCCGAAACACACGAGACCTCTTAGAAGAAGGCAAGACATAGTGAAAACGCTTGGAGGTGTTAACTTGGGATGCGTTAGTCGTTATCTAAAGTCACAAACTGGTTTTACGTGGGAATAATAAATTTAATGTTAACCCTTCAAAGTACAGGAATTAGATCAAAAGCTGAAAATAACACAGGATATTATGTGCAGTCGCATATCCATGTAGCAACCCCAGCCAATTGCAGTGAGAAGCTCGAGCGCGCAGCTAATTTTCATATCTGACCACAATGACACAGCGAATTTATAGCGTGGTCTGCCACAGGCATTCCACGTAAAAAGCAGGATAACTGGCTGAAGGCGAACGAATTAGAACACGATGAAATGCGAGATGAGTTTCGAAGGACGAAGATGATTATAATTCAAATGGTCACGATAACCAGTACTCCCAATTTTTAACTCACCAATATATTTTCCAGCTTGAGATCTCTGTGAACAATGCTTTGTCTGTGAATGTATTCCAAAGCATCGGCGATGTCTTTTGCCCGTCCGATCACATCTTTCGCAGCTGTAGCAGTTGATGACCTACCGGGTATATTGCTTTCATGCCGGAAAATGTGCCTCATCAAATTTTCCTTACAGAGCTCCATCACCAGTATTGCTTTCCACTGCTCCCCTTCCTGGCGCAGTGCAGCACCATAGTACTTTACAATAAAGGGATGTTTCAGTTTCCTACATAAAGAAAACGTAACGTATACAACTTACACTCATAAAACAGTATGCTTATTCTCTATACTGTCATCCAAACATTTTCTTGATTTGATTATCAGTCAAAGGCTTCATCTGTTGGCAATCATTTCCCTTATTCTCATGACCTCAATTCTTGATTCAGCGCGAGGACGTAACGAGCAATTAGACGCTAGTCCAACCTAAGAGTTCTTAGAGTAATGAATTGTTGGGAAAATGAATGGTGATGCCTCCCCGTAAAGGTTTTTCCTAATTAATATTCCGATGTGCCTTAAAATATACCTAGATTCTGGGTGTTCTGAAAGCGTCAGAAAAATATTCTGTAATAAAAAAATAAATCTTCTTACTACGATGAGCTCCTTGAACATATATTTAGTGCTTTCCCAAGGTTTTAACTGATGAGTTTTTTTTTTCATAAAACATTACAACATTTCAAGATTCATAAAATAACAAAACCAACCTGAGTATCTCTGTTTCAGAAAGGAAGCCATTAGCAGTAACTCCGTCGAGCTCGTCGCTCCACACTTTTACCGCAACATCTACGGGTTTATCCTCACGTTGTATCTTCAATTTTCCTCGATAAACGGCAGCGAACGCTCCACTTCCAAGATGTGCATCGTCTTGCCACTCCAGATCATCGCAACTGATGTCCATGGTGTGAACCTCTTTGATGCTAAATAGGGCCATCTCATCCCTTATTTGTACACTCTTCTCGAGTAACGGTGTAAAGAAATCTTCGACTTCTTTCTTAGAACGGTTCTCATCTGTCAATTGTCGACACAACATTTTGTCCTCTTCTATGAGTTGGGGGATCCGATCTAAAACCTGTTTTAGACAAACCCGAGCTTCTCTAAGCTGTTCCATCACAAACGACTTCAGATGCTGTTCTTCAGCTGCTTCATTCAGATATTCTTGGGAAGCTTTCGTCATAAAAGCACACTTGTCATTGTTGTATTGCCTTGTTTTATTCCAGTTTTTAAACTTCCCTTTAGCTGCTATAGCGCCAAGTACAGGGACACTGACTACTAGGACAACCAGACCAACTGGAAACCAAATTGGACTTGTGACCCCGATCACGACTTTTCCGGCGACACTTAAGTCATCTGATGCCACCGGGCCACTCGCTGAGCTGGCAGCACCTTCAGCTAGGACAGATCCCTCCAGCATTCGAAGTTGATCCTCGACGTAACGGAACTTCTCCTCAAAGTATTGAATCAAAGAGGTGCGAGCATTGGAAAAGACATGGTTCTTTTCTTCCCATTCCTCTATCTTTTCTCGAAGTCGCTTCTCCAGCGCCTTTTCGATGTCATTCTCAGTCATTTCCCAGATTTCTCTAGTCTTTGGAACTTCATGCAATTTCCACGACGAAAACTGCTGCTTAACTATTGGAGACTTAAGGTATGTGGACAATGCAATAACAGCGTTGTCTGTCTTGTTTTGGAGGTGCAACCGCAGGTCTTTGCTTATGGTATCTTGCTGCCTCTCAATACTTTGAAGGCGGTCAGTGATAAACGTCATTCTATCTATCACATTTTTACGATCTTCTGACGAATTACGAATGAACGCTTTCGTGTGGAAGGCCATACGTGCAAGAAGATATTCAAGCCACCTGAGAATAAAGGACATTTTTCCAATTGTCTTTTATACTTTGTCACTACATTTACTCATGCAAAGCCAGGCTGAAGAGTTTCTTGGCTTATTTCACACTGAGTTAACATTTTGTGTCTTTATTACCTTCGGCTTCTGCTTTTTGTTTCCTAATAAATACATTTCATGTAGCCAATCATAATGAAGATACTTTTATTTCATGTTATCAGAACTAAAAAGACATTTTTAACAGATGTAACTTCTTGAATAATCATTTTGTCGCTAAAGGTTCAAGGCAATTTACCTCCACTGAATCTGAAGTCTTGCTTTAATACTTTTCAAAACCATGGACTTGATACCATTCATTAGTTCAGCAAACTCTTTCGTGACTACCCCAAGCTTCTGAGCTTTACTGGCTTCTTTTGCTGACATATAAATGATCTGAGATTCTGGATCTAGAGAAGGCCAGCACGCTGTGAGTTTTGCCACGATATGGTTCTTCACGTCATCAGTTTCTTCTGATGGCACATGGTCCCACTCGTTGGAAATGAATAGGGCACAATTTGAGGAAAATTCCCTTTGTTTGTCAAGAGATACCTGTCTGGCGTGTTCGATAAGTTTTCCTACCTGAAGACAAAGAGACAGAATTAGCTATTTGTCGACTTTTTTCGGCTAGTTCAGCAGTTGCTTTTTTTTTTTGTAACGTTATGCCTTACGTTATCGCTCTCCAGGAGCAACTCGTGTTCGTTAAGTTCCTTCTTTTAGCACATTTGACGAAAAGTTTTGAACAGTTAAGTTACTCTTATACATGTTTAAAGTAGAGGTTTAAAAAAATTATACAATTTTTGCAGCGCATTTTTGCAGCGCATTTTTTCAATGAGAATGCATTACCCTATCTGGCTGTATTCCTCCGGCGTTCTCGCTGTTGATGACGTAAATAAATGCGAAAGCCTCAGGAAGGTACTTTTCTACTATGCCATCCATGATTGGAGATTCGCCAATTCCTGGACTGTCGACTATTACGATATTTTCCTAAAAGACACATAAAAAATGAGATGTAACAAGCAAGATATTGAATATAAAAACGATATTTGCTTTAATTTTTATTTAATTTTCATTTCTTAATCCGCAGATCACATAAATGATTTTCATATATTCACAGTCACTGAAGCAAAACATTGTCCTTGGGGATCGCTCTCTAGAGTGCGTTTCGACTGTTTGTCATCCGACCAAACCCAAAATAATCACAACAGTCAACCAGAGCAAAGGAAAACATCACACAAGACAATGAGAACCCAAAGAAAAATAAGCGAACAACTGCGTCGAATAATTACTGAGCTTGCTCATGTCTAACCTTCAACAGATTGTGAGGCCAAAACAACTCAATCTTTTCGTAATCTGAACCCTCATCTCTGTTCGTCTTTTTGTGGACGAATTGAGAAATCTGTTTGAGGTAACTCTGCTCGGAGGCTTCGGTTGGCTTGTCTAAGAGGACAGTCCTTGAGGTATCCCCTGATCCTTTGTCTTTAAAATGCACCACCAGCTTTGGTGTATCTCCATATCTTAGTTCACAGATTGTGGATGTGGTACTCAGAACGGAGTAAGGAAGAAGCTGCTCTCCCAGGATAAGATTTAACAAGGTGCTCTTTCCTGAACTTGTTTCACCTGGTTAGTGTACACAGGTAAAAAAAGGAGGGAAGAAGGAAAAAAGCATTGGTAAGAATGGGTCGATTCCACTAAAGTTACGTCGAACAAGAGAATCTGCTTCCCCGGTCCTTTCCACCAGAAATCCCCAACATCTCAGTATTTCCCTTCTTCTTCTTATTCGTTTTCATACAAAACTATTCCTTCTGCTGTCCGCCATTATATAGGTTTCACCTGGAGATCACTGAGTTCGAGGTTGGCCATATTATGTGCCACGCTCAAAAGACAGAGTTTCGTTAGAGGGACTATCAATAAATGCTCTTAGTTAGTCTGAACCAGCAGATTCCTACTTTATCCACTCATTTCTTCATAAGTGTATTGTGTTTATTTATTAACCAGGCTGGCCAAGTTCAGCTTCAACCCGGTTTGAATGTGGGTGGTTTGAATTTAGGTGGGGAGGTGTGGGGGGCTGAGTAACTAAGAGTGGGATGTTTGGGAAAAGTTGTGAGATAAATGGACAGGTCAGTGAAGCCCTTATGACATACAAGAACCAAGTAGCAAATTGGATAATTAAAAAATGGTGAATAAATGAATGAGTGATCTTTAGTCCATCAATAAAAGTTATAAAATTTAAATGATGTGAGATTCACGATTTCTGTAGAATTCAAAAAGTAATCGTATGACAGTCAAGTTTGACTAGAAGATATTAGCGATAAAGTTCTCACTGTTAATGTAACTTAAGGGAGTATATTCAACGAAAGCATAATTAAGGGAGGATAAAATATATTGAGTAATTTGCCCTCAGAAATATAGTTTGTATATCGTATAAAAACTATACATATTAGAAATATAGTTAATATCGTACTTCATGGCTCGATCATTAGCCTATTAATTAGCTCAGGTTGGATTGGTATAATAACTAAATGAAGGCCTTCTTTCCTTTTACAGGCTTGAATTAACCCTTTAACTTCCATGAGTGACCAAGACAGAATTTCATCTTACAATATCAATACAGTATCAAGCAGACGAAGGATGAGAACAAAGAAAAATATCATGTAGGGGATTATAAGTTGATCCAATACCAAATTCTCCAAACTAACATCACAAGAACTGTATGGCAGGCAGCAAGGAGAATTATTAAAGAGATCTAGGGAGTTTAAGTCTATTGTGTGAGAAAGTTGGCGAAACTAAAATTTCAAAGCAGTGGCGGTCAAATTGTTCATTTAAAACAAACCTGCAACAAGAACAATGTATTCTTTTTTCAGCAGATTTTGTTTGTGGGAAGCGATTTTTTCCTTGAGGTTCCTGATGTTCTGTTCCAAAAGGGCGTGAACTTTTTCATCCATTTTTTGCAAGCAAACATCCGTGCGTTCGTAGAAATTTAGCAAGGTTGATCGTTTTCTCTCGTCTTCTTTCTTTGCCTCCGTCAACACTGAAAAGGCCTGATAAATGGCACAAAATGAAATAAATGCTGTGCATCAACATTCGCCTTTGTAAATTAAAGATAACTTTTCGGCCTAATTGGTTCATCTGACCTCTTTACAGTAATTAAACTTAAGTTTTGTTTATAACCATAAGTCTTAACAGATGCTTAAAATAGTTTCTTTCTAAGAAAAGTGGCAAACAAAATCTTGAAAATAGGTGCTAAATCTTTCTTAAAATCAACGAAAGTGTTCACCATATGATGCGTCACGCTTTAAAGTCTGGGAGAGACATCGTTTTCAATTCATTTTGCGAGTCATAATTCCTAAGTTACAAAACAATGTAACCTCAAAATGTAGTGCTCATTAGCTTTTTTTCATTTTCCTTCCGTTTTTTTTGGTGTTTTTATTGGAACGTTGTCAAGAATTTAAATTTTTTCTGCGTTCTAGACAGTTGGCAAGCAGTGTGGTCTGCCGCGCGACCGCACTGGTGATTGAATTACCTAATCGTATTGTTTACGACGGGTGCACTGGAGCGCGTCAATGTGTTGAGATAGGTAAAATGCTCAAATGAAAAGCTAAATTTTGTTACCAAAATCGATCGAATTCGTGAAAAGGCGACTTAAATATTGGCAATAAAGTTTGTCCTAAACATAAGGTCGACAATTTTGATTCCAAGGAAGGTAAGCGATCCAATTTCAAGCAAAAACAGGCTCGACGCTGTGGCCATTTTCACGGCTTCCTTTACTTCCAAATCATCCTAAAGTCTACAGAATCAATAAGCATTGTTTTAGATTTCCTTATTAGAAGGTAAAATAATGCATCAGGTGAGGAGAAGATCGGGAAACTCCCTAAGTACATGCCGCATGTTTCACGCACGCAGTCAAATACTGTGTGTTCGCAAGCACAAGGCCGTGAAATTTAATGCAAAGATTATGGATTCTGGAGTTTCTGGGATTCAGATGTGGCGAGAACTAAAGAAGAAGGAAAGACAAGAGAAAAGAAGAGGAAATTATGAGAAAAACCGGGAGAAAATTAATGAAATGGTCGTGGATTGATTCTTTAATAAATTTTTCAATTTACCCCAATCTTACCCTTTTGTACATCAGAACTGTGCTTCTGATCATATTTTATTGGGCTGGTTTAAGCTCGGAAACTGCTGCAATGCAACCATCTACTTATGTAAATATGCATGTATCATGCGAACAAAAGCAAATTTTGATGTTTAGCCACAGCAGGAAAGGAGGCCAACTCTTCGCTGACAATTACGAAGAGTAGAAAAAAATCTGTGGCTTCCTTTTACCGTAGAAGAGCATCAGGTCACTCCGGGCTAAGTCTATGGTCGTTTATTATACAGATATTATGCAAGCATTTCTAAGAAAATAAAGAAATGCAAACCTGATACAATCGCCAACATCTTCCCAAAGAGTAAAAATGTTTCCGAATTACAATCACAGAGCACATGGAAAAGCCAGGAGTGAAACAGATTTCACCAAAATCTATCAATCCTTCATGATCTAAGAGCCGTATTTCTCAATTCTCAATTTGGCGGGTGAATGCATGCTACCATTTCTGTTCATGGGAATAAGGTTTCTTCTAGTACTATTCATTTCTGAGTTTTCATAATTGAATCGGTAGCCAGGGTGTAAAATCGCAAAGGATGGCTAAACTAGAATCGGGAGAGCTGTTAAACAACTCGCGACTGAATCTCACGATATGATCTGCCTTTAACATTTATAGTAACATAAAGGTCACATCTAGATACTTACGCCGTTGTACTGAAAATGTCGTTTATGAATTGAGTTGGCCGGTAGTCTATATTTTAAAAAAGATATTGTAGAGTGCTCACCTCGTTTGCCGTCCAACTTGACTTCTTCTCTAACGACTGGAGTGTCTCTTTCACTTTTGCTTTCATTTCGTCCAACGTTTTCAGCCCTTTGGACGGAATTTTTAGTGACACCAATGTGTTTACCATCTCCACGATGTTGTCGATCTTGTCGACGTCTAGCAATGTGCTCATGTTGCAAATCGATAACGTGAACGCATATGATCAAAATTTCATCAGTTTCAAGCTTGAAGAAGCTTTGAGAATTGTGAAAAAGGAAAAACCTAAACCTTCAACGGTTTCGTTTCATTTACCACACTATAATTCACGCAGGGGTTCTGATTACGATGGTGCATTGTTAAGGATCCCTGCCACTGACGCCATCGTCTGAGCTTGTCTGGCATTCAAAACATGACTAATCCGCCATAAGTAAATTTCGAGAAGAATTAATCAAAAATAAGTCTTGGTACATAGAGAAAGTTACGGGAAATGGCGTTTTATTGATTGTAATCGATGCTTGTCTTTTTATAATGTTTGTCAAAGAGTAGCAATGTATCCCGGAAGTCGCAAGTCCTCAAAAAGAGAGGTTTGGAAAATCGATATTTCAAGCCCAAACTTTGATAGGACTCAAACTTTGGATGTCTTCTCTCTTTGTCGTTGCTGACTTGTTTTTTTGTTTACTTTATTCATTTGTAGTGCCATTTCTTGAGCTGATTAGAACCAGCAGAATATAAACAGTCTATTTTCTCTTGTTGAAACCCTATACCACGTGGACCGTCAAAAAATTTTCATGCTTGTGAAGCCCAATGCGTCATTTGGTTTGGTTGTGAGGGTAAGCAAGCCAACCTGAGATCTACCCAGAGTTCTCTGCTGCTCGAAGAATTTGGAGAGAAGAAAGGCAAAGACACATCCTCGTGCGTTTGGCTAGTGTTGGCTTCTCGCCCTCTGAGTGCGTACACTACGCCGGTATCACAGGTCAGGGTTATTTTGTATGGGAATATTTCGGCAACAGAACCAGGAAGTTCTTTACGGTACTTTTCCTACCGATATTAATGATGACTCCTCAGGTTATCGAGAAGTCAGCTTTGGCAAAGGAAAAAAGAGAGAAAGATTCTGGAAAGAAGGCTGTCACTGACGATATTCCTTTTGAGCACTAATCTCGCAGTGGATTACGTCTTAGGAGTGGACCATACTTGGAGTTAGTCTAAGTATGCAAATGTTAAAAATTGCGATATTTACACTTGACTTCAGCTTTAAAAAAAACACTTCATAGAGATTTCCTGTTCTCTAGCAACGAGGTATACTTTTCGGTTTTTGAAAGCTAAGTTTTTCTTTTTTGTCAGACCTACCGTTATTGTGTTTTCTTCTTAATGAATACTAGCTGTACTGCCTTTTGCATGAAGCTCTTTTGACTGTCTTTGTATTGAATAATAGTCGTCTCTACATAACTACAATGTCACAGAAATTTGATACAATTTAGTGATGACGATTGATTGTGAAAATGAGACTTTCTGTTGTCGTGAGTTGTTAACTTTGACAGCGGCTATAAATAACAGAAATTTATTAAAAGATAATGGCTGTGACATGTGTTTGAAAAGAACGTGACTTTTCGTGGTCACGAACATGAACTTAGATGCATATTTCCGGCTGAATCTCTCTGGGATGTTAAGAAAGTAGCGGAGGAGCAGATTCATATAATGCTAGCCAGTGTTAAGTATGATACTAATTCTATTATTCGCGGTAGGTATCGTTATAAACATGCCGTTCGAGATATCTGCAAAAATGTTATTCCATATCAATGTAATACCTTCAAAAGGGAAATGGTATTTCCCTTAAACTAAGAGGAACAACTGATTCATCTCCTGGGGAGATTTCGAGCTTTAGTGTAAAACTAAAGAAGATGCTTGTAAGGAAAGAGTCCTTAAACCTAAGACAAACCTGGGATGAGCCGGTGTTTCATTTGACCCCGAAAAAAATTTGGTCGAGTAAACTGATTAACGTTTCATCATAAATAATCTACTTGAGAGCATAATCTGTGATGTGAAGCACGACGACGGGAAATTATGTTTTTCTTTTTTCTCCATCCATATCTCCTTAAAGCATTTCAAGCTTTTAATATTTCGAACCCTTTACTCGTGCTCTGCTGATGCGATTTTGCTCTTTTAGCCCGCATTGTGGCGTTGTTATCTGTGTCCGAAGGATATTTGTTTAAGACGCTAATTTAATAAACGCTTAACGGTATACCTACGTTTTAACGTAGTAATGGTACCGTTTCTTGAGTAAAAGAGCATCGGAGCCGTGCGAAATCGCAACGTCTCTTGGGGTTTGATTCCTTTTAGGTGACTAAATGACTAGAGTGATTGTTAAAAAAAAACCGTATCACCACACTTTTATGTATTCCCCTGAGCTAAAAAATTACCATCTTTCTTAAACCAATGAGCGCGTGAAGGGTGAAGGGATTAGGCAGGAGGCTTTTAGTGATATAATGATTAAATAGTTGTTCTTCTCAAATTAATCGCAACCAAGCTCAGTCATCGCAGAAAAAAGAGCCGAAAAAATGTATCCAGTGGCACTGAATAGCTACTTTTAAATGAACTACGATGCCGTAATTTTCATAGGACCCAGGAAATTTTTTTCATTGCTTTCCTTCCATCACATAGCTTCTAAGCCTAATTGGTAGTAGTGCTAAACTAGATTCTGTAAGGCACCAGTGCGGTTTGGTAACAATCGAAACAAGAATTTCTACAAAATTCTTTCTCTAGGATGACCTTTCTTCTTGTTATGTTGTTAAGAACAATTCGTCTCTTATTGTCCACTTTTTAACACATAATTTATTTCATATAACTATTTACCAGATGGTGCTATATATTGGCGAAGTTTAATCGGCCGGACACGGACACGGAGTTTGTTTGGATACCATGTAGCTATGTTTTGAACTGAAACTCTTGAAGTTGACATTGAAGGCATGACTCGAACCCATGCATCTTCAAATTGATATATACAAGGGCTCTGAACTCTTCATCTTCTGCTGTTGATCTTTTTTAAGCACACATGAGGTGAAGGCTTGTGATGGTCTACTTCTCCACGCACGCCTCCTTATAAAACTATAAGACGACTGGCATGGCTTGGAACCAGTCAGACCAAAACGTATGTAAACGGGTATTGGTCAAATTGAAGACGGCATTTTCATATTGATTACAAAGGGTTTTTCTGTTACTGTCATGCAATTTTAAGGTTTCTTTCAAGTTATGATGAGAAGAAATGTATTTTTGGTCGTGCAAACGCCCTCTTAACACTACGACCTTTCAGTATGAAGCGATTTTAAATACGTTTTTACAGAGAAACGCAGGATATTACTCTGGTCTGTAACACCTTGAAAAAAAATTTTGAAAGATTACTGCCACAACACTTAATGAAGTTTTCTGTCTCCTCCTTTAAGTTGGATACGAAATCACAAAATAGACTCCAATTCCCATGCCCTTAGAGATAAGACAACGCCGTATCTGAGCAAAAAATGGCATAATTATGTTAGGGGTAACTTTAACTTCTGAATGATTTTTAATTAAACTTGCCGAATATCCTCTACATGCAAATAAGCACATGATTTACCTTTATCGACAAAACATTTTCTTTAGCTTTTATGGGAAATCATTTTCTGTTTCCATATGGGTTCTTGCTTAGCATCAGTCTACCACGTACTGTACTCCATCATAATGCACGTTTCCTTGTATTTCTCTCTCTTCTATTAACCATAGCAATCAGAAAGAGTTCTTATAAGCACCCCAATTACTATTTTTGCCTAACTAGTAATTCTATCTTTAAATCTGAAATACGTTTAAGATGATTGCCTAATAACCAGTGTTCATAGAGGTGGTACGTAAACTTCCTGGGAGAGCACAGCCAATAGCTTGTGACACTGCCGCATCTGGTCGATTGCAGGGTTTTCCATCCCAGCAAAGCAGCATTAGATCTTGCCAGTCAGTTGGAGGCTTGATAACGCCTTGTACGTATGAAGGTCTTGCACCCTTAGATTCTTGGTCCGACACATGTTCCTCTTCTTCAAAGAGGACTTTCTTGCCATACCACAACTCCCAAAGTATTATGCCAAAGCTGTAAATGTCGGCCTCGTGATCGTATTCTTTGCAACGAAGAAGAGCGAAAACAAGAGACCTTAACGACATTTGTTCGTGAAAGCTACGAAAAGAGGTTAATAATATAAGCAAAGATGCTATAACAAGAAAATATTTTTGAACGTTTTAGGAGCTTCAAGGCTTCTTCTGCAAAATTGACTTGGCACCGTTAACTATTGATTAAAGAGTACTTGAGCGGATCTTAACAATTATGACATTAAATTGGTAACTCTTAATTATTTGACTAATGTATTAGATAATTAATGATGAACTAACCCTCCAGAGCAGACTGAGATCGAAGCAACTGTAGAAATTAAATTCAGACTTATTTGAAACACACCAAGATTTTCTCTAGCTTGAAGTTGCGATGAACATACCCTGGTTGTGTATGAACTCTATTACAGTAACTACGTCCTTTGCCCAGCACAGTACATTTTTCGTGGCGGAGGTTATTCCGGAAAATCTAAGTAGATTTTCAGGATTCTGAAAAATATGATTCATCAAGTTTTCCACGCAAAATTCCAATACATGGATCACCCGCAATCGATCACCGTCCTTCAGCAATGCTGTCCCAAAGAACTTTACAATAAAGGGAAAGCCAAGCTTCCTGCATAAGATATAGCAGGTAATTTAGTATTAACAACCGACTTGAAAATTGGCCACTGTAAAGAATAAAAAAGTTGACGTTTCGAGCCTTAGCCCTTTGTCAGAGCGATTGACGAGGGGCTAACACTCGAAACGTCAGCTTTTTTACTCTTTACGGTGGCCAATTTACGTTTTCAACTCAGTTGTTAACACTAAATTACCTGCTATACTCTTCCACCCGACGCAGCACCACAGTTTCTTTAGAAACTTACCCGTTTATGCATAAAATATAATTCTGTCGAACTTTTCATTCAAGTTCCTTTGGATTTCAAAGTACATGAATATTTCGGCGTTTTTCAACTGCTATGTTATCATACCGATCTGACTAAATCATCTCAATTTCTGTTGTTGTCAAATCAAATTTAATTAATCTTTAGACAGTCCTCTTTTATTTAATAAATGCAACTATATTGATTAATTACATTTGAAAAAAATGCAAAGAGTAACTAACCTCAGTGTTTCTGTCTTAGAAAGAAAGCCAATCGCGGTGGATTCGTTTAGTTTTTCACTCCACAATTACATAGCCACCTGCATTGGTTCGCTCTGTCCTGGTAACCTGAATGTT